ATTTCTCATCCCATTTCGGTTCTTATATCTATTCATTTAACTTGCCGCTATTTTCGCAGAAGGTAATAGTTATGTATTTGCGTCTGTCATACATGGTGATCAATTGAAATTATAACTGATCTATTGAATAATGATACATATCATACTTTAACTACTAAAGTTTGTGTAGTTACAGTATTATAATACATGGTAATATTTTATTTTTATACCTTACTGAAGAAATCCTGACATTATTTTTAGGAAGATTGTATAATTAAAGATTGTATACTTTTATGAACATTGTATCCTTAAAAAGATGGGCTATTTTTAAAACTACTTCTTATCTTATGCCTGCTTGCTTTTTTTTACTTTGCTAGCTTAACTCTGCTAGCTTTTTTACATATACGATATTTGTATACCCTGCAAATATGTTTTGAAGGATATGGATCTTTAGTTTCATGTCATCTTGGGTCCCCAGAATATTTACTTCTGAATGAATAGTTAAATTTTTTAAACACAAATTAAAAATTTTTTTATTAATATATTGGAATTATATTAAGTTTGCTATTATATTATATTAAATAGATGTTGTATAGATACCATATTGTAGTCATATGGTATAATTATAGAAAAGTGTAGGTATAAGTATAATATGCCAGTAATATAAATATGTTTGTTTATTTAACGTGTAAGGACACTGATTACAAACATTCTAAAAATATTTCAACTAAAAATTTATAATTCTTAATAAGTTTACTAATAAAGATGAATATAAACAAAGATAAATTTATGATATGTGTTTACAATTTTAATACTTTACTATTGTTGTAGTAATTATTTCATGATTTTTGCTATTTTCAACTTTTACTTGTTAAATCTTAAATTTGTTATTGAGAAAAATGTATTTATTGGAAAGTTGAAAACATCTATCAACATTATGTTTATAAAAAGGACTGAGTAAATTAATTCCTCTTAGTGTATGAGTGTACTCCACTCATACAACAAAATATTTAAATTTCCCAGAAGGAATAAGGAGTACAAAACCCTTTTACTGCAGTAAATAGTCCTTTCACGCTGGTATTTTTTTACTAACGCCTTTTTCTTCCTGATGAGCCAAAATTAAAGACCTTACCTTCTCGCTGCGTAGAAAGGGCTTTTAGAAAGTACTGCAGCACAAGTACTAAAACAGGCTTACTGATAAGGTCTTCTGAAGTGCTTAAAGCAAAGGCCTTACCTTATAAAAAATCACGTATTTATAATTAATTATATTTATTGAAATTCCAATATATATTATATTATAATAAAATTTATTTAAATTAAAATTATTAATATTTATTTTACTCTAACTCGGGATCAATTGCTTTCTAATTCACTCACGCAGTAATTTTGTTAAAATTTCGCAACTTGCAATAATTTAACTTAACAGAGAAGAGACAGTTGTCTAAATAACAAAGAAATAAAGAAAATGTATGGTTAGCTTAGGTTATACCGTCGATCCCTAAAGGATCCATTTAGGCCTATTGGCCCATTGTGCTAACGTATATAGAGGAAAACTCAAAGTTTAGAACTATCTAAAACCTTTAGCGAAGCTCAGAGAGCGGTTTAGTGGGAGCTCTTGTATCTCAATGAGTATATTGGATTTTCTTTTAGTGGAAAATGGTCACATTGCATACAAATGTCTGCATATCATTGAGTCTTCTCATCTTTTATTGAAAATTTAAGCACAGAGAGAACTCAGTAACATAAATACAGATGTACTCAAAATCAGAACTTGCGTGAATATTTTGAGCACTCAAATGATGCAACATGTCTAAAGCAACGTCTAAAGCAAGATATTAAGAGAGAGTTAAAATAATCAGTCTGGTCTTGACAGTAAAACATAGAAGACGATTGCGGTGTTACCAAAGTATTAAACTGTAAGTACCGGTTTGATAATCCGGAATAGTGCTCTTCGTATTCAGTTTTACAAAGTATTCTGAGAATCTGATTAATCGAATAATCGGATAACTTAGGTTTTTAAAGTATCCGAATAATATGAACAGTACTAGTCCGAAATACCTTCCTATCATTAATGCTTGTTGAGCGAGCGTATTTCTTAATATACTCTGAATAAAGATATTTTAGCCTTAAATTAATGTCTGATTATTTTCGTCTCTTTTTTAATAGAAGCAGTTGCTAACTTAATTATTGTATAATGCATATATCAATCATAAAACCCAAAATTTATTATTTGAAATAAGGAAATTCTTTAAATCAAAACTTTAAACGTCCATCCAAAATGAGTTTTAATCACACAATTTTCCAATCGACTTCAACTGCATTTCTGTATTGCCTTTGAGTTTATTCCTTTTAAATCGATCAAAATCTTCCTAATCCGTTTTCAAAAACAGTTTTTTGAATATTTTTTATCTGCTATATATAAACCTGTGTAGAGAGTTAATATTCTTCTTGTGAAGTTGCAGCTACCGCGTTTCGTTTGTGACATTTTGGTTGGTTTCTATGTTAAGTTGGAGGTTGCAGTTTTTGACGAATTTTACTTTATCATTGGTCTGATTGTAAGCTATCGATTTACATTATTATTCCTTTCAGTTAGAGTACTGTGGGTCCAATTTTCATTGCGGTTTTGTCGTACTGTTTGTAATTTTATTGTGCTCTGTTGTTTATTACGCTTAATCAAATTTTGTTTTGTAACACGACTGATGTACAACTGTTGCAATGTTGCAGTTCTATTAGCCAGATTTTGTGGTATCAACTGACAAAGATATTGGTTTTCATCAGGAAAAAGTTTGTACATTCACCACTACTGGCTGTTGTTTCACTGCTTGTTGCCATAACAAACTTTTTTATGATTCACAATTGGATCAAATTAAAATTGTTAGGCTTTCTTGCAAAGAAGATGTATTTACGAATGAATATATACTAATTTATTGCGATTGTACATTTTTATATAACCGTTACGATACTTGTAAATAGTTAGAAATTAAATACAGAACAAATAATTATAACATTAAATACTTATATATAATTACAAATGTTTTTCGAAATGAATTAATTAATGATTTATTTTCTACCATTGTAATGCTTAATAGATGTAATAATTAGAAAAAGAAAAATCATCTTTCTAATCCTCTTTTTAGATCTGGGAGATAATTGATTACCGAGAGTACAGGTTTGAGACCGCATAGACCTGTAAACCTTTTAAAAAACCAATTTTTTTTAAATGCGACTGTATTTTTTTTCGAATACGAAACAATTTTTTCAAAAACATTATAAATTTCTGATAAGGTGACCTTTAAAACGATGTATTATTATCTAGAAAAATGTGTCTAGCTCCTTGCTTACACCGACGATATCGATATCATTGGGCGTAGCAAACGTAATGTTATACCAGCGTTTGCTGCTACCGAACATAAATATACAAAAATAGACTTAGCAGTGAATGAGGGCAAAACGAAGTATATGTCGGCTACTGGTACATTGAGCTAGTAGCTGAAGACCATATTTTCGATTCTGTCAAGGATTTCATCAGCCTTCACATTGTAGATCAGACGAACAATTACAGTTGCTAATAGGTGCTATAGGTTCAGTAGGCAATTGAGATGTACAGCACTTTCGATACTATAGCAAAAAAAATATTTGGAAAAAGATATTTGGAGCGACAGTTAGAGGATGGAAGGAAGAGGAAGGTCTAAATGTAGACCCAAGTCTATAGTGATCAAGTTGAGGGAGCACTAAACCTCTAACAGAGGCGCCTGGAGAGACATGTTGCGTCTGATCGAAACCCGATAACAGATTGTTATTGGTAAAACTGGGCTGATTAGAATAGAAAGAAACATGTTTATGAATAGCTGGTTTATGGATTATGTGTTCTTGAATAGAAAAATAAACACAAGCAAGAAAAGCAGTACTAACATTAATAATGAATAATGTTATTACTCAAAGGAAGGTTAATTATTTTAGGCATGACTATATAGTCGAACAAGCAATCTTTATACCTAAAGTGTTAGAATAGATTTTTAACTTTTCGCTAAGTACCTGCAGATTCTTCTTTATTTTTAAGTACTCATATATAATATGTGTTTCAAAATTCTTATGCTTATAACAACCTTTACTTCAACCTTTACTAAACCTAGTAATGATAGGATAATCTGCTGTTAAACTGTTTTTGCAAGTTTTTTATTATTGATTGTATATTACAAATAGTCTAACTTATACGCCGAAACAAAAAGAAAATATTTCTCAAAAGAACCCGAACAGAAAGTTTCGTCCTTTCTTTGATAGTATTTTATAGAAATAAATATTTTTTAAAACAAATAACTATTGTCTGTATCCTAACTACAGACAATTTAAACTTACGATTATACATACTCAAAAAAAAATTTATTAAATCATCAACATTTTTATTTAAAGAGAGGTTTCAAACAGTAGTGAATTTTAATAACAAAATTTTTAATTATTTTGAATAATTGAATTTTTGGCTGACCATACAGCTATTTCGAATATTGCCAAATACTCATCATCGGTGGTTTTGGAATTATTTCTTATATTTTAATATACGTAAATACGTTTTGATACTGCATGTACCAAGGGTTCAACTCGTACCCTGCCAAATTTTAAGCTCAGAGTCAGTGTTCATTAGTCAACTAATGCAAAGTCGTACTTGTTTTGTTCTAAGTTAGAGTTTCGTTAATTTGTTATGAAAGTTCATTAACAAATTCATGTGCTGTGTTATATTAGAACGAAATCATAAACGATAGAATAATTAAATTAATTAATTATAGTTATTTTTTTATTGTTAAATTTCAAATTTAGTCTTTTTTATTTCATTTATATTATTTTTATTTAATTAATTTGTGAGTTGTATTATTAACGCATCTGAAACTCTTTGGTTTTTGAAAGCACTCAATTGTAAACTCTTGTAATTATATTTTCTTTACTACAAGAACAAAAAAATTATATTTTATTTCAGTTTTAATTTTATTTTTCAACAAAAAATAATAAAATTTCTCATTTCTTTTCAGCTGCCAGACAGAAGCTCATATGTCCACTGTTTGGAACGTGAAATGAACTTTTTTATGAAAAAATTTGCAGAATAATATATGGTCTGAACAATAATAGTGTATATGTAGGACACCGGTAATAGTTCAAGTTATACATAAAATCAGATATCTTTAAAATAAACGCACTAAAGCAAATTTCGGAGAGTCGCTGAATAAGTTCATCAAACAAAATGAATCTTAAAGTGTATCGCATTTTGAGGCAGATGTTGGTAACATTTGCTTTAATATCAACAGCATCCGCTAAACTACACACTTTAAGTTTATCTGGATATGGCACTGGATTGCTTTCAACAAAAGATTCACATGGTAAGTTATATTTTTTATTGTTACATATGTACGTATTTTATAAATATTCATATGCTTTTATCTTTGAAAAATATTAATTCTTATATAAACACTTTTTGTAATGCATCCATAATACGAGCATGAATAATGAATATATTCAACCCACCTCGTTGAATCATACCATATATGCATTCTTAATAAAATTATACTTTTTTACTGATATAAATAATTTCACACATAGTTTGGTGTTTTATATTGTATTTTGGAGATTTTATTGCATTTGAAGACAGTTTTCATATATAGAAGAGTAAAAAAACAAGTTGATTTCTAAACTGATTACATGAGTTCTTTATAAATCAATAAAATAAATATATAAACTGGGAATATCTATAATGAGTTCAAAAATATTAGCAATTTATTCAAAAAAATCCGAAGTAACCAAAGTCCTAGATCTATTAAAATGTTGGCATAACGAAAATTATCTTAAACTCAGACATTATATTTAATATCTATCAAATATTAAATAAATTTCTAATTTCAATATTATGTGGTCTATATAAATAAATTCCCTTTACTTCTTACCCAAGAGCATTACATGTTTATATTTCAATTAAATAGCAAGAAATTTAAGTTTAAGTTCCATCAACTATTCAAGTTCTCTTGTTCAATAATTGACTGAAATGGATGCTATCTACAAACTAATAGTAGTACTAATTAGTAGATTTCTTTATATAATGAATCTTTACCAATTCCTAAGCTAATTGCATTAGTTAGCTTCGTAATTTACCTTCAGTTTAATTATTGACTACAGTTATTTACTACAGTTAATATTGGTGAAATAACATAATCTTTTTCTATTCTATTAATATATCTCTAAAAAAAAAAATTATTTATATATGCACTGCTTTGGTCTCCAGAAGAAAATGGTTTTTAGGAAGGTATTTCCTGCACAGCTTATCCGACTGTTCATCGGTAAAGACAAGAGTCCTTTTGAATTATCTAAATTCGACAGGATGGATTTAGTCTGGACTCTTCTATTTTTAGGGGTTTTTGCGCAAAATGTGGTAGTGAAACATCACTAGGTGAAGTATATGGAAAGTTATCTGATCGCCTGCCACTGCAACCAAACAACTATATGTATATATATACTAGGTGGATTGATATGTAGCCGACCTAAGTAATAAAGACGTGTTTTTTTTGGAAAATCATATTTTATGCTTCAATATAGTTTTTTTTAGCTCGATACACTGAGTCCAACGATCTTTCAATATTTGGTTACCTTTTAAAAAATACGATTTATGAAGTGCTCCAGAATATACTTCATTTTCCCATTCCACTTTATCATTTGATGCAAATCTCTTTCTCTGAAGCTATCTTTTTAAGTTTAGAAGGAGGTTATAAACACTGGGAGCCAAATCTGAAGAATACGGTGGATAAGAAAGCAACTCGTACCGAAATATCATTTAATTTTGCCATTGACGTATTGACCTATGAGCGTTAATGCAAAATTAAAAAATTTTTCTTTAAATTTACTGCATCTGCTTTTCTTTTATTAATTTTTAATTTACCATAATTTGTGGAACTTTGTCTTTTTTCAACTTACAACGTTTCTAGGCAATATTTTTGAATATGGTATATAATAAAATTTATTATTATTCATTTTATGAAAACAGTACTTCTTTTTTTAAACAGTTTAATAAAAAGTTTTCTGATAGATTTTCAGTTCCCTTACAATATAACTGCTTATTTATTGTTTTTTTTCAAAATTTAACCATAATTTCAATACTACATGATAATCCATACGCCCCTTCCTACATTGATATATTGACTAAAGCAGGAAATGTAATTTCCTGCCAAATGATTGTAATACATTATCTGCTTTTGTGATAGAGAAAATCTTTCTACTCATCCATGTTATATTCTTTCAGTAATCTTGAGAGCATTATACAAAAGTGCATGACTTTAAATATTTTCTCCAATGTTTAGATCAATTTTAATAATAACTGGTTTTTTATTTCTATTTATTTATTCATTAATAATGATTATTTATATCATTATTACTAACATGTATATATATAGCTCTGGCTACTGAGAGTTTCAGCTACGTGTGATGACAATTTGATAGTAATTGCTTATAATTATATAGGTATATAGGATGTTTACACAATATAATACTATAATATGTATACTTATATTGTGTTATATTAATAACATACGTATTTATTGCTCTACAACTAAGAAAATAATTGATTTTATTTCATAACTATATATATGATCTGCCTATTGTACGAACATAAATTGCCTTCATCTCTGTTAAGTCGTTAATATCTTATTTATATAGGTATATATAACATATTTTTCAACTTTTAATACTTTTATTTATTTGAAGGCACTTCCACATAATGTCATCATCATTTAAATCATCGTCATCATTTAAATAACCATTAGTTCATTTAATTACTTATACTTAAATTACTCATACGCACTGTGGACCTTTCGCACTCATGTGCTTGCCATTATTCGGTTTTATTTATTTTTTGTCATTTCACTGCTATAGTAAAAGAGTTTATCTGGATTATTTTAGTGTTGATATGTTTCAGTTTGTAATACTTATTTAATCTTTTAAAAACATTGCGGAATATACTCAATTAAAAAATTTAAAATTATTTTGTTTTTAAAGGAATTTTGTTTAAAACTTAGTTTTTACTTAAATTGAATAAAATTTATAATCGTCTTCAGGAATTTCGATTTTGTTATTATATATATCATTGCAATTTATAAGTGCTAATATTTTGAGACAATAAAACTTATATTGGTAAATTCCTGTGGTATTCAAATATTTAAAATTATTTCAATCAGAAGAGATGCTTTATGCAGTATTTATACGAACATTAAAGCTCCGTTAAAAAACGGAATACATGAATCGTTATTATCCTTTATAGCTTTATTTGTTGCTTTTAACTTTATATTTCATCATTTTTATATTAGTTGTTCTACGAAATCTGTAATTATCATTAATTTTTCAGTAGCAGGTTTTTCATGTTTCCTGAATAATCCCTGAATTTTTCAACAACAAATAGTTGCTCTCTCGCTTGCTGGGATTTAATTTAAATGCTTTCCTTACATATTCTTAAATACTCTAAAATATTACATTTTTTTCCGCTTTTAAAATTTATCTCACATGGATTAAAGTTGAAAACACAAGTTTTCAAAAAAGATATGAATGAAAACTCTACCACAAAATGAAACGATACACATGAAACCATTTATAAGTAGCTTAAAAATAGTAAAATATGATAAAGTAAAGCATAAATGATGTAAATAATGATATGAACTTATGTATTCGAGCATTAACGCTGCATAAACATTGACGGGTGCAAACATAGCACTTCACTGTAGGTGCTTTTTTAAAACATTTAAAGTCAATGGCAGTCAAGTCTTTCAACAGCTATTCAACCTTTTTTTATCAAAAAACAAAGACTATTATGTTACAAATCCATCTACAATTACCCTTTATCATCTTTGAAATGAGTTAAACTTAAGAAAAAAAACGCACACAACAGACTTTTAACAGCTGTTAAAGTATTAAAGCATACAGAATGTTTATTCAATATAATATGTTCCTGACTAAGATGTTAAAGATGTTTAACGAATAGAACTCAACTTCTTTAAAATAATTTTAAGCTTGCAATTTATAAGAAGTCGAATGAAAATAATTTATGCATCAGAGAGATCTATTCAAATCATCCAAAATTTCCAAAACAAAGTTTTAAGAAATTTATTCAACGCTCCTTGGTTCATTATAAATACTAAACTCCATCGGGATTTGAAGATCGATTCTGTGGATGCAGTAATACAAAAGTTTACGAGACAGCCCACCATCTGTCTAATACATCTGGCCTGTTGAGGAGACTTAAACGAATTATGCCTTGCCGAATTAGTAGTCTAATAATAATTTAGATTACTACTCTATTAGCACTAAGTCTTTGACAACTTGAACTATTGTGTTTTATTGTATTGTATTTCAAATAATAAAAAGAAAAAGAAAAAGAAAAAGAAAAAAAGAGTGATCAAGTTGGACAATAACTTACTTCTTATATTCTTAGAAGGTGAAATGAATCAGCAAGATATAATGAAGTCTTGTGAATAGTGTCAATATAAATTTATTATCATTTATTTAGGACTGATTTAAGACAATTTTTCCATGAGCAAAAATTAAATTTTTATGCAAATAAATTTTTGGGCTGATCATACAGCTTTTTCGGATACTGTAAAATATTTCTTATCAGTGGTCTGTATAAAGATCTTTTGGCTTTATTGTCTACATAATTTTAGGACTATTGGCATCTGGTGTTGGACCTCATCAAATTTCAACCGTGAACTCGATTCAACCAAGCAACTTATATTTAATTTTTATTATTCAAATTTGGACTTTTTGTAAAAATAATTGCACTTCCAGTGTTGCATTTATAATTAATGCATAAACCGCAGTTACATAAATTTACCTAACCATTATGAATTATAGTTGCTTATAGACAATATTTTTGTAATGATTTTTATATATTTTTTTATCCGGCTATAGGTCACTTTTTGCTAAATAATTCAATGTTTGTTTAATATATTTTAATATATTTTATATTTTGACTCTCCTTGAGAGTCTTCACAGGATCACGATCTAACATTAATATTACTAAAACTATATCTACGTCATCCTCTTTATTCTACTGTCTATATTTTTGAATACTTAATTTAGATCGCTTGCATTCTGCAAGATTTTGTTTAAAGAATTTTAAATATTGTCAAACTTTACTTTGACCGCCGAATTAAAAATATCTTAACTATCGTCACTTTTTATATTCGAGCATAGATTTTTTCACAAAGAATATAAAATTTTGAATTTGAAGTATTTAAAAAATGAGACTTTAGTTAAGTCTCTGATTTACCTTACCAGAATTTACTAAGAAGAGACACCATATTTGTCCTTTCATAGCACTATAGTAATGATTTGATTAATAGCTATTTCTGTAAAATTAATAGCATATTCACATAGATAGAAAGATAGATTTAAAACAGGTTGGGAACTCACCACGTCACTGCATCCTTTGAAGATTAATGTGACACTGCTACTCCTCCATAGACGAGTTAAGAGCTCCATTATGTTGCCTAATTCCGTTATAAGTGGATAGACAATTGATAAGTATCGAAGTCTAAGTCTGACGAGACTATCACAGTGACACAGAATGTGTTCTGTTGTTTCCTCTTCTTCGCAACAAAGTCTGCAGCTATCGTCTCTTGTAATACCTAGTTTCGATAGATGATTATTTACTCCACAATGTTCAGTGAGAAATTCTGTGACAAGTCGAATGCCATTTCTGTTCAGCTTTAGTAGCTTCCTAGTACTGGCTTTTGATCGATTCGGCATGAATTGTTTAGCTTGTCTGCAGTCATATAAAAAGAGAATCCTATTCCGCAGGCACATAGTAAAAGAGAATCCTGTTCCCATTAACAAGAATAAACATAACATTTTTACTAATTATAATCTGTTCTTAGGAGATCAAGAAAAGCGTACGATATATAAGAACAGACCAATATGGAAGGATACATAAATTAAAAAAAATACTTACTAATCATAAAGCGCAATTTAAGAAAATCTAAAGCAGTTGCTGACACTTACTTCTCTAAATCAGATTTGGAACATAAATATACCAAACTCATAATCTGTCAGTAGGTTATGAAGATTAACTAGTCTCTTATGAATATGCGATAATATTAAAATAACTCTAAGTTTTTACAATCCGCTGATGGCTTTAGATCTTATTTGTATATATGTTAATTAATTTTGTCTTAAGAAATTTAAATCATAAAAAATAGTCTATGTGAGTTATATTATATCTCATATTCTAAAACTAACTCAAGCATTTATTTTAAAAGGCAAGTAGAATTTGAACAGCTTACACGCTGTGAAGTATCTACGTCAAAAACGCATAATATCATAATTTTGAAATAAATTTCTAAACTATATAATTAATATTATATCTAACTATAACACCATTTTTTTTTGATACTGGAGAAACAATAGTTTCTGAATAGTTTCTTCTTCAATAATTTCTTAATATAAAGTTCATTTATATTTCCAAAGTTCATATAATAAAAAAGAAAGTCATCCGTAGTTTATCTTTTATTATATCACAGCTACAAAACCTTTGCAAACAAAATAATACGTAGAAGAATTTAAATAGAAATAAAAAGACAAAAACAAAAATTTAGTTGATTTATTGAAATTTGGCAGATCAGGCAATGCCAATCCGAGTATTACCAAGTACTCATTATTAGTGGTCTTAGGAAATATTTGAATTTCTTCTTAATAAGTTTATAGTCCGTATATAATATTTTTGGACTGCAAGTACCAGGCTTAGAATACGTGCCTGTAAAATTAGAAGCGATGATTAATCGCGTTTTTCCACAAATAGCCAAGGATGCATAAAACTTTCACTTCTCAAGTTCCAAGTTGTTTGTCTTTTTTTTCCATTTTAGGTGACACTAACCAAAGCACTTCCTGTACTTTTAATTTGAACAAATCTATAAACTGCAGCTTTATATGGAAAGTAAAATTTTGTGGTTGCCTATTTTTATTTTGAAGCTATTCTTTTTGAGAAAACATCTATTCTGCATATTTTTATTTACCATATATAAAGCGCCTAGTTTGGGTGCAATATTTTAAAGAAGCTACGCAAATGTTACTCTACAAGTTCGCTAATCGTGATTAGAAAACCTGAAAATAAAACTCATTCTATATATTTCTTTCAATTACTACACCAAACAAATCTTATTGTGATATATATAAGAAATAATATAAATTATAAAAATCTATTGTCTGCTAAGTACTCTTTGTCACTTAAAAAAAAAATATTTAAAAAATTTTGTTGTCTACCATCAATTCAAAAATAATAGAAAATTTTTAATCCAAAATTCGACTTTACTTAATAACATAGTCTTCATTCAAGAATAAATGAAAAGATATCGATAACATTTCGAAATCATTTTTATAGAACTATTTATCTGAATCCTCGAAATAAGCTTCAGTTTCGAAAATCTCTGTCCTACCACAAAGTATCCTCTTAAAATCTGAAATAAAGTCACAGTCGATTTGTTAAATGGTATATAGTTTTGTTGAAAAATATTTAATTTCTATCTTCTTTTTCTGGGTGTACCGATAGGCACATCATATTTTTTTTTCTAAAAGCAATCGATGAGTAAAATATATCACACATCCTAAAATGCAATCATCAAAATCTTTTTAACTGACATTTGCATTCTTGTTAGCTTTGGACGGCCTTCGATGATTTCTATACTTTCAGTTGAGTCGGTTTGACTCAAGTATAATAATAGATTCATGTGTCATACATAATCATATAAAAATACGGAGACATTTTTTTTATTGCACTAAAACAGCTCCATACAACACTCTGAAGAGACGCATTTTTGTTTTTGATGAACTACGAGAAATGCAATATTTACTTCCAAAGGAATTTTCTGATAAACAAATTTTTTTGCAAAATTCAAAAATATTTTTGATGTGTCAGATTTAAGCATCGAATTTCGACTTCCAGAGTGTTCAGTATTTTCGGTTCATATATATTCGTCTTAAAACTCAGTACATAACAGTCATTGTTAGATTTAATAGTATTTTTTCCACATGAAATTTAAATTTTTCCATTGTTTTAGAAATAAAATAAAACAAATAGTGAAAAGTAACATCACTATAACCCATGACACTTGTCAATTAAAATCCCTATTATCTTGAAATTTTGACACATCTCGTTTAATGCCATTCTGTTAACATCATACGATTTTTACAATAGGAACGTCATCTATTGAAATTCGTATTAACTTATGAAATGCTTAAATAATTTTGAAATTTTTTTCGAGTAAAATTATTATTAATTTTTTAATACCTCATAGTATAAAGTAAATGGAAAGACATGCTTACATTACTTGTATTTAATACAAATTCAATGCTATCCGAAAAATCTGTTGCTATAATGTGTAAAATATAGTTTATGTATAAGCTATAAATAATTACTTAATATACTAATACTATTGTCCTATTATTAATACTTTTATTATCCTATTCCCCCAGTGGGACATAGGACCTCAATAATTCTTTTAAATCTGTTATCATTCCATATATATCGTGCTTTAACTAGAAGCACTGTTCCTCTCCACATTTTCACTGGCGCAATTACTTAATATAATCAAATTCATTTATTTTTTATATAACATAGAATCATATATTATTTGATAAAAACTAATTGATTATTTTAACAAAAACACAAATATAAAAAAATTATTTTAACAAATATTTGCACATTAATTTATTTCTTCTAGTTAAGTCAAAGGATATAGACGCTGTTGAAGGCAAATCTGTTTCATTGCCATGTCCATTGTCATCACCCTTAGACGATGTATATATGGTTTTGTGGTTTCGTGATAATGCTGGCATTCCTCTTTATAGGTAAATATATATATATATAAATTACATATATTAAGAGTAGTTCTCATGTTTTATTCTCCACTTCGTTTAGTTTCGATTTAAGAGATAAATTGAGTTCTGAAGGTCGACATTGGTCAGCTCCCGAAGTGTTCGGTTCACGTGCCAAATTTAATTTCGATACTGATCCAGCGACATTGGAAATTAAAGTAAGCGTATATTTCCAAAATGTACTAGATGAACGTCAGTTAGTACATTTATAACTATAAATAAATTATTATTTTATTTACAACTTAATACCTTTAAATAGTTAGAGACAAAAAAAAGTTATCTTACTTCACTTTTATATATTAAAAAACATTTTTTTTTTTTGAGTATCATATATATTATAGTACTTATGAAAGTTGCAAATAAATCATATAATCCAACTTTATTTTTAACAACTTATATAATAATATTACTTCACAAAAGAATCTAAATACTTTTTCCATATATCGTAAATATGGAAATAATAACCATATTATATAAGACAAATATAACGATTTATTTTTCATTTTAAACACTAGGATATTAAGCGCCACGATCAAGGAATATATAGATGTAGAATCGATTTCCGTACTAGCCAAACGCAGAGTTTTCGTTTTAATTTATCAGTAATAGGTGAGCGACAAAGAATTTACACTTGTGTATCAATAATTAATTTTATATAATATATATAATATTTTTTTATTTAAAATACTTATATATACGTATTTTAACAGTTCTTCCAGAACAACCAATCATACTGGACAGATGGGGAAGACAATTAAATGGCACGAAACTTGGCCCAAAGCAAGAGGGAGATGATATTGTGATCACGTGTAGAGTAGTTGGTGGTAGGTTAATTATTTATACATATATATGTGTATTTGCATTATTATATAAATTAATTCATAATAATTTGTAAAAATTTAGAATAATTTCATATTATTTATAGTTTTCACTATTGATAATATGTGATCAATATTATCACAAAAGTTTTATTTATCAAATATATTTTATAAAATTGTTTTAAAATTAATTTTTCCACTCTAGGGCGGCCACAACCCCAAGTTAGATGGCTTGTCAATGGACTACTTGTTGATAATCAATACGAACAAAATTCTGGTGACGTTATAGAAAATCGTCTCCTTTGGCCTTCTGTTCAACGTACAGATCTCAATTCTGTTTTTACATGTCAGGCTCTTAACACACAATTGGATAAACCAAGAGAAAAAAGCTTCTGGCTTGATATGCATTGTAAGTTTAACATACATTATATATAATAGTTAAAGAAAATTGTTTATACCATCATAAAAAATAAGTATTATCATCTAACAGCAGTTAACAACACAATATTTAAAAACATATATATTATTTACTTACTGTTCATTCAAAAATTATGTTCCACCCTTCAATAACACCCTTATTTATTTAACTGGGTGTACTTACGGATGCAAACTGTAGATTCTGTGAAGGGAAAGAGGAGTCGGCCACACATGTGCTGTTAGAATGCCTTGCGCTAATGCACATAAGAAATAGGCTCCTAAGAATGTATATTCTTACGGAAGAGGCAATAAAACTCTGTAAAGTAGGTTCGCAGTGCTACATCCCCTAACAATAATAATAACACCCTTATTTATTTAAAAATATATTGAACCAAATATAAGGTTAGAACTTGAAATGATAATACAAAATAGAAATATTGTTAGAATGAAATTTTTTTATTATATGATTTTCATATATCGCATATGATTTTCTGCATATATCTGCCACTTCTACAGCTACGAGTTACATGGTTCATTCGATCATACTAATTTTTGACTATTTTTTGCCATAAATGTGGCCGTATGGCATCAATGATGGCATGAACATTAACACATTGGCTTCCAATGGTTCAAGAATTACTGATTCGTCGACATAAACCTATAACTTAACATTGCCTAATAAAAAGTAATCGAGAGGCGTTTAATCACACGAACGAGAGAGACAGTTAACAGGACCACATCTTAAAATAAAGTTGTAGTCAAATTGATATTCCAATAAATCGATTGTTAAGCGCTATGCATGGCACGCCGTCTTGTTGGAAATTAATGTCATCGATTTTAATTGACATATTTTTGGAGACAAAAATTCAGTCAGCATGGCTCGATAGCGCTTGCCATTCACCATAACGGCAGCTCCTTTCTCAAGCCAACGTGTTAACCGCACCAATATATTTTAATTGCTGTGATGGTTATTCGTTAACGGTTTAAGTATTATCTTCGCTCCATATATAGCATATATGCTCCATATATAGCATATACGCTCCATATAACATTACTTTTTTCAAGAAAAATGTTTCAAGAAATATTAAAACGGTATTTTATCCATTTCTATTATAGTCCATAGACGCTTATCTCAAACGCTTATCTATTTTTAATTTTCGATTAAAATTTTTTATATTAAATTTTTTAAAATTTTTCGAAATATAATTTAACTTTAATTTAAAATAAAAAAAATTATTCCCTTAAATTCTGTAAATTTACTTCAGTAATTCGCTTTATAACTAAGTTTTATTATAGTTTCGAATATTTTTAGTGAATATTATTGATATCTTATATTTATTTATTTTATTTCCAGTAAAACCATTAACAGTTAAAATAATAGATCCTCCCTTATCGATGGTTGCCGATAGACGCTATGAAGTTGTATGTGAGTCTAATGGTTCCCGTCCAAATGCCATTATTACCTGGTATAAGGGTAAACGTCAACTTCGTCGTACAAAAGTATGTAATATTTTTATTAAATAATTTTTTAATTTAGCAAATATCACATAAAATCAAATATAAACTTAATGAAAACGCATATAAAAATATATAGCGTCTATAATATATATCTGTGATAAAAAATACTTTAAATTTCTTATAAACTAAATTTACAAACTTTATACTTCTAAACTAATGATGTACGTACAGGGTGCATAGGGGGTGTTTTATTTTAACATCGGTAGATGACTTCTCGGTTCAATTGCACACAATCGTATCGGAGGAGCAGTTCCATTTTCAATATTAACCGAGATATAAGGAGTAAAATATTCTTTATGAACTTATATATCCACATAAGTTTTTTTAACAGTTTTTTTTAAATGTTTTTTTAAAACCGTAATTCTCTTAAAACCTTTTTAGTTTTTTTTTATTTTTAATATATAATAAAGTGTAGTTTGTTATAAGTAATTAAATTCTATTGTCTACAATTAATTGTGCTTTAATTTCATATTTTATTGGCATTAATAATGAATATATAGGTACATGCTGGAAAGCGTTTAATCTCCTGGCTAGACGTTTGATTCGAAATATACTGTTCTACAACTCTAGTTGGTTTTCATTTTTTAATCCAAAATATCTTTCATTATTGTCTATAGCAGGGTTGTCTAGACCAGATGCAATCGCGGGCCAATACAAATCACTGTACACATTGGAGGGCCGCAGAAACCAATACATACGTTCATAGTTCTTTTCGATTAATATTTAGATACGGTTATAATATTAATTTTAATTTTATTGATTTATCAATTTAAATTAAATTAATTTAAATAATGTAGTTTTACCAGTAGACCAAAAGAAAATTGTAGTAAATTACAAACATGTCGCGGGCCACACAAACATTAGACGTGGGCCGCATGTGGCCCATGAACCTCTTTACAATTACAAAAAATTTTACAGATTTCAATAAATTATAATACGAATACACTACCACCAATAACTAAATGCTAATCATTAAAAGAAATAATGTTTATTAAAAATATAAGAATTAATATTTTTCACCAGATAAAAATATCTGTGTTTCTATTAACAGACTTAATGTGGCTTAATGTGGCTTCTGGGTGTTTAGTTTATACCATATGTGTGATTAATGATACGTTGTAGATTGAACGGTGATCAAACGGTCGAAATTTTAAAACTCACTTATGTAATATGGCGTATTAGAATATAGATATATAGAATATAGAATATAGAATAGATAAAACTAATTAAGATAAATTTATTATGTCATTTTTTTTTTACAGGATGAGGTTTCTAAGAACACAACAAGATCAGAATTAAGTTTTGTTCCCATAACTGATGACGATAATAAATCAATTACTTGTCGCGCAGAAAACCCAAATGTGAACGGCTTATATCTAGAAACCATGTGGAAATTGAATGTCGTGTGTAAGTACTAAATTTATATGAAATAAATTAAATTAATATATTTCAATATAATAAAATATTAGATTGATGTATAAGCATATAACAGTAATCAAACAAACTAAAACTTTATTAAAATATATATATACCTATTTTAATTTTTCAAGGCATATATGTACTCTCAAAAATAGTTATTCAATATTATACAGATTCATATTATGAATTTATTACATTCATGAATAGACAATTAAAGTAAATACATAGATGTTAGACGTCGAATAGCAAAGAAAAGACAAGGACAAAAATTTAATTTAATTAATTGAAATTTAGCTTAAATACATGTTTCGAATATTGTCAAGTACTCATCATCAGTGGTCTTAGGTAATATTCGAATTTCTTAATTAGTTTATAGTCCGTATATAATTTGTTTGGACTGTAAGTATAACAAAAGTTTTGGCTTTGCAGAACTTTCAACACTCTTCACACAAACAATAATAGAAAAAACTGGTTACATTTTTTGATTATATTTTTTTTTGCAAGTTTTTTACTTCAGAAAATCTAATCAATCATAACCTAATCAATCATGTTATGATTCATTTTCGGCAGTTATTTCAAATGGGACTATGTGGTATAGTAAATTTTACTGATTTCTAGAATCGATTTGCCTGCATTCAAAAACATTTTCTGACCAAAATTGCATTCGATAATCTCAACAATTAAGTAACTCCAAATCAGAATATATACATCAACTGAGGCTTTGGGTCAGTTGGGTATTCAACACTGACTCTAAGCTTCAAATTTAGCAAAGTACGAGTTCAATCCTTGATACTTCCCGTCTCAAAAATGTATTTATAAGTAATTATATATAAGAAATATATATATATTTCCAAAAACACCATTGATACTCCAAACAGTTGTAAGGTCAGCCAAAAATTCAATTAATTAAAAATAATAAAATTTTGTTGTTGCAATTCACTACTATTCCAAAAAAAACAGTAGTAATTTCTATAAAGAAAATTATTTCTATCATCACAACCTTTTTTTTTTAGTATGTCTATTCTAATTATTGAACCTCATTTATAAGAAGATTTACAATAAATATTCAAATCTAAACTAAACTAAAGCAAACAAATTAACTGACAACTATAGTTGGAGTTAATTGATAATAATTAAAGTTATTTTATAAAATAAAAAATTTTAATTAAAGTAAATTAAAGTTTAAATTAAGTTGATAATTTAATAAATATATGAAAAAAAGAAAGAAAAAAGAAAATCACTGCATTAGTACGTCTTTTCCGCGTAATCTTGAAGAAGGCCGGGTTAGCAGTAGATTCCTTGCAAGGTGGATCGGATGAATTTCCAAGTTTTTGTTTGTACTTGCATTTGATTTTAATAAGTTCATCTTTGATGAGTGGTATTTTCAAGTCTTTAGGATCTTCAGATCTTAATTTAGAGAAGGATTTTGGATTGAATCATCACAAATGACTTTAAAAATTAAATTTAATATATAACTATTTACTTTAAAATAGTAATCCTTCTGATTCTCCTGAGAAAAGTGCTTGTATATATGAATGTTATCTATGCGACAATTTAATATATAAATCAATCAATGATTGCAACAAGAAGCTACAGATTCAATAACTACAAATATAATATCATCAATATATGTAATTTGCAATATCATGGATAGATACAAGTTATTAAAAATAAGCGCTATGAAATTCACTTATTTTTTAAGTTAGCCCTTTCTATTTTCCTTAGATTATAACTAACTAGTTAAAATAAATTTGCTCGTCTAGCTTTCATGTGAAATAATACTTCTAAATCTAGAAAATCTAATAAGATCCATTCTATTACGGAATAATTAAAGGTATCAGCAAAATCAATAGGAGTAGAGAATGAAAAAAAACTAGGTAGAATAATACATCACTCAAAGAGTTCACAGGATGCCAAAAATAATATTTATACTTGTATCTTATTTTGTTTTTATCTTATTTTAACAACAATTTCAAAGTATGAGAGATAAGTTATTATTTGTGGTGATATCAAAAACTTTTCATATTTTCTTCTGAATATGCAATGTTTTAAATACAAATATACTTGAAACACTGCAATTCTTTTACTTAAGTATATCATTTTATTATTATTATTAAATTGTGTATATTATTATTGTTGATATATATTATTAAAAAAAAATTTTTTTAATCTTTTAGATCCTCCGCTTGTGACGTTACGATTGGGTTCAACTCTATCCCCTGATGACATTAAAGAAGGAGATGATGTCTACTTTGAATGTCACGTGCAGTCCAATCCACAATGGCGAAAACTACTATGGCTTCATAATGTAAGTAAATGGTGCTTCATATAGCTATGGTTTTATTATATTAAATAAATCAAAAATAAAAAATTTAAAACTTTTTAAATTACCTATAGATGTTTTAAGTGATGAGAATGAAAGTTATACATTATTAATACTTATTTATATACATTAAATGTATAGGTATATGCAAAATAAATGAAGTTAATGGTGAGATTTTAAATCTAATCAGTTCTATGGAGTAAGAAATACTTGTAATTAATCTATTAATAATCGTAGTAAAGGTCTTAAAAAATTCCCAATTAAATAATAAAACCTTGATTTTGTGTTAACCACACAAACCACACAAATGTAATGTAAGTTCAAATATATATTTGTCTAAAAAAAAATATATATATATCTAATAATATTATATTATTAATATGTTCCAAGAAAAGCAACATCAGGTTATACGTACCAGTTTTAGCGCTATAGAGTTTAATTCAAATTTAATTTTAAAGATATTAATTATTCTACAAATGTTCAAAAAAGTTTTCAGCCATTACTGCTTCTATAAATTCTTTCACTTCTAAATAGTTTATTATATTAAAACCTTTCAAATATAACTTACGGCAGATAACACTAATTTGACACGAGTTTTTACCTTCCCAAACAACACGAATAATCACATAAGGCCTAAGAAAAATGGTCAATCAATTTGAATCTTAAATTTTTAAATATTAGTCAGGCAGTTGACTATATGAGTGGTATAACTGACTGATATGAGCGATATCGTCTACACAATGAATAACTGTAGCATATACACCTGACCATAGCTGGAATATATTGTCTTTATGTAACATAACAAGAAGTTTTTGTATGCCGGGACTTTATCTCTGATTAAACTATTCAATTATTCTATTAATATTGCTTACAATGCTCTAGTGATCCTGTAATTCATTTGGTGGTGTAGCTTCAACCAACTGCTTTACGAATCACCACACAGCGTTTTTCTATCTTTTTTAATCCTCTGTCTTCAAAGCCTTCAGTTCTTAGGTATAGTGATAGATCTACAGCTATAAAAAATTTATAGTCTTAGATCAAACATTTTTGAAAAGGTTTTAGCGGAATTGTAAAAATTCTGAAAATCTGAACATTTTTGCTTTTTTGGTTTAAGAGTAACACACAGGGCATCAAAGAGTTGCGATCAAAGAGTTTTAATACCTACAGATGACGTCTATACAGGTATATACCTGTATAGATGTCATCAACTAAGTTGGTATGATCACATTTAACGTGGGTGTCTACCACGTTTTTCTTGTTTTATATAATGATGCGAAAACTCCCTAAACTTTATATACTTTGGACGTAATATATAACGCCATATTATTTTTTATATATAAAAATTGATTTACTTCATGATACTTGTTTAGATTTTAGATTTTGCAGAGTTTGGCAGTAAATCTACATAATGTCAGCATGTGGATACTATTAGCAATATTTAATATACATAAAAAATATAAAAGAATTTAAAAAAAAAAAAAAAATTTCTTATATATTTATATATATATGCAGTTTATTTTTAAACATATAAATTATTGTTATATATAGCATTTAAAAAAATACAATAATTATCTTTTGCAAAAGAACAATAACATTTATATAAAAATAAAATTCAATTATATATTAATTTTTTTGTTTTTTATATAAAAGTTAAAATAATTTTAATTTTATTTTTTTAAACGAATTTTTTTTAAAACACAGTCAATTAAAATATGTGAAATATTGTCCGTACACTTCCTATAGTGTTTCCAATTTAGTAAATATTATAATACAATACATAAAAAGTATTGAAATTGGAACTTTTCAAGACCGCGGTCACTGACGCGTAGTTAAAGGTACTTTGATGAACATTTTATGATACGATTGTCGTTTTTATTACTTTCAGATTAAAGACTAAACATAATATAAACAGGCAATCAAAATCAGGGATGCTCATGAATGTGCCTATGACTCAATCGGAGATACTGCAACATTAAAGTACCTGATAACTCGTACAAGGGCCAGTAATATTTTTTGTAATATATAATCAATTTTAAACTTTAGGCACTTAATTTATTTATTGAGTTCTTTACCTGAATATGGACAATAATTTGTAAGTCAATGTCGAACATGTAAAAATATTAGTGATTCAAAATGTATAAAAAAAATTACTGTTTTTCTGCAAAGGATAAAAATTGTTTTATTTTTATGCAAATTTATATATTTATATGTAAATAATAAATATTAAATTATTTCACTTGTATAAATAATTCACTTTTTTCTTATACATCACCTATTCGCATCTTCGAAACCTGAATCATATATTATATATTTAAATATTTATATATAATTTCCATTGCTTCCAGGGCATGCAACTAGAGCATAATACTTCGGCTCGCGTCATACGCTCTAATCAGAGCTTGGTGCTGCAGAAAATTACGAAACACTTTGCCGGAAATTACGCTTGCAGTGCTATTAATGACGAAGGGGAAACCGTAAGCAATCAACTACTTCTACGTGTTAAATGTAAGTAGTCCCTTGAGGACTTTATACCAAATTAAGCCTTACAATATGTATTCACATAATAAAATAAAAAAAAAATAAACGGAGAATGAAATCGTCACCCTTGCAAAGAACCAAGACTTTCTTATGTTATCACATGGAATATTTTCCTTGGGTTATTAAGTTTCCTTTTCAAAAAACAATTGTAATTTAACAATAATTTAATAATTGTAAATTTTTAATTGTAAAAAATTCATTTGATCTAAATGACAATTATTTACGCAAAAATCTAGTGCTTCAAAGCAACCTGAAACAGATCCAATATTAGATGGAAAAATCATCTTTAGCGATGAAGCTCATTTCTGATTAAATCCCCGATAAAAACAGTTTGATGATGTTTATGACTTGGAAAATTAATTGGACAATTTTTTTTGATAGAGTATTCGTGTATTTGAAAAGAGTATTCGTGACTTAAATCAGACAATTTCTATTTGAACTATATTTAATTTTAACAAGATGATGCAACGTACCATATATCTCACGTCACCATCAATTAAATGAGAGACTAGTCAATTTTCAATATTAACCAAATTGCAGGATATCGAAAAAATTCATATAAATAAAATAGCTGCTGTTGAAAAGCCCTGAATATTTCAAAAATGGTTAATCCAAATAATTTAAGTAATAATCTAATTTATAGTAAATTCAATTTTTTAATTAATTTAAAGTTGAATATATCTTTCTGAAATTAGAATAGCTCCAAATTAATTTTTTATTTTCAAATTAAGTAAACTTTTTCAAATATTTTCAAAAAATTTTATCGTTTACAAAATATTGTAGATCAATATCACATTATTAACATATTTTGTAAAAAAAAAATTGACGTCTATCACGCAAAGTTTCCCTGTAATTGACTTCTTGATTAAATTACTTCTATTATCAACGTATCTAACACAACACACTTCAAGGTATCTAGTCCTAGGCATCTAAACTCCTAGGCATCTAAACTCCTAGGCATCCTAGTTGTCAAAAATTAAGAAAAATGCATTTGACTTAGTTAAAAGAGACTTTACCCAGCAATAGGTTAAAAAAAGCATATTATGAAAAATACATTCATTGCATTAAAAAATTTTTTTAATTGTTAAATAGAATAAAATCTGTATTCTGCAAGGGATTTAAAGATCTACAAATATAAATTAGTAGGAAAACATTGTCAGGTGACGATATAATTGATTAACGCAACCATTTTTTCGATTCTGATGATTGAACTACAGTTCACGCAAACGAAAAACAATTGACAAATATTTCGTTTGCAGTAAACGAAATAATTATCTGTAGTAATATTTTTACCTCTTCTATTTACCATGTAATAGTGTATTTCAAAAGTTTAGAACATTTGATATTCTTTATAATTTTACTATTCTCTTGAACTGACATCAGCAAATATACTCTAAATTTCACTAAATAAAATTGCTCCACAGTATAAGACATAATCTCTTTCAGATACGCCTATTTGTAGGCACTTGGATCGCGTTATACTAATTGGCGCATCTAAAGACGAAACTGTTGAAGTTCCTTGTGAAGTTCAAGCCGATCCACCACCAAGGTAAATTTTTTAAAAAAACTTTTAATCAACTTTTAAAATATATATTTATAAAGCAATTTGTTTAAAAATTTACTATTATTTTGTTCTTAAAAGTTATGTTATGAGTAGTATAGTCAAAATAAAATATTTAGTAAGCTTTTTATCGTTATGTAGTTATAATGTGTTTTCGGAAAAGTATTCCTGCTAGTTTTACTGTTTCCAACAAGTATATTTTTAATATAATCCATACAGTTAAGTCATTCTATATAAATTTTCGGCTGTATCTTACAGACTGGAGATCTAGCTAAATGTTGAACGATATTGTCTTCGTTGTAATAATTTAAACATTATCTATTATTGTTTGCACCTATATCTGAGCTATTTTAAGAAAGAACTGATTAACCCAATTATATAAAGTGATATAAAAATGTGATGTAAACATTTTCTAATCTAATAATTAATCCATAATTAAATATTTTTTAATATTGAAAAAATTCTTCAGTATGAATTAATATATTTACACTTTAAATAAGTTCAACTGATATCGTATAACAAATCCGTTAAACAGTTAAATAAAAAAGTTATGGTTTTTTATAAATTTTTTAATCTGGCTGTAGGTCCCTGCTTGTTAAATATTTCAATGTTTAATATTTATTATTATACTCTATATTTCGACTCTCATTGAGAGTCATCCAGTCTTAGCTCCGGTGTGGACGTATGGCATCTAGTTATGGGGATGTGCACCAAAATCTACTATTTAAATCATTCAAAACTTTTAAAACAAAGTTTTAAGAAATTTAGTCAACGCTCCGTGGTTTATTAGGAATACTGACCTCCATCGGGACTTGAAGATCGAATCTGTGGCTGCAGTAATTCAAAAGTTCGCGGTGAAGCACCAAAAACGATTACAACAGCATCCAAACGAGACAGTCAACCATCTCTCTAATACATCTGGCCTGTTGAGGAGACTTAAATGAACAAAGCCTTCAGATCTACTCCGAATTCTACCGAATTAGCAGTCTAATAATAATTTAGATTACTACTATTAGTACTAAGTCTTTGACAACTTGACAATTCTAATAAGTATTCTAAAATGTAACAAAACTGCTTGATAGTACTAGTTTTGTATAAACTAGTTGTAGTCAAATGAAACATGTATTTATATTATTGTACATATTGTGTTTCAAATAATAATAAAAAAAAAATTGAGAGTCATCATCATCAGGATTACGATCCACTATAAGTTAATATTGTTAAAACTACATATACGACATCTTCTTTGTCCTTTCATCTATATTGCACTAGAGTATAATAAAAAATATTAAACGTTGAATTATTTAACAAGAATGGACCTACAGCCAGATTAAAAAATATGTAAAAAACCATTTTAAGAAACAGGTCGATAAATAAATTCAAAAAATTTTATAAAAAATTTATATTTCAATTTTTTATACCGTTCAAATAAAAGAATTCTTCAGAAACTTTAATATATTCAATAAATTACTCCAGAAATCGATAAAGAGTTCTCCCAAGTAAGTCACATTTTTCAAAACAATAGATAATCTAATCTAAAAAGAATATCAACCTTAAAGTCATCTTAAAGTTATGATGAAATATGAACTTAAAAAAAGAGTATGCAACATTATTGAGGTATTATTGAGGTGCTTAAGCGGAAGAGAGAGTTCAAGTGAGAATGACTTGATATATCATTCAAAAAATAGGATTAATAGGACAGGATTAAAGGAAAGACTAACACATACTATACACACCATCTTATATTTGGAGAGAGTATCTCGTTTTCATAAAATCGAATGAGATTTATCAACAGTCTTCATTTATCTTAGTTAGGTTAGGAGAGTTTCTTCAGAAATAGGACAATAAATCGTATAGATCAAAATTATCATGGACATGAATAAGAAAATATATTTACAACTAAAAACAGATTAGGAAAGAATGATATACATTAAATATAATTTTTTTGTAACAACTAAAATATAAGCAAAAAATTTAGAATGCATATATTCTAGTTTAGTTGTTATAATCATAATTATCCAACTTCAAGACAAGGTAAAAGTTATTCTTGAAGTCTCACTTATACTCTTCATACAAGTGCCACTTCTAAATTGAAGTATAAAATCTAAACATTATTAAAAATATTTGACGCATTTTAGAACGTTTCGTTGGAAATTTAACAATTCCGGAGAAACTCTTGATATCGGCAGTGATCGGTTTAGTATTAACGGCAGCGGAAGTATGTTGAAATACACGCCGATGAATGATCAAGTAAATAGACGTCTCTGCAAATATGTAGCTAAATTCAATAACAAAAAAATTTTTTTTAGGATTATGGTACACTATCATGTTGGGCGGCAAATGAAGTCGGTACGCAGAACCAGCCATGCCTCTTCCAGGTTGTTCTTGCAGGTAATTCTTAATATACAGTCTATTTCATGATGTAAAATTAAACTTAAAAACCTCTGATTTTTAGCCCTTCCAAATGCTGTTTTTAACTGTACTGTATATAACAGAACTGATTTAAGTGTGGACGTTCAGTGCATTCCTGGATATGATGGAGGTCTACCACAAATATTTGTTTTAGAAATGTTTTCGGCACGCACAGGACTAACAAGGTAAGCTATATAAAAAATCAGGGTGAATAAAAAATCATTTATACGATACAATTGTATTTGATAATATAAACTAAAATATTGTGGTTTCTGAAGCTGTAATTGGATATGTTTTCAGTGCACAAACATTACACTGACTAATTTCTGTAGCGATTTGAATCAATCTTAAATAGTGTTGGGTATGGAGGTTTTATTAATTTTGAAAAAGTGCTCAACAGCTTGAATCATATATGTTCTGTGGAAAGTATTTTAAGAAAAGCAATGCCGGTAAAAATGTTACATTTAGTTTAAGAACTTTTATATTTGATAAGTATATAGCATATTACCATAGCAACTAATAGTTGATATAGTCAGATTTTTTACCACCTACGATTAAATAAAACTTAATATTATTATTGATAAATTCAAATAATTTTATTTATGTATTAATATTCACCTTTTTTATTGCAAAAAAATAATATAATATCAATTTCTTAACTTTTAGATTTAATTTAACAAATCCTGAAGAACCCCATTTCTCATTGGACAACTTGGACACATTAACGTCATTAGTTGCACAAGAAAACAATTCATTAAAAACTAGAATTTATGCCTTTAATCAGAAAGGTCGTGGGCCCTCATATCTTTTGCGTGACTTTCGAATTGGTTCGACTATATATAGGCCAGGTAATATATAACTATTTCAATAATCTATAGTTTAAAAATAACTTGAATTTCGTTTTTTTTTTCATCTCAAAAAAAATCTTGCCCAAATATGAATTAGACGAAGAAGTATCGTTAATGGTTTCACCAGTACTATTTGGTTGTGTTTTTACAATTCTGGTCATTAGTCTGGTCATTACAGTAAGAATATCTTTGACCACATTTTTCCATAAGATACGGCGGAGTCGACAGCATGACAATAAAGCAAATGTGGCTGCTGTAGTAGCGCATTCAGGTGATGCTTTCAAGGTAATTTTTCAAATTTATGCAGTGATCAACTTGTCGATATATTAAATTCCAATACTTCTTTTAGAAAAACGGAAATCTTGAAAAGCCACGATGGCAACATACAGATCTCAAAACAAAATCTTCTGAAGATCTTGTTGAGGACGAACGTGATCCTGATGTGATCCCATCAAAATATGGTAAGAACTGTTATATTGCAATATACTATAAATAATATTTTAATAATCTCTTCAACTCTATTTTGTAAATCTAACTCATTATTCTAAAAATCTGAACTTGTTTTCAGTAACTAGAAAATACATTAGTCTTTTCGGTCTGTTCTGACATACTGTATTTTATAATTTATTATTATATTAAGTTACTATAGTTACTTATTTATTATAATTATTTCAACGAAATACTTAAAATGGTTTAATTTAAAAAAATACAAAAGAGGATGCGAGGATACCTAAATGTGTGATTTGCCGCCAATGAAAAGTTTTGAATTTAACGTGATTATAGCACTTTATAATGGAACTGCCTGTGTTGAAAATATATTAGTAACTATTCGGAAATGTAAGCCTCAAATTGAATGCGGTAACTCAGCTGAAAAAAAAAGAAAAACTTAAATTGAAACCTGCAAGTTCTAAAAAGAAGATGATTTTAACGATATTCAAAATAAACTAAAATCGATTGTCAATACCAGACGTAGTCTTTTGGCAGACCAATATCGGCACTAAAAAATACCATATCGCTGATGTTTTTAAAATGTCCTTTTTTCTAAAGATTCCGCAGCTTCACATTCATAAAACGTGCAACTCGTTTATCTACTTAGTCAGATCCATAGGCTCACTACTGACCATCCATAAAAAGGTGGTTATATTCGAAAATGTTGCATGCATTTGATTTTCCTGAATTTTTTTTTAAATTCGATAGATTCATATTTTAAATAAAACAGAGAAATATGCTAAAATTTTCAGTTCAATCTGATCACCTTGCAATTCATTATAATGTGAATGATATGTCATCGTTTTTGAAAAAAAACCTTTATCATTGAGCAAATATATCTTCCTCTCAAGCAGAATTATAAGTAATATAGAAATTGCAAACTTAAGAATCAAAACCTATTTAATTCTAAATTCTTTTTTGATTATTATTAACAGATATCTATTTCTATATAGGTAATGTAACTGCTGGAAAAGAAATTGCTGAATGTGCCCCTACTGTTGCTCCAAATTGTCTCTTAATTCAATCCTCCACTTCTAAATGGTCTGGTAATTCAAATGTAAGTATTATAATCTTATTTTGTAGATTTAAATTTATATAATATTGCAGTTAGATTTATATTTGAAGTACAAGTAACTATAGAATTTATTTATTATTTATAACACTATCGCTTGAAGCACTATCCCTATAGGGATAGGGATAGAGATATCCCTATCCGTATTCTATTCACTAATGAAATTCAATCTATCGATATTTCATTTCAATCACAAGAGTATCTATAAAATACTTATATGTAGTGAAAGTAAACGACTTTTACTTTTTCTGTGACTATAATCAGAGTTAGTAAGTAAACCATATATTACCGGTTATTGACTTGTAACGAATCAATACCTACTAAGGCTAATTCTTCATCGCATCTTCAAGCTGATGTCGTTGTTATTATTAATTGTGTTGTCAAAGTACAAGAATTCATTAATAGTTTCCACCTATTAATTTTAGTGATAAAAAAAAACAATGACATTATTTCTGTTACTCTAATGATGAAATTTATAGGCCACACTAGTTACTTGTCGATATTCCTTAAATTACCATTACTTTCATGGTGGGAAGTATTGAGAACATAGAAAATTTTCAAAGAAAGTACATAGGAAGAAGGAGACATTATCTATTGTCATTAGCGGGATGGTGACGTGAATTTTTCAGTCAATCAGGAGCGAAATCTTCGTCTAAATCGCCTGCTTGCAACTTAATAACTTTAGGGTTTCTATGCCTACCAAAGTTTTTGTTGTTAGAGGTCCTTTCCAACATACACATTTTAGCTGTGACAAGGTATTGAATCGATCACAAAAAGGCCGTTCATTGAAAACTGAATTTTCCATTTCTATTTTTATATTTTTGTTTAAATTTGCTAGAACAATATAAAGAATGTGGACAACACAGCAATCTAGAATGTAGTATGCATTTTGTATTTTCTATTTATGATCAAAAATTTTATCCAAAATAATCCTTTTCAAATTCTTACCTCTTACGCTCAAAAATATAGTTTATCCATGTTATTGTGTGCTCATAACATAAATCTGATGCCCATTCCTTCAGATTTTTTTAGAATTTGTCTTTTTATTTCAGAAAAACTGATGAAAAAATTTATAAATATGCTTTAAATTTGTACACTAATATTTTCAATAATTTTTTTTTTTTAGAATATCACTTCGAATTATGATAATATTCTTCAACAGTCAAGTTATTCCCTAAATGAAACAAGTGCTCCAATTACATTTAATCAGATCAATGCACGGGCTCATATTATAACATCATCTGCCCTAATTTTACCCACAGGCCCTACGGCAAGTGCAATTCATTACCACACAGCTGGAAGTAATATACCTGAAGCTTCAACCACATCTTCTTCGTCTACTGTAATGATTGGAAGCTCAGCTCATTTGCAACAACCATTGCAACCGAGTGTTATAGAGGGCACTTTACCATCAACAGGATTAAGAACTGGTAGAACTAATACCCTCACCAGTACTATAAATGTAGGTAATGGCTATGCATCTCCAAATGCCTTTGCTAGCAACAGTAACACAAACCACATGCATATCAATAATAGCAGTTTGGGACATTCTTCCATAAATTACACAAATAATAATAACATTACCAGTTCGTCCAACAATAATGGAGTTCATCATTCTTCACCCATTTTACTACCCTCACAAACCTCATCTACTTTAAGTATTTGCGGAAGTTCACCTAGCACAGAAGTTGGTTTACTTTTAACAGGAAGTCTTAATTTAAGTAGAAATATAATTCCTGCTGCTCCAGCCACTCTAATAACTACAACTTCCTACAACACATCCACTGATTTAGATGATAATATAAATATAAACGCCATTAAAGATTGCTTAATGACACAAAGAGTGCCTGAAAGCTGTGTTTAAACTGCAAAAATATATCTTATTATAATAACATATAAAATAAAGTAGTGAATGTCAAATTTGTTAAAAACTAAAATTAAATTATAGTTATTTTAAGCTAAATACTACCTTTATTGAGAAAAAGAAATTAGTTTAAGTCATTGTAATTCTATGAATTAAAAAAATTTCCATTATATCTTTTTTTACAATTAAATTGGCAATAAACCTATTCCTATTTGCCATAAGATACAGAGTTATGTACATCAAACTTCAACTTCTTGGTGTTATTTAATAGATAATAAATAATTGAAAAATATATTCAATGAGTTTTAATTTATTTCATGATAAGTATAACTTCAATTTTTTAAATACTGGTTACTGGGGGTCACTTTTGACAAACGACTTAATTGGTATAAACATATGAAATGCTTAACTTCGACATCTCCTAAAACTGCTGTTTAATAATAATCGATTCAACCTCAAAAATAGAAAGCTATTATATACTCAAATAATTAGGCCAGCACTACTCTACGGATGTGTAACATACAGCAAAGCCTCAACTATTGCCATAAAACAATTATAGATAGCACAAAATCTGGCTTTAAGAAGACTAATTAAGATTCCTTGGTATATTAGGATAACAGATATGGAGAGAGATCTACAAATCGACTCAGTGAAAAAACATATCAAGGACAAAGCCCTACAGTTATTCACAAAAGTCTGATCTACAGTCCGTCATCAGTTAAAAGATAAATAAATGATAATAATTCTAGTATAGTTAAAACTTAGTGTGGGGCAGGGATAAGCCCCCCAAACATAAAAAAATAAAAGTGCTTAATAGCACTAACTCAAACCACAACAACAATAACTAAATACATTGATAAATCACATTCATGACTCATAAAATATCTTTAACATAATCTACTGAAAATTAATTAATCATAATGATTTTGCAAAATTTACATATTGAGTTTTTTTTTGACTTAGAAGAGTTTAAATAGCTAGACTCAAATTAATATAGAGGTATTACTGACTACTAAGACCTGCGGCCATAATAAACTTTTTTAAACTTAAATCAAAGAATTATATTCAACCCTAATCAATGAGGACAAGTCTTATAAAAATAATAAAAATTAATAATTTCACATTATTTTATCTTTAATCCTAATAGTATGTTTCCATTGCCTTCGTTAATGCAGTTTATTTGATTTAGGTCGCTAAAATGATATTTGATTAACAGTACAAAGAGCTTTCATGCTATTTAACTTAAACCATGTTTGCACTGGTCTCATTCAAGCAGTTTTGCTCATTAAGACCGCAAATGAGAATAATTTACAATACAAAGAGCTTTCATATAAATAAGCTTATTATAAATGAATTAACTTATTTAAAGCGAAAAATGTGAAATGCAAACTTAAAATAAACTCCAAAACCATTAAAAATAAATTTTCCACAAAGGAAAATTACCAAAATTTGAAATATTGGTTATATGTTTTATAAATTAAATATGAACAAACAAAAATTGAGCTTTAAACAGATGATCTAAAAACGTAAGTATTTAATAAAATCTTTATTTTTATTAATTATATATGTAATAGATATATTAAGTATATAAAAATGATTTAATATATCAATTATATATCAATTATAAAAGAAGCCCATTATAACAACAAAGGCAGAACTGAAGGTAGCACTGTTGAAGAGTAGCAAAATTGTGGACCAAAAACCACACAAAAATTAATTTCTTCGATTCCATAACAAATAGCAGCTATTATTAAATAGAAGATCTTGGCCATTAAATATTAATTGTTATCGTTAATATTTTATTTTAATATGTTTGTTAATTTTTACGTTAGCTGTGCCAATAATTTTGTTCAGCCAAATTTATTTTTTTTTTTGGTTTTTTAATTTTAAAAAAATTAAATATAAAAGAAAATAAAATGAATTTAAAAGAAAATTAAGCATTTTATCTAAAAAAAATTTTTGTTTAAAAATAAAAATAATGCTAAAGTTCAATTTGCTTGCTGTGCCAATAATTTTGTTTGTCACTGTATATCAAACCTTTATATTTTCTAGCATGAATGTCGTGACAACATTTATTCTACGAATAAATTAAATTAAATAATGAATATTTTCGTGTAATGATTTTTTACTATTTTCAAAGCGAAACCAGAAAAGAATGCATCGTTCAACTTAGATCGACATTTGGCGATGAAACACCATCCGAACCGTGTTTGATACATAACCATTTGTTAATCGGAAATTAAGGAAAACCAACCGTCGAAGAAAGATCATCTTCCAACACGATAGTGTAAGCTCATCAGCTCACCCAAAAGTTTTCGAGCACTCAAAACGCCAAATAGGTCACTCATCCGCCTTACAGTCCCGATTTAGCACCCAGTGTCTTCTTATTCCGAATTATTTAGAAAAAAATGCATGCATATCTCGTTTTTCTACGCTCGAGATATTCAAAACGCTAGTTTTGGAGATACCAACTTCAGTATGACAAAACTATATCTAAAATTCGTTTAATCAAATGCAAAAATTATTGAATATCATGGAGAACACTTCGAAAAACAATAAAACCATTTACACCACTGTGATTAATCACTGTGTTTTCTTTGTTAGGCACAAGATTTAAAAGGCAACCCTCGTTTTTTTTCTTTGTAATTTATTTATTATTACATCTGCTTTAGAAGAAATGGCAATAAGTAATTGGAAGATATTTTAGTATATAAGGACTATACATAATATTAAATCAATATACAATTTTTTCAATGAGTAAGTTAAGAACGTATGTAACAATTTTCACTTTAGAACATACTATTTAGGAAGTCTATTGGAAATGAGCGTTTAACTCTTCTGGTATGAGCCGCTTCTTTCGTCGGTAATATTTGGAGTTCCGAGTTTTTATGAGTAAGTAGTCGAGTTATCTGCTTTGCACGTACCGACTTTATCACCTCGGTTATTAGCTCATATACTGTTGTTTGGTATATGTCAATCATCATTGAAGATGGTTATTAAAAACCGATAAATATTGATTTTTATTTTTAGAACTTTCTTAATTAATAATTAATAATTACTTTCTTAAGACTTTCTAGAGATTTTATTTCGCTTTTATTTAAATACTGTAAATGTTATAAAAATTAAATGTGTGTCCATATATGCAACCTGGACGTAAATATATAATGGACATGATAAAAATAATAGGAAAGGATCTAATAGAAAATATAATCTAAGGAAATGTTATTCGGATTTAATTGTTCCTATAAAATTTTTTTTTTATTTATATTTTTTATGCTGCCATTAAAAATTTGTTTTAGAATTTACTTTCATTTAAAGACCAAAAAGTTATAAACAAAAAAATCATTACCAAAATTATACTATATTATATATAAAAAACCAGTTCTAATTTTAATATAACCTTTTGATATATTTAATTTAAGAAAGTACGGGTAACACACATTTATTTAGTTGATAATAAAAACACTTTAAATTAAATTTTAATTTTTAAATGTTTTAAAAGACTATAATAGCAAAATATTATTAAAATTAATATGTAAAACCTTTACATGCATTATCCAAACGGACGTTCTTAGACTAGATGTTTGGGACTGCTACCTTTGCAATGGTTCTTCAAATCTGGCGTAAGAATGGTACCACAACAGGCCCGTATTTATGCTTAAATAAACTTTGATGCGCAATGATAATACTCCCACCTAACCTAAGCCACATCCGCATTAGAGCTTCAAATATTATTTGAACTGCTCGGAGCATTTTGCTGTTGTATGTATGCTGTTTGTGTTTGTTGTGTGTATGTATTTGTGTGAAAAAACCTATGATGGGATGGAGCCATAAATCAATATTGGTCAAATGAATAGATGAGTTGGGATATGAGTAATGCTGCAGTTAGAGTAGTATTCATATTATTAGGAATTAATGTATTCATACGATACAAGTTACTGTTGTTACCTACCTTTATTTGTATTTTGACCTCCTGTTGTAATGCAAACAGTTCTCAAAAAAGATGCTGTTTCATCATGTACGACAGCTATTTCTAATATATAGTCGATTTCACCAATATTAGTTCCATTGTAATAGTCGTCGACATAATAATGATATCAAGAAAGCTATCAGCGGAAGCACCATGAGAACTACTCATTGTGGTCGTAATGAGTTATCCATTTGTGTGGTATGCAAGAAGAAATTACTTGAAAAAAAGCTTTAAGAAAACCTCTTACAAAATTTTTTCGGTGTTTTCATTATTCTTTGCCCTCCAGACAAATAAACATTATTTAGCTTAAATTTTCAACAAAACTCGTTAGAAATATAATAAAATATACTAAAATAATATCAGCTAACACGACACCCAACATACATATGAATTGCTTATATCTTAGTTCTTTTGCAATATTTTATGCCCACGGCCTTAGTTTAATTCTCTAATTATTATTTAACGATGATCCAGTAACTTTCGATGCATGTTAGGTATATCTACTTGTTATTCCCTCCTACCAAACAAACGAAGTCGGAAGAAGTAAAATCATCTAATAAGTTTGAAGAGTTAAATTTCAAAACGTTCCTTAAACTGAAAAAATATTTTTACTACATAATATCTGCTTTATGTTTGGGTAGAAAATCATTTACGATAATTTATAAATTTTAAACAGTTTTATGAAAACAATAAAAAAAAAACATTTAAAAATAAAAGAATTCAAATTTTTTTTTCAAAACGTTATAAATATTATATTTCATAATTTTTGTAAATTCATTATTCAATAAAATAATTTAAACAAAGTAAAAACTTACAATAAAATTGTAACATATATTAAAAAATAATAATAATAATATTAATTAATACAAGAGAATGTATAAGAAAATAATAATTCTAATTTTTGTTTTTGCATTAAAATTATAAAAAATATTAACAAGTAAATATATTAAAAGAAAAAAAGTTCCATGCAAGTTAAAACCCTAAAATAATATAACGGCACTGCGCCATCACTTCACATTTCTGTATTTTGAGAATGCACATCTAGATGTCGCGCATTAAAATATCTAATATAATACATTATATTATATTTTATATATTTTATATATTTTATATATTATATATTATATATATTATATATTATATATTATATATTATATATTATATTATATATTATACTATATTATACTATATTATATTATATTATATATAAAATTTATAATATAACGTCCACGTGTGTTTATGGCAACATCGTTGCAAAATGTTTCTCTTTGGAACTGCAAGTATCTTGCAGAAAAGATGTCAAGTAAAATTCTAAATACTTGATCGATGAGATGTCGAAACACTATTGGAAATTAATCTCGCTTACGAGGCGCTTTAGAAAATAGACGCTCCAATCCTATAGGATGGTGATAAGAAAGCTTCTGAAAAATTCATACAAATTTTAGAAGCCATAATTCGATTGGTTAATCCAATCTTCAATCTTTCAAAAATGACTTTAAACATTATTCATAAAAATCAAAAGAGTTAATCTAAAGCAAGGATTAAAAGAGTGACGAGTCAAGCGGACAAAGTAGTTGAAATAATATTTTTTTTATATTAATTAAATAATGTTAATATTTTGTGTAATAACATAGCCTGTACAAACAATGAAATTAATAAGTAACAAATCTTAACTTAAAAAATAAAATACAATATTCAATATTTCGTAGTATAATAAATTTGTTAGAATATCATACAATATAAATATAATTTTTGTTAAAAATTAAATAGTTTTTATTAAAAATTTAATTTGCATACGTAATGATTACAAGAAGTGCTAAAAAGTCATATTTTTCATTTTCATAATTAATTTTTTTTATAATTATAATTCATTAAGTACTATTATGACAATTATTTATTCAACTGATTTTTTTTTTTTTTAAGTAAGAATTTATTCTTTAATAATAAGAATATGAAGAACATAATTATTTGTAAATATTGAAATTTTATGTGTGCAAACAATAACGAGAAAAAGTAAAGAGAAATAATTAATAAAAAGTGTGAACAGAAGTAAACGTAAATGTGACTTTGTTATCTATTCGTTTTTGATAAATTATTTTTTCCTGATAAAATTCATATACTGTGCTGTGAGATGTGTCGCTTAATGTTAAGCATCTGCTTTTCCACCACTGCTTTTCCAGTTGGGTTTTGATTTTATCTGTTCATTTTTGAAGCTATTTTTTGGTCATAATTTGTAGATATTCTAAAGCGTTGCGCGCTGCCTGGTGTTGAGCTTCCTCCGCTGATTTTCCAGTGCCATGACAGACAGCTACTGGTAATGTAGATAGTTGCACTAAACATTGAAACATATTACTCATTGTCTTCTCATCAATATGTACATAAGTAGCTTCAAATTGGTTTTCGTTTGCTATCTCTGCCAGTTCTTTCATAAAATCGTGTGTGGAATTGCTTAGACACGTTTTCTACAAAGATAACAACATTATTATAGTGAATCATGATATTTTAATTATATTAAATATTTTTGTATATTGTTTTGTAAGTAACTATATTAATATCATGTTAACTCTACTGAGAGCTATCTAGCTACCTATCTAATTAAAAACTACTAATTATACAACTGTTCATATTTCACATATAAAAAGGTACTCAACACTCAAATTATATTCGAATCATTGGCTGCATTCACTTATATGCCTTCTGGCTCTCTCTTTCGTTTATTCGACTTCACCTGATTCATACATGTAGCTGATATACACTATAACTGATTTAAATATATAATCCGTGTACAAGTTTGAGTAAAATGAGGTAAACTAAATTGAAATTTACTAGGGATTTTTTGCACTGCACTTGTGTAAATATTTATTTACTTATTTATTGCACTTATGTTATTTATTATAAAATGTTCACAATAGTAACACCTTATTTACCTAATTTTTATCTAATTTACCCTACTCGAAATTCTGGTAAATACCAACTGTCATACCGCTGCCATACCGACATAATTTACTAGTTCTCTAAATTTACCATCAATTTACTCGAATTCACACACGACCATAATGTTTAACATTTTCAACACTCACGTGATACTCATAAACAACGACACTCGAAACAAAAATGATGCAAGTGATTTATGAATCATTCATGAGTATTACGTCACATTCGGCAAAAATGTTCCTGAGAAAGAGAGAGAGAACACAAACAAAATACATGTTCTTATAATGCTAACAGCAACAACACATGACATAACGCAAAACATAATACCAACACACAAAAAGAATAGAATTTTAAATAAAAATAAAATAAAAATGAAATTAAAAAAAAATAAAATCAAATAAAATTTTTACGAATGCCAAAACTGATCGAATTGGCAGTCATTCCTTTTTTATAAGTACACTCAAGTACACTTATACCACTCCAGTATATGCTATGACTCACGGTCATCTACTATATATTCTACTTAACGAATATACTTAAGAATCATTTCTGTGGCGAATATGAATGCATGTAAGTAGTGTATGAGAAAAACATTTACCATATGTGCATTTATACTTGATGAATGTACTCTGAGTGTTGAAATTATAACTCGTTGCAGTTCTGGTACACATTCAAAATTTATATAAAAACTTTCTGTTTAAACAGTTTCATTTCAGAAAAAACATCCGAAGTGCCATACTAATTATATTTAACAAAATAAAAAAGAAAAAAGTGTTTCTACAGATCATTTGCTTAAAATATAAAGACACACGTTCAAAATGTCCTTATTACTCATATGTAGACATATAAAAAACAACAACTATCTACACTATCTGCGCTGAAATGTAATTGCCTTTATTATAGTATGTTTCCACTAGCTTCGTTAAACCAGTTAACTTACTTGAAATTGCTAAGTAAACTTACTTATTTACTTACTTGAAAATATAGTAAGCAGAATTAGACCAAAAATTTCGAGTGCAACATTGCAAATTATCGAAATTATCGACATTTTTGACATGTGAAACAAAATGTAAACATAATTGATATATAAAAATATAAAAATGAGTTTATATATCAAATATGTATATGATATCATCATACAATGTCATATATTATTTAACAAAAATATTCATTTAAGTGAAATATCAGAACAAAAAAATTGATAAGAGCTCACAAGTTTGTATTGTGTATTTCTTTATAAATTATAAATAAATTAATAAAATAAAATGTTATTAATTTTAGAAAAAAACAAACAAAAGAATCATGAGTATGTGGACTGAGGGCGGTGAGCAGTTATTTATAGTAGCCATATAATAGAAGAAACAACTAGAAAAAATAGAAAAACGGTCGATTAAAAGATGCTAAAGATCCACTAAAAGTGGATAGACTTATCAATCTTGAAGAAAATGGAAAGAAGACTCTTATGACGAATTACCATATTTTTCTTTATTTTTAATTTTTTAATTCTTTATTTATCATTAATATAATTATAGTGTATTTTATTTTTAATTTTTTTTTATATCTTCATTTATTATTAATATAGTTTTGTGGTATTTTATTTTTAATTTATAAGTTATTAGCTTTATTATATGTTAAAATAGAACTTACTGAAAATTGTTTGTAATAGTTTGTAATTTTTATAAATCATATCACGTTCCTTTCTATATGCAAATATAGGACGTATGCTAGTCCTATATTATATATATATATATATATATATATATATATAGGCTAATATTGATATACATATATAGTCCTATATATATATAGGCTAAGTTGATGCTAAACCAAATTGGAGATTTTTTGAGATTTTTTGCACTGCACACATTTAGCCATTTATCAACACGTATCGACACATCACTACATTATCGGCACAATTTAGAATTTCCCTCATTTAGAGCGCAACTTAGCCTAACTCGCACACGTTCCATAATTGCTGCATTCATATTGTGAACATTACAAACATTATATATTCAATTATTTAATTTTTCTGCGTTTTTTATGCTGATTTATTTTCTTCTACCAACACAAAATTTAATTTCATATGTTTACAATTGAAATGCAAACAAAAAAAGGCTCTCCTAAAACTTAGACACAATTTTTTGACACATAAAAGCTCATTCACATGCCTTAAATAGCTTGTGCCAATCTAAACGACAAAATCTTAAAGCTACTCAAACAACTTACTTAAGTAAGCAGTGGAAATATATAATAAGATGAATTTATTTTATTTACCTTACTATGTAAATTTTATTGATCATACAGAGGGCTTTCATGCTTTTTAACTTATTTTAAAATAACGTTAGGAAAATTAGACCAAAAATGTCTAATGTCGAATGCAACCTTTAAAAATAAATTTCCCAAAAGGGAAATTACCGAAATTTGAAATATTTGTCATATGCTTTATATGTAAAATGTAAACAAACAAGATACATTCAAAACGTAGAAAATTTTAATAATTGATGATTAAGGTTATGATCAGAGTTCGTATTTGCGTACCCATAAGCGGCTCTTTTCGACTCATTTTGCTCACGGCTCATGAGCAGGCAAAAAACTTTTTTCATACGCTGGCGAGCCCAATTGTAGAGGTCACGCTCAAGAGCAAGAACCGCCATTAAGTTATAAATTGGCTCACGCTCATGAGCAAGAGTACAACAAGCCGAGGGCATGAGACCTCATGGGACCTTATGCCCTGCTAGAAAATGAAATATATATTGCATTATTTTTGTTTTCATTGCACGTGCCACTATTTATTTGAGTTTTGTGATTTTACTTAATTAATCGTTTTTTATAAATTCAAGAATTTTAAATTACATTATATTGTGTTTTGGAAAATTTTTGGGCTCACAAAAAAATTGGCGCTTGCTCATAAGCCTGAACTGCTCATGAGCGAGCAAATACGAACCTTGGTTATGATATAAGAAGGAACACTTTTAATAGATTATTAAACACGATAAGATCTAATGATGTTTCTGGTATTAGCCAGTACAACTCTTTGTATCTGACTCCAATTTAATAGTTTATTTATTTTTCCAATTTAATAGTTTTATCTCCTACTATCAATTAAAAATACTCATTTGCAAACCGTAAATAGTTTAATAAAATAAAAGTCCATTCACTATTATTGATATTTTTTGCGAAATTTTTCGCAGTGTTCTCTTAGATTTTCTTTTCTGGAAGAATTAAAAAAGCTGAAGTTTTGTCTTTATAAACAAATGATAAAATGGACTTAAATATTTATAGCCCAATATCGATTATATCTGCTTTTCCCAAAAGTTTTTGAAAAATTAATTACGCGTAGAACTCTATCCTTCTTAAATAAATAACGTTTTTTCAAATATTAACAATATGGAATGTCTACTGAAGATAATCTCTATATTCTTTTAATAACATATATTCTGGTCTAAATAATAAACAATTTTGTTTTACTCTATTTGAAGATATCACCACACAATCATCATATCTTATTAAATAAACCTTATATTATAATTGTGATTTGAGAGGATACATTTTCAACTTATTTCGTTATTTCGTCTTATTTAGCTAATACAGTATAGCGAGTTGAACTGAACAATCACTGAAGTGAATTCTCAAATATTAATATAAGAATTCCACAAGGGTTTGTATTGGATCCAATACTACTTTTTTTTGCAATTGGGTTTGCAATTTTTAAGCTGAATAACTGAATAATAACATTTGCTGATATTATGGCGTCTTTTAAATAGGACTGTTATTCGTCATGATAAAAATATTTAAAGACATTGATTTGCGGTTTTCAAACTTCTGTACTTGAATGTTTCTGTAAGACATAAAGAATTTTTACAGCAAAAAATTTGCAGTTCGAACTGCAAAAAATTTAATCCAGAAATTGATGGTTGATATTGACTTTCTTAAATTTTGACAGATTTCACTCATCTTGCTACAAATAATAAAGAAATTGCACTTCCAACTTTTGAAGAATTTAAAGAAACTAACATATAAATAAACTTAAAAATAATAAAGCTGATGGGAAGGGTGGATTTCATCCGTAATTTTAAAATATATGGGTGATACGGTGCTTGGGCGTATTTTCGTCACAATGAAAGAAGCTTCGATTTACTAAATAATGCCCACAAAATGGGAGACCGCTGTCATATGCCCACTTCACAAAAAAGGTGACCAAAATGCAGTGCAAGAATTATAGATCTATAAAGTTGTTAAACACTAGTCAAGTCTTATATATGACAAATTGGGACCATATGCGTATAGCCGCCTTTCAAATTGGTAGATCTCCACCGAAAAAATTTTTATTCTTCGCCATATTCTATAAAAGACAAAGGAGCATAACAAAACGACCTACTAATTGATTTTAAATCTGCTTACGATAGTGTTATAAAAGAGTACCTTTACGAAGCCCTCACAGAGCTTGGAATACCCGAAAAAATAATTCGCCAAGATAATGAAAGCTGACGTCAGAAACACCAAAAAACCCAATCTAACTTCTCAAAATAGTATACGTCAAATAAAGATCAACATCGAGGAGACAAACTTTCATGCCTGTTATTCAATCTTGCATTAGAATATGTGTCGGTGCAAGTGCTCTCATATGCTGATGATATTGATATTGATATTAAACGCCACAAACGCAGTGGCATTGAAAGACACATTTGCAGGTTTAGAGGAAGCCAAAAAAAAATGGGACTTGTGATATATAAACAAAAAACAAAAGTTTTCATCTCAACAACAACAGAATCAATTCGGCATAGATATGGCGAAGACAATTTCGAAGTTATGGATAATTTCCAGTATCTTGGTGTCAACCTCAACACTGAAAACAATATATCCCGATAAATAAGTCAAAGAATTACTTCGGCACATAAATGCGACTTTGGGTTACAAAAGCATCTAAAAAGTAACTTTCTAGATAGAAAGACCCTAAGCAAAGCGAATAAAAATAAAATTCTTGTTTTTGAACGAAAAATACTAAAAATTTTTGGAGGCACGCAAGAGAACGGAATCTAGCAACAATGATATAATCATGAATTGGAAATTTTATTTAGTAATCTTAACATAATCACAGTTATTAAAACAAATAAGCTTAGATGGGCAGGACTCATTATTAGAGCAGAACAAAATAACCCCCCAAAACGTATCATGATCGGACAGTGTGCAGGAAGTAAAAGCAGGAGTTGTCCAAAACTAAGATGGATAGATGGAGTTAACCAAGACGTAGAAGATTTAGGTTTGAGATGTTGGAGAGCAAAAACGAGAGATCCAGACGAATAGAGGCGTATACTGCAGCAGGCAAAACACTTAGCACTCATGCGCTTTTCAATGTTTTTGCATTAGTACCTTTATTCATTTAACTAACTTAGAATAGAAAATAGTGTTTAGAAACCTAAGGCAAAAACTACTAATACTGTAAGTTCTCAAGTATATATAAGTCAAATCTTATTGTATAAAATATATGACATGTTTAAATTAACATTTTCATTGTAAAAAAAATGAGAAACAATAGATATTTTAGTTCACTTAAAAATATTTCAAAGGAATAGAAAATAAAATTGCGTTCTATACAATATAATAGTAAATTGTGATCGCACAATAAATTGGTTTCAATTGAATAAAGTTACTCTAATAATAGTAACTTACAAAAAAAAAAATTCTCTCACCTGCAATTTCAAAAGTTTCTTTCCGGTAGAATTTTTCAACATTTTGGGGAATTGTGATACCTTCGCACTGTGCTGAGTGGTTATGGTATTTATAGGAAAGTCTTTCAAATCGCTGTAGTAATCAGCATTATTACGTGTCTGAAAAAAAAGATATATAATAAATAATAAACTTAAGAATATTTTATTGACATCGTACAGAATAAAAATTTAAGTGTAGAAGAAAATAATATAATTCAATTAGATTATATATATGAATTAAATAGAAATTCCAACCTTTTAGTTTTAACAGTTAACTTTTAAAAACGCCAATTTTACTTTTATGTGCTACGTTATAGTTAAAAATGTTTGAACTAAATATTATTACATATAGCTCTTCGATTGGTAAATTTATACCTCAAATAAGGTTATTACTTCCAAGGAATGCTTGCAAAAATATTACCGTAACGTTAAGAGTTTTTTCATCCAATAAAAAAAACAGATTTTGTACAGATGAATACACTCTAAAATAGACAGACAGTTCTGGAAACGATAAATGTTATGGTTATTGTTGTTGTTATATCCCACGGAAACATGAAAAGAATTAATAATACATATACATGGATTTGAGGTGTGCGAAATTTTAAGGTAATGTGATACACTTGGCATAATTCTGATTGAATATTTTAGAAAAAAAATATAACTGGGCAACATTATGCGAAAATTTAACGTTTAGAAAAATCATCACTAAGTTTTGACATCACATTAGCGAAGGATATACGTAACCAACGCATGTAAATAGCAAATAGAAAATAGATGTCTTCCCAACAAATAACTATTTTTTGAAAACAAATATATCTGTATATATTTGTATATAATATATATATATTTATATATATAAAATATTATTAAATATCAATTTCACACTTGTAACATTAATGTAGACAGCGATTCCTTATTTCAAGAAGTGAACATATTCATATGGAAGGGGATTGTCCAAAGTAAATTCTATCTGAAAAATAAAATATAACTCACACTGGCCTGCAGAATATTTTTAAAAACGAAAATATATAAAATGCATTTTTCATACAAGATAGTTGTTTTTGTAGTTTCATAGAAAATGTATTTAAGGGATGGTGCACGTAAAAAGTTTTTTGGTTTTTGTTTTTCTATTGCCTTGTCTATTGTCTTATTTCTCGCTCTATACGATGTTAAAATAATAAAATTTATTATTTTTGACGAATTCAAAATATAACTGTTATACGAGTATATCAACTATAAAGAATATTAGAACGAATGTAAATATTATCAAAAATTTATAACGAATTTTATTTTGAAAACTACATAACATATACTTATTTACTATTCTAAAAAAAAAAAAAATAACATACCTCTGCATTTAATTCAAACTGTATTGCTTCATTAATTTGGCCATTGTCTAATGGATTATTTTTTAGGCGAACCAGCATTTTATGGGCTGCTTGACGTTTAGCTATTTTTTTACTTTTACCCTTTCCAATTTCACGATAGCTAAGTATGGAGCATGCTATTGTAAACAGGCGCTCATGTGGTAAACCAACTTCAGTTTCTGTATTATAAGTTGGTGGTGGCCAACGACTTGACATACACAATTCCTGTAGCCATCCTATTGGATTACCCAAAACACTATCCGCACCACTGCATAAGAACAACTTTAATTATAAAATAATAATAAAAAAAAATTATAAAAGATATCTTACTCTCCGCCGCCTATAGTAGTCCCGTTACCTTCGCACATATTTGGTAAAATGGTATGAGATCCTATATTTAAAGAACCAAAATCAGGATTTTGAGTTTTTTCAATCAATGCACGGGCAGCTGCGTGTTTAGCCTCTTTTTTGGATCGCCCGGCGCCCATGGCCGTAATTGGTTCATCTCTATTATTATACGACACTCGATAACGAAAAGTTGGTTCATGTATAGCACCTTCAATTTGAACCAATTCATACGTTGGAGTGATGCCACGTCGACTCAGAAATTCTTGTAAAATCGAAACAGGTGTCTTTATTCCTTTTGAATCCTTTGGGGGCTACAAACAAAACAAAAATGCTTTGAAATAATTTAAACTGCCATTACGTTTTTAATTAATATTTTTATGTGCTTGTGAAATACAATTTTTTTCTGTTATATTTCAAATATTAAAATATTCAAATATTTCAGATACACACATTTCCTTCACACATTTAGTTGTTCAAGTGTTTGATGTTGCAATATGCTTGATGGAGTATTTAACATTCCAAGTCGATGGAAAATATGCAGAGAACAAAAGTTGGTAAAAGACTGGTTAGGATACCGAAAATAAACCTTCAACGACATCAATTTTTACCCAAGTCAAACATTATTTTAAAAGATTCCCGAACGAATTCTAATTAAAATCGTGGTAAATGTATAATTTAGACAGTTAAAAGACAAAATACCCAAATTTATTTAAATAAAATATTATTCCCACAATTATTTGCAATTGGCAACTTTTTACTTTTTTTAATTTTTATAAACATATATTCAGTTTGTATTCAAAATAAGGGAAGACTGAGTACGTAAGCGATTCTGTAGTCTTTTGTAAATAATATACAATTATTTGGCTTTTTACGTTAATTTTTATTTAAAATAAATAACAGACACTTACTTATTTCTTTTCTACAGAAATCTTACTGTAAACAGTTGTCGAATATGATTAAATATGATTTGTGCTTGAAGAAATGCTAATTTAAATCGTGGAAGGTATATAGTTCAGACAATTCAAAGACAAATTATCCAAATATATTTATATAAAATAGTATTCCTACAATTATTCACAATTGCCAACTTTTCACTTTCTTTATTTTTTAAAAAAACATATTCACTTTACATTCAAAATAAAGGAAGACGGAATATCGAAAGCATTCTGTAGTTCTCTGTAAATACGTTACACTATTTGACAAAATAATGTGCAACTTACTTGTTTCTCTTCTACAGAAATTTTACTGCAAACAGGTGCCGAAACCGTAGATTCATCCACATCCTTCACTTGCTTATGCCTCGATTTACGTATAGGCTCCGCAGTTTTTTGACTGGTTTGTGATGGTCTATTTGTCACATTTTCGCTATCCACCGAATTATTATTTGCATTATACTGACGTCTTGGGGCGAAACCACTTTTTTGAATTAATGTATGAGGCTCACTTCGTGCAGTTTGCTCCATTATATACAGATATATACATAAATTAATACATATATAATATACTTATGCATATGCGTTTCGTGTTCTGACTAAAAATCAATAATCGAACAGTCTTCAAAATTTTGACATTTTAATACGAAGTTTAGATTTAAATTTTTTGAATATTTAGTTTAGACTTCTAAAAGGTGATTTGCAATGATTTTTATTTTAAAATAAATTACGATTTGTAATTAATTTATTTTCAAATAAAGAGCAGCAAATCGACCAATTATTAGTAAAAACAATGTTCGACTCTAATGTTTCTTTTTGACAGTTTATATTATCATTAATAAATGTCATAGTTGCCACATTTAAAATTTTAATTGATAATGTACGATTCATATATTTCTCCATTGCAAACTGAAAACAATTTTTTTTGTTTAGTATATAATGTTATGTTTAGAATATTGTATTTAATTTGACAATAATGCCGCAATATGTGCTATTTTTGATACATAATTAATTAAAAAAATATGCTTAAGAAATGCAATAAGTCTATATCCAAACATTGTTCGGATTTCGGATTTCGTTAAACACTGTTAACGGAATATAAATAAGTTATATGTATATTTTTATTTTCCGTAGACCATTTGTACTTACTGTAGCTATTTTTAAATGTATGCTTGCAAACGAAACTAACTGTAAAATTAAGCGATGCCAAGTTAAAATTTACAATTTGTCATGTCATTCGGATAATGGTATGGAGAATTTGTGATGCCATTTGGTTAAATTTTATATCATATTTCAACACTACAAATAACCACACAACCACATAATTTGTAAACAATAGTAGAGATTGTGCAAAATTAATTATTTTTGTTCAGTGCTTTTTGTTGTTGCTAAAATAAGCCATAACTACATAACTAGATAACCAATGCCCCGTGAACACCCTAATTTATATTTTTGTACATAAAATTACTTTTCTTACATAATTTCTTTTTTTAAATTATTTCTCAATACTAAAAATTTTTTATAACTTTGAACTGTAAATGTTTTATCTTCTAAAATAAGTTATATGGATATAAAAGCTGATTTCGGCAGCTCTTATGTGTGGCATAAATGAAAAAGTTGCTCGCATAAAGTTGTTTATATGTATGCAAAACAACAACACTACTTTCTCTGTCCAAGCATCTAGTTGTGAAGTGGACAAACATTTTGGTAAAAGTGGCAAAAGTGTTACCAAAGCAATAAGCGAACTATTGTAAACCTTCATTGGAAATTTCAATGAATATTCCAGTCATATGTCAAAATTTTATTATATATATTATGACCATATATTTAAAATTTTTAATAGTTCGTTTATATAATTTTCAAACTTCTTACATAATTTGTCAATGTTAAATGAGCAGTATTTAACGCTATTTTATTTTTCTTAACTATTGTGTTTCGTATTTATTCATTTATTGCATATTTTAATGAACATAATACACAAATTATACATTCCTAAATAATTAACGAATGGCTTCTACACAATTTTTAACTTATCAGTCATCTTTACAAAGTTTATGAAACAAAACACTTTTTTAAAATATTTAAATTTACTAATTAACACTCGCAAAAGTTGAAAATAATAAATAAGCTCCTCTGTCAGCTGACTGAAATTTTCCATTTGCTTCCAAAAATCATTCACAATAGATCAGTTTTAAGATTTGTCACCATTGTAATGCGAGTGGCTTATTCGTTGAGCAGTTTTAGCAAAGAAGGTTTATTTTTACGTATTTTGTTTTTGCGACACGGGCATTATTTAATCATTATAGTACAATGGGACTCAACGTATGGATAATCACATGCCTTTTTTTGCCGGCGTCTGTTTGCAAGTAACTTTTACTATGGCGCCGGTAAAAATTACGAAAATTAAATTTAGTCTTATGTAAACACATGTTTTATCAAATAAATTAGTTTTTATTTCTATTTCATATAATATTTATTTGATTTAAAAAAGGCGTTTTTTTGATACTTTTTATGTCTAACCAGATAAACTTATGGACTGATGGAAACTGCTCTATATATGTATTTTTTTATTATTAATCTATCAAACTTAGTAATTTATATAAGCCATGTGTGAATTGAAGGAAATAGTAAATTATGTCGGTAAATTACGTAAATTTACCAGAATTTCGAGTAGGGTAAATTAGATCAAAATTAGGTAAATTAGGTATTATCATTGTGAATGTTTAATAAATAAATAAATAAATTTGAAAACTTTTGATCAAAAATAATCAATAAATGCAATAAACAAATAAATAAATATTTACATAAATGCAGTGCAAAAAATCCCTGGTAAATTTCGATTTACTTCACCTCAATTTACTTCACCTCAATTTACTCGAAATCACACACGGTCATAAAAAACATTTAATCAATTCCTTTAATATATTTTTAAAAAATATTCAAAGCTAGAAATGGGTTAGAATAATTTAATTTTAAGATTTATATATACAAGTTCCAACGATATAAACAAAAATTATAAAAACAAAAATTTTACAAAAATAAATTTTAACGGATTTACTATATATTGTTCCCTATAAAACAATGTAGTCATAATATTGATACTTAGATGTACTTATCGAGCTAACAAGTTACCACTGCATTACATATAATATTAAATTTAAATTTAACTTGAAGTTTTCAAAAGGAATAATTTACAAGAAATATTTAAGCCTGATCTTCTGTAGACATGTTGAAAAAATCAACACAGTGGCAACACTCGAAAAACTCAAATTCTTGCACAAATATATAATTTAAAAAATATAAAAAAAATTTGTTTTAACCAAAAACTTAAAATATATATGCTAAAACCATAATAACCATATAAAATGTTTTAAAAAACTAGGTATATATAAATATCAAAATTTTTTTTGTATCTAACTGGAGATTTTGCGTCCTTTTAAAAATAATTTAAAACAGACTAATTTATAGTTTTGGCAACCATCCGTTATGGCTGTTTATCGGTTTAACGGTTATAAAGATGTTGAGTTATTTAAATTAAATTATATACGACGTAATTACAAATAAATAAATAACACCTACGTTTATTACTTGCAAACTATTTACAAAAATTTATGAAATTAAACAGCTGAACAGTTTCGTCACAATTTTCGCTTTATTTTAGCTAGGTAGATACCTTGGCTAGGCAAATAAATCTTAATTTAAAATATGGTATAGCGATTATTTGATTTGACATAAAATTATAAAATATAGTATTCGACATATCCAGAAATAGAAAATTTAATATGTGACACAATTCGTCTAATCAATATAAAATTCACTTCACTACGATAACGGGCGACTATAATATATTTTTATATAATATTAAATAATTTGACTAACCAGAGTAAAATTCACCTAAGACAGTTAATGAAACAAATGCAATTTAATCATAATTAAAATCTCTCAAGTTGACAAATAAATAATTGTTGCAACCAACGATCAATCATTGATCATAAGTTAGGTAAAGGTTAGGTAAAGGTTAGAGTTATCTTCATAGAAACTAGAGATAAACAAAAGAATTCATATTGTCTGTCATGACTATATATGAAAATCGTTGATGCTTGTTACATTTAGTTTATAGAAGCACTTTGTTATAATTTGTTCTTCCAACTATTTTTCCAAATATGTACGTATACATTTTTAATACATGTATTTGTAATTTAGAAAATATAAAACATTGTTTTTTGACGCCAGTCAGCGCCTTCAAATCGTTGGTCACCTGGTCCTTTCACCAAAAATCCTCTACTGCTTTTTTTCCATTTGCACGACATGACCAAGCCAGCGTATGCTATATATGTATATATATATATATATATATTATATTTATATAAAACGTTACAAATATCATAATTAACTTAACATGCTATATTATATACAGCATATATACTGCTATACATAGCGGTATACATAGAGGTATATATATATATACATATATATATATGAACATTTTAATATTTTCCTTGTCAAGAAACTCTTCCAACAAATTAATAGATTCAAAATTTTCTAAACCTCTCTAACAATTCTTTATCTCTCATATTAAAAGCGAGAGCACACACACTTGTGTTTGGTGATCACTCTTTCATTTAATATTTTTACTTCCAGCAAATACATGTGATGTTCCTTCCTCTCCTTTACCATTCCACTCGTGAGCCAAAAATGTGTGCCTATTCCCTATTATAAACTGAATAACATATCCTTGCAAAGAAGTTTCTCATAAATTTGTTATAGAGAGATTATTTGTTTGCGTACCTGAAAAAATTCGTTGTAGAGAGGAATTCGTTATATGGAGATTCGTTATATGGAGATTCGTTATAAAGAGATTTGACTGTATATACATATTTTTTTTTACTTGGATTCGTAAAAAACCCAATACAAAAATATTTGAATAATTAGCTCCAAAACTGAGTACTAATTTGCTTATTAGCAGAGAGAAAATTAAACAGATCGAAATTGCTGAATTGTTTTGTTTTGTCGTGCTGTCATGCAGTTCAGCGATTTCGATCTGTTTAATTTTCTCTCTGTTAATAAGCAAATTAGTTCTCCGTTTTGGAGGTAATCATTCATATTATTTTGTATTGGGTTTTTTACGAATCCAAGTAAAAAGAAAATTAAAAAAGGTAAACAAAATTTATTATGTAAATAACAAACACTATATTCAACATAAATATTTATATGCGGAGTATTAAAACTTCTGTAAAGTCAAAACTAATTTTTTTCGTTTAAAATATAAAATTGCACATTTAAAGATATTGACTGCGAAGATTTGTTTGACTGCAAATAACATAATTAATATTTTGCATGCAATGTTAAAGTTAACATATCTAATATATGTGACTCACTTTGTCTAACACTGATATATAGCCTTTAAAATTAAATAATTTGAAATAATAACATTGAAATCTATTAAAAAATTCAAACAATTAATTACAATTTAAATGAAAGTCTATAAATATTTTTCAAAAAAAAAATTTTGTTAACATCGCTAACACTTTTTGCACAGCCAAAGCAGTAATACAAGTTTCACGAAGTTTTGTAATTCTGCAGCTCAATAGCAGTTGAGCGCTGTGGTTGTAAAGTCGTGTTTTGTTAAAGCAGGCAGTTTTTAAATAATTTTGTGCAGTGACAAAGTTTTTAGAAAAATAAATTGAGGTATAAATGAATTAATAAAATTTATTAACAAAATGACGTTGTGAAATATTTGTCTGTAAAAACGTTGAGTTTAATCCAGAAGAAAATTATAACATTTTCTTTCAGCTATAATTAGCCGATCACATTGGATAATAACGTTTTGTTTGTTGTTTTGACCTAGGCTTTGTCATTGAAAGTTTGTTTATGATGAAACAGCTTCCATGTTAAGTCATAGTTATTGCTTTCGTTACTGTAGACAGCTCTGTTACGTTGTTTAACAATTAATCGAGAAATTAAAGAAGAAATCGGTAATGGAACTTGAATTTGTTTTTAATTAAAATTTTATATCTTATATTATATGCTTCATATATTCAACATTGTAACTTCGTTTGAAGTTTTATTCTTTTATTAGTTTTAACACTCTATTTATGTTAAAGTCTTTTGCCAAGAAATTTTACATAGTTATGTGTATGTGAATGTGGTTGACCCTAACGTTAAGGAAACAGCTAAAAATTAGTGGAATAGTGGAAGTAAATAAGTAAAATATATCAAAAAAGTTCGTTCAAAGTTTTCATAAAAAAACTAATATATAATAACCAGTTCGGTAGATATTTATTATATAAAAAATAAAAACAAAGAAACTATTCTTAATTTTCCTATTTGGTGCAATAAAGTGAGTAACGTAGAAAGATCCGTTTGTATAAAAATTACAGGCGGAACTACTGACCATATGTGTGTATGTAATTCTTTTTTCAATTTTTTTCTTTTAAATAATGTATTTAAGAACAAAGTAGTATCATAGGCCGTGTGCGAGTTCGAGTAAATTGAGGTAAAATAAATTGAAATTTACTAGGGATTTTTTGCACTGCACCTATATGAATTTTTATTTATTTTATAAATTTATTATTTATTTATTTATTTATTAAACATCTTATCAAATTTTCACAATGGTAACACCTTATTTATATAATTTAACCTACTCGAAATTCTGGTAAATACCAACCTTCGCTGCTATACCGAAATAATTTACTATTTCCCTCAATTTACCATCAATTCACTCGAAGTCGCACACGGCCATATTATATCAATTGAATGTAATTATTTAATTTACTAATAACAAATTTGAAAAACAAAATTGAATTATTGACCATATGAATTATTTTTTTAATAGCATATTTAGAAAAATTTAATAAAGTAAGAAATGTTAATTAATATCTAAGCAAAACGTGTAGAACAAAATGTTAAAAGGATATAAATTTAACTAAAAGCAATCCATATTGTTAAAAATTTATTTGGCAGTAATGCCTCAAAATGTGGAGAAAAAAATCTACAAAACACGTCAATAATGTATCAAGTTTGAGCCACCTAAACTTAACACAACCAATAAAATGTACGTTATTGGAATAGAAATACCAGGCTACACTATGAGCGCCTATAACCGAAACGATTCAAATAGCAGAAAAAGGTGGTATGCAGACACGTGTCCAGCTGTAGGTGAGGGTACTTAAAAGCAGAAGTCCCCCCACAGTATTTATTAAGTATCTATATTAATTATAAATATATTACGACTGCTTATTCTGCGGAGGAGCATTAGTTTTGCATATATATCCAGTATATGATATCCAATATGTATCCAGTATATGATATCCAATATATGAAAATATTGACACTGCTTTACAATTGACAAAACGATGATATGTTTGTATGATTTTTTCAAGACTTACAGCAATATAAATATCTAGTCGTTGGTTGAGCGTCCAAATCGTAAAGCAATAGTTAGTGCAGATCTTCAGGTCACCTTTTTGTAGATTTATAAATAGTCTAAGAATTTAAATAGGAAAAAAGGCTACGCAAAAGATCTTCTATGTATCCAATTACACTCACAATATAGCACTATTACATATAATAATATTAAAATATTCTGCAAATAGGTTGAAGAACGCTCTCGGAGCATATTAAAGAAGAGTGTGGCTTTTACTTCAAACTACTGATTATTAATTAATGACTGGACAGTAAGTAATGGATAAAAGTGCGAGATGCCTTGTTAAGGGATTAACATGTCTTTTATTGTATTTTTTTCTAGCGTCTTTATTGAACTATTTTATTTTTATCTAAAGAAACGCTTCTCTTCTTTTATCATCTTCTGCTATTGCTCGTCCATTGCTCGTGGAGTAGCTGACTGAAGAATCCTTGTATAAGCAGCATTGTTCGAAGCATTTTCATCGACGAAGACTGCAGTTGTCACTTTTTTCACTCTTTTCTGTGTGGGCAAATGTAAGTTGTTGTTGGTACGAAGCCTATATCTAGTACAGATATTCTAGAATCTCAAATAAAAGTGAATAGATGCGTGTACGTATACTGAGGTAATATTTCCCTTATTCACTGGTATGAATCGCTCGATTGAGTTTGTTAACAATAAAGCTCTATAACCAATTTAAAGGACTTGAGAGCTTATGCTAGTTGGACAGAGGCACTTTTATAAAGGGCCGTCACATTCATATACATAGGCGTAAATCATAGTCTGTATATCGCATTGTTAATCCAGCGGTTGTCAGGTAACTATCTAGGAGTGTCATTTGGAGGTTGTGTGAGAACTTGCATTGAGCACGTCAAGCGTTGTGCGGGTATTGATCATGTTAACAGTGATCAGACCAGTTACTTTGTTTATTCGTTTTTAGGAAATCGCGACCCTCCTTAAGCGAAACTGATTGTTTTTTTTTCTACTATAATGATTTGTCTAAACAACATTTCATAATATTGTATATAAATATATGTGTCTATGTATCATTTACATATATATATGTTGTTTTCTTTAAATTTCCAGTCACATTCCAAAATTCTTTAAAAAAACTTTTAATTTAACATTTTTCAATGGATTTATTTTTAATATGAAAAGGTTGCAGTATTGACTTGATTCATAATTTTTCTTTAAATAGTTATTTTTATTAGTTTTAGAGTTAAAGTTTTACTTATAATTGTATTTATGTTTCTGACCTGCATTTCCCTTTTCATATTAAAACAATTTACTTAAGAATTTATTCTACATGATGGTGTATAACATATGATCATATGATTATGATTATGAAATATGATTCTCGTTTTGTTTAAAAATTTTACCTTATAAAAGATGCTGATGTATTAAGCTTTGTTTGTTATAAAAATGTTAATATAAAATTGTGATTATAATACAACATTGTTCTTTGAGTATTTCAATATCGGTTTTCATAAGCCTACAATAAAATGTTAAGAAATTAAAAAGATTTGATAATACGAATTGTAATAAGTTGCTAAAATTTTTATTGTGTGTTTTTGTTTTAATTATATATATATATATGATTGAACATTTTGACGGACTATATAATATGAACATATTATATATTTTATACATTTAAAGATGAACATATTATATATTATATATTTTGTATTTTTTTAACAAGAACATTTACGTCTACATGTTTCTTTGAGGAGTATCTTAATTTTTCTATGGATGAAATAGTGGCTAATAAAATATGTACCTAGATTGAACTTTAATATATATATATAATTGTATACTAAAATATTCAATTTTTAGTTTAATATTTTGTTGCTAATGATAAACAATTGGAACGATTATTGATCAACTTTTTTTGTTTTTATATTTTTAAGATATTTATAAAATGAAGGGATGGTTCGATGCATTCAGAGATGATGGTGGACCTACATTATATTCCTTCTCTAATCGAACGCCTGTTACTGGAGATGTTTCAATAGTAGCGGCTTCAGTTCTTTTTGGAACTTTTTATTTTGCATTTTTAGTCATATTTCCCGGAGTAAGAAAGCAGGTAAACATTCACAATATAACACATACACACTTATATCTTACACCAAAAGAAAAAATGTAAAATAAAACAACTTCAAAAATATAAAAATACTTATATAGAATAAAAATGACCAACTACATTTTAAAATAATATAATATATATATATGTTTCAACATAAAAAATTAATTAAATGAAATAAAATTCATCAAAAAAATAAATATATATTTTACGAGATGAGATCCAAATATTTTTATTTATTTGATGCTTTTTGAAAGAGTATACATTCTACTAAACACAGATATGTTATATTATATGTTATATGAAAAATTGATTTTATTCATATAAATTTAAATTAATTCTGTTTTTCATAAAAAAATTTAATGCTCGAAAACGTCTTGCCTTGTTATGCGAACTTTGTTGATTTAACGTTTCATTTACGCTGTCAATTGATCGCTGAAAAAAATTAAATTAAATTTATTTAAAAATTAATTTTTTAAATAAATTTATTATTAAACAATTCACCAATTAGCCCGTTTTAAAAACAAAATTATTAGTCATTTATTAGCTTAAAACTTATCTTAGAATTTTAAATAAATGTATTTAATATTATTGATTCTAAAAATATTATTTATATATAGCAAATTATAGTTTTCCCTTATAAATATTTTCTGTAGAAACTTACAACATTTGCAACAGTTACTCTTAGTTGCTTTGTGGGGTTGGTGATTTTAAGTAAGTTTTATTTTTTAATTAAAATTATATTTTTTTTAAATAATTAATGTAATTTCAATTTAATTACAGTTACCAGATTAGGCTCCGCATGGCATGTTGCACATACAACGATTATAGCACCATACAAAGCTTTTTCCCGTGAAAAACTCCCTGCTCGAATTGGCAGCAAGATTGGATTAATACACGTTAATGTGACTCTTACAGGTAATCTCACATATAAATATATATATATTTAGTCTATATGTATATAGTCTATTTGAAAATAGACCGTTGTCTAAATGTTATTAAACGAATTATCAAGGCAATTACAAGATGTATAATTTAATATAATCTGTTGAGTAACTATTCCGTTCAATTCGATTTTATCAGGTTTCCAAAATTCTTTATCGTTAAGAAAAATGCCTTATTATATGTGTTCAGTAATAACAATAATAAATACAAATAATAATTATATTCGAGCATTCCAAAATGCTGCAAAACACAATAAATGTCTTGGTAAAGTCTCCAATTTATACGTAAAATAACAACACTACTATTTTGCTCTAACAGACTACTTATGAAGTCTCTAAACATCGACGACAGGGTTATCCAAAACACGGCCCGCGATTAATATTTGTATGGCCCGCGACATGTTTCTAATCTACCACAATTAGGCAATTTTTTCTTTATGCGCCCCTCCAACCTATTCAGTGATTTGTATTGGCTCGCAATCTTATCTGGTCTAAACAGTCCTGATCTAAGAGACTGCAAAAACCAATATCGCCAAAGCGATAAGTGATGTATTATGAACCTTTACTGAACATATTTTTAATTTTTTATAAATATTTATATTTTTTATAAATATTTATATTTATACAAAATTTAGTTTACTTACACACATAAGTCTTACTAAAACATAATATTTGACAGATTACAACAATGATGCCAATATGTCCTTCAGAGCGGTCGATTCAGGTTAATAAGTACCTGATTTGGTACCGTACTAGTTAAATCATTTCGGAAAAATGTATTTGCCGATAAGAGGAGAGTTTTCTAAATGTAAAAGTTATTTTAAAGACTTCTAGCTTTATCATGGAGACTAATATACTAATATCATACTATACTAATATATCACCTAACATGTGACCTTACATTAAATACTTAAAAATATTTCTACTTTTCTTGAAAGACACTTTGTTTTGTTTATGTGTAAACAATTATTTGGATTGACTTTAGCCCACTTGAAGAAATATATTTCACACTTATACATGACAGCCAATATAAAAAACCTTGTTGCCGGTTAACATAGTAAAAATAGTAGATAATGTCGTTCTCTCTGAATAAACGATATTATATAGATAGATATTTTAAAAAGAGATATTCATTTCTAAATTAGTTTTTGCTAGATATTTAAAAAGCACAACACTGAAATATCTGAAATTTTCTGAAAATTATAAAGGAAAAAAAATAATATTTCTATTTTAGCAATCTCCAGTATTTATAACAACACATCACCAGATATTGACTATAATGAACGTTTTACTTGGGAAGGCGCAAATGATATGAGTGCAAACTATCGTGAAGCGCTGCAGAAAGGTCTTCCGTATCCTATTTTAACTGTTGCGGAATATTTTAGCATTGGGCGTGAAGGTTTTTCATGGGGTGGACAATACCGTGCAGCGGGATATTTTGCAAGCATATTGCTGTCAGCATCTTTTGCGTCATGGTTACTTATGAACTTGCTTCTGATAGCAGTACCAAGATATGGAGCTTATATGAAAGTACTTACCGGCATTTTACTTATGACTACTAATTTCGGTTACCATTGCTTGCTTCCAAAACGACCATTAACAATATTTTTGGAAGGCGGTCGGTTAGAGTTCAAATTTGGTTGGTGTTACTGGTTATTGTTAGTTGCGGGTAAGTTTTAACTGATTACGCGATTACGATTTTTATTTAAAATATTAAAAATAAAAATTAAATTTATTGTTTTTCTAGGTATTTTATGCTTTTTTGCCGGTGTATTTATTTCAGCAGTTGATTTAGTATGGCCACATACTTTCTCTACTGTTTTAGAAGTATATTATGGCACACCATATGATCGACATGTAATTTTGGAGGAGTCTAGTGATGTACGTTATCGTAAACGCAATGTGCGTGGATTAAACGATTCGCAAGGATTCGGCTCTCGTATTTTACGTAGACTTTCCTCTAAAGCTCGTGATTCTAATATAAATACACATAAGCCACCAACTGAAATTGTTAATGGACCTCTGGGAGATATTGATAAAAAAATGTTTCAAAACAATGTTCCTAAAAGCCCATGGAGATATCCTTTTCGCCGAAGTCAACAATTAGCATCTCATGATATAAAAATGCAACGAACTTTATCTCAAGACTCAGGCTCAAGTATTAATTCAATAGCCATTGACATTTCACCTTTTCACAAAAACGTTTTACCTCGAATGGCTCAGTAAGTCTCAGCTATTTGTTCTTCAATGCTTACATGTTCTTCAATGCTCACTTATCTAATATATTTTAGGAATGCGGCTGCAGCGCAAATGAGAAGAATGGAACATTGGTGATAGACGAATATACATTAATAATGACATTTTATTTATTTTGACTATACAAATTAAATTTGTTGTGATTTGACATTGATAATATTATATGTAGTGATAAAACGAATAACGAAATATGACCAGAAAATATTTTAAATATATATGTATACATGTTAAAAAGATTTATTGATTTATATATTTGTAAAATTTATTAAATAATTTGATTTTTAAACATATTTAATAAATTAAAATAATAATTTAAACCTGCAGGTCAAGAACCTCACAACCACATAAAAACTTCGTATAATTGTTCTAACGTTTACATTTTTATCTGGAAATTGATTGTATTGATATGTTTTATTCCTTGGTCGTTACATGTGTTGAGAAATTACCCGATTGGAGTCCTTAAAAGTTGTTGTTGTTGTAACCCGATATACAAAACGATTACATGAGTAGGAAAGTGGGTGGTACTGGTTGGATGGTGATGGAGGGGGAATGAGGATGGGGTGGAATGGGTGGATAGGATTTAATTGAACGTGAACCAAGGTCCAGATGGAGGGACTTGACCACTTCAATGGGGTAATCCTACAACCGTTACTGCTGGTGAAACTTGGTTTACATGTATGCGTTGCAACCACGCAGTGTTCTGTTAAAATACAAAGTTTCTGTATATAATATCTAGTTTTTTATATATGGTATATCCAAAGTTTTAACAATACGAACAACTCTTTTGCTTCCTTACATTGCCGAACACCTCTGTTGAGACATTATTGAATTTTCCAGGTATATCTAGAAATACTCTCCGTGGATCTGCATTAAGTATACACATGGTTGAGTTCTCAACAATATTTCTATACCTATCCTGCTCAATATATTACTAACACTTTTTCCAAAGTTGCGAGAAGACATAAAGTAAGACTAATTCGTTTGTAGTCTTTTAAATAGAGATAACTGCTTTTACCTGCTTTTTATATATGTAAATACAATTCTCGACATTTTTCATCTAAGGGAGCATAGTTATACTCCAAACACCATATGTAGATCAGTTTTAACTATGGTACTACAAAGCCTAAAACTTTTTGCATTATGACTGGAAAGATTCCATCTAAATCGTGTGACTTCGATGAGTTTCCCTACTCTAGCCTCCAGATCTAAATAAAATGTTATTAGCAAAATTATCTCTGGTTTACCTATTAATATGTATCTGTAAGACCTAGATAATATCTTCTGGAATTTCTTAGACCTTTACTGCTATTTATAAAATGAAAATCAGTAACAAATCTAATGTATTTCTGATCCAGCTACCGTTAATTCTTCTATATTAATACCATCATTTCTATTAGAAGTTATACCGAGTTCTTACTTAAAGTGGATACGAGATAGGTCAGATCCTTACGAGTATTAGCGAGATAAAATTTACTTTGAAATATAAAATTTTTGAAAGGTCACTACAGTCATTAATATCGGTGGACCGTAAACTGGGAGCTGGGATGGGCAAAGGCACCTCATTCCTGTTTCTACAACCTTTAAAGCTGCAATGAAAAGGAAACTTTTGGTGTAGACAAACTTACAATGGTGACGATCCTTATTCCTCGATCTTTTTATTTTAGAATTTGAACGCTATAACACTAGCCTGCACAAAAAAAAAATAACATGGGTGCATTCGGTTCAGCATTCATTTTATTAAACATATTATCTAGTAACTTCATTGACACAGCTTATATGAAACTTGTTCTAGCTGATTAGCCGTCTCTACACGGGTTTTTAGAGTGAAAAAATTTGTGCCTTCTGTCTGTATGGATAAGGGTTATGATAGATGTTAGAACGGCTCGAATTATTCACATAAATACGTTACCAGGGACCAGGGTGGTGAGCACTTTGGATTAGTACCATCTGTGAGACTGTGTAGTGAAATATTATAAATTAATGCACGCGATGCAAGAACAATAGTTTTCAACTTTTCAAAAAATCTGCAATTACTAGGATTTTTGTGTGGTTGGCTTCAATTATTCAAGTTTTTTTATTAGATAGGAGAGCAATTGATGTAACAATTGAGCTTGACAAACTTTAAATAGTGTTTTGCATTCATCAGCAAAACTAATCAGTTTAACGCTGAATGTTAAGAGTGTAAGGTTCGAATTAAGTAAATGAAAAAGAGGGGCCTAAAAAAAATCTTGTGGAACTCTGAAGACAACCGGAAAACTTTTACATAACCAAAGCCCAATACAAATTTGATGATTAGCTAAGAATATAATTTGGTTATTTTGTCGCCAAGTTAATCGCTTTATACACAAACTAATAATCTCGCTGAATATAGATTTAACATTTAACTCTATATTTTATTTGTAATAAATCTAGTATTATGTATAATTCAACTGCAATGATCGTTTATCACAATTTATTCTGATTAATGTTATAAATATTGTAATAAATAATAATTGCAATGTATATGTATAATATTTTATAACTAATAATATATAAATGCGGTTATTTTTGTTTTTTAAAATATACTAACTTTTATTTCGAAAGTTTTTTTTTTTTTGTGTATCTCCTAATTCCTAATATTTTGCCGAAACACGTGTAGAGATACACAAAAAAAAAAACTTTCGAAATAAAAGTTAGTATATTTTAAAAAACAAAAATAACCGCATTTAAACAATTTCGAAGTAACGACTCAAAAATTAAAACAAAAATAATAATTTATGTTTTTATAACATATAAATAAATATATTTTTATCTATATATTATAAGGTTACAATAATTATAATATGGGATTTTATTAGATTGCAAAAACTATTATTGTTTTATATATCTATTGTTATTTTATTCTCTTACTAATGTATGTTAACTAATTTTGTACAAGTGTGCCCCTTATTATCCTCTTTCGCGGTGAAATAAATAATCACCGTTCGTAATAGTCTAACGTTCTTGTTGGATTGGTGCAACATTCCGTTCGTGGTGAAGCAACTTGATTTAAAAAAAGCAACACTTAGTTTAGTAGTCTCAACTTTTGTGATTGTGTGTTGGTTGATTTGTTTTGTTTACGTTTGGTTTTTCGTTCTTGTGATTGTACTCTTTGCTTGCAAGCAAGTTTGCATATGCTGTCATTATTTTTGCAATTTTGTTTCAAGTGTAGGGGCCGCTTTTAAGTGATTCAAACATTTTGTAAAAGAAAATTAGAAAATTGTACAATGGAAATAGCGGACTCATATTATAGTAAAGATGAATATGTTGAAACGGTATTATATTCTAAAATTTTATCTAAATGTTAATTAAATTTATCATTTGTGTAGGCATCTGGAAATAAAGTTAGCAGACAAACAGTTCTTTGTGGCTCGCAGAATATAGTGCTTAATGGAAAAGTGATTGTTCAAAGTGGTGCTATTATTCGAGGCGACTTAGCAAATGTCCGAACTGGGCGTTACTGTGTTATAAGCAAGAATGCAGTTATAAGACCGCCTTATAAACAATTTAGTAAGGGCATTGCGTTTTTCCCAATGCATATAGGTGATCATGTATATATTGGAGAAAATGCGGTAGTGAGTGCGGCTGTAATTGGTTCATATGTTTGCATTGGAAAAAATGCCATAATTGTAAGAAACGCCTTTATGTGTTTAAAATTATAATCTTCAATAGTCATTCATTTCAGGGGAGGCGGTGTGTCCTAAAAGATTGTTGCATCATAGAAGAAGGTGCCATACTTCCGCCTGAGACAACTGTTGCAAGTTATATGCGATATACAGTAAATGGTACTATTGAAGGTGGTCAAGGAAATCCATATTTTGTTCCTTCCGGAATGCCTGACCAAATGATAGATTATACAAAATCATTCTATGAACATTTTTTGAGAACTCCATAGAATTGTAAATGTAATTTTATATTTAATATAATGCTTATTTTTAGTATTACATAAAATAAATTGGTTTGTTATAACGAATCAAAGATGTTCATATTTAAATACTATAACGTATGAGTAAATTTAATTTATCTTTATACCGTTTGATAAGAAAATAGTTTTAAATTTTTTATATTATAATTTGTTCGTAAAATAAATGATTGAATATGTAAAGTATTATTAAATGTTTGTTACGATTGTAAGCTTAGGAGTTTTTTTAATCGGTATAAGTGGCAAGACAGGTGCATGTTATTGTTATTGTTGCAGCCCACCGAGATCTGAAAAGCAGACAACATGTACAGATTACAAGACAAAAGTACATGGGTTACAGATTCATGTCAATAATTTTACTTAACGATATTTAAAATGTTTGATAAAAAGTTGTTTATTGCAATGCTATATAAGAGAATTAGTTTCTAGTTGAAAATATTTAGTTCTCGACTCATGCAAATTTAGATCTATTGGAAGACTTCTAGATACATGTATTTTTTTTAAAACGACTAAATTCATTAGATTATCAGAAAGTAAGCATTATATATTTTCAAACACTAATGTCTAAACATTTTGCTATATAACTAACAACCTTCACAACAAATATTTCTAAACCGTAAAAGTAATATTACCATACCCGGAATAAAATACAACAAAAAGTATTAATTTTAAAATAGTTTTTATATATTTTTTAATTTGGCTATAGATCCTTTTTTTGTTAAATATATCAACGTTTAATATTTTTTATTATACTCTATATTTCGACTCTCTTTGAGAGTCATCATCAGGATCACGATTAAGACTATATCTACATCATCCTCTTCATTCTATCGTCTATATTGCACTGAATTGAAAAAATTTTATATTTATTTTGTTTATTTATTTGTTAGTTAACATTAAAATTAATTTTAAAGTTAACTATGAATGAGGAACTGAACTGTTTCGCCCTGAAACGACAAAAAGTAAGTTACAGCCCTTAAAAGAATATCGAGTTATGCTATCTCTCAAGAACGCAACTCTTTCAATTATAGGCATGCCAAGCAGGACAACGAAATTCCTGCATAATTCTCAAATAAATAAATAATAAATAATAAATTGATCAAACAAAAAACAGTTATCAAACAATATTACATTTTAGGTTATCATGATGGAAGATTAAATCTTCATTTCAATTATACCTACTGCAGTTGAAGAAAGGACGATGAAAGTGCCACTCATCTCATCTGCTTTCTTTTTGTCCAGCACATGCGCGGCGCCGCCTTCTTTAGAGGCCTTCTTTTTTGAGAATTTTAGCGCACTGCACGACCTCCCCCTGAATAGGATTATAAGCTTTGCCAAAGGTTCTAAGTAGTTCTAACCCTTGAGTTTTTAATTATACGGTAACACAATGGGCCTATAGGCTTAAATGGATCGCCGGTATAACCTACTTACCTACCTACCATTAAACAACACGACAATTAATAACAATTACGTTCGGTGTTTATAGGCTCCATATAGAAGTTACGTTCGGTGATATTTTTGGCATAGCTAGTTCTTTTCAATTGAACATATTTAAGCCATGTGAATCGTTTGTCCACCGTGATGCCTAGATATTTAATGTTATCCTCCCAGTTTATTACCATATCTCCTATTCTCATTGTCGACGTGTTCTGTCTCCTCTTACGCGTAATAAACAGAGCCTTACTTTTTTCATTATTGATTTTTATTTTCCATTTCTGGAAATATTCCAAGATGAGGTTTATATGCTTTTGAAGCGTGTTGATTATGTTGAGAGTACATTTACCCGAGTATAGCATACACGTATCGACAGCGTATAACGCCAGTGTCGAGAAATATAACATTGGGATATCGAACGTAGAAATGTTGTAGAGAGTGGGGGAGTGTGACGATTCCTGGAGAATCCTTGCATCTATAGTTCGAACTGAGAGATTTTTGTGCGAAAGGACCTCCCACGTAGGAAGCTGCCGATGTTGTTTTATGTCTTATCATTATTCGACTAACTATTTATATTTTATATTTTAAGCTTAGTGTTTACAAAGTAGTGGAATATGCATTATAAACATATTCCTACGATTAAAGTTTGGTGTAGTGCATAACGTAAATTAAATGTTTGTCAGAATTGCCCTCTAACCATATTATATCACCAGCACAAAATGCATTTTAGCACATTTGATAAAAACAAAAGAATTGGGACTTATAGATCATGTCATTAGTAAGAAAACATGAAAAGTACCGGATATGAAACTATTTTAACTACTCGGACGGACAGACGGATACATATTAGTAAAACTAACGTAAAATTCTGGACCATATTATGATACATTATGGCACTTTGACATTATGACACACTTCAATTTACTTTACCTTAATTTACTCGAACTCACACACGGTCCACAATAAATTTCAAAATAATGCAAAATCTTATTTCATTATAGTTTACAATCTTCAAACAAATCACGTAGAACCTAGCAGTCCAGTTCCATATTCTTAGTTAACTTTAAAATTAATTTTCATGTTAACTCATAAATAAATAAATAAAATTAAATTTTTTAACAAAGATTGAAGAATTGAACAAAAAATATAAATATGATTATTCAAGTCTTTAATAGTGTCAATAAGTTACATTGACTACCCTAATCAATTAAACTTCAATTCTAATTGATTTTGATTTTTTGTAAATATCATCTTCATTGCACTTAGAAATATTTAATTTGATAAATATATTATTGTACGTACTTATTACACAAAAAAAAAAACAAATTATTATAATGACCAAGTATTGTGTTTACAATTTTTGTTAAAAATTTGACGGCGTTAGCTTTTTAACGGCGCAGATGTCTGCTAAAGAAAGAATACCAAAAAGACATTTGTGATACGAATGATGGATAAAAACAAAAGAGAAAATAAACAAGGCAACAGATAATAAAAAAATTGTTGCCTAAAAACTTCCGCAGTGTAGAAAATATTTTCTCGCTGATAACTTGTATCATAATCATTTTCAGTCCTATTTATTCTTATTCTATACTTTGTATTATTTAATTTAAGATTTAGTACATTAATAGTGTGTAAATAAAGTTATATTAAACTGTGTTGGTGGGAAGTTCTTTTAGACGCGGTCACGTTGAACTCTGTCAAGATTTTTTGGAGCTGCTGTTTGAGTAAACGGAAAAGTTGATATGTAGGTTATTAAAAACTTTTAATGCACCCATGTAAAACTAGAATATTCAGTTCGTACGATAAGGTAAGATAACAAATCATTAATTTCATGTTTAAACTTTTTTATTAAATTACGAATATATATTGTATATTTTCAGGAACTTAACACTTCCAATTTTAGTTTGAATCATTCTGTGACCGGTAATGTTACTAAAAAGCATTTATCTGGAAATTATTGCAACTAATTAAGTGATAATTTTTAAAGCTAATTAAAGGTAATCGAATAAGCGATTATGGATTAGAGTTTCAAAAGAACTACTTCTACAAGTTTTATGCCCAACATATGCAATTTGCCATCAGGACATTTTTTAATCCAAACTATGTTGCTTGGAAGTAAAAATATATAAACAACTATTTCTGTGCCTCTTAATCTTTTTAACTAGTTTCATATATGATATTGGGTTCCACGAACGGCTGGGTCTACGTCCCAGAGCCTCTTATCAACCATGACGACCAAGTGTCATTCACCACCCCCCAAAGGAATTTTACAAACATTTATGATGTCAAGATTGAATCCGTTGGTGTTACGTGAACACAGTACGTATGTATATTATTGTAAATATAACATACACAAAAAATACAATATGTATATAAATATATGGAAATACAATATTTTCAACACAACTTAGTATTATACATAAATACATGTGTGGGAAAAATGTTTAGTTTCGGAACTTTGAAAATTTGTTTGTTGTAGTGTGGAATTTATTTTTTATAAAAATCATATTAAATTCTTTAATTGTTTTTTATCAATTTCAATAACTAATTTATTAAATAAAATAAATTAGTTATTAAACAAATAAATTTGTGCAATAAACCTAGTTCTATTCGGATTTAAGTAATCGATTATTTTATGCAACTTTTGTAAATAAGCTTTATGTCGATATAGTTTAATAGTTTAATAATATGTGTATTTAAAATTACAATTTTAATTTTAAAATATTTTGTCGGCTTTCGAGTTTAGCTATAAGAACAAAGCAAAATGACTTTAACCAGTGGTTCCAAGAACGGCAGAGTCTACGTTCGAAGACATTCGTCGCTATCGAAGTAACTTCACAAGCAGGTTCCAGCGAGCTACAATAATAACAACTTTAACCAGTAAATCATTTTGATAGAAAAACTGCAATAACTGGTATAATTTTTGTAAATCAGTGGTTAACTAACCAAAGTGAAAAAATAAGGAATATATTAATTAAACAAAAACAGATAGTTTATATTTATATTGTTAATTCAATTTACCATTTTGCGTTCCCCCCTTGACTATTATGTGTATATTGACTGCGTTAAAATAAATAGTAAATGTCAATACCTTTTCTCTTAAGGTTTTATCCACAACAGAGTTTATAGCATTGCTATAAGCGTGGTGAGTTAATTTCCACAAAAAAAATAGAATAATTTATTTTCACATTTTCAAAAGCACTTAAGTATTCCGTAATGACAGCTAATAAAAATAAAAGTAGTTGAGAACCTGTATAATTTATTTAATACTGTTTATTATATTGCTTATGATTATAAAAATTGAAAGTATACATAATAAATTTTAAAATACAAAGTAGAATACAAAATTTATATAATATGTATTTATTATATTGTATTTATAAATAAATATAATATTAATACAATAATATCAGAATTGTTTTTTCAGAATTTTAATTTTTATTTCAATCGTTTTTTGTACATTCCTATACGTATTTCGGGAAATTCGCTTCATCAGGAGAATTCCTAATATTAAAAACATCTATGCAATTTACAAGCTATTTATACTTATTACAAGTATTATTATTTAATTTGAATTAGTAGGATTATTGTTGTTTTTGTTCTTGAGGGTAACAGGTACAAATGGTAGTGGGATGGGTCTGGTACTGTTTTCATATATTAAAAAGTATATTACACAAATTTAACTTAATTTTAATTTCTTTAAAAATAAGCAATATAACACGCAATATAAAAATTTTATCATTAATATTTTAAAAGGATATTTCTCATAAATATATATATATGTTTGTTTTTTTGTGTGACCAAACAATTATATAATAAAACTTTTTTTTTTACAACGAACTAATTAGTCATTTAATTTAAAATGTTCAGTTCCCTGAAGAAGACTATCGACGGTAGTCGAAATATTGGAACAGTACTTCAATAAAATAAAATTTGTTTAAATATAGATAGTAAAGTGGAGAAATTGGTATAGAGAACCAAATCTGACATTTATTATAGAGAAGTTCTCTAACGAGTTGCAGAAACGCACCACTAGTGTGTGGTTGATTCTTAAATATTATTTAAATTAAAATATAATTTAACCGTTGAGTAACATTAGAATGACTTTCATCGTATTATGTTCCTAGATTAGGTTCTATACTTAAAAAAGAATAATATAACAGCAAAATAATAAAAATTGGAATAATATAATCAAGTACGGCTTTGGGTCAGTTGTCTCTGAGCTTCAAATTTGGCAGGGTACGAGAACAATTCCAGTTAGTTGCAGTTCCAAAAAAAATTATTTACAAATAATTAAATACAAGAAATATTTCCAATACCACTGATGATGGGTATTTGGCATTACTCGAAACAGCTGTATGGTCAGCAAAAAATTCAATTAATTAAAATAATATAAAATGAATTTTTGTTGTTGTAAGAGGTTCGAAAAACTTCTTTATTAAAATGTAATAAAAAAAATTTTGTCCATATTATCCTTCAATTCATTTTGATTCGCATAGAAAATAAAAAATTTGTCGCTGTGGGGAAGATACATAAATTTCATATAAAACATAAGAAAAATATTAATTCTAATATATTATAATTATATTATAATTATAATTAATTATTTATATATTTTATTTAATATTTTAATATTTTTTATTCAATGTGTAAACACGTTATATGACTTAAAGTGAGATAAAATTTTTTAACAAGATGGCAACATTGTATTATCCTTTTATCCTTACAAATCAACTTCCTTGGACAAGGTGAATTAAAGTAGTGAAACTTTATGAACTAAGAAATTGAAGTTATTTGTGACTTCGAGTGCAATATTTTATGAGTGATTTTTTAATGTTTAGTGCCATAAATTTTGTTGTTAAAGTAAAAAATGTTCAAAAATAAAAATGACTGTAATATTGTGTACAGATGCACAGTACGTCTGTTGGAGGATTCCGATGTCCTGGAATGTGAATTTCAGGTCAGTTAGTCATTTTCTTTTAAGTAAACACAGTTTTTTCTTATTAAAAAATATTTAGGAGTGTGTCTTTATATATTTTTAATACAATAAACAAGAGCAGAATTGTTTATTGTGTTTGTGAAAATTTAAGTAGAATTTTATTTAAATTATTTATTGGATTCCATAAAACAATTGCATGTGAAAAATATTCGTAAATATAATCGAACACAAGTTATGTAGTAAATAAACTGAAATTGTGCTAATGGAAAAATCACTGGGTGCAGTAGAAAATAAACACTTAAATTTTAAATAAAAATAGTAGTTGTGTAGATAACTTTATTCACTCATAAAAAATTCTTAATTAAATGTTTAAGAAAAGATTACACAAAACTTATATATATATATATATTATATACGTTTATATGTTCCTGAATTCATATAACGAATTATTATTAAATAACGATTATTCTAAGCAAACAAATAGTTATGACAGTGTTATCCAAAACTATGCCAATACATTCAGATTTTAACCTCATCTTACCATGTAACATTACTATCTAGAATTATTAGATCTATATAGTCATAGTAGAACCTATGTTATTATTATTAAAATATATCCTAAGTCACACTTTTTCTTATTTGAATAATGGTCAAACCGACATTATTCAAAGTTTAGAGTTGACTGTGGGCGTAGATCCTGCTGCTATTGAAGCTAGTACTAATTAATAGTTTAACAAAATGCATAAGAAATATAGCACTTAAATTCCACGATAACACTACAAATAACAACATAACAGTAAATTATATAAAAGAACAATTTAATCTTTTTCAAGAAAGAAAATATCAAAGCGAACGGCACACTTATAGAAAAAACATGTTAGAAGTTAAGTATTTATTTGTTATTCAATCTATAGTATATGTAAAATGAAAGATCCGGTTTATATACTAGTATTCTAACCAGAAACGACGTGATGATTTTTTCCTGTTGACGATTGACTCCAGAATGTAGATCCGGCTGCTCCTGGAATCCTATACTCGTATAACTTACTGGTAATTAAAGTTCATATTTGCGTAACCATGAGCGGCTCTTTTCGGCTCATTCTGCTCACAGATGATGAGCAAGCAATAAACTTTTTTCATACGATGACTCACGAGCGAGCCCAATTGTAGAGCTCATGCTCATGAGCAAGAGCCGCCATTAAGTTAAAAATTGGCTCACGCTCGTGTGCAAAAGTACAAGCTGAGGCTCATGAGACCTCATGGGACCTCATGCGCTGCATACAAGAAGGTTGTTGTTTTCGTAGCACAATATGGCACTTAATCGTTTTATATTAAGTTAAGACTTTTAAACTATATTATATTGTATTGTTCCATTATATTGTTTTAATATTAATAGTAACAAGCTAAGCTAATTTCAAATTATATATTTTTACATAGCAAGTAACGTTTTTAAAAATAAATAAAGCAAATAAACTAATCAAAAATAAATCGCTTTTTCTTGTACAGTTGAGCTCTCGGCTCGTGCTCACGCTGTTGAGCAGCTCTTCAATATGAGTCAATTTTGAGCTCACGCTCATGAGCTAATTCTGTGCTCTCGTAATAATTGGCTCTTGCTCTACTCGAGATCTACCGTATTCTTTGAATTTGGATTCCAGTAAATATTCCGTACTTGCTATAGGAAATGAGATTTGGTTCCAATTAAGTAGTGATTAGAACCAAATCTAAATTTGTCGAATTATTAGAGAGTAGGTAAAAAAAAATTACTACTCTTGAAAGAGGCTATATTGGTGAATAAAGGTTAATTTTGCCTAAAACTTGTGATATAATTGATTTATTGTATTGTGACAGAAAATAGTTTTTATGTTAGTAAAATGTAAGTTAGCTTTAAACCTATCCTAAATAAACCTATGCAGTCTATAATTTTTTTTTTGTGAAATGCTCACAGTTCAGTTATCTCCATAGATATCTAGATATCTAAATAGTTAAGATCATAATAATTTGTATTGAACAAAAGGAATTCATACAGATTCATGAATATATTGTTATAATAACATTGGAATAGAAATAGGTGTATATATCTAAATATGCAATATATAAAAAATTACAAAAATTCTCAAAGTTTAAACTTTTTTATTTTAACATAATTTATTAAAATTTTATATTGTACTAAAATGGATTTAAAAAAAATATAAAATAAAAATTTAACAGTAAACTAAAAAACTAATTAGAAATCATTTTTACAGTCTTTTCATAAAGGGAGTTATCTCGTGGAGTATATATGCAAACAACTGGATATAAAAGAAAATGACTACTTTGGCCTACGTTTTGTGGACTCTTCAAAACAACGAGTAAGATGCACTTTGATATATATTTCATTTTGTGGCTTATTGTTTTATTTTTTTTTTTTAATTGATCTATTGATTAAAATAGAATAAATTATGTTTAATAATTCTAAATTATATACATATATATCTCACACTGCATTAAATATGTTTCAAAAAGTGATTGACTAGATACTTTGGTTATTAAATCAATAATTAAAATCAAAATAGGTGACTTGTTAACTTCATTTTTCTTTTTTTTTATTAGTTAGATATATCTTTAAAATTATATTTAAATAGGTTTATTTTTAAACTATTTTAACCAGTTTATTTATTAACATAATTAATTAAAATATTTTATTGCGTTTAAAACATTGATTTGAAATTTTAATTTTTCATATTATTATTTATTTATTTCATTGAATAGTGAATTGTATACGTTATATACAATTTTATAATAATTATGAATTTTATATTATACAAAAAAATTTTCTTTCACAAAAAAACTGCTAGGAGGAGCTTAGGGCCGCAATAAAGATCTTCCACTCCCCATGTGTAACATTTCCATATCAATTTGCCTTCTCTAAGTGTGTGCAGTTCTGCTCCTTCTGCTCTCAATCGGGTTTCACTTAATTGCCATTCATGTGGTGTCACCAGTCGGTCTACGCTAAGTGTAACCGACCCAGTCCTATATCTGAGTTTTGAATATGCAAAATGTAAATAAAAGTCAATGATAAATTAAATTAAAAATTGTCGAAATACAATAAAATCATTGATTAACTGGGAAATATTGGCCGATTAACTAAATCTCTGATAAGTTAACCTAACCAGAGATCGTCTAGGTACAATCTAGACGTACGCAAACAATATCCAGTTAAAAAGTAAACCTACATAGTATCAATTATTCTCCTTCAGAATAAATGAGTTTTATCTTTTTCAATATTTGTGATATATTTTATATAATCAGTGTACTTATCGAATATTACGGAAGCAATAACTGTATTGAACTAAGGTCACATTTTAGATACATGCTTAATAACATGTACACGAACTTAAGCCCTGGCAATAAATAAATAAATAAAATAATAGCTTCGCTCTATTAAGATAGCAAGGTTTTTTATACGTATACCCTGAATAATTTCTACATTTCACTCACAGCGCCTCTTCCTCTCCACACTGTATCTCCTATATATTCCTTCCGCCCCCCATTTTTTCTATCTAAAATCACCAATGTATGTTTTTATCTATTTTATTCCAACAATAACATCATTACGAAAATTATTCACTGTATTTCACTGAGACGTTAAAGCAGTATATATTAATTTATATGGGTGTGGTTTTTACCTTAGAAAAAGCAGAAATGATCTGAAATAATATGACCATAATATGTCATAACACTTGAGTGTTTAAAATTTATTGATTCAAAGCTCGAAAAGCATGAGTTTTGTTTTTGTTATTTTTTAAATCCCTGTGTACGTTCACGAAGATAGGGTCAACTACTCAAAGACGTTTTTAAATTTTAATATACGATATATAAATTTAAAAAAAAAAACAACTCAAAAACTTAACTGAAAAAAAAAACAATTTTCATTAATTATTTATGTTTCACATCTTTATTACGTTTATGTTTATTTACGTCACATATTGTGTATGTATAAGGGTGTTTTCTGAGCACGTTCCGTGGATTCCGGAGATGATTCATTAATCAAACAGACAAAAAAATTGTGCGAGATTATTTGGTACAAGGAATCATCGACGCAATGTACGAGACTTTTTCAAAAAACTCTCTGAATAACTATATTGAAATCATCAATATTTTCAATAGTTTTAAATGAATATTTCATATTTCATACCTTAATTGTTTAAGTTTAAATCATAGTAGATTCTTTTTCATGGATTTTAAAAAAACGAAAGACGTATTTCATCTAATTTTTTTAGCATTGGTTGGATCTGGCGAAGTCAATTATAAAACAGTGTAAAGGTAAATTTTTTAAATTAAACTTTACAATGTCCGGCTTATAAGTGTATTATTTAGATGTTGATCCAGTCTTATTTTCCTTCCGAGTAAAGTTTTACCCAGCTGATCCATTTCGGTTACTTAACAATGGACGAGTTATGCTGTACCAACAACTTAAACGAGATTTGCGGCATGGTCGTCTTTATTGCTCAATTGGTGAAGCAGCAGCATTAGGTTCACTGATAGTGCAAGGTACTATAAAAATGTTTGCATACTGTTTATCGTTATTACAAGAATGTTATGATAATTTAAGAGGAACTTGGGGACTACAACGAAGACTTTAATATCGGTGATTATGTGTCATCAATGCACTTAGCGTTACGCCAAACTGAAGCATTAGAAAAAAAAATTATTGAATTGCATAAAAAACGAGAACCAAATCAACGTCCTACTGTAGCTATGGATGAATTCATAAGCATTGCACGTGGGCTGGAGACTTACGGAATTGATCCGTATCCTGTTAAGGACCATCGTGGATCACAACTGTATATTGGAATGAATTATTCAGGCATTAGTACATTTATTTTAGGTAAAAGATCGCAACACTTTCGCTGGGGTGAAGTGCATAAGTTAAATTTTGAAAGTAAAATGTTTATAGCCCACCTTAGTTACACAGATGCCAGTAGAGAACCGGTAATTATATTCCATTTTATGTGAAAATTTAAATTAAATTAATGTTATAGAAAAAACACACAATTGGATTTAAATGTGTATCTGGATCTGCCTGCCGATATGTCTGGAGATGTGCCATAGAACAAATGTTGTTTTTTACGTGAGTACAAATTTTACAACTACCATATATTATTGAATATATTATCATAAGAACTAATGATACTCAAAGTTAGTATTTATTAATAGCAAATTCACAAATATCTTACAAAATATTTTTTTATTAAGTTGATAATATTTAAAGCCCTACATCTAGTGTTTTTTTTATATATGGGAACTTTTTTGCTTTGGCAACTGTTTAACATGTAGAACTACCCAGTGTTGAATTTGGAAAAATGGGAAAAGAAGAATTTTGCATATTGATTTAGATTTTAAGTTTTTTTTTTAAAATTTGAAACTATACATTTACATTTTTATAGAAACGTATTTATCCTTTGAAGTTAGTGAGTAATTAAAAACAATAATTGCGTTTTCATATTTAACATCATAATACGGCTGGTTTTAAGAACCATCCGTAAGATGTTGTTTTCTACAAAATCAAATACATTTTCTCATTGTAAATCTTTTACACCATTTCATATATCAAGCAGTTTAAATTCACAAAGCATGAATTTTTGAAAATATCTACATCGAAACTCTTTCAGTACTATGCGTCTTCCCAATAAATACTGTAGATCTTCTATTTCATTCAAATTGCATAAAGATTAGATGTTAGAGTTCTTACCTGTCAATTTCCTTTTAGTCATAGAGAGCTGTTTTGCGCTTTCATAATTCAAAAAATTCTTTCCAACAAATAAGTCTTGTTGCAATATATGCCGCCTCTCGGATATTTCAGCTTTTTATAAGTAAAACAGTAAAACCAGCATTCATTGCTCCTGGCTTTTTCAATATGAAGGAGATCTGTTTTGATTGAAGTTTTTTATTTAAATGATTTTTTATACAATAATACGACGGTTATGTTATACCATTTGTTCAAGATATATCAATACAATTAATTAGATTCAATCCCATTATAGCAGAAAATCCTGTAATTCGTTTTATATTGAGTGGGTAATGTAGTCTTGTCTAAGTGCTTTTTTGATGTACTGAAGATGTAGGTTAAGCGTAAAAAATTAGCCCTCTTCAAACGATGTGAAATCCCAGATTTATGTTTCAGAAGCTTGAAGTGATCCACTTCTACTATTGATAGCTACCTACTATTGCTAGGAAGAGATTTCATTCAGTCTTCTCGGAAATTTTCTTTTTAGCAACAAAATGTAGCTAGATCGTATTAATGCTCATCTTTGCTATAGAATTCTTACGTTGTGTCAGCCTACTCTGTTGTATTTTCTGCAACATATGTCTACCAACTTTCGCTGAAAGGACACCAAAACACCTGTTGTGCATATGTCCAGGCCTGGCCAGAACTAGGATTAGGTTATTAGGGACCCCCTTTTTCAACTCACTAAGCGATATCTACAGTATGGGTATTGACCCTACTCTCGCCTTTATAAATGCTTCTGGCTGGTTCTAGTTCAACCTTCTATCACCCACTATTACGAAGAATTGTGAATTCAGAACGACTTTCTTAGTTGATTAATGAGGATTTGTTCTTCCCTCCACTTCAACTAACTAACTAAATTGCCGCCAGTTTGAGTTATAAGATTCTTATTAAGGAAAAAGAAGAAATATAATAAAACTGTTTTTGAAATATCAAAAACTTAGAAAAGGTTTGTAGCTACTACTATTACATTTTAGAACAAACTTATTTAAAATAAATTTTAATTTTGTAGATTAATTTATAGATACTTTTTAATTACATATTGTGCGATACTTATTTTCCTACGACACTGATTTGACAACGGATTTTAGTAAATTCAGCTTACTCTTGTACGACATTAAATGCCGCTATAGCTAATTCCCGAGATATCGAGGTTGAAAGTTGAATATATAGGTTTTGGATTGATATACCTATGCCATATTTACATTGATTACACAAAGAATTCGTAACAACTATTTCAAGCAACTCTTTCACTACGCTATCTCAGTAACTGGCCATCTGGCACGTCAAACTATAAAGTGCGACATTTAAAAAAATGAAGCTATTGTAAGATATGTCGTAATGGAAAAGGTTGCTTAAAATAACTGTCTTTACTATAATTTATTGTCAAATGAGTGTGTCCGGGAAATCAAAATCATGCTCATATTTACTTTCTTGATACCATATATTCATAGCTTATGTATGATAGCTCGAATATTTTTTAAATAAATACAATAAAACTAATCTATAATTATTTTTTGTTAAGTCTTCCAAATAGCCAAAATGCGTCGGTAGTATCTGGAGGTGGATTTTTTTCTTGGGGTACCAAATTTAAATATTCTGGGAGAACTGAACGAGAAATTCTTACTGAAAGCATAAACGCTTTAAAGGAGCAAAGAATTACAAATTCTGCTGCTAGTAATCGCAAGGCTAGTAGCGTACCAGCAACGCCATCCAGTCCAAAAGTTCATCTATCTCAAATTCGTAATTTTTTTAAACTATTATACTGGAAAAAATGAAATAATATATATTACATACACAGGTTACAGCAGTTTACCACGTTCTACAATGTCTGAGTCACTGAGTAGTTCTGCTATTGAACACGTAGACAATTGTGGTAACATCAAATGCATCACAAATCCATTAGATGGTTGCAGTATACAATTAACAAATCTCGAACCTGTATCAGAAGAATCACGTCTACGTATTTGTAATGCTAATCAATTAAATAATTACGTTCCGGATGAATCAGAATATTACTATCGAAGCTCATTAGGAAAAAATAGAAACGAAACTGACTCTCCAATATTATATTGGAATGGGTCCAACCGTCACTATAACTTTAATGACAAAAACGTTGTTTTTGCTTCACAGCCTGCTAGTTCACTATCTTCCAATATTGTTCCAAATAGCTCTATTAACTCCATTGCCACTGGTAATTTACTAAATAAAATAAAAAGAAAATGTTTAATAAATTATTTTTAAATACTTATAGATAGCAACGTTGTCTGTCAAAATGTAGTAAACTGTGCCAAAAGCGTGCGGAAATTTCATCTTTTCAACGTTTTTATTCCTTCGTTATTTTTTGTTGTGGCAACCATGGCATTCTCTGCTGTGTTTATTTTGGAATCTGACTCCGAATTTCTTGAGAAAGTAAGAAATATGCCAGAAATGATTAGTTTGCGATACCAATACTATCAACCACTTAAAGAATTTATTTTTCGTACATTAAGCAAAAAATAATCTAAGATACTTTCTAATATAAATAAAATTAGTATAAATAAATATAAATGCTTTTTTTTACTAAAAAATTTTCAATTCCGTCTAACAGTACCAGTATAAAATACTCAAAAGAGATCTAACCATATATATATGTATGTATTTCAATTTTTGATCTAAATACTGCAATTTTTAAATGAAATGCATATTAAAATTGAATATGCTATACAGTTTATCTGAGATAGTCTGTATCAAATCAGTTTTCTTAATAGTTATATGAATATTAAAAAAAAAGATACACGCAGTAGAAAAAGTCTGCGGTCACCCACAAAATTTTTCTTAAATTGATTTTTGTTTTCTGATTTATTTTAACCAAAGAAACAATGAATTTTAGGCATGAAGAGGAAAGAGACAAACAACAGTTAAAATATGACTAATATTAATTTTTTTTGTTACCAATACCAATAAATATAATTAAAATCTTAGTTTGTAAATATGTATATGGTTGACAGTAGTTGCAGTATGTCATCGTTCTGCTAAATTAACTGTGCTGTAAAATTTAATAAAACATCCTGTAATGATATGATGTCTATAGTTGGTTCCACGAACAGACGGATCTATATCCTGAAGCTAGTCGCCAAGTTCGACAATAAATTGCTATTGACCACACCCAAAAGGAATCACATAAGCAGATCTTTGAGGGTTGTAAAAATGCTCAGGCCCGTTTCACAAAGTCACTCGTCTTTTTACCCTTTGCAACTGGAACAAGCATAGCAGGTTTCTTCAGATTACTACAACAACAATAACAATCTAACACTGTTATGTTAGTTCAACTAAAAACTTAATTTAGATACGGAGAAGAGAATACCGGTGACCATATTAAGAAAACTTTTAAATTTGCAGATTTGAAGAAGACTTGTGGCATAACATTTCAGTTGTGCCACACACAGTGATAAAAGCAGATGAATAATAATCTCATCATTATTCGTGTCAGTCCAACGCATTCATACACCTGAATATATGCAGCATTAAAGATTTTATTTAATTATAAGGAATGTAAACAAAGAAAGCATACTTCAAGCACAACACAGGCTTTTGAGAATTAAAGAAAGTACTATGGCCATTAACAAATATAATTACAAATAGAAAATTGCTGCTTATTTTAATATTCATAATAATATTGCCTTCGAAGAAATATTAATAATACAATTAAAAGTAAACCTCTATAATGTTTCGTGCCGTTCGAAACTGCGATAATTTAAATGTTTGATGGTCATTTGACTCGAGCACAGCAATCTACTTTAAAGTTTGCTGTTATGTAGCCCCTTTTAGTACATATGCACACTCTAACCCATGTATTCATCAGTTAATTCCTTTGAAGTTATTTGCTATATTGATGCCTATGGGTTACCACACAACAAGAGCGTTTGATGTTATATGTATTTGTATATAAAAAAAAAAATAAATAAATCCAATATAAGGAAGATTTTCTCTACGAGCACTGGAGCAGTCTTAAAAGTTAAAAATACAAACATTGCTTGAATACTGAAGCATTAATTAATTGAATTGTTAAATGCAATTACTTCTGCCCTTGAGATGTAACATTGCTTAATATACCATTTTATATATAACATACGCTAACAATGCTCTTAGTGCAACTTATACTTTGAGTATTTAAGTTGAAAAAATGATTTTGTATAATATTTAAATATGTATTATAAAAACAAATCTATTTTAAACATTTATATTTATTTATATATATATATATATTTATTTGATTAAAAATAATGTATTTTGGAATATTACTATTTAGATACAAACTTTTAAATTTTTAGCGCAATATGTTGGCATATATCGAACCGATTTAAAAATCCGATGTAATGGTCTTTAAGACGAGTAACAGAGATAATAAAATTATGACAAACATTTTCTTTTTATACTGATATATAATTTAATCGTCGCTTAAGAAGTCTTCATCTAAGCTTACATCATTTATATCTATATTGTCGTCTAGAGTAACACCTTCCAATTCAAGATCCAAATCGTCATCGCCATCATCACCTAATGTTCCCGTTGTGGTAAGAACATTCGAAGTTAAAATGCTGTGATTGTTAGATAATAAATCATCGTTCTTTTTATGATCCTGTGAAACAGCTACATTGGAATTCACCAAACCTTCTTCACTTTCAGCCAAAAATTCTTCTAAAGGATTGCGCTGAATATTAAGAGGGAATTTAAAAGCGTTTTGTGCAGGAATTTTTATTTTTTGCTTTTGACATAAAAATTCTTCAACTTGCTTGGCGTTCGAAATACCGGGAAATAGGTTTTCGAACTTATCTGGATCAGCTAAAGATTGTCCAGCTTTTTCATTGGTTTTGCTTAGTTCATCTCGCCAAAGAGAAACTACTCGAGATATTTGACTTGGGATGTAAGTTCGTGCGAAAATAGCTGCTTCTGGTAAACGATTTGTATTTATCAAAATTTCGATGCAATTTTCTAAATCCGCACTTAAAAATGATGATAAGAATGCAATATTGTGACGCCCATGATTTAAAGCATTTTGACCCAAATCATCCAGCATTACTTTATCACCTGATGCTGTAGCAAGTAATAATAAACCACTGAAATCATTTGCTTTTTGCATACATTCTTTAACTAATTCCATATTATTCCTGCGTGAAGCAGCATCAGCTAGTTGTGTCCATTTTTGTGGATTTTCTGATTCGCGGGCAAGTTTAACTGCAATACCTAAATCTCCCGTCTGTAAAGCTAAATCAAATTTATGATCAGGATCTGTTGACACTTGAAGAGCTTGAACTTTAAAGCCCTGCTTTTCAAGGAAATGTGCAACCCGTGTACGATGCTCTTTGGGAATTGTTGGAAGCACATTATCAGCGCGATCAAAATCACGACGCATCACTGCAGTTTGATATTCTAACACTGACAGTTGTAATGAAAATGAAATAACATTAAGCTCTTTGTCACCCAGATACAAACGATTATCCTTAGGTACATAACCGAGCAAATACATTGTTCGATCCAAATGTGATATTGTAACAATTTCGCCACCAACATAATAATTAATTCGATTAACGGAATTTGTATAAATAAAGCAATCACCAACCCAAAGGCCAGTTTTGACAGATTCATTTACTTCTCCTGCAAAAAAAAATAAAGAGAATAAAAAAAATTAAACGGATTGCATTTTTGAGTACAAATTAAAAAACATTATTGTTAAAATCGACACAAATTTTTTGTTATATTTAATAAAAGCAAAATCAGAAAAAAAATGTTTGGAAAATGACTATTAAACTAGGTATATCCTTGTTTGAATGAATTGGCAATACGGAAGGTGAAAAATTTGGCTGTATTTAAGCTGAAAGAAGATTTTTTCATTACTTTGCATTTTTGTATAATTAACGTAGTTTGCTTTAAAAAAAGACAAACAGATTTGGCTTAATTAGACAATTGCAATTGACCTATATGACATTTATTATTCAACATTACAAAAACTATATTTATATGCAAATAGAATAGTAAAAACTGTTAACCTTACATAAATCGAGAAAAATATATGAAATTAATAATTTTACTAAACTTTGAAAAAGTTTATAAAAACAAAGTGATAGTTCTACTTTAAATAAAATAATGAATCATAAAAGCTTTTAATTCATCAATTTAACCATGTATGAAAATAGTTTTTAATATATTAAAAGCGTGAAAGCTAGGAATTTTAGTCATATACAAAAAATTTGCTGATAACTTACTTATAAATATCATATTATAAACATTAATTGCAAATGGTTAAATGTTCTTACCTAAAACATTAAATGCACTTTCTATTCCGTCTTCTTCCAAAGATTTAGATTCTAAGGCATTAGCAATTGCATCTGTATCAACTGATAAAATAAAGTACGATTCATCAGTTGCTAAGCACACCAATGTTCCAGATTCGTTCCAAAATACATGACGAGGTTGTACTTCAATTCGACGAACTAATTGTAATGACTCCCAATCATAAAAAACAAGACCAGATGACGTTTTGACTCCAAACAAATGTCCACCATATATATTTTCAGCTCCATATTCTGGAGTAAAACTTTTCCTTTCCTTGAAGTTACGGAATAAACGCACAGTTCCATTGTTTTCTCTAATTGCATACTCATTACTTTCTAATGCCCAAACAAATTCTTGTGCTGAACCAAATGCTTTATTGCGAAGAGCCATAGAAGTATATATTATATACTCTCCATCACCACAAACGACCACAAAGCGACCATTAGGATTATGTGCAATCGTTTGTGGATAAATTTCACATGCTCCCATATCCTTAACAGCTACCGGTAAACGTTCTCCATCTTTGATATCAGTACCCTCTGCCAATGTTTTTAAGTTTACCTAAAGAAAGATATATAAAATTTTATGTCCTTGTGTATATTTAACGTTTGAATACTTGTTGCATTTCAGAATGTTTTGCCCATATTATTTTGCTTCCAATAACATCCATTGACATAGCTGGTTCTTCACGTCCAACTTTGATAATAATAGAACCTTCATCATAACCCAACGCAACATTATTAGTTCCACGCATGCAGGCAATGGTCCAAACACGTTCAAAGCCATAATTAAGACATGTTTCCAAACGATATGTTCCGGAATGCCAAATGCGCACTGTACCATCTTCAGAACCAGTTAATACAATAGGTAATTCAGGATGAAAACATACAGCAGAAATATTCTGAGCATGTCCTTCCAATGTTTGTACACACGTTTTGTTCTGATAATCCCATATTTTAACCATTCGATCATCTGCACCAGATATCAAATATGGTTTGTCACCGCCGTGATAATAATCTACACAGTTGACACCTTTTTCATGTCCTTCTAATGTAAAGTTTGCAAAATTTGAACCAAGTTGCCAAACTTTTACAGTGCGATCCAATGACGCAGAAGCGAAAGTATTATTGTCTTTGGGATTAACAACAATTTGCATAACATAATGCGTATGCCCTTCAAAAACACGCTGACATGCCCACATCTTCTCCCAGTTCCACAATTTTATCAGCATATCGTCTGAAATATAAAAAGGATCATTATGTATTAAATAGATTATGTAAAAATTACAAACTAATATAATTGGCTTACGAAGGCTGAATCATTTTTACAAGAATATGTTTTTATTTTAATTAATTATCAATTTCAATTTATCAATTTATAATTATCAATTTCAACGCTTTGAAAATTATTTACACCATACATATATTACACGTATAAGTGATGGCAGAAGCATTAATATTGTGTAATTATTAAAATATCTACATGACTAATCATTAAATAAAGTTGAAGCTTATTTAACAGGCATATATGGGATTTAAATTAGAAAATATAATGTACAAAGAAATCGCTTATAATTTAAACTAAATCTGCTATTTGTATGTAAGCTGCATGCAGTCGATGTAAAAATTTAGATTGCTGCTAAACTTTTTAATTATAAGCTGCAGCACTAACGATTAAAAGAACTAGATACCAGTAACAGAGAGCCTTACAAGATGACGCAGCTTACTTAGGCTCTGCATATATGCCGATTGGTAATAAACATTCATAAAATAATTTAAACTTTAAAATGTAAAAACTAGCCAATGGAATATGTGAAAATATATATATAGTTGTAAAGTTGCTTTATACAGTTCCTGTTTAAATAAATTATTTGCTTTTAAGTTAAATTAATATTATATGCTTACCACTGCTAGTCAAAACAAAGGGCTGTGTCGGATGAACAGCAATACACCGAATATAATCAGAATGTGCTTCAAAAGAATACACTTTTTCTAATGTATTATAATTAAATATCCTTATTTGCATATCATCGGAACCAGTGATTACCCAATTCTTTCTGCCCACAAAACGTCCTGATCGCACCGGCACATCACATACTTCAAAATCCTTGACTAGTTGTTGGTTGTCATAGTTCATAATGTGTACGTGGCCATTATATAGAGCACATAACATCCACGGTTCTGATGGATGCAGATCAACACATTTGACTCTGTCGGAACGTGATGTAATTCGACGCTTGATATCAAGTTTTAAAGGCATTTTCAATTAAAACACAGTTTTATTCTAGCAGGTTTATATTTCGTTGTTCCACAATATGCAGACTTTTTAGCCCAAAACTGTTGTATTTATCACTGACGTTTTCTAATCAGTACATCAAAGACCGGAGATGCCACCCAAATAAAAAACTTATGTATGCCGTTTTTCATAGAAAGCAATTTGTTTACAATTTTGTATTTTGTCAAACCAAAACACTTATGTTCCACATTAATTTGTTGTTGTGGCCTTGTGCAAGTTCAAGTAAATTGATGGTAAATTGAGGAAAATAATAAATTATGTCGATATGGCATATGTCGAGTAGGGTAAATTAGATAAAAATTAGGTAGATTAGGTGTTACCGTTGTGAAAATTTTATAAGATGTTTAATAAATAAATAAATAAATTTGAAAACTTTTAACCAAAAATAATAAATAAGAGCAATAAATATATAAATAAATATTTACAAAAAAGCAGTGCAAAAAAATCCCTAGGGAAATTTAATTTACAATTTAAAACAATTCAGAAAGCAGTCTATAATATTGTGGGAGCTGTGAAAAGGTTATTATTTTCTAATCCAATACTTTGAATTCTGTTTAAAAATTTTTTTTCTATGGCCATGTGCGAGTTCGAAAAAATTGTTACCATCAATTGAAGGAAATAATAAATTATATCGATATGGTAGCAAATGTTGGTATTTACCACAAAAATATTATGCAAATTAGGTATTATCTTTGTGAAAATTTTATAAGATGATTAATAAATAAGTGCAATAAATAAATAAATAAATATTTACATAAGTGCAGTACAAAAAATCCCTAGGAAATTTCAATTTACTCGAAATCGAACACGGCCTAAACAAAATATTTTGATTGAGGCGTGTGTTAATTTTACTTAATTCAAAGTAAATAAATGGAAATAAATTTGAAAACATGCACTTCTTTTAGGAAATGGATTGCGATTTGCTAATTTCTTTTTTTGAGCAATAGACAAACTCTCAATTTTTATACCTTGAACAATAAAAATCATGTACCCAAATTCATCTTTTGTTATATGAAATTAATAAATAACTTGATAACGAATTTTCCGCTCAATATATTTCATCTTCACCATCCATTTTATTTTCAAAACAAACAAGATAAAATTTAATTCACAAGCAATGTAACCGCAGCATGCGATGTATTCGCATTAGAAAACATTTGTACGAACATGCAATACATAATTTGCATGCAGTGTAACCGCAGCCTAAAAGTTGCGAGAAAAGCAATAGCTATGGTAACAGCCGTTGTTAACGTCACCGAATTCATAATGTAAATCAAAGAAGATAAAGGAAAGAAACAGAGCTATACTGAATTTATAGAAGAGTACTGATTGCAATTTTAGCTGTCATATTAAATATTTCTTGATTTCAATATTGAAATAAGTTCAAATCAGAAAGATTTGTAGAAATTTTGACAGTTGAAAATAAAATTAAATCCTAATTTGTGTAAAATCAAGTAGATTTCAACTTGAACAGTTCACCGTAGCACAAAATTGTCCAGTACAAGCTTATGCTATTGTGAATAGTTTTAAAGAATAAATGAAATTTTCATAAAAATTGAAATAATATGGAGTTTATATTGGCCGAAAATGGTTCATTTTGGTCAAAAACCGAAAATGAGTAGATAATGGTTCATTCTTGCATATAAAATTTCAAGCGCGAAAATGAGCAATATTCTCACATTCTGTATGAAAGACGTTCGAATGCATTCCACATATGTTCCAAATGCAAAGGAATCCATTGAACATACCTTAATAAAAGCTTTTCATGGCATTTTGACAGTTTGAGAAAGCCGTTTTTGACATATTTACAAAAAAAGGTAAACAAATGTTTGGTGATTGCATTTTCTTGAAAACGATGCACTCTTTTTAGAACTTCTACTTCCCAAAAGGTAATTAATCGAAGTTAGAAATATGTTTTAAGTTTATATTGTAAGGTTTGAAAGCATATTTAACCTTCATACAATATTTTGTGGCACAGGCCAAAAATCAAATCAACAAGCAAGTTGAAAAATCAGCTGTTTGAAATGAGAACAAACGAATTACAACGAATGTAAATACTTTCAAATGGCTCATTCAAAATGAGCCATTTTCGGCCAATGTAAACGCCATATAAAACTGTTAGTTATTATATTTATACATCATATGTGGAAAATACATAATTTGCAAAAGTTGTGAAAAAGTGTATACATATTACAAATCTGAGAATTAAATTACAATGATACATCGTGTGAATCAATTATTTTTGATTTTAATTTTAGATGTTAGTTTAAAATTTTTGACAGCTAAAATTACAATCAAAACTTTAGTGTGAAACTAGTAGTACTCGAAAAATTGTTTATACAATTTTCTGGATTATTGAAATAATATTCAAAATTTTATGTAATGAGGTGAAAATATTACGCAGTATAGAAAGAAAAATTATTCACTTATTAATTTTCCCCACACGGTTTTGCTATTTTGTTCACCCCGACGTTACTCATTGCAAAATAGGGATAAGAATATTTTTCCGGTAAGGCATGCTTGTCATATGCACGATCGCACAGACTCTACTTCTTTTGTTATGAGCGGATGACGCGCCAGCGAGAGAGCCAGAAGTGCCAGTGTGTGATGTTCATATTAGGGTCGGCTTTAGCAACAACGATAGATAAGGAAGTGCGGAGCATCTCTTCCTCATATCAAAAGCAACGTCGCATAAATCATAGTTAAATCGACTCTGACACCTTCACCCTGAGAGGCTTCATGGGAAATTTGAGAGCACTTCCCGAATGCTCTTGATAACTCCTCTACTACCTTCAAACACTGACAAGTCAGACTAATTCTATGTGGAATTACCATTTTATTATGATGTGCAATTACCATTTTAATTGACTGCTATGAGTTGACAAATACAGTATTCTGTTACCTGTGTACACCTGAGTGAAACCACGTTGAAATGACTTTCAAGCTAATGCTGTAGTCGCCAATATCTTGTTAAGACTTTCACTCTTCAAGTACATTCGAAGGAACGTCACCATTAAGTTGGTGGTACAGGCCTGCGTTTAAACCTGGCTGTGAACACAAGCACTGATAAACACTGTGTCAACCCTCGCAAAACATGCCTGCCTGCATAGATACCCACAGGGTTCGCATACACGGACGACTGTACACTCGATCGGAAATAGCGACTTAAAAAAATATCAAGTTCACTTGAAATTCAAATAGTAGCAGCAGCCGAGAAGGGTACTCCAGCCTCCAGCATCCTCAAACACTTAGTAAGAACAAACACCACAGCAATATCTGTAACAGCTACAGCAACAAACACCAAGGATAGCACAACACCAAGCATAGCAGAATTAGTCGCACAAAGTGAGCTCAACAAAACACGAGTTCCTCTTGAAAATGCGAAGAGAAGAAGAAAAAAAGCACTGTTCAACTACAGTGCTAAGAAAGATAAAGTTTTTTGCGTTACAGAGCAGTGCAGAACAATCTGGCTTAAATTGGAAGAAGAAAAAAGGCCAGAAAAATTATAAGTACTGCTGCATTTGCTGTCGCAATTGAGAACGCTTTAACCCCAGCGACAAGTAAACCGAAAAGAATGGCAAGCAGTCCAGCCAAGCAGAGCAGGACCGTAAAAAAGATTCTGATGGGCAAATCCGAAAAGTGACAAAGCGCCAATCTGAAGAGACCCAAACTCCCATAGCCAAAGCAAAACAGTAGGACCCCGCTACAACAAAGTACCAGTTGGAGCAACTGCCGTCACAAACAAACAGACAAAGAATAAAGAGGCTAGAAAATAAAAAAAAGAGCTCGTTAGGTGAAAACAGAGACAGTGTCTATAAAGCTAAAGCAGGGCACAGTTACGTTGAAGTTCTAAAGAGGTTGCTAAGAAACATCAAGCAATATAGCAGCCGAAACGTTAATTGATCCGTAAGAACCAGGCAGATGCGTTTCTAATACAGCTAAAAAGAGGCGAAAGCGTTAAACCAGGGTTCTATACAAGAAACAGCTAGTGTAATGAATTTAAAGCCTATACCGAAGGAAGCGGTTCGAAACTTGGATGTCCTCACCAACAGAGAGGAAGTTCTAGAAGCAGTGAAGGAAGAAAGAAGATGTCGAAGTGACCGCAACTGTATCCGTAGAGAAATACGAGCGTACGTAATTTTAACTGAGGAAAACGCAAAGAGGCTCCTGGAGATTGGAACTATAGTGACCGGTTTCATCCAATAAAGAATGCTGCCGATAGAAAAAATCAAACAATGCTGTTGTTGCTTTGACGGTATACACATCCAATATGAATGCAAGGGGCTAGATAGAAAGGCAAGAGATCTACTTTTCCGTTGCAGGCAAAACTGAAGAAGTGCATAAAAATACAAACATGCTAGATATGCGTTGACTCTAAGAAAGAACTAACGAAGCACCCGACGGGTTCAAGTTAGCGCCCAGCACACCAGAAGCAAACTCCCAAACGACGATAAAGATTTTGCAAGGAAATTCAAACAGAAGCAGAACGCTACTATCGCATATGATAACTGAGAAGAACAATGACGTCGTGATTATAAGCGATTAACACAAGAAGATCGATAATAGTAACTACATCGATGACTAAACAGGTACAACAGCTACTATCGCATATGATAACTGAGAAGAACAATGACGTCGTGATCATAAGCGATTAACATAAGAAGATCGATAATAGTAACTGGATCGATGACTAAACAGGTACAGTGACAATATGGATTCCTTCAATCAATGCATTCCTAGTGGTTTCACCTCTACAGTTTCCTCTACAGTGGTAGAGGAAACGGTTTCACCTGAGATAAAGGGCGAAACTTTACAATTATTTGTTATTTAACGTCAAACGACAATATCGAAGATTTTCAACTGAAACACGATAGTGAAGTGATAACGGAACGTGAAGGAAGTACAGTTAAAACTGAACATGGCGATGATAAGAACGAAAGCTTGGCTTGACGCGCTCTAATTAAAGTTCGCAACAGAGAAAACTAAGTTCCTTAGTTTTAAATATTTAAATAAATTTAATTTAATTGGAAAAAACGGGCCTATGTAAAAAAAAACTAAATGTAAACAAAACAATTACAAAACGTCACAATGCGAAAGCTCTATTTCACAAAACGTCATCGAAAAGCTGCTTAAAGGGTTTTGTGAATATGAGGTCTCTTTCGTCGTGTGCCACTCGCAGGTTGTACTCTGGTTTAACTAAGAAAGTTTCTAAAACGGAAAAAAATAATTGTTAAACATACAATTATTAGAAATAAGGACAATGAAATTATTGAAATAGTACAGAAATGTTTTACTTTAGAAAAAATGCAATAAGAGATAAAAAACATAAGATAGTATTACAACCTGACAGTATGTTCTACTACGTGGCTCAGATGGTGCAATTGGCGAGGAAATACCTTGCTGACTTTCTGCTGAGAACCGAACGTCAACGGCTTATGATCAGTGCGGATGACAAAATGACGCCCTTTAAGCAGATGTCGAAAATGTCTTGCATTTTCTTACTTCTGCCGATTTAAGCTTGGTGGAGAAGAACGCTAATTGTTTCCACTGGCCGTTGACTCTCTGCTCCAGGACTGATCCAATTGCAGTGCTGGAAGCTTCGGTTAAAAGACGAATAAGTGCTGGTGGTGACAAGAATACTAGTTGCGTTAACTAGTTGAAACTTGCCACCGTTGAAGCATAAGTGCCATGGCACAGTGCCCCGTTAGTACTCCAGTTAGTACTCGAACTGCAGGTTTGCTGAATCCTAAAAAGATTTTCGTTTTTTTTTGTCCACCCTAGGCCATAAGGATCTAGCAACCTTACAGTCTACGCAGTTAGCCCATAAATTGTTGGTCACCGTATTGGTGATTTTCTTTATTATCCTAAACAGTTCACATATCGGCGTATGTATTGAGAGATCGGCCTCTCTTGTATGCAGTTCAGAATCTCATCTGGCCATCTCATCTACTAGTTCATTCCTTTCAATATTGCTATGTCGAGGAACCCAGCAAAGACAGAGCTTGTGATGTTTTATGCTCATCAGTGTATCGCGAATTGTACTTTGTTGTATAAGGTTGTACCATATATCGGCCTTGGTGTCATGTAGTCTGTAGCAGAATCTAGATCTGCCTTGTCTTATTCCTCCTTCTAATCTCCTTCAAAATTGTGCAGTGTCCGTAGTTAGCTGGTTTCCTCATCTTAGACTCTCGAAGCCTGAGAGCACTTTTGGCAACGCAGCCTTGAATAAACACCCACTCCGGAGATACCTAAGCAAGCCAATCTCTGGGTTTTTCCGATGCGAACTTAATTGTATTCTAGCACCTGCCATAGGCATTCTAGACCAGGGACCCATAGGTAATGATGGGCCTAATGATGGCATGTACATTCCGTATACTACGTACGGTGACAATCCCCATCGATTTCCAAGGGTTTTTGGCAGACATAATATGCAACTAGTCATTTCCCAGTTCTCTCCTCAATATTCTTTCTCCAATTTAGTTTGGAATCAACGACGTCGCCAAGATATTTGGCCTCCGAAGAAAGATTCATTCAGTCATTACTTTCATCAGCAACGCCTCAACAAGTACCCAATTCTTAGGCGATATCTTCTTATCAGGTTTAACTTTGTCTATGATGGCACTTGCAGCTCCATTGGGAATTCAAAAGAGGACGAGGATCTTGAATCTTTATGTGTCTCTTTCTCGGACCGTTCTCTTTTTGCAGCTTTGACCGAAGAAGAGGAGGGTAACTTTAAAGAGGGTGCTGTGGGTTTGGTCCTTGGTGACAGCTTAACGCTGCTATTCTTGACCGCTCTCGTTGGATCAGATTTATCTACAGTTGAAGCGACATCCTTAACGAACTTTGCCTCCACTTCGGATTGTTCTTGTTCCGTTCATGAGTGAGATGTAGCGTTATCCTTCTCGAACTTTGCTACAGCCTTTTCATGCTTCCTTACTAGATCCTTCTTTCTCTTCGTGAAGGAGGATGAGTCTTTCGCCCACAGAAAGTAGATCGAGCGCTTATGGCCATTTTTAGTCTTCTGCTCCATTGTCACTACCTTCCGCAACTTCATCCCCACCATTGAAGCCGTGAATGAGGAGGTCTGAAGAGGATCAAGTTGTAGTTTCTCGACCTCTGGACTAATGTCATCGACGTTGCTAATCTGTGATAACGAGTCATCGTCAGTTGCTGAGTCGATGCATGAGTTCAGAAATTGATATCCGATTTGATTTCCCTCAACCTCTTCCTCCACGGCTCCTTGCCTAACTAAAGTTGGCTTGGAGTCCGCGTTTTGAATTTGGAGGTCACAGGAGCTCGACACCTACCGCCGGTACTGGGGATCCGACTCCATGCACCGTTACTTTAAAATTATCAGATGACATTAGTCATACAAAAACACCCCACGCACAAAACGACTCGGACTCGACCGCCTCTAACATGGAGAAAACAGACGTCGTTGTGTGCCGCCCCTACTTTGGAGAAAACAGACGCACACAGGTAGGTTTTAGTTGGTTGCTCATCAGCAGCCTGTTTAACATGGTAGCATATCATTGTATGGCTACCCCCGTTAATGAAGCCCGACGAATCACTGCAGCACTAGGCCCTCACACTACGACAAGGTACCTACCAAGTGAGGGTTATGCTTGCCTCACAGTTTTCAAACGATGTATTGAGTTCTGCTATCCAGATTATTTCTGTCTTATCTCTGCACTTAGTCTGCGAAAGTCTTCGCTCTCCAACCGCCCGTTTTCTTTTTCACTAGATGAACGGGAATAGACCATTGACTATGAAATGGTCGCACTATTCCTTGTTTGAGTAGTGTGCTTAATTCATACTTTATGGTTGTTAGTTTATCCTTGCATAATAGCTATTTGGCTAAGTGTATTTGTGTCGAGTGCAGTAATAACTGTAGAGAATTTGGAGATATCTGGTGTTATTATGTAGTAATCCGTCAATTTGTGTGAACCATAATTCGGGATCAGAGTGAAGGAAAGGTGTTAACTTGATCCCTTCTATCGTTCCGTCCCTCTTCAGCCTGACTGGGTGCTGATGCAGCTGGCAAATTCCACTCACTCGATTCGTTTTTTTTTCACTTTTTTTAATTATTTAGTCGAGAAAACGATTAATTTATTTTATTTTATTACTTCTTTGATTTTATTTTGATCCCGATCACCAATTGTGAGGTGCTAATTCCATTATAGCTTCACTTGTTCAGTGCTTATCAGTTGTTGGCTCGAATGTCAAAGTGAGCGATAAATTTTTTTACTGTAGATGTAAAGCATCGAAAGCCAAAGTGTGAGACTTGAACCCACTAAAACCACCTTCTAGGAATGATGGTGGAAGATTGCAGCCGCGTTCAGCGGATGCAACCCCATTTCAGTAATCAAGAGTAGAAGGAGAGCAGAAAGGCTTAGTATTTAGCAAGCTAAATTTATCAAAGCCGAAGTTGGACGTATTTAGTTAGGTGAGTTGGTATTATTGATGAAGGGGATGGGGTTTACACAAAATAGCGAGAGGGATCTAATTACGAATCCACGATTGTAGAGCGAAATAAGTCGAGGAATGGTAAACTCTTCTTCAAGATAGTGAGTGAGAAATTGGGGGGCTTGTGCCTCATAATCTAAAGCAGCATTGTTGGAAGGGGATCTACCTGTAGAATGTCGGGAGGGCTCTAACGTCGTGTAAAACATCGCCTAGCTAGAAGGTACTCATCTATACGAGTAACTTTAGTAGAGCTAAGGACGAACAAGTTAGGATAGTGCTTGCCACACGGTCTACGCCGGTATCACGAAGAACCTTTCATTCAAAGAGCCATATCAGTTTCATCTGATAGGAACTTTTGTCCTTTTTAAACGTGATGTACCATGGTGCTTTTCTTGTTCTGTGGTTGTCATATCTGCCACATACATTAAAATGATTAAGTAAATATTAATTATTTTGTCATTATAATATTATTATTTTATCATAATTATTATATTAAGAAATATATATACCATTTATATTGAAATAAGTTCGTGGATGTAATTTGAATACAAAAGCTTCCTTTATTTTCTCCAAATGATTTTTTGAAATAATTTTAATCCCTAAAAGCTCTAATACTATTAAATATATAAATTAAGTTGTTGCAAATCAGATGATAAGCAACTTATACATATTTCTATAATTATAAAACTATTGTATATTTATATATAGATATTTAAATAAATTAACTAATTATACGTTTAAACCATTGTACTTAACTCCACAAATATGCAAAAGTATTTTTCATACAAAATCCTTATAAAAATATGCCAATCTGTGCGATAAGTCTAATTTTAAACATATGGTACTATACGTGTATCAAATAACAACTGAAATGTGTAATTTTTTTAAATGTATGTTGTTATTAAAAATCTTTCTTAATTTTTAAAGAAATTAATGACTATGTTATTATTGCTTTCTCCACGCTTAATGAGTTAAGGCCATTGATGACATAACTGTATAATTATCGAATACGTTAAGTTTGGTAATATAGGCCGTGTGTGAATTTGAGTAAATTGAGGTAAAGTAATTTGAAATTTCTAAGGGTTTTGTGCACTGCACTTATGTAGTTATTTATTTGCTTATTTATTTCACTTATTTATTATTTTTGCTTAAAAGTTTTCAAATTTATTTGTTTATCTTTTAAACATCTTATAAAATTTTCACAAAGGAAAATTTATAATATTTTATCTACTCGAAATTCTGATAAATACCAACATTCATTGCCATACCGGCATAATTTATTATCTCCCTCAATTTTCCATAAATTTACTCGAACTCGCACACGGCCATAAAATACCATAGATTTTAATGCATTAATCATTGATTGTGTTCGTTTGTTTTATAAGCTACGTAATATGATTGACACATTGGCTTGATAATGTAAGTGTGATATTAAACTTTGCAATATTTGCGCAAATTTCGAAACGCTAGTTTATAGTTACTGCGACGGAATTGCGGGCTTAGTTTAGCAATTTACCGACACTTAACGCAGTAGAAATAATTAGTGATATGTGCAAATAAGTACAAAAAAAAGTGCCATAGGTATTTAATTGAAACGTGTTTTCGTAAACGGGTTTTGATGTGAATAATATATAATACGCTAAACAAATCTGTATATAAGTAATATTAAGTACAATATGGCCTGTGATTCCGACAATTACCAATCGCAGCTAAATGGTGGAACGCAAAGTCAACCATCAAACATTTGGTCAGAGATGGAAAGTCAACCTATTGACAGTGTCGTTTGGGGACGTCTGTATGGGAAGAACATCCGATTTAGTTCATTAGGTATGCCGTTAGTTCATTGTATATATTAGTTAAATTAAAAACATTGTTGATGGTAACAAAATTGATGTGATTTGTTTATTACATACCCGCCAAAATTTTCGGTACTTTAGCTGATAAAATGGCGGTTGAAGACTTTTTGTAATTTTGGAATTTTTATATGTTTGTGTATGTGTATTATGTGGGGATATTTGTTTTTATTTTTTGGACGGACAGACGGCTAAATTTGATTATGCTTTGAATCCATTTTTGTTTACAATTTACTTTATATCGATACATATTTCTTTTAAGTTTTTATTGCACTAAAAAGCACTATTTGTGTTATTTAATAATATAAATTGATTTAATTAATATTAGAAACAGTTTTAGTAATTAGAATATTTAGATTAGTTTAAATATTTTTAATCAACCTGCATATTCTTTAAGTAGTATTAGCAATACTTGTTGAATAGTATTTGGTAAAATAATAAAAATTATTTATTTATTTAGTTACCAATAATTTGTTAAGGATACCTAGTTTAACATTATATTTGGATTGAAAAAAAAATAAATATATAGCTCAACTTTTATTTAATAATTTGCATTAATAACTATCTTAAGTTTTGGATGTGTAGTCTAAGAACTTAGCTAAAGTGATTTTTGTCATGATTTTATTTGGATAATACGTGTTTCAGATAACTTAGTTTTTATTTTGTCATATAACTGTGCTGCGTCTTTATTCAATAGTTCAGCTAAGAATTATATCGCCTTTGCCTTTCCATTAATTTTTTTAGTCTATATATTTCGGGCCATATTCACTTCAAATATGGCTAAGCTACAGGTTAACTCTTTATTTAAGCCCTGCCTCACTTCAATATATATATACATCTATTTTATTCTTAGTTAGACCAGCGTTTTTCATTTTGGGACATATGTTTGAGAATAGAGTTCCAATTTATTCACTATCAAAAAAAATACTGCAGAGAAGTGTAGTAGAGTATATACCACAGATCGATATTTGTCATTGTTGAAATGTCTGTTGTAAAAGTTTTAAATGTATCAAAATACGAAGGTAGGACTTAACGCATGAAACGGTGAGAAAGACTTTTCTGGTAACTATGCCATTCATACACGTTCATTTGTGTGACCAGAACAGTTTCTAGTTGTTGCCTTTTACGAAAAGCATCTTATATCTTAAGCGGATATGGTATTCACATGAGGTGTGATCATACTCTGGCATATTAAATTAATGCGTCCAGTAGTAAAGCTGCAAGGTTCATACTAGCGTAACAATTGTCGTAATAGATTGCATGATTGGCGGTAGAGATTCATTTTTGCTTAATGGTATTTTTGCTTTGATATATTTTGAAACTGGTTGTTTCAAATTATAAAACATAGTAGTTGTGTTTTTTATTTTAATAATATGTTATAGCTTTTTAATTTTAATTATTAAGATAGGATAATCATAGATAGTTAGTAAATAAAACCCACGTCATTCATTTTTACTATTTTAATTAAAATAAATATGAAGCGCTTCTTATGTTAAAAAAAAATAAATGTAGTTATGTTAAATAATAAACTTAATTATTGTTGCTTATATTGTAAATTCCATTAACATTTATTATAAATTATTTATGGAAAATATAATTGCATATTTATATATAATAATTTACAACTCCGTTTTACAGATCTCAACAATGAAAATTTCTCGACAGGACGTGGTGAAAATAACGATTTATCACTTAATACAAGTCATTTACCAGAAAAAGTATTATGTCGAATATCGAAGGTTCATTTTCGTATATCGCGTGACAGTTGTGATTTATCCAATCCAGTTTACATAGAGGTAATTGATCAAGATTAATTATAATACTTAATAACTTTGTTGTTTTCCTCGAAATAAAAGATTTTCTAGGGTGTGATGTGCAAACTCTATGAAAAATTAAGAAATAAAAATCTAATCTCAAGCACTGCTAAAACTTCTGTAAACATACGTATAATGGAAAACAAAGTATATTATTCCATGTGTCATCTGCAAATAAAGGTCAGTTCTAACCAATTTATACTATCAACTTGAATCGTTCAAATTGACTGACGCTGAAACATGTAAAAAATAAATACTAAACTGGATTCATATCAATTGAAAAGTAAACCTCTTTATTGCACTCTTTCCTGTATTCTACACTTATATTAACTCAAAAATCGAAGTGTTGGCTAATAGTAGCACTTATGAATAATAAATAGTATTCATAATTTCGGATTTTGTCTTTAACTTTTTCTATTATATTTTTTTGATGTCCATTAGTTTGCGATATATATGTGCAGAAAGCTGTACATACTGCTGGCACGTATTTTGACATGTATCTACCAAAATAATCCTAATTTTTCCTTGTCTCCTGGTCTAATTTATACTAAGTGTAATATTTCAATTCTAGCACATTTATAAATTCTATCAGAATAAAGTCACAAAAAAATTTTCAAAGATAATATAGTACAATCAATAGACTTTTTAAAAAAAAATTTTTATTCAAGGATCTTTCACGGAATGGTACCTTTGTTAATAGTGAAAAAATTGGAATTAACAAAAAAAGGATATTAGTTAATGATGACACTATATCAATTTCACATCCAAATTACAAAGGTAAATAGAAATATTTCATTTTAGTATTAATTAATAATTAATCAAAATTATTTTATAGCTTTTGTATTTAAGGATTTGGGCTCGAATGAAGCTCAAGGTTTACCAAAGGATATAACTGCGTCGTATTATGTGAGTCGCAAGTTAGGTTCAGGTGCTTGTGGATTAGTACAATTAGTATACGATAAAAAAACGTGCGAACAGTACGCTATGAAAATTGTTAAGAAAAATTTGCTTTCGGAGAATCAAAATCAGTTGAATGATCCAAACAGGGTTTTGAACGAAGTTAAAATTGTGAAAGATCTTGCTCACGTAATACAATATCATATTATCAATATTCTTTATTAAATATATTATTTTACAGCCCTGTGTTATAAAAATGCATGATATAATTGACAAGCCAGATTCGGTATATATGGTCCTAGAATTAATGAAAGGCGGTGATTTACTAAATAGAATTATAAATAAAAAGCGACTATCAGAAAAGATATCGAAACTTTTCTTCTTTCAAATGTGTAGCGCAGTGAAATATTTGCATCATAAAGGTATATATCAAATCTCTTTTAACATTTATATTTTTCCTTAACATAAAACCTACTGCAGGAATAACACATAGAGATTTGAAACCGGATAATGTACTCTTAGATGGTATGGACGATGAAACATTATTAAAAGTTTCTGATTTTGGTCTAAGTAAATTTGTACAAAATGATTCTATAATGAAAACATTATGTGGAACTCCTTTGTATGTTGCTCCTGAGATTTTATCAACAGGTGGTAGAGGAACGTACACTAAAAAAGTGGATATATGGAGTCTCGGTGTTGTTTTATTTACATGGTATATAATGTAAACTTTATTTTAACTGTATTTAAAATTTTATTCAAATTTTTTTAGTCTTAGCGGAACGCTACCATTTTCAGATGACTATGGATCTGCAGCTAGCGAACAAATTAAAAATGGCAAGTTTAATTTTAATCATCCATCTTGGAAGACTGTTTCCCAGCGTGCTATATCACTTATAAAAAAAATGTTAGTTGTGAATCCTGATCGAAGACCTACCATTGATGAAGTAATACGAAGTCCGTGGCTTCAAGATACTCAAATGTTGCAAAAAGCATACGTTCTTATGAAATTAGATCCAGAAGAAATAGAAGATTCTGAAAATTTTCTCGAACCACCTTTAAAACGTACCCGAAGATAAATTTAAAATGATAAATAATTTTCTGTGAAAATTATGTGTTATATCTTGCTTTAAAAATAGCATGAAGTAATCAACATTTTTATTACAAATTTTAATAATAATTTAATTAGATATAATATTGACAAATGAATTTAATATTTATATGCAAAATTATAAATTTATTAAAATTCATTAAATTAAATAGCATACAATTTTCTGATTTAAAGTATATAATTATGATTTTTATTAAGATAAGTGTCTTAACTTATCAGTGTTAAATTTATTCTCAAATTTTTTTTTATTGATATTTATACACTGTTACCGAAGGTTTCAATCAAGCTGAATTGGAATAATAATTATATAAATTATAAACGAGAAAAGAAAATAAATGATTTACTATTGCTTGGAAGCAAAGAATTTGCATTGTTAAATAAAATGTAATTATAATATAATTTTTATATCTATACACTTATATCAATAAAGTACAAGCCAAAAAAGTACAAAAGTTTGAAATTTAGTTGTGTGTACGTAGAGTTAGCGTTTATATTTACTGCATTGGATTTGCCAGGTATTTTACCCAGGCGAACCTTAAATTGGTTTAGCAGTTTAGCTTACGCCAATTAACAAAACTATTGTTCGTTCTGATTTATTTGAACCCGATTTGGTGTCGTTGCTGCTGTCATCAAATATTGCATATCTAGAATTTTCTGTTGTAATTGTATTTTGGAAAAGTTTTTATTTCTGAATAAATTTATATCCGGATTGAATAATGTTCTCTCAAGTTGTATGTTAAGACAATGATGTCATTGTCTATATTATGACTGATTTAATAGAATTCAAATTGCTTGCTATTACGCAAAAACTCTGTTAAATTATTGTAGATTACGTTTATATTATAATAGTCTATTGGAATCTAGACATATAATGATAATAAGATTTGTATTTGAGAAGAAAGTGGTGGGCACGAATAATAAAACATAGCATAGATGTAGATGGAGGAGCTTTATCACTCTCAACAACACACAAGTAATATCGAGAGTTATATACTTTCCAAGAGCCGCCAGAACTTCTCTTCGGAACCATTCGATAATTTCAACAACCAATGGTTCACCAATAGTATGCCTCTGACATCTAGCTGCCTCCCACAGAACACCCCAAAAATTTCATACCTTATAGATGGGGATCCTAGTATTTCACTAGACGAACTAGCAGGTCCCAAGTACTTACCCCCTTCGAAAGGAACCCTGTCCTGAGGTGATCCCTGGTAACGCTTTTAGCGGCTAATATGAGCCAAACCTGCACCCTACCCATCCCTAAATATTCCTACCTATAATCATTTCAATATCCTCTCCGTATCCTTCTTCACTTCCATCTCCCCCCAATCCGGAATTGCGCATGTTAATCGGACTTGTTTGGAGTCGGGGGCAACAGAATGTATTTTAGCGTCGCACCTCACTGATTTCTGCCCGTCACAGTGCGTAACTGTGGGCTTACCGTGTTGTCGGGGACTATGACACGGGGGACCTTTTTTCCCCCACACTCGTATGACATTTATGGAAGGTTGCACCGAAAGATGTAACCGTCGAAATACCACTACAGCCCTCGACAAGCATTGGACTAACCTCCAGCGAAGCTTTCGCAACGCCAGGAAATCTACTGGTGCGGGTACCAAATAGTACTTGCGCTATCTCGGCTAAGGAAAAGACGCTCAATCGGCCGAAGGGCACTCAAGACTCTACAAAGAGGTCTGCCCAAGAAATTATTCTGATCGATCGGCTAAGAAAAGACAAGTGAATGACAAAACTCCACAAGGGAAGGAAAACCAACATCGAGCAGCAGTTACGCCAGTGCAACCAAGACCTTAAGAATAGCCATTCTTCCGAAATCGTACCCAGAATCAACTCTCTCGAAGGATGAGCAAGGCAAGATCGAGAAACTCCTTATAGAGGAGATGCCAAAGGATGGGACGCCAAGCCACGATTTAGCGGGACACACTTTCGACTAGGACTTATACTGGTTGACTGCTCAGACGAGAATGCAGCCAATTTCATCCACAGGGCGGCACCTAAGTTGGACGGATGGGAATGTGTTGTACTCAACACGTGTGTCGGGGACAATATACGGAGTTTACACATGATAGCGGTCTACCTCCCAAGAGCTAAAGGTGTCGACATGGAAAAGCTGCTAAAACTACTCATAAGGCAGAAGGAGGGTCTACATACACTGTGAAAAATTTTTAGCAGCAAGGATGTGAAAAATGACAAACTTCTAGAGATCGGCATTGATCGGAAACCATAAAAACCAACAGCTGTATGATATTCTACAGGTTCAGCTCCGTTCCGGTCCACCTGCAAAAGGGCCGGGAGAACAAGGAGGGAAGTAACTCAGCTGGGAAAACCACACCAGCTGAAAGAACGATATGTGCAACTGTTGCGAAATAAGTGGAGAAGGAGGCAACAAAGAGCGAGAAGATTGAGGAAATCAGTGTGCTACCTCATGAGAGTGACGACATTGAAACCCTACTAAACTTGGCATCGTTGACGACTCTGACAGAATCTCTCTGTTGCCCATTGATGATGGTCTGGCAGAAGAAACGAAGGAAGAATAACTACTTGATGACCAGCATTAGGTTAGGTTAGGTTAGGTTATACCGGTGATCCCTATTGTGATCTCTATTGGCCCATTGTGATGCCGTATATAAATAATAAAAACCTCAGGGTTTAAAACCACCTAGAACCTTTTGCAAAACATAAAATGCTGTTTAAAGCCCGATCCTGTAACTGGTTCAAGTCCTCAAGCAAGGGGGCACCTAGAGTACTAAATCGCCGACGTGCATGAGCTGGACAAAAACACAAAAGATGAGATACGCTCTCATCGTCCTCCCCACAGCTACGACAGATTTGGTTAAAAGGAAGACCTAGTCTTCTAGCATGGTTCCCTAGTTTACAGTGTCCTGTAGTCAACCCTACCAGAAGACCAATGTCCTTGCGGGACATCTCAATTAGAGTTTTCCATTTCCTTTTATCGGAAAGTGGCCAGATTGCATACAGATGTCTACATATCGTTGAGTCTTCCCATCTTTTGTTATGACCAGCACTAAAATCGGCCAAATAAAATTACACCATGCAAAAGCTGCATCGGCAGTTATTGCAAGGGCTATGCTCAAATCGAACTTGAGCATAGTGCTGGTCCAAGAACTCTGAACCACAGGGGTCGAATTTGTGGTTTGCCTGCAAGGAATATGCAGACAATTTGGAATGTAAGATGTGATAAACCAAGAACGTGCATTTTATTGAATACTAATATTAACTTTAATTGTCTTTCAGAATTTCGCCTCAGGGACCTCATTGCCATACAAATTCTGGCCAACATCAACGGATTTCTACGGAACGTGGTCGTAACTACAGGCTATCTACCAGGAGACGACACTCAGGTATCATCTGCAGAGGTCGATAAACTGGTGGACTACTGCGAGAGGACGAATATGCCACTTATACTTGGTTGCGACTCCAACGCGTACAACAAAGTATGAGCAAGCATAAACACAAATACAAGAGGTGAATACCTTTTAGAATTTATAATTATCCATAATTTAGAAATATGTAACGTAGGCAAGACACCAACATTTGTAACTAACTCACGCAAAGAGTCAAAAACTGGATAGTACCAAGAAAAACAAATTGGGAAACCTATACGAAAAATCTGAAAGGAAATCTTGGGTAATTAAGGCTAGATAAAATTATTGAGAATGAAATTTAATTAGAAAATAACCTAGAAAGCCTCAATTGTGCCATACTAAATGCATATGAGGATAACTGTGCATTAATCTCGTTTAATTTCAACAAGGATGTGCCTTGGTTGAACAATGACCTAAAAAATCTTAGAAACATTTTCAGAGGACTATTAAACTACTCAAAACAAACAGGAGATTGGTCAGAATATAGGCAACATCTTACTCTGCATAATAGGGAAATGCAGAAGCTTCTGAAAATTCTGCGAAAGCATAGAAAGCACAAAGGAGGTATCAAGACTCTACAAGGTGCTTGCAAAAAGCAGTAGCCTTACTTTCACCAATCTTAAGCAAGAAGATGGAAGTTTCACCGAAGGTAAAGAACAAAAGGTACGACTACTTTTGGACGTACATTTCCCAGGATCCTCTTCAACTCTAGGGACAGAATCAGGACACACTGAACCCTCTAGGGACCATAAAGAAGGAAGATTGCCAAAGAATATAATCATAGTACCTGGAATCAGGTGGCGATTAATTCGCTCAAGCCACTGAAATATCCAGGTATTGCATGTGTCTTTCCGGCATTGAACAGCTACTAGGTCCGACAATTAGAATAGCTAGAGCCAGTATTGCATTTTGCCATATACCCCTTCTCTATGTGGAAGATGGTAAAAGTGGTCATTATTCCGAAGGCTGGTAAGAGGAATCCTAATCACCCGAACTTCTTCAGATCAATCTACCTTACATCCTTACTATAGCTGCCAACACGCCTATAGGGCAGGTCGGTCGAAAGAAATGGCCCTGCATCTACACTTTCTTAGATATTGAAGGAGCCTTTAATAACACATAAAATCATAAACTGAACTCTTTGCAGAAGAGGAATCAACGACACACTTTCAAGCTGGATGCGCAAAATGCTCCGCACCAGGAGAGTATAAATTCCGAACAGTATTAGCAATGTTTTTGCAAACACTTCGCGGGGGTGACCACAAGGTGGAATATTATCACCACTAATGCGAAGTATGGTAGTGAATGAACTATTGGTAAAACTGAATAGGAACGCATTGCAAATGAAGGGTTACGCCGATGTGGTAATAATCTGCAGAACAAAATTCGAATATACTCTGTGCGAAAGAGTCCAGTTAGTTCTAAAACTGGCAAAAGAATTGTGCAATTCGGTTGGGCTGAAAATAAATCCAGCAATAACAACCAGTGTGCCATTCACAAGAAAATACAAAATAAAAAATCGTAAACCCTTCCGCTTAGATGGATTAGAAATAAAACCATAAAAGGAGATAACATTTTTGGGTATAATCTTGAAACAAAAATTACTATGGAAATTTCACATCCAAGAAGTGACAAAAAAGCAACCAAAGCCTTTATGGCATGTAGATCCGTCACTGGTAAGAAATGGGGGTGTACACCAAAGTCACTGTGATGGATATACACAGCAATAATCAGATCTATGGTCATTTGCGGACCAATAGTCAAGCAGAACTGCACAAAACACCAAAGCTTTATCAACTTACTCAACAAGGTACAGCGACTTGCATGTGTAAGCATAACAGCAGCAATAAGAACATGTTCCACATCATATATTAAAGTACAGTATATTAAAGTATATATTAAAGTAAAGTATTAAAGTACTCCTGGAACATCCATGTGCAATCACAGGCGAAGAGGACTGCTCTAAAATTAATTACAAACAGGATGACTGGTCTTGAAACCAACAGCAAAAAATTTGATGCTCTGACTGCACAAATTCCAGAAACTGAAATGCCAACGGACAGGATGATTGTAAAGTATAACTTTACAAAAAAACTTCTAAACTGAACTTGGCAACAAAAAGAATTGGGAAATTGTTTTAAACCAAAATAATAAAAGGAAACATGATAACATGGTATACAGACGACTCCTGCACCAATAAGGGAGCTGAAGCTGGTTTTTATGGACTAGGAAAAAGATTCTGGGAAACACTGGAAAATAATGCAAACATCTTTTAAGTGGAAATATACGCGATAGATAGATGCGAAATTTTAACCTTGAACGTAACTACAGGAACTGTAAAATTACAATACTGACTGACAGCCAGGCAGCTATAATGGCACTCATATCTTACCAGGTAGCATCGTAACTGGTATGGGAGTGCATTGACAAGAATGTTCAGCTGGAACAATCAGGTGTACCTAATATGGATTTCGGACATGCTGGTATCCAAGGCAATGAAATAGCAGACCAACTTTTAAGAAAAGGCGCAGCCTCGAGAATGATAGGTCCAGAACCATTCTGTGGTGTAGGCAAAGGAACTCATCCCATTCTTATAAATGACGCAGATAAAAAAGGAGAACTCTATTTGCAAAGGTTGCTAAGACTCTCACAATTTAAAATACTGTTAGGGACTTACAACCTAAAATGCTTCACAGATTACGTAGCACAATAAAAAATAACCTAAAAATCATCACGGTATTATTGATCGATTAAATAACTACAGATTAAATAATCATCTAACGAAGTTAGGAATTCAATCCAACTCAGATTGCAGATACTGTAGACAAGAGAGAGAAACTGCATACAATGTGCTTCGAGAGTGTCCGGTACTGATGCACAAGAGGAAAAAAAACACCTAAGAGGGTATTTCATGGATCGTAAGGATTCAAGACTAGGAGAGATAGGCTCTATACTGTCTTTTATTAAAGAAATTGGACTTGGAGAAACACGTTAACCCGAGTAAGGGGCACAATAGACTTTTAGGTCGCAGTGCAGAATCCCTTCTGTGAATAATGATAATAAGTGAAAAAGCATGGAAACTCTTTGTATGGTTTAAGAAATTTACTTGAGCCGTGTGTGAGTTCGAGTAAATTGAGGTGAAGTAAATTGAAATTACTACAGATTTTTTGCACTGCACTTATGTAAATATTAATTAATTTATTTATTATTTTTGGTTAAAAGTTTTCAAATTTATTTATTTATTAAACATTTCTTAAAATTTTCATAACAGTAACATCTAATTGACCTGATTTTTAACTAATTTACCCTACTCGAAAGTCTGGTAAATACCAACATTTGTTGCCATAGGTAGGTAGGTAGGTTGGTTGGAGTGGCGGCCTTGTTTATCAAGAAAGCCCACTTAAGCACAAATAATGGCCCGTTGTGGTACCACAAGGAAAAAGCGTTGTTCGTATATAGATAAGGTGATCAATATACGACCAAAGCCCAACAGAGAGGCAACGACTCCCCCATTAGGTGAAGGAGAACCAACCTGACAGTTCTATGAATCTTGCTAGGTCCTTCACATTGTATGATGACAGCTCAGTCAGAAAAGGGGCCCCCAAGACTTTTGATCTTCTTCTGGCTAAAGATGAGCACTGACATATGAGATGGAACACAGTTTCCTACTCGTCCTCAGAGCCACAACCGCGATAAAGATCATTATAAGGAAGACCCAGTCTCATAGCATGCCTCCCTATTAAGCAATGACCAGTCAGCACCGATACCGTAGTACTGAGCAGATCTCTCTTTAGTTGGAGCAGCTGACCCGTACGCTTTTTATCCAAGTTAGACCAAATCGACCTAGAAATGTGACAACTGGGCTCACTTGCTCATTGTTGCTTAGCAATGCTTAGATATTTTTGTTTAATTGTCAGTTTAGCTGTTGCAAGTGCAACGCCAACTTCTAATAAATGAATATCAGGGAGAAGAGCCCCAGTCCTGGCCAGCTCATCCGCCCTACAGCTACCCGCTATATTCCTATGACCAGGAATCCAGATAAGTTGAACGTTAGCGCACATAGCTAGGTCGTTGAGGGAAGCACGGCAATTTTGTGTAATATTGACACGGCAATTTCGTTGCTATACTGACATAATTTACTATTTTCCTTAATTTACCATAAATTTACTCCAACTTGCACAGGGCCTTAATTAGTTAAGCTACTAAGTAAACAGTGGAAAATAGTGTAAATATCACAGCTTAGCACGCAAGTTAAAAAATATTATACATGCAAAATTTAAAAATTTATGAAAAATTATTTTATAAATAATATATATTCTATAAGAAATTATTTTAATATTAATTGCAGTTAAAAATGCTTGAATTTATTTATTTACAAATATACGTGTAATGACTGCTTATAGCATTGACAGACGGGAGCTAAATCATCATTAAGGGGCTAAATTATAATTTATTTGCTCATTTAGCAGTTTTAAATGATCATTTATGGTCTTTAAATGACCGAATTTAACCCAATTTATTCGTCATTTAGGTTTTTAGAAATGTTAATGCTGCATATGCAAGTGAAACGAAATAAAAAATGGAACAAATTTCAAGCTATTTGGTTGTCAAAATGTGAACAAAACATATTTGGAAACATTGGTAAATGTTATATTCGTTATATTTTTATATATTTTATATTTTTTTTTATATTTTTTTTATATATAATTAAAGCAAGTTTCTTTAATTTTTCTTTCTTATCCATCTTATCCATATTTTTAAAATGATCATTTAAGGCTGCTTAATGATAATTTAGTGCGCTCGTCTGTCAATGCTATTAGTCCATTTTATGGTAATCGTCAGCATAATTGAAAGTGTAAGCACAGCATAAGTAAGCATTTTTTATTTTTAATAAAATGTATCGTTCCACTTATTTATTTGTTTCACTAACCGCGAAATTACGCTTGTTTACATTACTTTAGTTGATTCTTATAGAGGAGGACATTGGACATTCATTTGTAATTTGAGTTGTGTGAAATTAGTTTAAATATAGTGGTGTAAATATTTATAATACAATATATTATTGTCTAAGTTTAAAGAATTGTATTTAGTTATACAAATTTGTGGTGTCTGGGTGCAAATGATTCAGGAAACTACAGTTATGTGAGTGAATGTAATTTATTTATAACGGGACATGTTCTTTCATGTTATTTATAATTGAAGCTTTATTATATTATATTAAAAAATGCTTGATTTGTAATACTTGATCTATCGGATACATATTTCTAGCAAAAAATATTGTAGAGAAGAATTTGTTTCTTTTGTTAAAACAGCCAGAAAAACAATTATACGAGATCTTACGAGACCTTACGAGATCGCAAAGAGCACTCATTGTTCCGTTGCTTTTTATTAGTGCAATTTTTGCAGTTGCCTAATATTGTTGCATGTTTTTATTATCAGAAGTTGCGTATTCTGATTTTCATTTGCGAGAGGTTATATCTGTAAACGAAATTGGAAGTTTAGACCGTTTTGTATGCATTCTCTAAAAAAGATCACTGATTGCAGTGCACCTTTTTTTATTGTGAAATCTATACATGCTAATATTGCTGTAAATTTAAATACAAAATATATGTATATGTATACGTTAAATTTTATTTTTTAATTTTTATATGGAGTTTCAAAATACAATAATAAAAAAAACCCGCGAAAGCCTATCACTAGATTATGAATTTTACCCACTTTATCCTCAGTTATTACCTCATTAGGCGACCTGTACAATTACAATTTATTGTGTCTACATGACCACAACGCTACTTAGTCTATCACTTTCAAATCATATAATGGATGATGCATATAAATAATGGATGATGCAGAGTTTATATATTGCTAGCAAGATTTTTTTTTTGCTTCAGATGTGTTTTTTAATCATATTTCGCATTAAAAAAATGCTCTAGACTTAGACTCTTAAATATCAATTTAAAAAAAAAAAAAAAATATTACAAAATATTTTAAAATTTTAGCGCAGTTATTATTAACTTATTAAATTTTTAAATAATTAGTTATCAGTTAATGGCGAATTAATAAGTTATTTAATTATTCAATAAGCAAGACATTAATTAATTAATATAACAAATCTTTTGGTTGTTAATAATAGTTTCAATTAATTTGTCTTTTGTCAAATATATATATATATATATATATATATATATATGTATATATATTTTTTTTTTTTTTAATTGCAAGATTAGTTGCAGTACATTTTTTTGTCTCCTATGATGCGTTCAATGTATTCAATTTTTCGTCGTTTTATGTCACATCATAGTTGTTTATTTTCTTCTATTCTTATTCTAAGCCTTTTCCTGTATCATCACATATTAAATGTTTCCAGTTAGTTCGTGATGTTGTTGTTACCCGCAGATATCTGTAAAGTAACGTGTAAAGTTTGAATTACATTACAAACACACGGGTTAGAATGTAGTTGGTAGTGATTATGTAAGAGCGATGAGGATTATTAAGAAATGGAAATGGATTGGGGAGATGGGTGTGATTTAAATTGAAGTTAACCAGAGAAATTTAGTCACTTCTATTGGGACGATACCAAAGGTTGATTAGTCTCAGGTTTTTATGTGCGTTGGTGCAGAAGAAAGATCGGCAACATTATGTGAGGGTAAAGCTGGAGTAGGGGCACATAGTGGGAACTGACGTTTTTATGTGTGATAAGTAACTGTTTAGTACATGAATATATTCAAGAACGCTCGGTTCTACGTCCGGGCCAGTTCGACCACTAAGTGCAGTTCGTGAGGGTAAAGCTGGAGTAGGGGCACATAGTGGGAACTGACGTTTTTATGTGTGATAAGTAACTGTTTAGTACATGAATATATTCAAGAACGCTCGGTTCTACGTCCGGGCCAGTTCGACCACACCGAAAAAAGACTATACAAGCAGATACGTGTTTGTACCTTCTTCATCTCTTGTCATTTCCATTCCTCCATAGTATTTAAATTTACCAACGTTTCCTACTTCAATATTGACAATACTTAATGTTGCATTTCTGTCTAGACGTCTATTTTTGCTTAGAATGATAAATTTTGTCTTTCCTGTGTTGATATTGAGCTTATAATATTTGCTGTATGTAGAGACTTAAATAATTAATTGTTATAGGTATATATAATGCGACGAAATAAAATAGATTTAATAATAATAAAACAAAATAAAAGGATTTAATGGCAAATTTGTTTTTGCCGAAACTTCAATATCTTCCTATGGTATGGTTATAACATTATATGTTTAGTAATTTAGAGTTTTCAACTATATTTATAATTTTTTTTAACTTTAAATACAATGCATTTAATTTTTAATAAGAAGCTTATTTCAATCAAATATTTTATGTGGCTTGAGCAAACATTTTATTTCTGAATATACGTGGTTTGGGTTGAGTAATAGTAAGAATATGTGGAATTTTAATTGCGGAATAACCTAGCCACTTCAATGGGGTCGGGTCCAAATGCAAACTTTTTTATAAATTAGTAAGTGGGTAAATTAACAACATCAAGACAAACATACGGACATTGTTAAATATGTTTGACATATCATGTCGATAATAGGTATATCAATATCAATATCGTTTCTATGGTCTCCGATTATTTTTTTTTTTTCGTTACAACGTTTTTAAAATTTATTGTTGTGGATTTTTTGAAATTATTCAAATATTTTACAATATTGTATTTTCAGAAACATAAAATATTAAAATGGCTGGGAAAAGTCGTGGAAAATTATTTGAATTACTCTCAGACAACGATGGTTCCCTTACCAGTGGATACCGCACTGCGCCGAATATGTCTTCAATATCATCAAAGTTAAATGCCGTTTCTATTTCAACAAGTTCTGAGAGTACTTCTTCATCAGGAGGTGAAGTACCACTCCGACAAGTTGAAGGTGTCGGAAGACGGTCAAAACTATTTGCGCATATGTTAGGAGAGGTTTCAAGTATTAGTACAAAAACGGAAGAAAGCAACAAACCTCAACAAAGAGCACAAATTTATAATCAGAAACCCATTCCAACACAAACGGAAGTTCAAAACCAAGGAGATTATTCAGGTTCTGAAGGTAATGCGATGACAAATTGTATTGACTTTATAGTTGTACATTCTTAGTAATATATACAAATACTATTTTTAACTGGGAGGGAAATATAGTTTGAAATAAGCGCGTTAATTTTTTAAAAATACTTGCAAGAATAATACCATTTTGAAAATTTGAATTGCTAAGTAAAAATTAATGAGAAATTCACCGGGAAAATTTTAGTTTTATAATAAAATATTTCATGATAAATTTAAATCAAAAATAAAAATTGATGATTTTCAATGTATATTTTGTTTAAAAAATATTGTTTGATCAATTAAAATAATCGATCTTTACAACGCAAAATATTTTGAGTCTATCATTTATAGACGACTATGTTTATTTAAAAAAAAATAGACAGAATTTTTTTAAATATGTTTGTGTATTGGATTTAGTGTAGTCATTTAAATATATAGTTGAGAATAAAAAACGAGTTTATAGTAAATGGTATGGGCGTACACAAGGAGTACATAAGGTAGTATGTCCGAAATAATATTTCATAGTAATAAAGAGACCTGAAAGCTTAAAGCCGCTAAATAAATCGCTGACATATCGTCATGGGCGGTTATATGTGGATAATAGTGTATAGAACATACCATCACTAATTATATTAAAAATATTGAAAAAGAAAATTATTTTTTTTTAGTTTTTTATAAGTGTATTTCGCCTATATTAATTATAAAATTATATATTTTTTTTATATAACAGGTGTTAAAGTATCTATGGTTGCCAACTATATCAAACTTAATGTGTTGCCAGATAGTGGAGTGTATGAATATAATATAAAATTCACTCCAAATATTGAAATTAATAGCCTAAAAAGTAAATATCTTTATGACCACGAAGAAATTTTGGGCAGAACAAAGATGATCAATGGATCACAGTTACTATTGCCAAAGTTATTACCAAATACACAAACACATCTTATTTCTAGAAACGATAGAGATGGTTCTGAAGTTAAGATACAAATTACTTTTAATCAAAAAAAATCTGTAAAAGATTGCTTACATCTGTATAATATTTTATTTGATAGAATTATGAAAACATTAAATTACATTCGTGTTGGTAAAAAGCAGTTTGATCCCACAAATCCCAAAATAATGCCAACTGCAAAGTTAGAAATTTGGCCTGGATATGCGACTGCAGTAACTGAATGTGAAGGAGGATTAATGCTTTGTTGTAATCTATCTCATCGCTTGCTTAATCAAAAAACTGTTCTTGAATTGCTTACTGAAATATATCAATCAAAACCATCAGAATTTCAAATTAATGCAAAAAAGGCTTTACTTGGTTCTGTAGTAATAACACGTTATAACAATAAGACGTACAGAATTGATGAAATCAAATTTGATACTAACCCTCTTGATGAATTTGATATGAAAGGACAAAAAATTTCATATGTTGATTATTATTTTAAAACTTACAGAATTGATATAAAGGATAAAAAACAACCACTTTTAGTAACCATAAAAACGGTTACTCGTCCCGATAATACAGTTGAAGAATGTGTATTTAGTTTAGTTCCAGAATTGTGTCATCTAACTGGTCTTCAAGATAACTTACGTTCAGATTTTAAATTAATGCGTGAAATCGCCACATTCACAAAAGCATCGCCAAATCAACGATTGCTGTCTTTAGAAAAATTTGTTGATAATGTTAATAACACTTCAGAAGCCAAATTAATATTATCAAGCTGGGGTTTATCTCTCGCTGAAAAACCACAACCATTAATGGGTAGAGTATTAGGAGAAGAACGAGTGTATTTTGGATCAAAAAATTTCGGCTGTGGTGTATCTACCGATTTTGGAAAATACGCGACAAATAATTATTTGCTGAATCCAATAAATGTATTGGATTGGATATTAATTTATTGTAAAAGGGACGAAAATGCAGCAAGGACATTTATTGAACAATATGAATATTGTACTAACGCAATGGGAATAAAAGTACAAAGACCTAAAACAGTAATGCTGGATAATGATCGTATTGATAATTTAGCGATAGCTTTACGGAAGGCAATTACGAGACAAACGCAAATCGTTGTTAGTATATTTCCAACCAACCGAGAAGATAGATATGCGACTATGAAAAAACTTTGCTGCACTGAATTTCCAGTTCCCTCTCAGGTTTGTTAAGTTTAGCATAGTTTTGATAAGTATATTCAAGAAATATTTAAGAAATTTATTTTAAAATAATATTATTATTAATATTATACATAGATTTGGAAATGTGTGTTCCAAGTTATTTTAGATTTAAGACTATAATTCGATTCAAATATAAATCAAATTCAAAACTATCACAGTTCCAAATAAGAAGCAATCAAGCAATTTATTTATTATGGTCGATTTATGTAATTGAAATTAATAAACATTTGTTATTGACATACAAAATAAAATTCCTATCATCAGCATTAAGTTTCATTAAAAAAAGTTAGACTTGTTTGTTAAAAAGCAATTCATTTTCCAAAATTGATAGCTGTTTATTGAGTGATCATTAATTGAATATTAAGGACTTGAAAGCTTTTGTCGCAGGAAAGAAACATCTTCTACTTGCTGAAGAAGATTTAGATTACGATAAAATTATATATATACATCATATATTCTCAGTTCAGATAGGAAAGGTGGTCTGTTTGTCCCTCATATACCTGACGAAACACGAAAAATCGTTCCTCCTTACTTTGCTACTATATTACATTCGTCCACAAAATAAAATATCTTTAACTCTGTCATCAGGAATCACCATTGTGATGGAATATACATTTTGCCGAAGCTCCAATATGTAATATTTTAAAACGTTTCGATATTGCCAAAGTGCGCAAACAAGCAAAAGTATTATCTAGAAGATATGTACTAAGGCTTATAAGAAATCACATAAAGCGCTAAATCGAACTGTCAAAGATCTACCTTTGAATATACAACCATTTGGCAGAGCTTTTATTCTGTGATGGAAAAATATTCGAAAACTAGCATCTACGTTTTCATTACAACTATTCAACATTGATAATGGAAAAGTACCGATTTACCCTGATTTTTTTCTATTAGAATTTTATGTGATTATTAATTTAAAAAGTTTTCCCACAAATTATCACCAATAACGTCAGCAGCTATACAAATATTTTTAACTTTTTGCATAAAACACCTTCACTTAGGTTATAAATTTAATCAGCTTATGTGTTAATTTAAGGCATATTTTTGTATTATATACCGCCAAACTTAAGTAGCAGTATATGAACTTTCAAATGACCATCGTTTGTCTTCTGTGAGACGTAGAAACGCACGCAGAGTACAGCTAATTATGTATACAAAATATAAATTAAAATATATATAAATACTATATAAAATAAATCTTCTATATATTTATTAAATATTTTTATCATTTATTTATTTATTACAAGTTTAATTATTACTTTCCCAGGTTATTATTGCAAGAACGTTAGGAAATCGAGCAAAAGTCAAATCAATAGTTCAAAAAATCGCGTTACAAATAAATTGCAAAGTAGGTGGAGATCTGTGGCATGTAAATATACCGTTTAAAAATGTCATGATATGTGGAGTAGACGTTTACCATGATCCATCAAAAAGACAAAATTCTGTTTCAGGTAAAAAAAATTACTGTTATTCGTGATTTATACATTAAATAATCTTTAATAATCTTTTGTAGCGTTTGTAAGTTCTTTGAATAACACATATTCAAAGTGGTTCAGTCAAGTTTTTATTCAGAAGCCTAAAGAAGAAGTCATTAGTGGATATTGTGCAATTTTAGTTCAAGCTATCGCTAATTATGAGAAATTAAACAAATGTTTACCAAATAATATTATAATATATAGGTAAGAGTTTTTAACATTATTATGTGTAGGTAAGAAGGTATTTCAAGTTAATTATATCGTCCATTATTAAGTTGAAGACATATAAGTAGTACCTAACCAATCAACGAGTTATGTTTGTTCTATATTTTGTTGTCAATATTTTTAACTACATTTACAAAAAGCACTGGTTTGTATGTGTTGCTTTCGTATTTACTCTGCATAAATCCTGCGAGGGCTCATCAGATTTTATGAACCTTTTTAACTTGTTGACAGCCAAAATATTTCAGTATAATCAGGGTACTATCTGTTTCTCAATGTCAGTCATTGAAGACTTCCTAAAGTCAGAAGGGGAGAGTAGTTTTCGACGCAATGACCTCCACCTGACCCAGATCAAGGCTGAACAGTCGCAGAGAATGTGACTAGAAATCTCGTCTGCTTCTAAGTAGAGTCGACAATCTATTTCTTCGGGCTTATCCATAACTGTAGGGATGAACCAGCTTTTTAGTCCGACGGTTACCTGAAGAGTCGCGCCAAGAGCGACTTATTTATTATATAGTTAAATATCAATAAAAAAGATAGCTTATGATGTTTCTGTAGAACAATGGATGAACTAAAAATAAGTTTAAGTAAAGCAAAAGAACAAAGAAAAAGCAACAAATTTCAAATGTGAATATATAAAAATATATACCTGTTTACTAATTATAATACTTTTTATTTATAAATAGTTTTTAATGTAAATGTTAAATACTATTGTTAAATACTAAATGTTTTACGTAAATGTAAAATATTAAGGTATTATTAATATTTAAGGTATTAATATATAATATTAGGTTAGATTAGATTATACTCACGATTCTAAAGATCCACTTAGGTCTGTTCGATCATTGTGTTGCAGTGTAACAAACTCAGTGGTTTAAAATCCTTGAATCTCTTGAATCTCTAGCATCAGAGAAAGCTCCTGGATTTAGCCAAGATACTCAAAACAAGAAGTTTCTAAAAAACGGCGTTCCGCATGCGATGGGCAGTAACAAAGTAGGTGTGTGACGTTTTCATCGTTCCCTACACAACTGATTCAATTTTCTTGTATGGTTCCCTAAATTGCTGCGACTCGTCAGCAAACCCACAACGAGATTGATATCTTTACAGGGCGTCTCAATGCTTTTAGTTCATGCATCATAATTTCCTTTCCTTTCAAAAGGACTTTAAATGACTAAGTTTTTCTAGAAAGAAAGTCGGTACATAACTGATATAAATGTTAGATACTAACACCATAAAAATAATATTATAAAATAATATTATTAAAATTTTCTGTATAAACTTCATAAAACTTTATTTTAATGTTAAAAGTAAATAAAAGTGTGTGATTGTGGAACATAAATTTAAATGATTAGTTGTGTGGGAAAAGTATTTTGTTTGCGGTGTTTACAGAGAAATATTTGATTCTTTCCGAAGAAAGCAAAATGTGTTATATATTATAGTATGTTCCTATTGCCTTCAATAAAACAGTTTATTTAATTTAGATCCCTCGCTACTTAACTGTACAAATTGCTTTGATGCTTTCTAACTTAGTTAAGAATAAATTAAGGGAAATAACACAAAAAATGTTGAATGTAACATTGCAAAATAGATTTTCCAAAAGGGAAATTATCGAACTTTAATAACTTATACATATATATATATATATTTAATTTAAGGGATGGTATATCGGACGGAGAATTTGGTACAACTGCACAATATGAAATTGAACAACTAAAAGATATATGTCAAAACTCCTATCCTCAACCAATATTATTAACGTATATAATTTCACAAAAACGTATCAATGCTCGTTATTTTACGGTGAGTAGAAAATGTCTATAATAATCGTTATAATAATTTTTGAATATAAAGAACTACATAAGAAATTTTAACTTTCTGCAATTTTCAGAATTTCGCCGCGGGTTCCGCAGGAAATCCCTCACCTGGAACAATAGTCGACAATATTATTACACGAAAGTGCCTTTATGACTTTTACTTGGTTTCTCAGTCTTTAAGAGAAGGAACTGTAACACCCACCCATTATGTCGTATTAAATGATGACGGTAAATTTAAACCAGATATAATTCAGCGCCTCACGTATAAATTAACTTTCATGTATTATAATTGGCCTGGAGCTATTCGTGTAACTGCTTGTGTTCAAGTAAGTAAACATATATAATTGAAGATATGTTTTTGAATTGAGTTAACTGAATGTAATTATAAAAACTTCAGTAAATGAACTTTGATTTCAATAGAGAAATATATAAAAAAATATATAAGCTGAAACGTTAAGCACCAAAGCTCTTAATATTTTTAAAGATAGTAACATCTCTAATATTTAGTTCTAAATCTAATTCAATATGTATCTTAATATCTAATTAAACAAGCTTATTACTGTTCTCACTTCTTTATTTGTTTCAAAGATGTCCTCTTTTTTTATTTGTCAAAATTAGTTTTTGGAAGCATTATGTTGAGGATTATTTTAAATGCATAAATATATTAATTATACTTGCAGCGATTCCAACAATTCTGTTGTTGATTCTAATTCTCTTTTTGCAATAAAGAAGCACTATAAGATAAATATTGCAATGTAGTAAAATTTTTAAATGCTATTTGACAAACTTTTGCGATATAACAATAGGTATAGTAAAAAGAAATCCATTATTTTTGCATAAAATTGATGGTTTTTTTACCATAGTTAGAATGACCAGATTTAGGTCAAATGTGCCTCATTTTGTTCGATAAATTGTTGCCATTTTGAGGGTAATTTCATTATGTTTCTCTTAGAGAAGTTCTCGTCCCTATTGGCAAAAAGTTAAGACAGTCGGTTTTCACAAACCTTTCTTGAAGCAAATTTTTCACCAGAAAAATAGTTTGCCATAAACATGAACACATAAACGTATGTTAAACATTTGGTGCCAGGAGTGGACTATAAGGTGGATGCATAAGAACTTCATAATCAAGTTCCCAGAGCTTTTGGTGAGTCATTATCGATTTGTGTGGCTTGGCGTTGTCCTGATGGAACACATTTTCCCTTCTATTGCCCAAAACTGATCCGAACTGTAGATGATCCAAACTGTACAGTTGTTGGCAGTACAGTTCAGAGTTAAGAGTTTTACCATAGGGGAATAGCTCATAGTAGATAATTCTCTGCCCATCCTACCAAACTCACAGCAAAACCTTCTTGGCCGTCAATCCTGGCTTGACCCCCGTTTCAGACGGCTTACCTCTATTCGATCACGACCGTTTTTGGTTGTCGTAAGTGATACACTTTTCAGTGGTAATCACCAGTCACCAACCGCTTTAGAAATCGTTCGATTTTGTTGCGATTCAGCACCGCTTCGAAGATAGAAATTCGGTCCATGAGGTATTTTTTGTCTTAACGCATGTGGCACTCATACATCGAGCTTGGTTTTATGAATTTCCATGATTTTATCTACATTTTCGGCCTTTCAGTGTCAAAAATATTATTCACATTTTTAGGCACCTGGCTTGCGTTTCGCTTTTATCGAAAAAAAACTGCAAAACATGGCTTATTTCTCCATCTCCATTGCTAGTGTCCATATTTGACGCATATTCTTGATTTAAACAAAACTCGATCAACCAATTATCAAAATGTCAAAAGTTTTTAGTCTGAAATCTCATCTTACTAACGCCATCTAGAGTAACCCGATCGGACTTACACAACACGGGATACAGATAACTAAAGTCATCTATTCGGAAAATAATGGATTTCTTTTTACTACATCTAATATATAATGTTATGTCACGGATTCACTCTACTGAATCAGTGACTTCTAAAATATCTACATTATACTTTCGATTGTATTATATCAGTGTGAACTTTAAATCCCATTCCTTTTCAAATGCTAAGTGTTCTTTTCTTTTTATTTCCTTGCTATTCAAACGTTTCAGAAGTATTATGTAAGATAATCATAGTTGTATAAATTAAATATATTTTATATTATATTAATGCTTTAATTTATAAATTACAATTTTCAGTATGCACACAAATTGGCTTATTTGGTTGGACAATTTGTAAAAAAACATCCTGGAAAAGAGCTAGAAGATAAATTATACTATCTTTAAACTCTTCGGATCAGCATTGTTTTCAATAAATAATCTCATAATTTTAATATTACCAAAAAACTGTACATCTGCACGCATGGATCTACAAGACCAAAACTGCAGGAAACTATTCCTAAGATAACATGGCCGGAGGCGCGGAGATATCATACGGAGTAATTTTAAATGAACGCAAATGCGTTTAAAATTAATCTTTAATTCTATATTAACTAAATATCTTAAGAGGCTTCTAGTTAAGAAATAAAACTTATGTATAAAGCATTTGGAGATGAACAGTTTATTTGGCAATTTTTCTATATACATTTTAATTATTATTAATAATAATTACTAACTTTTATTTTTTTGTCTTTAAAAAGTTGATATAAACTTGAATTGTTTCTTTTTTTTCATATTTTACAATTTATTTGAACTTAACTGACTTGACTGCCTTATAGAAAAATAGAAAAATAGAAACATCATAAAACATTATGAAAAGTTTCATATGTATATATGTATTTAAAAAAAAATTGAGGGTTTAAATATATTTTTTATACTAGACAATTTATTAAAAATGTATGATTATAAACATAAATAATATTTTGAATAAATGTTAAATTACATAAAAAATTGGTTTTAGTTTCAAAAGGAATATCAATTAGTAATGTACAATTATTCATTTAGAAAATCATTGTTACAGTAATGTGTTTAAAAATAATTTACCTTCAATCAGGTTATGTTATTAACAAATGCATCAAAAGATTAGAGACGCTCAGTCCATAGTTCTTGTTGTTATTGTTGTGACGTAAGGAGATTTGAAATCGTTGAAATCGTAAAAATCGTCGGTCTTATGGTGCTCCCAACTCTATAGCTGCTACTATTGCGTGCTATCTTCTAAGGTTTAGTTGGTTTTTTATACTAGAGAATGTGCAAGAAGAGCTATAATCATAATAATGAATAAATCACAAATAATTCTTAACTTTGAATAAACATATGAGAAAGCCTAATAATTTTCAAAAATTACTAACATAACTTTTCCTTAGAAAGAAATCAATTAAGATAATTGCAAAAGTATTTTACATTTTCTCTCATATTATTTTACTAAACGGTCCACCTCAAATATCTATCATATCCCTAACTTGATAAATCAATATATCTTAAACAATATATTAATATATGTAACTATCTAGTGGGCAAAATATTATTCGTCGACTTTACAAACAAGATGCCAAAAGCTGGATGAATGTACCCTGAGAGCAGTGTTCTTTCATCAATCCTTTTTAGCCTACACATATTCATATTTCAAAAGGAGTGACTCACTATTAGTAAGCAATACTATAATCACAGGTTTTAGTTTTAGTTTTGTCAGTGGTTGAAATTTTCACTAGCCATTAATAAAACTTCAAGGACGTCTTTAAAACTCTACTCATTTTAATCAGTGAATTTAGGATCTCACAACTTCCAAGTATAAAATCCTGGATACCGTTCTTGCTAACATACGTCTCTCATACCACTATGTCATATATGTTAGTTGGTGTAAACTCGCAATAATTTTCTAAAAGTTCATGCAGATTGTTTTTGGGGTAAGGGAACCCTGCTCGAGACGCATAAAGCAATAAAATGCTGAAACCCCGATGGTAAAAAACTTTGGCAACTAAAAATCTCTATTACCAAACAAAAATAATAAATTCTGGACAGCCAACTTACTAACCTTCTTATTGACTTTGGCCTAAGCAAACAACTTAAACTATTAGCAATCACCGTATTTTCATCAGTTGAACTGTCATCAGTCCACTCACCAACAATAATAACAGTACAATGTCAACAGAATAGAACTATCCAAACGCACAACAACTTCATTAAAAGTGAATAATGAAATTGATGGTTGTGTTAACCAATTTTCTGAAGTAATCTCAACAGGAGCTGAAGTAGCCTCGATAAGAATTGAAAAAACAACCCAAAAAATTAGTGTGACAAAAACAATAGAGGCATTATTACAATGGAGGAGTAAAGCTAGAAGACTATGGCAACGGCATAGATCCCCAAAACAAAATTTTATTAGCTAAATGTACTAATGAACTGAAATATGCACTAACGGAAAGATATCAAAAATCCCTAGACAATTTTCTATACAATTTGGCACCTAATGAACAAAATGACTATTCACTTTGGAAAGCAACAAAGTACTTTAAACAGCCTATCCAGCATGAATCTCCACTTAGACTAGAAAATGGTGACTGGGCACGAAGTGACTCTGAGAAAAGGGACATATTTGTAAAACACTTGAAAAATGTATTTACTTTAAATGATGCTTCAAATAACACCTCTTTACCAATAACAAACCTACATCCCTCGAGCAGTCTACTTATCTTTAAACTAGAAAATATCACTAAAATTATAAGAGATCTCAATGCGAAAAAGGCAGCAGGACCTGATAAAATCTTGGTTGCAATGGTAAAGCAGTTATCACAATCTGCCGTTTTACATTTCAGGCATTTATTTAACGCTATCTTACGGACAGATTATTATCCCAAACTTTGGAAAATGTCACAAATAACAATGATACCTAAAGCTGGGAAGGACAAAACCAAAGTAGAATCTTACAGACCAATTAGCGCCCTTCCAGTATTATCAAAAATATTTGAAAAGCTGCTAATAGCAAAATAATGCCAATATTCTCAGCTAACGAAATAATTCCGGAACATCAATTCGACTTCAGAGCTAAACATACCATAGTATAACAGAACAAGTGCATCGTATTGTATCATTCGTTAAAAATTTATTTGAAAATAAACAATACTGTACTTCTATATTTATAGATGTAGCCCAAGCGTTTGATAAAGTATGGCATGAAGGCTCAATACATAAAATTGCAACACTCATGCTTCATGTTTCTAGAATAATATAGACAGCTACCGTCACTAGACCGCTACTGAGCTTGCAATCTGTTTATTCTAATGGCTTCACAGATTTTTAGTTAATCATTAGAAAAAGCGTCACTATTTTTGTATGTGCCCCTGTCCTTGATGAACCAGTCGTTTATTAGCACATTTTAATTTATCAATGCAGATACAAAGAAACCAGACCCAGCAGCCACGCACAACATCTGATAAGTCAAAGCCTGGTATGGGGGCATTTAGATTTGCTCAATCTCACCTCATTTCTCCAGCACCTTTTTCCCATTGCCTGTAGAGCCTGCCTGTTTTCCGTTCTGTGTTTGGTTTGCGTATTATAAGTTCCTTAAAAGTGTTCATGCGAATTTCCACAAGTTTAGGGGAGAGGCAGGTCGTCCGAATCATACCACCCTGTACTTAATTGAAACCGGAGGTCACCAGGTATCCGGAAGTCATCGTTTTAAGATTCACGCAGTGCCGTTCATCCTTGGATTCGAGGTGTCATTCCTCTCTAGATCAGCCATAATTTGTGATTTTGCAGCACGTATATACGGTCTTGATTCATCAGGAATTCTGGTCGCCAACTTTTATATTTTCATTCACTTACAGCCAGACCAACACCGGACTTCCTGTCCATTGCATAGACAGTGAACAGGAAACTGGTAGTCACCGATCTTGCTCTACACCACATCAAGGCGCCTATCAAGTAGGGTTCTCTACTCTGTACTCAGCAGGAAAAATCAAATTGAGTGTGCGAGCTGACTCATGATCAGGAACTAAATTTGAAAAAAATAAAATCTGGTTGGTTACTTGAGATTGAAATTTAAGGGCACTACCGTTGTTTTATGTTAGCTTAAGGTCGTTGCTCCAAAGGAGGTTCATCTCACTCAGGCGTTCTTAACATTGGATGCGTTTAAAAAAGAGGTAAATTATACGACTTTTTGCACTAACAAGCTCATCAACCTTTCTGATAAGAGTACATTTAAGATTCCTAACTCTGCCACATAAACTATGAAACAGAAAAAAAAAGAAATTTTAAAAACGTACACTTTATTAGTTAACTTTAGCCAATGCAATGTGGAGAAAAGCCTTATACTGAAATAAAATGAGCATTTCTAATATTTTTCAGTAAAAAAAAGGGCTCCAAGGGAACTGCCGAGTTCCAATTATTACATTAGTCATTGTTATTACCTTCACTAGAAGATAACTGTCAGCGTCTACAGCAACAATTGTAACTTCGACAGGGACTAAACACTAGGAAAGTCATAAAGTTGTGGGCTCGAAAGATGCTCCGGCACCTAGGAAGGCATTCTACAACCCTCAACCAGTACTGGATAGACATCCTGGCAAACCGTTTTATTCAATAAGGCCAGAAAAATAACTGGTCTAAGTGGCGCTGGTACCAAATGGTACTTGCGTTATCTCAAAGATTGCTACACGACGAAGAAGCAAAGGCGAAAGCCTTAAATCGTCCAAAGAACAACTCAAAAGCTAGAAAAAGACTCGCAGCTGAGATAAGTCCAGCTGGTCTGACACTAAGGCGCTACCTAAACCTATATCTTGTACGGCAGAAACTATTGTGCTATCTTCTGCGTCTAGGACCCAATGAGGAGTCGGAAAAGCTCATGTCACTACGTGACTATTGTCAAGAAAATAATACTGCCTTCCAGTGAATAATATTGCCAATTTTAACTACATCGTAACCAAAACCATCTTCATCCGAACAGAAAGTACAAGGCTGGAAAGCTAAACTGCTAAGTCGATGATAACCGAGATTGAAGAGATGGCAAGAGGCATAGAATCGGAGGTCGCAAGAAGCGAACAATTCATGAAAATCAGCATTTAACCGCATGAACGTGATATTGATGACCTTGACATGACGCTACTAGACTTGGCAGGCACAAACGACTTAGGAACACTAAGGAACAACCTGAGTGCAATAGTGATCGAAGAGCACAACAACCAGGGTCAAATGGGCGATAAACATTATTAAACCATTCAAATCACCTGGTACAGATGGTATACTTCCACCGCTAATTCAATAAGACTGTATCTGTAACGCTGCTGACTAAGATAACTAGGGCTAGCAAATCATTTGGCAACACACCAAATGTCTGGAGGAAGGTAAAGGTGGTTTTCATACCAAATACAGGTAAGAAGGATCCCCTTCATTCAAAATTCTTCAGACCTATTTGTTTCACATCTATCGTGCTAAAAACATTAAAAAAAGTTGTAGTTAACTTCATAATGATGACAGTCCTTGTAACTACCTCATTACATCCCTACCCTGCCAATGAGGCTATAGATTTTATCTATATTTACCCCTTTTTTTATTAACTGAGAACAAATTTTAATATCGATGTTTACAGAAAGCCGCATTATTAAGGCCCAATCAATGAGTTAGCAAGTGACTTCACCCTTTCACACAGAACAGTTCTTGTACGTAGGATCTGGTACGCGACAGGTATTAGGCTGATTCCGCGATAGTTGGCGCAAATCGTCGGCTCGCTATTTTTGAAGACAGGACAAAGAGTACTGAGAGCATGTCACCGCCGACCTTTAAAAATTCCGCAGGTAAGCCATCTACTCCTGCTACCATGTTGTTCTTTAGTCACTGTATAGCAACACGCACTTCTTTATGTATCCATTACCAGATCACCATTTTGGTCCGTACAGGATAATGCTCCAGGCTTAAAGCCTTGAATTAGATGATTGACTTTTTGATAAAATTTACGGGCACCATTTTTGTTACTTCCATGTTTCGCGTTGCAGTGACATTAATTAGCCTGAGACCGTTGTTGGAAGTTGGTTCATGGATACTGAATTTTCCGACAATTTGAGCAAAATTTGCATCTGTTCCGACCTTTGCGTTAAAAGCCCCAAGAATAATTTGAACATTGTGGGCAGGACTTACTTACTTACTTAGTTGGCCATTACAGACGTGAGTCGTCCGTACAGACGTCTGACGTACAGACGTCATTTTACATAGCCGTATAAGTCTTGCTGGGATACCAAATTCAGACATAGCGGTATAGAGAGTGCTTCTAGTCGTAGTGTCAAAAGCAGCTTTGAAATCGACAAATAGATGGTGTGTGTCGATTTGTTTTTCTTGGGTATTCTCCAGGACTTGACGCACTGTGAATATCTGGTCTAGAGTGGATTTGCCAGGTCCAAAGCCACACTGATAAGGTCCAATCAATTGGTTGACGATTGGCTTCAATTTTCACATAGTATATTTGTCAGAACCTTATATTTATATTTATTTACATTTATATTTAGAAGATTGATCCCGCGATAATTGGTGCAGTTTTCAGGATTACTTTTTCGTGGATTGGGCAAATCGTACATAAATTCAAATCGTTGAACATGCATTTGTAAGACCATATGTTGCAAATTAGCTGTAGAATGCATTTAAATACCTCTTCACCATCATCTTTAAACAGCTCAGCCGGTAAACCATCGGCATCTGCAGTTTTGTTGTTTTTGAGCCGCACGATAACAGTTTTATTTATTACGATTATTTCATCGTCAATGATTGCGAACTCGGAATCATCTTCGCTTTCAGATCGAGAAGTGATCCCTTCAAATGTTAAGCATGCTAACATCTAATACCAGATTACTATTTTCATCTTTGCAGGGATTAACTCTGGGTTTATAAGCATTTGTCAGACTTTGATTTTTTGATACAATTTTGGAGCTACATTCCTGTCGCCCAGCTTCTTAAGCTCTTTGTACTCACGTCTTTTTGCTTTTTTCTTTTTACGTCAGAAAATACCTCTCTTCTCTTCTCTTTTGTAGATATAGGTATTTAGCGGCGCACATTGACCACATCACAGTTCACCTTTTTAGAGCAGCGTTGTCCTGTTCACCATATTTCCTGGATGGTGCTGACGTTAACCTTAAATTTTTTGAGAGCTGTCGCCAGTTGGATAGAGGCACCTTCCCTATAGATGGTTGGGATATAGAGGATATGTAGTGTCATATTCATAAATAGCTGTCCCCTGTTTGTTTGCGAGGGTCGTCAAGAGGGTTTTTGACGTTAAGCGGTTTCGAATATCGAGGCATTTTCACGTTTTTTATTGGCGGCTAAGTTTACGCGAAAGATACCAAACTCTGGACACAACCCAGATTTAAAACCCTGAGGATAGGATTCGTAGTACGCACTATTAGTTCATTACTTCACCTAGCGTTACTTTGTGTACTTGCTCCCGGGGCACGCATTCCTCTTTCTGCTAATTATACTAATAGTAAATACTGCCATTCATTATTAGCAATCATTAATAATACATAAACAAATAAATCGGTCACATATGAAACAAATCACACTTTTTTATCTGTGAAATCATTGAAAACAGCTGTTGTTTCAGGATAATCTTGCTGCTTTGAAAAAATATCTAGAGTGCTACAAATATTAATCTCTAATGTTATACAGATTTAGCAATCGAAAATGAAAAATTTACAAATATTGAGTCTCGGTTAAAAAAGTTAGCCCAGATTTAACAATTGAAAATACCATTAGTTATACTACATATCGCACACCCTCTTCAAAGAGGCACAACTCGAAATTCGTTAATTTTCAGAGCAATCAAGTTCCATACATTAACTCAAAATTGACGCATTTCGAATTGTGCCTCTTTTGAAGAGGGTGTGTGATATATTTACATATGTAGTATATATGTATATTTAACATTCAGTGGACATTTAATATACATTTTTATATACGATTTTCAAACCTAATATTTTTGTTTTTGTTTTTCATATATTAATATTACAGTGTTTTTGATGTGTATTATTTTGAGGTGTAAAGCATTCATACGAGTGTTTTGTTTGTAATTTTAACTGTCATGTTATATGTATTTAACAATTGTAATTTTAGCTATCAATTTTTGTTGTTTTCAATGCAAAATGAAAATGTTTGACAGCTAAAATTACAAACAGAACTCTCTCCTGTAGAAGGTATATATAGTTTTTAAGAAATAAATATAATATCTATACTAATACCTAAGCTAAAATTAAAACCAAGTGATGGGTGGAAGGTGGAAGGGTTCTTTCTAGATAAATGGGAATAAACTTAACAGATTTTCTCGCATAAAATTAACTTATCACACTAAGTTTTATCGCCAAGAATAATGAAAATTTGATTGAAATATCAAATTATGTTACCGATAAGTGCAGAGAAAAGACTTAAGAAACAGACTAAAACTGCTGCCAATTTATTAAAATGTTTTAAGGGTGCATTCAAAGGTTTCAGTGAATGTACCCTGTTCACGATGTTAAATATAACAAATTAATACGAAATAAATATGATAAAAAATCGTAATATACTTAATAAATATATCTTAATACTTTAGAGTAATTAAATTAATATAAACTTATACACCGTGTTTATTTTAAGGTCGCGTAAACACATTTAACTGAATTTTGTTTAAAAGCACATTTTTACAGTGTTTTTTATTGTTAACTGTCATAAGGTATTTAAATTTTATTACAAATAACACTATTGACAAAAAAAAAAACTAAAAAAATCGTAAAAAAGGGAAATAAAAAAAAGCAATTGGATGAAAGAAGAGGAAGAGTATTTAATTAAATTAAAGAAAACAGAAATAGTAACATGGTTGGACGGCAAGAAATATAGAAAGTACACTATATTTATTGTCATTTTATTAAAGAGTTGTGATCGCATTCCTAGTAATTTTTTTAATTTTATACAGGTAATATCTAATATTTAAAATCTTAGTAATATCTAAAATCTTTATTGTTGTTTTATGTTTTTCTTCTACTATTTGGGTTAAGATATCTTTCTTTCGCAGTAAAAGTAAAACAATTTGTAGTTTTACTCTATCCATTTTTAATATGTTTAAAATCAACATATTTGTGTATCGCTTAACAGCTGACTGATTGACAGCTACCTTAAAAGTCTATATAATTCTAGTACGTAAACGCTCTAAAAACTAATTTTAAAATCGGTTTTAAAAGTGAATTTAATACACGCGTAAACATAGTGATAAACTATGAATCTACGGCTTTATATAAAATGTTTGTCGCATTTGTATATAATATAAATATTATATACGCAAAAAAATATTTAATCGTATCTGCAAGCATGCTTTAGAAGTATACTGGTTATGGATGAAAGCGGGTTATAACTTTCAACTTTCGTCAAGCAAAAACATTTAATAATGTGTTTGCTTGGCTTCTATTTTAGTACGAATTGAACGATCTGCAATGTGCGATGTTTTTTTATATTGGTGGTTGTGGATTGGTATGTTAGAGCTAATAGAAACTAAGAGTAAACGAAAATCAGTAATAGCTGGAGACTATTTTTTAGAACACTTCTGTGTAAGCTAAATTGGTAAGTAATAAGTTTGTTCGAGGAATTAATTCAACAGTATTTTGTGCACATATTCTACAACTTTTGATAAGCAGACGTGAAATCTCAAAATTGTATTGACCTCATTACTTGCTAATAATTATGATATTGAGATATGTGAAAATTAAGTTTGTTATAGATTGTTTTAGTTATAATAATTGGTTGCAAGTTTTATTGTGGAAATAAATAAAATGGATCCTTTAAATTGTGTCGGACAAAATAATTTTGAAAACACCGAAAAGCCAATGATTTTTCAAGGGATCTGATTCATCAAACAGTGCTGTGTTGTTTTGTAAATGAATTGTTGTTAAAGGAAGTGTAGCCAACTAAACAAATCAAACTGAAGCTTTAATGATAATTTTGTTTTGATAAGAAGTATAAACAAACTATTAAAATTGTTTGAAGTATTCTGAAATAGTCTGAACTAAAAGCGACATATCTTTAGTGTCAAATTCAAAAATCAAGTGAAATTATTGTTAATGGCAGTCGTGAAGAGATTATATATTGGCGGAAATGTTTGCGTTCGTTTACTGCAAGTTGACTGTGTATTGCCTTGTATATTGACGTCAGCTAAGACATATATTAAGTGTTATATATTTAAATAAATTATTCAGTTACCTATATAGCAGTATTAATATGACGCTGTGAGTTCTTAATCTTCAAAACTAATTAGTGACAGGTCCTAGAAGTCTAGTTTACTATATATTATGCCATATTTGCAAAATATATGTTCATGTAATCACTCATCCTGGTTTGATTTTTCCCTGATGCCAACATTAAACCTTTTAAAGGGTTTACTTTAATGCAATTCAGTCAACAGCAACGTTCGTGTTGTCGCACTTTTGTAGATTTTTTTCAAGACATACCTGTGAGGTTTTCACATTCTGACAGAACTCACCGACAGTATGGATTTATGTGGTAAAAACATTGTTTTGGTTTATTAGAATTTTAATTTCAAATAACGAAAACATTTAGTTTTTGTGGAGCAATGAAGAATCAGTGTGGACATTGTTTATGTTATAATATTAAACAAAAAAATACGCCTGTCACATTTTAGTTCCTCAATTTTAAAGCTACAAATAAGTTTTTTGTTAATGGACATTATACACATGTCAAAATGAACGAATCATCCCAATCGATTCAGATTTAAACGCAATATATTAGCCATACAAATTGACAACTCAGTGATGTGGCTCACTTAGTCTAATATTCATGGATCCACCAATGTTTCATCATACACTTCTGTCCTCTGCTACTATTAGTCGCTGCTTTTATCCATTCTTTGAAATTAATTATTTACATTTTATTCGTTACACTTCAATTCAGTTTAAGGGAACTGAATCGCTAGCTTTCATCAAAATATTACGGTTGTTGTAGCCGACAGGGATCTATAAAGCAGATAATATGATAGAAATTATATGATGCATACATGGGTTAGGGTTAGATGTATAATGGCTATGTGAGAGGAGAGAAGATTATTAGCAAGTGGGATTTAAATTAATGTCAACCAAGATCTCAATCTTGTCAATCTAGTCACTCCTAAAAAGCGGTTTCAAAGGTCAATTGGACTCAGGTATGTGCATGCGTTGAGGTAGGAAAACAAGTGGGCGAGATTATGGAGATAGAGTTGCAGTTTAGGCACATATTGGAAACGCATTTATGCTTCACCAATAACTATTTAGCGCATGGCTATATCGTGTATTCTTAATTGAGCTAGGACAGTTCTTGCTGCACAGGGAAGTTGTGGTTTGGGGCATGCACGGGAAGGAATTTTGTTGCAATCGTGGTCTCGAAGAGTATACTGCATCTGTGTGGAAAATTATTTCAGTCGTTTAGTTCAATAACTCTTTTTGGCAGTTAGCTTGTTAAATTCGATTGTTTGATTGATTCAATTGTTCAGGCAAGTAACTTATAATCAAATTAAGTTTTTTTTTTTATATATATATAATAAAATAATTTCACTTAAAGAACGGTTAAAATATATTCATGTCTTTTGCATGAAGATACGGAAAATATGTATTTTCTTACATATATAATAAAAAATTAATATAATTCGAAGGGCTTTTGAATAGTAGCGAATCATAGCAATAACATTTCATTTTATTAAATTGAATTTTTCGGTTTACCATACAGCTGTATCAGGCTTTATAGCTGCCAACTAGGAAGCAATGACTACGTGTGTTTTTAAATCAATCCAGCCAAAGCTATATAAAACTTTTGTTGTTATAATATCAAGTGATTTGCTACTCTTTTTTGATTTCTTAAAAGATAACAAACAAAACATTCGTTGTGCTATTTACTAAATCAAGCTTATAAGCCAAAGTTTACGGAAATGGCAATTAACTATTTTAATTATAGATTATAGATAGATTTAATTATAGATTTAGTTCTATTCTTTTTGTAAAAATATTATATTATATGTTGTATATTTTTACATTATTATTTCTTGTGTATGAATCCTTATTTGAGAACTTATAAAAAAGTTAAGTAAATGTTACTTCACGATCACTAAAAAAAACGGAAAATAGTTTTCCTTCGTCGTAATTGTCTAAAAATAATAATTAATGCAATTCGTTTTTCTGCAAACGAGCAGCTCAAAAACTTCCAAAATTAATTCAAGTATCCTCTGAATAGTTCCTGCACGATAGAAAAAGTTGATCAATCTTGATGCGAGATTAACAACTTATCCACATAATATAAAAAAGTCTTGGAAATGCCAAATCATAACGATGACGAATTATCCTTTTTAAGCGCACATGAAGAGTTATTGATTAAAGTAGAAAAACAAAATTGAAATTTGCGATGCATCTAACAAATAAAAAAAAAAATGAAAGAATATTATATATGTAAATTCAGAACTGACAACTACAATTATCATAAAAACAAGAATAAATAAATTATGTTAAATATTTCACTAAGAAATCACTGCGTGCCTTTATTTTTGACAATTTTAATAAATTCAATTTTATTATCGTATATCTCCCTGACACAACCAAATCTGAAGTAATCACAGATGCATTCTATGATGTGCTCTAAGCAAATGTTATTCACAAATCTGAAATTATTTAAGTAAGTCGACAGACTTCTGATTTTAAAAACACTTGCGAATAAATAATACATGTTACGATCATGTATCGCAACACTATTATACAGTAATTAATGCAAGACACCAAAGGTGCACAATAATCATAATAATTTTAATTAAAAAATTTATTTACTCCAAAACGGAGGGGTACAAGTATGAAGTGCTGCAAATCTCGAATCCGATGACGAAAATGATGCACACAGTCTACAAGAAAACTCGGCTTAAACCAAGTACTCAACAGAACAATATATATAATAATGGATAACAATTAACAATAAATCCAAAAGTTAATAATTAATTGTCCGGAAATATAAAAATTAAATAAACAAAATGTATTAAACTTTGCTTTCCGAAATACATATAGGTGTTATAGAATGTCTGAGGTTTATTGTTATCGTTTTGTAAATTTATTACTTTTGTAATAAAAAAAATATATTCTTTTAAATATTTGGCGACAGCAGTTAGTTTCTCATATGTGTTGTTTTATTATTGATTGTTTTTATTGTTATTTATGTTTTTTTTGTTATTTATTTATTTTTTTTTCGTAATTTATTTATTTTTTTTTCGTAATTTATTTATTTTTTTTTTTATTTTTTTTTTTTTAAATTATTTTTTTTGTTTTTTATTTTTGGTGTTATTTTTTTTTCTTATTTGTTTTTTGTGTTATTTATTTATTTTTTTGTTATTTATTTATTTATTTTTTTTTTGTTATTTATTTATTTTTTTTCTTTTTTGTTGTTTATTTATTTATTTATTTTTCTTGTTATTTTTTTTTTGTAATTAATTTTATTTTGTTATTTATTTTTTTATTTATTATTTATTTTTTTTTGTTATTTGTTTGTTTTTTATTATTTATTGTTTTTTTTATTATTATTTATTGTTTTTTTATTATTTATTTTTTTATTATTTATTATTTATTTTTTTTATTATTTATTTTATTTATTTCTTATTTTATTTATTATTTGTTTTTTTTTTATTAGTTTAATATTATTATTATTTTGTTTTTTATTTTTTTTATTATATTTTTTCTTTATTATATTTTTTGTTTTTATTATTTATTATTTTTTTTTATTTATTTATTATTTTTTTTTATTTATTTATTTTTTTTTTTGTTTTCATTTAATTTTTATTTTATTTCTTGTTTCTCTGGGACATATTTGGCTATAGTATTTTTCATATATCTCTGAGTTAATTATATTTTTATTTTAATTTTTTTTTATTTCTCTTGACTTATTTATATTTTAATTTGTATATTCAAAAGAACTCCCTATTACGCATTGATGAAACATGTGCACAAGATTCGATGCCTCCTTAGATGCTACTTTTGGTGCTTATATTTTAATGACTAGTTTTCGGTGGGTATATTTTCTTTAGCATTTTAAACTGCTTAAATTGACTAATGCTATTTTTATCTCTTCCTAATTAAGTTTTCGTTTATCGAAGTGTCTTTTGTGCAGTTAGCTTTCCGTAGCCACTTGCTGTTTGCTGTTATACTATATTTTATCTGGCTGTTTAGGTTGTATTCTATATAACAAAAAAATTAGCAAAAAAAAGTTAATACATTAGTCAAATTTTTAATATTATATTTATTACTATAATAAAATTATTAAAGTTTTAATAAATCTATTTTTGTCTTATTTTGATTAGATGCATCTAATTTTGTTGTATATTTAGTTAAAACATCAATGCTATAAGTGTTCTTCAATTATCTGATCTTAAAAGGATTCTATTCACATTTAGAGAATAATTTAAATATATGTCTAGATAATTGTTTAAAAAAGAAATTTATTTAACATTCCAACGGTTTTAAAATGAATAAAAAACATTTTTATAAGTTTTACGTTAATAAACGTTGTTATTTATTTCATTTAAAAAATGCTAAATTCTTAAAACAATATTAACTGACTTCTTTATTTAATTTTTGTTATATTATAAACTGCCTGTAATCAATTTTACATAGGAAAACTTATAGTTAACTTATTTAATAATTACTTTCTCATAAAATGCAATATTAGTATAAAAAGACTGAACAGTAAATAATTGAATATAATTTCATGTAATCACACAATTTGAATATGTTAAATAGAACCATCTTAAATATAATTAAGATAGTATTTTATAATTTCCTCAAGTTTTCTGTTCCAACTTTGTTTTTAGTTTGGTTTGTGTTGTCGGTTTTGCAAAGCAATTGAAATACAAAATTTTTTTGTCGTTCTGCTTTTTGCCGCATAGGTACTAGTGCGGATATAAAAAGACTCTGAATTTATAAAAAAATCCGATTTATTTTTCAACTCCGGAAACTTCGTTTACTGTTCGTTTACTATTTACTGATTAATCAAAAACAAACAGCACTAGATACTATGTAGTAGATACTATCTAATATATATCAAGAAAGTTTGAATCTTAACATTTCTGTGTCGGGCATAAAGTTTTAAAATGCAGTTTGATTAAATAATCATGTTTACCTTAAAACCGCAAAATTAAAGGGTATGACGTTAAAGCCATTGCTTCTTTTACAATCAAATAATCGATTTGTAAAACGATGAAATTGCAGTAGCTAGTAAAAACTACAGTAATATATTGCAACGAGCTGCATGAAATTTAAATTCATCATATTTATTAAGTTATTTAGAACGAACAGATATTTCTAGATATGGGACAAACTAAAGTGATCTATTCAACCCCAAGAAAGACAAAAATACACTAGTAGTCTTCCACACCTATCAAATTAGTACTATCTATGTAATGAACAAATAAAAATCAATCCTCAAACCTATACTTATAAAACATTATTTTCCATTATAAAAAAGCATATTATGGAACCCAAACTAATTTGCATTCGTTCTTTATCGAAAAACTCGCTCAGAGATCAATGTGGACCGTTTACCATAACATTATTTTGACTATCTAACCATTCACTTCTATAAAATATTGACAAAGAAAATGTGTCACCTAGGAGACCTAGGTGAGATAAAGTCACAAGTCAATTAATCTGAGATTTATTTGTCATGACATAATTAAATATTTAGACGATGAAGAGTAGACCTATAATTTCAGCACACCTGACGAAAACTGATTAACCTTTCTTTTTTGAAGTCGGTGTCAGTTATGTTAAAACATGGTATTGTTATTATATTGCATTAAATGGAATGATGATTGATTTTTTAAAAGCAGTCAAATTTGTTTACTTTATGTCATCTTTTGTTTTCTTTTTTTTTTTATTATCAAAATGTTTAAATTGAGACATATGAAGATTTCCAGCAAAAAGTGTTTTTAAGTAAGCCATAGATTTGATGAATTGAAAACGATGAACATTTAAAGCTATTTATGAGTCAAACGGTCCGCAACCGTATAAATAGTAGGGGTGCTCACGAGTTCGAGTAACACACTCGGCAACCGAGAGTAACGTATTAAAAGTGCAACGCAGCAACAACAAAATACATGTCGAGTAATGCGTTGCAATGTTACTACATTAATCAAAAACATTTCTTTAGGGTCATCCACACCAAAGCGAACGCTTACAAACGAACGAATATTCACAGGTAATTGTACCTGCAAAAGTTCGTTCCTTCCCAAGTGTTGGTTTTGGTGTGGATGCACCTTTACTCGAACTCGAGAACAAATCTAGTATATTACATTACAATAGAAAATAGAGGAAGTCGTTGAAATAAGAGGCCCCTCAAATACATATTTCTTAGAAAGGGTTAAAAACATTAGGATTTTGATTTGAAGACTTATAATTTATGTTCTTAAAAGATTTTATCGATTAGATTTATTTTAATGCATACAAAAGCTTAGGTTACTAGCTTTATTAATGTTAAGGTTATATGTAATTAATAAATAATGTTAATTAACCGAAGTATATGATAGTTAATAAAATTAATACGTCTTAATTTCAGATTCAACATACAAATTTATTTATTGTCGGGTGCAAATACTTAAAATCAAACTGGCGGCGACTATTGCAATGAGTACGTCCTGTCATCCCTACACAGATTTGTTAACTAATCAAGAGGATTCGTGCCCTGAAAATTTTTCTACAATACTACTCGGAATTCGAAATGACTTATCATCAAAAAATATTTGTGAATCTATATCAGATATTCAATTACCACAATTGGAATTAATGGATGAAGCGTCAAATAGTGATTGCCAAAGTAAACATACATTCAACTCGAATTCTTTAAAACTATGTGGAGGTTGTGGAGGTATTTATTTGTTTCATAGACTACGTTTATAAATTGTACTGATAATTTGCATTGAAATAACTAATAATAAAAAGTATTTCTTAAAAATTTTGACAGATTTTGTCCATTAAGATTCCAACACAGCTTTCACTTCGGGTTGCATAAATGAATACTTGAAGAAATCTTAACGTGCAATTTTAATGAAACTGGAAATTTGATAAATTTTAACTTGATCTTGTACTCCAACTTCATCTAAACAAATAATATATATGTTGGTTACATTTCTCCTTCTTTAGAAAATATTGATTTTTTGTTAGCAATTCAGTTTGCTCTAATATACATAGAAGCAAATAGAAATTGCATAAAATAAATAGTAATTAAATTATGCATAAATTTATTTAAAACCTTTGTGAATCAAGAATGATGCAATAAATCAGAAAATATCGTTGGTAGACTATTTCAAATATGGTTATCAATAGAAACCCCACCTATCCACCTATGTCTTCTATAGTAACTAAAGAGATTGATCTCATCTTATAACGAGTACACACCTTCTAGCTTTTCGTACCATTTTCTGTTTTATTATTAAAAGCTCCATATGTTTTGATTTTCGTTTAAGCGCATAAATTCATTGTACAACAAAACCGCACTCATTGTCTTTTTGTAAAATAATTCCTCCTCTCTTACAGCTTCACAATATATGTATATGTTTAATGCTGTGATCGATGTTTATAAAATTTGAAGCATATATAATATGAAGTAAAAGCTTATATCCAACTTAACTCTCTAGACTCGTTATTGTTATTACTGTAGCCCATTGGATTTATGTAAAGACATACATAAAACGAATTGGAGCCGGCAAGGCTAGTACTTGTATATATGCTCGAACACGACGAGTTGCTTCAGAACGTAGACCCGCCGTTTTTAGAACCATATTAGTTAGTTGTTGTTATTGTTGTAATCAGAAGAGACCTGTTATAACCTCTTATTCCTTTTGACTGTTCTAAGTTTTAAGTGATATACCTGTAAAAAAAAAAATCTTATTAGAGTAGTGTTCTTAGTACTAATTAAGAAACTAATGAAATTATGAATTAATTTTCAACTTTAAAGTTAAAATTTATCTGAGATCATCATATTCAGCTAATTACAGACTTAAAGAAACGGTTATAATATTAAAAATAGTACAACATATTTTTTTGTAAAGTTCTGAATAGCTGTAAAAGACCATAACTACCATTTACTAATTTACTTACTTGCATATAAATACATATACCATATATCAGCTAATTAAGTGCAGCTGTATATATATATGATACCATAGATTTCAAACAAAAATGGTCAATAAACCATAAATCATTGACCGATCCCGGTTTTAAAATGCATTTAGTTGTTGGCTTATTGTCCTTTTTTACTGAAATTCACTTTACAATATAGTATATATAAAATTTATTTTACAGAAAAAATATGTGATAGATATCTTTTATTGGCACTAGACCGATATTGGCACAATTCTTGTTTAAAATGTCATTGTTGTGGAGCAATGTTGGCAGATGTTGGATCAAGTTGTTTTACACGTCGAGGGTTAATACTTTGCAAAAATGATTATTCAAGGTAAATATATATATTAACATTTAAAATTGTTATTGTATTATATTGTAATTATTATAACATTATATATAACTTATATATATTTATTTTATAAATATATAACTTAAGAAATAACAGCACATTTCTCGGAATACCTCTGTAACAGACGGATCCCTTTTTAGTTTTTTACTGTAAATATGACATTTTTTTTATTAACAAAATTATTGTGTCACTAGACGGTGTCAAAAAATTATGTAGTTTAAAAAGTGTGTGACTAAAATTGGGTGAGCTAGATCGATTTTAGTAGGACCTTTCAGAACGTGAATCATACAAGAACCCTTATCCTTAGTACGCATTTAAATTCATTAAATTCCAATTATCATCAAATCTCAAGTGAAATTGTGTATTGCTGTGACAATCAAATAAATTTGTCTGAGAGGTTTGTTGAAAGTAAGTTTGGGAAAAGTGAGTATTGTGATGGATCATCAATGCCAGAGTTTCTGTTACCATCACGGACCATAGAGAGAATCATACTCTCTATCTGTACTAATTAACGAAGCTATTTTTGCACAGTGACAAAAACGTAATTAGCTCATCAGAGTAATACTAACATAGTTTGATATTCTCGAACAGTAATCGGAGATGTTACATTGCTTTCTATTATATTATGTTGTTAGCAACTGATGGCAAAAACGTATTCAACATATTGAAATTTTTTCAACAATTCAGTATTGTTCATGGTAATTTTTTTACGCAAAATTGTTAAGCGAAATAAAGTATTAATTGTGAAATAATTTTAACAATACTATATCTCTTCTCTTCAATACTATATATATCTCTTCTTCTTTGAATATATAGTGTATCTGACTTAAGCGGGTGACATTCTGAATTAATATGCGCAAATTATTTACAACTTTTCACTATCACAATTCATTAATTTTTAACTTCTTTCTTTCATCCATAATCTAACATATACAATAAACAGGATTAATGCGAATTATTCAATTTTCAGAGTAGTAAAAAAAATTTTAAAAAATTAATAAGTATTTCACTTAATTTATTTTTCTTTTAAGAAAAATATATAATTATTAGCTGTTTGTGACACTGCGTCCATCACTAGGCTATGCATATTGTCCCATCATTAGTGACTGAACAACTTCTTTCACTATTACTTTCGCTAGCTCTCGTTGTCAATGTGTAGTTCTAAACATTGCTTTGCTTTACTTAGTATTATAGTTGAGTAAAAGATACTAAGCATTATGCATTTTAAGCATAAGGCTCAATTCTATTAATTATATATATGATTATTGTTACTGCATAAATGATAAGTTTACAGGCACCCTAATTTCAATTTGGTACAAACAATTGATATAAAAAAGAAAAACGGCGGGCTCATAAACGCGATCGTATAAAGATTTTAATGTCGCCGAAATTTGATTAATGTGACTTAAACTTCTTTCCAGTTCAGTATAATCGCTGGGCAAGTGCAACAGTTCTTTATTTTTGAATCTAATGAAATGATTGATTGCGAGTAGAAACATAGAAATTTAATACCGAAGAACACAATAAGTAGACTCTATAAATAAACCATTATCTTTGCAGTTTGATGAATCAAAAGAAAACTTTATACGGTAAATAAATACATGTGAGATACTGGCAGGATTTCAATTTCGCGAGCACACCCATTTAACAATGGGTGAAAATAAGTATTTTAAGCAACTTTTTATAGTACTTTACATATCACTACATATATCGTACCATACATCATACCAATTTTCCGAATACGCCCGTTTATGAAGTCAGCTATTTTCAGTAAATTTTTTCAATACGACGCTATATGTCAATTAGCATAGTTTTCGAAAAATTGGGGCTGAAGTTCGAAATTTTTACACGAAAAAGAATAAGTACGAAAAACAATAAATTTATATTAAATATTTTTAAATGTTAAAAAATGAATTATTTTTAATTCTTTATTCACTGTTGGCAAACAATTAACATGATTAAATTAGTATATTTAAAATATTCAAGATATTTTATTTTAACTTGACACTTTGAATTTTAAAGATATTTTGTTACAATTTGACACATTCTTATCCAATTTATAGCTTAAAATTGCCTATATTGCAGTTTTAATATTTTATCTTCATCCTATCCTATGGGATTCGAGCTTCTATTTGCTTAAGCGCCTAGTCAATATCTTTAGCTTGGCGTCAGTAACCAGATGTCGAAATAAATATTCAATAATAATTGGACGTCTCATCAATGAGTTCTTTCGATTGAACTTTTATATCTGATCTACAACAATGTAAATCAGATGCAACTCTGATCACAGGCGATCACAGTAAAAGATAATACTCTTAAGTATTTGTATTTATTAGCTACTTGGAATAAGTATTAAGGAATGAGTTATAAACAAAATGCAATTTTGTTCATTAACTTCAATGTTAACTGTAGGAAACAGGGTGTGTTAACTTACGCCGCGTCTGTTACCAATTTCTCGTTGTTTGTGCAATCAATGTACAAATGACATATGTTAGTTGGCAACATATAGCTTGTGTAGTAGTTTCTTTCTAAGTGTGATAAATATAAAAAGTTTACAACTTTAAACTTTGATGTTTTTAGAGGTAAATTATATCGACATTAAGAGTAATTGATGCCCAAAAGCTAATTCTATTTAAACCCGTGATCAAGTCGGCAAATCGCTTCTTTCGACATGATATAGTAATAAGTATGAAATTCCAGTATGATTTTTTCATACTTTATAATGTTAGTTACTTGAGTTCATTACTGGATACACACCTATCTAAATTTAAAAAAAAATTACTATCTTATTATCAATAAAATGTTTATATAATAAAAAACATTCCGTTTAAATTTAATATAATTAATTTTTTCAATATTTATTTGTAGCATGTTTGGCTGTTCGGGTGTATGTTCTGGTTGTGGAGAAACTATTCCTCCGAGTGAAATGGTTGCTAAAGCTAAACCCAGAGTAAATAGTCTAGACATCGAAAAGTCTCAAACACCTATAATTAGTTTTGTATTTCATTTAAAATGTTTTACTTGCACTAAATGTGGGTCTAACTTAAAACCTGGTGATAGGTACGTATTTTTTTTGAATTAATTTACTTTGCATATTATGGCCGTGTGCGAGTTCGAGTAAATTGTGGTAAATTAAATTGAAATTTCCTAGGCATTTTTTGCACTGCACTTATGAAAATATTTTTTTATTGCACTTATTTATTATTTTTGCTTAAAAGTTTTCAAATTTATTTATTTATTTATTAAACATTTTCACAATGGTAATATCTAATTTACCTAATTTTTATTTAATTTACCCTACTCGAAATTCTGTTAAGTACCAACCTGCGCTGCCATACCGACACAATTTACTATTTCCCTTAATTTACCACATTAATTTATTCCAACTCGCACACGGCCTATATGTCAATTTTTGATTATTTCAAATATATATAAATTACGATAAAGTTATTCATAATATTTTTGAATGTATTTCGGCTTTTGAGTAAAATATATATATTTAAAATATTCAAAACTCTGCAGCATAATGTGTATTAGTCGTTTTCTTTAATTATTAAGTTATAATTAAATAACTAGTTATTGTATTTTAGATACGCAATGATGGGTGCTAGTTTAGTTTGTGAACAAGATTGGCAAAAATTAATTAAAACTTTACCGGTTGCTAATGGAAATTTAACAAGAAAGGGTAAAGTTGGAAGGCCAAGACGAACGAAAGACTAATTTTTTATTAAAATTGTTTGATATTAAATAACCGTGTGGATGTGAATTGTAACGTAAGGATTTTATTAGTTTTTTTTTTCAAACTGTAATATAATACCTATGTTTAATGCAGTAATATAATTTACATTGTTTAAATAAAGATATTTAAAAAAGAGAACAATATTGATGTATATAGTTTTTAATTATTGTTTATTTATTATAATTTCGATGTTTTATGTAATTTTATTATTAGTAAGTTATATGAATAGAATATATTTGGTATATATTTTTTTTTATTTTACACACTTATTTACCTGAAACGTTTAATGAGACTAATTACACTAGAGTGAACGTATCGTAACAACACCTCGTATATGCCTCATTTTTTACGTGTTTTTGTGTATATATAAACTATGTTATTCTATATGAATTACCGTAGTTCTTTACTTAATCAATTGCAAAAAAAAAAACTACTTTTATTGAAAGTAGTTGGCATCACTGCCAAAATATTCAAAATACTTTGTTTTAACATTTGTTTTTTGCTTTTAAAATAACAATCTAATAATATAAATAATTAATGAATTTTACTTTCAAATATTTATTCCAAACTAAATTGTAATTTTTTATACTTACTTATTTTTAAGTAATATATTATATATAATATATTATATGTATTGTATTTAATATATTATATTTAATATATTATATATATTATATTTAATATATTATATATATTAGGCACACGGACACATGCGGAATGGTAACGTCAGTTGTATGCTCTTTTTGATCATGATACTGAAAGTATGTTATGCAGGCAGTCAAATCTTAATGTTTATGCTGGTTTAATATAGTTTAGTGCTTAAATTTTAAAGCTAATATGCTTTGTGTGAATATTCTCACATTTATAGTAATTTGCACCTAAAAAGCACAAACTCTGACATTTATTAGAGAGCATCACTGTTTACCGTGATGAACATGATCACATACAGAAAACCTTGCCAACGTGACCGAAGTTGAATTGAATTTTATTCTCAATATCAAATTATCTATTTACATGACCATGACTGCTTGGCTGGCATTTCTTAACTGAAATTTTGAACATTTTTCCAAAGTTAATTCACAATGGTCGAATAAAACTAGAGATTAAAGAATTTTGAGAGCGCAAAGTCTACAAATTTTGATAATATTCAGACTAAATGCGGTTTGTTTGCAACTTCTAAAGTAAAGAACTACGGTTTGAGTGTTACTTATAACAAACTCGAAAACAATTTTTAAGTACAATATATGCGTGTTACGATCTCCTATCTTCGTGGTGTGCTTTTACGGAGATAAATAACACTTAAATTATAAAAAAGCGTGAAACTAGCGCTAGTGTGATTAAGCCCAAAAACTCTCACAGTAACATACAGCCTCATCCAAACTGGTTCAGTACGATATAACATAATGAAGTTAATATAAAATCTGCTATGTACTTCAGTTTAATTGCTTAGATATATATATTTAGCATTAAAATATATACTATAAAAAACTTTTTTTGAAATTATTAAATATTTTATTTATTCAATCATTTAAATTCAATTGTTTCCGTTGTTATATCCGGTTTAAATGTATATTGTTTAAATGTATATTGATGTAAATAAATTTGAAGCTGAGAAGCAGTTTAATTAATTTTTATATCTTTTAGTTTTTTGTTATATTTATTATTAAAAAAAACATTCTTTTAAAATACTTAAGATTCATTAAAAACTACTAGACTAAAATTTTTTTTGCACACTCGCTTTTTAATAATCCTTTTTTCATTCTAATTTAGTGTGCTATTTTTTAAGTTAAGTTATATGAAGCTATAAATTTCGATAGTACCACTTATATTATGATTTTAACTGAAACAGATCCAGCGCTCAGTTAATAATATAATAATCTAAATGTGAATGCATTATTTTTTATAATATATTTAACTTAAGCTTTAAATTTACCTTTAAGCCTTAAATTTATTTAATTGATTTCATCAAGATAAAACATTCATAGTACCAAAATTCTGCAGTGTAAAATTATTATTAGTATATCTAAGAAGTGTGAATACTGGACCAATTTTGATGATGTATGTGAATCTTATGATTTTTAACGAATCTCAATTTGTTTCGTTTATATTAGTTGAATATAAAAATTTTTAAAAATAACTCAGAACAAAGTTACTATCTATTACTCAATTTTTATATAGTTTACTACACTTGGTATAATACAAATATTGTAAACTTATTTTTAAATTGTTATTTAACTTTTATTATGTGTTCTATGTTAACAAATATTGTGAACATTATTAAATTTTAACTTTCATTTTTCATTTTAAAGACTAGTGTTACACATTATTTTGCATTGTTGTATGGTTTCATTAAGTTTAGATTATAGCAAAATTTTACAAAATGAAAAAAAAAAATTAGAGCACTGAAAAAACAGTTTTATTAATAATAAAATAAAATAAAATAAAAATATAAATTTTTCAAAGTAAACAAAAAAGCCTTCCATATTTTTTAACATAAAAAAATTTACTACTATAATATTGATAGTGTATATTCTTTTTTCTAATCTTTTGCTATCTCTTTTTTTTAATTAAAGGTCTAAGTATATTTTCTGGTATATTTTTGAGATATGTTATTGAACAAATTTAATACCAAATGTATTTCGATTAGTTGAATTTCACGGAAATCTGTTAGAAACTAAAACTACAACCTTTTCGAAATTTGGAACATATATTTCAAAATATTTGCTTCCAAGGCTGGAATCATTATTGTCTTACCAGTGAGCATCAATTTTTTTTTCTTCATTATTTTGCACATTTTCAAAAACAAAAAGCAATACTCATGCTAAGTCACTTAACTTTATTCAGGCTAGTTTTAATTGCGTCTGCCAACACCATCATCATTCCCCTATCCCATATAACCTTCCTATCTGCAGCCACAACTATCCTAAATTATATATTCGCAATATTTATCCATTCATATTTTCTGCTGTATACGAAGTTCACTATTTATATTTTGAGCCTAGTAATGAAAGAATACTAACTTGTTGAAAATTGCGTTATTATTTCTCGAAATATGCTCCTTTATGATTAATACACTTTAGCATGCGTTCGAATTCTTTGTAGAAGCATTTTTTCCAATCTCCTTCAGATACCTTCCAAACATGGTGTTTAAAGGCTTCTGCTTCTTTCACTAACAAAAATCGTTCTTCAGACAATTTATTCTTGCGGTTGACGTTCGGGAACAAAAAGAAGTCATTGGGTGCTAAATCAGGACTGTACGGTGGATGACCCATCAATTCGATTTTTTGAATAGTCGGTTGTTAAACGAAATGCGTAAGCAATCGCATTGTATTGATGGAGAATGATCCGTATTTCACTAAAAACTTCCGATAAACAAATGTTTGTATACCATTCGAATTTGATCGTTTTACGTTCCTGTAGTGGTATACTCGCGAACAACTTTTGTTGGATTTGGCTTATGCGTATATATCCACGATTCGTCACCTATTACAATCTTATATACGTCTTTTGAAGCACCGCCATTGTACTTCTAGAATATTTGTGTGCACCAATCGACACGAGCAACTTTCTAAGATTTTGTCAAATGATGGGGGATGGGGGATTCAACGAAAACAAACCTTTCTCACGGCTAAATGATCGTGCAACATTTTATATATGCTCGTGAAACTAATTAGTTCTCTTAATCTCACAGTATGTCGCATAAGGATCTTGCATTATCAGTTTTTACACAGCATCAATGTTATTTGACACAACAACTGAATAACTGAAGTATAACTTCTATCAGATAAGCGCGTAATAAAATAACCAGGTCGATGAGTTGTAAAGTGTTGAAAGTAAAATTTTCTTCTTTTTACCGTGTAGGAAGAATAATCTTCACCTAAGCTAACAGGTGTGGGAAATATAACTTTTACCTAAGTAATGTGTAGAAAGTGTAACTTTCACTTAAGTAATGTGTAGGAAATATAATTCTCCCCAAAGCATTATGGAGAAAGAATAGCATCCATCTAAGCAGTATGTAGAATTATAAATTCCACCTAAGCAATTTGTATTACCATACTTTGATTTTTTTCATACTCATGAAGTAATGCTGTATACTGCTCTCTGAACACTGCTCACAACTTAACATTTTGGTGTACTTTTTATACCCCTCTACTACTTCTAATATACACTTTATCTTCTATTGCATCACCAATGCTTTTTTTCTTGCGCAGTTCTGTTGTTGCTGGTGTTTTTCATTACTATTTTTTATTGTTTGTTGTTAAACAATTTTTACTTCCTATTGTTTTATTATCAACGAAAAATTTAATAAAAAGGCAATTCGTTTTAGTATTTATTTTTTTAATCAGATATACAAATACTATATATTTTTGATGTATAAATTTTTCATGATAATAGTTGTGTCTATTTATTTTAACACTACTGAGTTATTGGCTGCAGTCGATGTATTCGGAATAGGTTACAAAACTGATTTTAAAAGTACCGATGAAGAGTTTTGGTAATGATATAGCAGGGCGCAAGGGTTACGATTCAAAAGACTTTTGATTGGAATTGTTGAATAATGTCTAAACTACACAACACACTTAATTTTTAGAAATAGTTTGGAATGTCTCCCGATGACCCCATACACTTTGATCATTTTTTTATCATGTCGCTTTTATATGAAACGCAAGTTAAGCAGCATCACTGATAAAAGCTGTTCTGGATAAGTTGCTTATGGTTAGTTGGTAGATCAGCTGTAAAAAGCCTAATTGTACAGGTCACAGCTTGCTACCTTATGGTATTCCAGAATAAATTTTTTTTTAAGTTTTGTATTTAAAAAGTGGGTTTAAGTTATATAGGGCTTGATAAGCTCATGAAAAAATATAACACGTAATTTTTAAGTGTAAGTGAGACATAATTGTGCCAACCTTATGTTTTGATTACTCTGTAAAATCGGTATGATTTTTCTACCTTTCGATGACTTCTAAAACCGAACTGGTGCTAAGGTATACGTTTGAAATTTACAAATATTGGCTTAAGTTAGAACATCCAGAAATTAAAATCTGATTTTGTAGTGCATTCAATGTTCTGAAATTAAAGTTTGTGGTTTTATGGTCAAAAAAATTAGAAACTTCACAGATGGAATTAACATACTAGTTATTTCTTTTTCTCTGACTCTGTTTATTTAATCAATATTTTAATGAAATTGTGCAAAATGAGTGAACATTTTAAAAATAAATCTAAAACAACATACGGCTCGAATTGCTAAATGCAGAATAGATATTTATTTTTATTATAAAAATTATTATTATTCTTATGTATTAAAATTTGTCATTTCTTTGGAAACAAATATTCTTTTTGTTTTCTTCCTTGATATTATTCTAATCATATATGTTTATAATTTAAATTTTTGATTTTGTATAAATTATACAATAAAAACATATAGTAAGTCATCACTATGATTGTTATTAAACTAATGTGAACTGTTTCTTTACGGATCTGACAAGCGTATGTGTGTTCTAAACGTTGTTCGTGCATTAACTACTACGGTATTCTACCCTTATAGGTGGTTCTTAAGGTCTAATGTAGGACCGTTTATCCGTAAAATTATAATGGATTATTATCTTAGATTCAAAATAAACCCAATCTTCCTGAAACAAAGCTAATACGCCAGTGATGACGCGTACCCTATCTGAATGAGTGTACGGTTCAGTGACGGCGCTGGGCGTCGGCATCGTGCCAACAAGGGTTTCGCAAAAGTTCGCACGAAGTGATGGTATATTCCCGGCAGTTATCCAGAACGGCATATATTTTCACATTAATCTAATAAAGGCACTTTTTAGGACAAACACATATCTAAATCTTGGAGAAAAGTTACCGTGATATTTATACCAAGAATGGTAATAGACCTAATGATGACATATAGACCGATTAGTTCCTCATCCTTCCTCCTAAAAACTATGAAAAGACTCATGGATCTCTATATTCGTACACAATTTTCTAAAAGTTGACCTCTTCACAAAACTCAATTCGCTTACTCCAAAGGAAAATCCACCGAATTGGCCTTACATGCCTTAACCTACAAAATCAAAAAGGCCCACAAAAACAAAGACATTGCGCTTTGCGCATTTCTAGACATAGAGGGAGTTTTCGACAATACGAGTTATGTATCGATTACGAAAACTTTAAGTAACAGAAATTTTGATTTCGATATTATTTCCTGGATTGAGGTGATGTTTCAAAATGACGTCTGTAGCTGCTGAGGCTGCATAAGGTTGTCCACAGGGTGGAGTGTTGTCTCCTTTGCTCTGGTCGGTGGTTGCGGATGATCTCTTAATCTTACGGAATATTGGATGTGACGCCATCGGATATGCAGACGACCTAGTCATAATAGTGTCTAGAAAACATGGCAGCTGTCTATCTGAAATTATGGTAAGACACCTTTGACTCATTTTGACGTGGTGTGAGTCTCTTCATAAATCCGGAAAAAACTGTTGTTTTTCCTTTTACACTTAAACCTAAATTAAACATAAGTCCTGTAAGTTTAAGAAGCAGTAATATTCCACTTTCTAATGAAGTAAAGTACCTAGAAGTGGTATACACACTTAAATAAAGTATACATCAAAGCACTAAGGCCTTTATGAACAATGTGGTCCTGTATAGGTAAAACTTGGGGTCTCAACCCAAAGATGATAATTTGGATATATCAGGTAGTAGTATAGCCTACTATGATATATGGTTGCCTAGTCTGATGGCAAAAGATCTCACAAGATGGATCTATTACTGTTTGCATGAAGCTTCAGAGACTTGCGTGTCTCTTAATGAATGAGGACTAGTCCAAGTGTAGCACTTGAGGCTGTACTTGGGCTAACACCTCTGCATATACATATGCAATCCACGGCTGCGCTTAGTGTGTACCGATTAAAACTTCACATGAACAAGGTTTGTCTTGACTACGGTCATAAAACAATATTAAAAACATTTCGAGCACATAAAAAACCTCTGTGCGATGATGACTATATAACAAAATTCTACCGCTTTGACAGAAAATTTGAGGTACACCTACCATCACGTTCACCGTGGAAAACGAAGGCCAACAGTTTGACCTAAAACGTTTAGTTTGGTACCCAGACAGATCGAAAATGGATTGAGGTAGTGGTGCTGGTATATATGGGCCTAACACTAGAATTTCGGAGGCAATAGGCATATATCCGAGTAACTTCAAGCTGAAATTCACACAATTAACTTATACGTAAGATCCAATATCATAAAAAACTGTCTGCCTTGAGAAATATTATTTACTCTAACAGCCAGACTGCTCTTGAAACTCTATCGTGTTGAACTTTTGAAACAGGTTCTCAAATGTTAAGAGCTTCTACAGTTACTTGCAGCTCGAAATAAGGTAAATCTTTATTGAGTTCCGGGTCACAGGGGAGTTTTCGGAAATTAACAAGTCCTCAACCCTTTTGTGGGTTAAACTGGGCCAGTTCAAAACAAATAATTAAGGAGTGGGAGAATCATTTGCGGCTGGTATACTAAGAAGACTTTTCAGGGCTTAGACAATAGAAAGCACTGATAAAACTTACTCTTAGAAAAAAAATTTTTAGATTCTCAAAAGGTAATTTGGGGTCGATTATCTGCTAATTCGGAATGCAAATTATGCCTCGAAGATGAGAAAATTATTATGCATATTCTTTGTAACTGTCCAGATTTAACATCGCACACAAGAAACTTAGAACAGATTAAGAGCTCTTCTCTAGATTTAGTTTTGAACTTTGTTCACAAAGCTTATGTAATTAATACTGAAATTTGGTACAATAGGACGCTTTTGGCCGCAATACCAACGATTTCGCGACAATAGTTTTAATAATAATAATTTATCATAATTTTAATACTTACACAGTATACTTATAAAACTTAAGTATAAGTGAGTATAAATATTTTTGTCATACGTTACTTATACGCACTCACACTCACCGCACAAATGATTCATAAGTATTTTCTACAAGTGCCAGTGCTAATGAATCAACGTCACAAGAGTCTAAGTTGAGTAGTGTACACGCAGAACTACTCATAAGATGTTGTCATATACTCAAGGGGTATGAATCAATGAGTGCACTCACCAACAATGAAGGATGGTAATGATTGTCGTATCGGTCAGTTTTGACATACGCACAAATTTTATATTAAACAAAATTAAAAGTTTATTTTTGTTTTTACTCTTTTTATGTGTTAGTGTTATGCTTTTAGCATATACTCATCTACTCATATAAATTTATCAAATGTATAATTTTATGCGTTTATAGGAACAATAATTCGCTTATCGCTTTTTCTACAGACGCTAAAATGTTTGACTACTTCACAACTGGGTGCTTAGATAGAGTAAGTAGAGTTGTTGTTTTGCGTATAAATTAGCCACTTTAAGCCAGTAACTTGTTGTCTTTTGCCACACTTAAAAGGTACCGAAAGTACATATAATAACATTAAATTATATGGTTGAGCGTGTATAACACCAAAAATTAATCGAAAAAAAAGTTGATCTTGCCAAATTTCATGATTTTGGTGACCAATCCCATCACTAAAAACAGGACACACATCATTCTGTTGAAGCTATATGTCTTCCACATCTAAAACAAATTGGGAACCATATGCATGTAGCAAGCAGACTTGATGGTTTGTATCGCAAATTCATCATTTTTGAAGAAGTAATCGCGCCTTCGCGCCTGACTAAATACCTCACCATACAGTGACTTTTATATCGATCATTATATCCCCTTAATGTTCAAATACATCTACCAGTCATCATTTTTATAGTAAGTTTAAAGAATTTTAACACTTTAACGGTTGTGGAACGATGCCTATTGTAAAAGTCTTAAACAAAACATGTGATGCCTTGGACTGTAGATTTGTCTGACATATGCCACTAAAGGGCTGCTACATAACACAGATTAATTCAATATAAAAATATATATACATTCGAAAAAATTAAATAAAATAACAAAAATATTTAAAAATACAAAATGCATTTTTTATTTATAACAAAATATTTTCAAATACTAACACTAAGCTCCACATGATAAGCAATTGAAATTATCTTCGAGTGAGCATATTATATCCGCCATTTTTCTAACGTTTTGAAAAGCAAAATCTTCATTTTTATTTAATATCGGATTTTCTATGTCAGTAGCATCAGGGCTACTTTTATCCACAGTAAACTGAATAGCATTAGCTGCTGGTTTTGTTCTTAGATAGTACATTCCAGTTTTTAATCCAGCTTTCCATGCGTAAAAATGTATTGAAGTTAATTTTGCATAATTTGGCTCTGCCACATAAATATTGAATGACTGACTTTGATCAATAAAAGCACCCCTGTCTGCTGCCATTCTTATAATAGCCTTAACAGGAATTTCCCATACAGTTTTATATACGTCACGTAAAAACTTTGGTATTTCTTCAATATTTTGAATCGATCCTCGATTCAATAGTATTGAATTTTTTAATTCGTCGTTCCATAGTTCCAGTTCAGTAAGATCTTTTAATAAATGATTATTAACAACTTGAAATTCACCAGATAACACTCTTCTTGTATATATATTCGATGTATATGGCTCAAAAGATTCATTATTTCCTAATATTTGAGCTGTTGATGCTGTAGGCATTGGAGCGATAAGAAGAGAATTTCTAACACCATATTGTGCAATTTTGCTTTTTAATTCTGACCAATCCCAGAGATCAGTAGGAGTTTTGTTCCACATATCATACTGAAGAATACCTTTACTTACAGGGCTTCCTTCGTAAGTTTCGTAAGGCCCAAATTCTTTAGCCAACTCACAACTACCTTCTAAAGCACCATAATAAATTGTTTCAAATATTTGTTGATTCAATAAAAATGCTTTTTCAGTTTCATATGGATAACGCATCAAAATTAGAGTATCAGCAAAACCCTGCACACCAATACCGATAGGACGATGGCGAAAGTTTGACTTTTTTGCTTCGGGCAGCGGATAATAGGTGACATCAATTATTTTATTTAAATTTTTAGTCACAACTTTGCTTATATATTTAAGCTTCTGAAAATCATAAGTTCTTTCACTGGTCACAAACATATTTAGTGCTATAGACGCCAAGTTGCAAACGGCAACTTCATCTGGAGCAGAATATTCAATTATTTCTGTGCATAAATTACTGCACTTAATAGTTCCCAAATTTTGTTGATTACTTTTGCGATTGCAAGAGTCTTTATATAGCATATATGGAGTCCCAGTTTCAATTTGTGCTTCCACTATGGCAAACCAAAGTGCTTGGGCTTTGATTGTTTTATTTGCTTTACCTTCATTTTCATATTTTGTATATAAGTCTTCGAACTCTTTACCCCAAACTTCATGCAAGCCGGGACATTTATTAGGACACATTAGAGACCAATTTTCATTAGCTTCAACACGTTTCATAAATAAATCAGGAATCCAGAGTGCATAAAATAAATCTCGAGCTCGGTTTTCTTCTTTACCAGTGTTTTTTTTAAGATCTAAAAAGTCAAATATATCGGGATGCCAAGGTTCTAGGTAAATGGCAAAAGCTCCAGGCCTTTTACCACCGCCTTGGTCAACATATCTTGCCACATTGTTAAAAACTTTTAACATTGGTACTAATCCATTTGAAACACCATTTGTTCCGGTTATAAAAGTGCCTTTAGCTCGAATACAATGAATATTTAATCCAATGCCTCCAGCTGATTTCGATATCTTAGCACATTGTTCAACTGACTTGAAAATACCCTCAATGGAGTCATCAACCATAGTAAGCAGGAAACACGATGAAAGTTGTGGTCTTCTAGTGGCAGCGGAAAACAGAGTTGGCGATGCATGCGTAAAGTACCGCTCGGAGAGAAGATTATAAGTTTCAATTGCTCCTTCTATATCATTTCCATGTATACCAATCGAGCATCTCATCAACAGGTGTTGGGGTCTTTCCACAACTTTCCCATTTATTTTGAGAAGATACGATCGTTCTAACGTTTTAAATCCAAAGTAATTATAACCAAAGTCACGATCATAAATAATAGCCGAATTTAAACGATCCGCATTTGATTTAACAATTTCATAATAGAAATCAGATATGATTGGTTGCTTTTCTTTTGTTTCCTTATTAACATGATTGTATAGATCATCTATCACATCTAGAATAAAATTTTGTATGAAATAAAATTTTCAATAAGTGAATATAAATTTATTTTAAGACATCAAAAACCTTCTGTCTTAAATGAAAATAATTGTGTAAATCTCAAATTAATAAATTTACTTTAAAATAAATGCACTAATTTCCATTTATTTATTTTATTCATAGGTGTGCATATATATTCACTATTTTCTAACTCTATTACATTGTGGAGGCGGATGCCTTTATTTTTTAAGGATCATTGGAAATTACGCTGGTAGTATTTATTTACCACTGCTCTTCTCCAATAACATACAATAACATGCAATTAACGCTTAATTGAAGTTTAGTTTAACAGTTGAAACATTCCTTTCGGCTTTAAAAGCAGCTGGATGTACATTGAATTTACCTGTCTTCACTAATAGCTAACTGGAGTTTGCCTTTCTAAACAAAATCAGGAACACTTGACAATGTGTTATATATATAGCATTAGAGCTATATTTAAGAATTCTACCTCTATTTGTTGCAATAAATATAACAATTAGTTCTTGCCTGAATCGATACTTTGGCCAACATTCATCTATAAATTATCCTGAGATTATATCATCGCAACAAGTATGGTGTCCTTATATAGTTGTTTCCCAGATATTTTTCGCGAACTTCGTGTATTAGATGATATAATGCTTACCACTCTCAGTACTTTGTCAACCTACCACCTGATCAATGAATCCTTATTTTAAGCCCTAATTTAGTAATGTCTTAGTGCGCAAGTTCACCTCTCTGCTAACCTCATTGGAAAGTCGATATTGCAATATATGCCCTGAGCACACCTTCATAACAATCTTTATCTCAACTGACGACCGTTTTTTGTAGAGGCTGACAAATATACTTATGGAAATTTTAAAAAGATAAATTGGGATATTTTCCACAATATATCTGAATGTAGCTTCAATATTTCTTCTTTGGCCTCTGATTTAAACAAGACAAAGGAACAGTTTCGTAGAATTCAAATACTGATGTCAAATTTTTCTGGGGACGCTGTGTATGCTCAAGAACGTGACGATTTCCGTATACTATACCTAACTAATTTAGGCGAATTCCGATTCGCTGTAGGAAAAAAATTGAGTAAATAAAAAGTTGGACATTCATTGCTGTAATAATTGGAAGGAACGTTGAAAATATTGTAATTTTCAAAATGGAAGATAGTGGGCAACTATTAAATCAATTTTTAACCCTTTTCGCTTAAACAAGAAAGGAAATAAATGTTAATGGGATGACAATATTTAAACCCTTGCGATGTGTATAAAAATTTTACAAAGTTCTTGTACACAATGTTCCTGCTTCTTTTAAGATTCGCAGACAATAAAAACATTTCAAAAACCTAGAATGAAATCTGCTTAAAGCTTTCAAGGTGTTCGGTTCGCACTACGTGACATTTTAGTTCTAACTCATATTTTAAATATTTTGCTTAGCTCACATCTCATCCCCAACGCACAGAAGATTAGCCAAATAATTCCCATATTGAAACCGAGTAAACTTTCCATGAGTTATTCATATAGACCAAAGCTGTTCAAAGCACGTTCGCGACATGTTTCTAATCTATTGCAACTACGCAAATTTTTTCCAAAAAGGTCATGTACGAATGTACTTGTTTCTCCAGTCCTTTGCATTGGACTCTGCATTGACCCGCGAACGTGTTTGGTCTGGATAGCCCTGATATAGACAAATTTTTATGTTTTCTCCATTAGCCAAAGTTGTGGAGATCTGGCTTCTTATTCACTTCACCCACATATCATTTCATAAATTTTAAGCTTCCCTACTTACTTGCTGGACGTGTACTCCAACTATATCTCTACTCTGTTTGACGTCGTCTATCTGTTTTCTTGCTCAATTGCAAACAAACGGCATACTTTCTACTCAATAAGTTTTTAACTATTAAACTTTTTGAATTTATTTTTTGACCTGGTTATTAAAATGTTTTTTTTATATATTTTTGTTCTGGCTGTAGGTCCCTGCTTGTTAAATAATAAAACGTTTAATATTTTTTATTAAACTCTATATTTCGACTCTCCTTGAGAGTCATCATCAGGATTACGATTACGATTATATTGCACAATATAGACGATAGAATAAAGAGAAGGACGTGCATGTAGTTTTAAAAATATTAACTTATAATCGTAATCCTGATGATGACTCTCAAGGAGAGTTGAAATATTGAGTTTAATAAAAAATATTAAATGTTTTATTATTATTATTACATAGGTCCCTATAGCCAGAATAAATATATATAAAAAAACCGTTTTCAACTATTTTTATACATACATACATCTTATTTTTTCCAATATAGAATATTTACCAGAAAAAGATTTTTTAGTTTCTTTGTGCAAATTGGAAACAGCTATTCTCGCTGCTAATATTGCATAGTCAACGTGAGTTGTTGTTGTACTTGCAGCAATATCTGCAGCTAAATTATCCAACTCTTGAGTAGTAACACCAGAGTAAATCCCGTTTATAACTTGTACTGTGATTTTCACCTAAAAAAGAATTACTGTCATTTATAGAATATCAATTATTTATTTAATTAAAATTTACAAATAAAAATTGTTTAAATATTTATTAAACAATACCAGATATAATCATTTGTTACAAAAAAGACTAATCCTACATAAGTTTTTAAATTCTAGTCGTTATAAGGGACGGACAGACAGATACCAGTCAGTTACATTTTAAGATTATAGAAATTTTATTAAATTAATGTGGGCAGATGAACAGAACAAGAAATAAAAATTGATGAATATTAGTTACGAGAATATTATATATATATAGAATATTATATTATATATATAGATATATAGATTGCATAATCGTTCAAGTATTTACAGTTATTGTAAAACCTTTCAAGAACAAGATGGTTTAACATTAATTTTTGATATGACTGTACTAATGTCTAGTCTGCAACGATACTGACTAAGAATCAGACTTTTAATTCATAAAAGCTATACTGATTTAGAAAAGTAGTTGCAAATTTCTTAAAAATATATATAATATTAATATTTATATTATTGTTTAAATGATATTTTTAAAATTTACATTGTATGATTAATGGATTAAATTAACGCAAATTATGACAAAGCTTCGGAGGATATATTCTTGATTTAAAAGTTTTCAAAAAAGTAAAGTAAAACCCTATATATATATATATATTTGCGTTAAAAATACAATACTAACATGAATAAGATTGTTAAATGAATCCTAGTCATTTTTGCAATTGATCAATATTTTTCATATACATATGTGTAAAAAAAAAACGACGGGAGAAAGAAAATGCCGACTACATCACTAAATCCAGTCTGAATATCCCACATAAATTATGTGAACAGTTCTCACAGTTCAAGTAGGGGGTAGTTAATACATAACAGAATAATTTCGATTTTTTTTGTAAAGTACTATTATTACATAATAATTATAATTAATACATTCTGTTTAGGTTAGGGTCTGTTTGCAGCACAAAAGATCAATCCGGTCGCAATGTTCCGCTCCGTTGGGAGCTAAAGCGCTGTACGTTCCTATTCCTAATAATAATTATAACATAATAATAATTACTACATAATAAAAATTATTACATAATAATAATAATTACATAATAATAATAATTAATCCATTCTGTTTGGTTAGGGTCTGTTTGCAGCACAAAAGATCAATCCGGTCGCAATGTTCCGCTCCGCTGGGAGCTAAAGCGCTGTTCGTTCCTATTCCTAATAATAATTATTACATAATAATAATTACTACATAATAAAAATTGTTACATAATAATAATAATTACATAATAATAATTACACAATAATAATAATTACATAATAATAATTATAACATAATAATAATTACGTAATAATAATTATTACATAATAATTACTATTACATAATAATAATTATTATTACATAATAATAATAGTTAAATTATAATAATTATATACTTTAAATAATTTTACAAATAATTTAATATAACATTACAAACACAGCATCCAATTTCACAATATTATTTATTTATGTTATATTATAAGACTTATTTATTTATGTTATATTATAAGGCATATTTATAAGTGGTTATAAGCAAACAATCACTTTGAATGTAACTCAAAATATTCCAAAAGCTCATTTCACTTACCGGATCTACAAAATCCATATGAAGCCCATAACATAATTTTGAAATCCGCGATGTTATTTTGTCCAAATGAACATCTTCACTTCGTCCATCTACATAAATTTATTTATTACAAACATTTTAAAAACTTTTGCGACTATCAAACCTCTTTTTACAACATATAATTTATTTACGACCATTACTAATCAGTCTTGTGACGCAGCGCTTGCACAAATTTCGGGGAAATTTGCGGCAAACAATATTGCCAAGCAATGCCGAAAAAAAATTGGAAGAGCTTACACACAATAAAATTTGGTGCGATATAAATATTTTTAGAGTAAGTGCACATCGATATCATGGCGTAAATCCCTTAGTTGGAAACGGATGGTTTTACATTACATCTCTAATCTCTGTGAATCTCTGTATATGCAATATAATATATAATATATAAAACAAAATAATTTTAATTCAACCCACAGAGGCAAACAGCAAGAAAAGCAAAAGACTAAGTTGTCAATGATGTTGCTTACGTTCGAAGTTCGCGTTGTTGCGAAGAAAATTATGTTAATGCTGGATGATGCAGGATAATTATCTATCTAAAATAATTTTAAACGGTAAAAAATTTTTGATTTGTATTTACTGGCACTGGTGACGCATATGAAGTAATTTAATTTAATTATTACTTCTAAAAAGGATAGAAGACGATTTTGGTAAAGTGACTGCTTCAAAGAATGCCAAGTAAAATATTACTATTAACATGTTCACTGTTTGTTACTAATTTGAATCCTGCACACTCTACCATCGATTCTATTAACAATTTTGTACGAGCCTATATACGGCGTATGTGGTATTCTCCTTACATAATTTTGGCCCAGGAAAGTAATTAGTTACATTTGTGTAAATTTTGCTAAAAAAAATATTGATCGTTTATTAAGATGTAATGCTAAGGAATGCTAAACTGTAGCGGTCATTTATGTGAATGACTGAAAAAGTTTTTGATCACGCCATTTGCTAATGAGTTTCAGAGTCGCTAATATATTCCCTGGATAACTGCCTGACAACCGCTGACTAATGAACTAATAGAGAGTAAAGCAAGCCCTATCCCAAAGACTTTAAATTTGAGTTGTACACAGCGTCTGGCATCCGTTACGTTAATGTATCCGTTAGTGAAGGATGTAAGAATGCCTCGGACTTGGAAACCGATTATGGACGACCTCCGCAAACAACAAATGGACTATGATTTACGAATATGCACCTAGAATCATCTATAGAAAAGGCGCCTCCATTCTACTTGATGAACCATTCATAAAAACACTTGACGTCAGTAAGTTGCGATCACAAGAGACAACCGAAATCTTCACCGTTAAATTTTAAAACCAATTCATTTATCAATTCTCTTATCCCGACAGTACCAGTAGATAACAGATGAATATCTCTCACTGCCTACATACTACTGCGGATATCCTCACCATCTAACGCTCTTCATGACAAAACCAATGATACAATGAGAAGTGTCACCAAATTACTGTAACGAAGAACGCGGCCCGTCAAATGACGCTGCAGTCAACTATAACGCAAGCCGAACAATATCAGGATTTGAGGAAGAAATAGAGGTACCTCTTCAGACCAAAGAATCAAGAACAAAAAAGATGTAAGCGAAAGGAAATCGAGGTGTGTAGAAACAGAAATTATGCCCATAAGTTTAACCAAAAAGTCAGTCAACTGACTCAATACTTTAAACCTGGAGCACCAGTCTGTGAAGGTTAAAATTGTGGTCTGGTTACGGATACACCGAGTATACTAAAACTATGGAAGACAAATTTCTCTAAATCACAATCTGGTGATAATGATATCACCAGATAGTGATAGAATCAAGTTGAATGAAACTTAATGCATTTAAGCAACTTTTACTCTAAGGAGAGAAACATGCCCTGCAGTTAAAATCAATAATATGGACGTAACTCAATCAGATTCTGTGAAATATCTGGGAATTCATCTAGATAGAAGCCTCACGTGGAAAAGTCATACCGAAGCCAAAAGATACCAATTAAATCTTAAATAAAAAGAATTGTACTCCAAAGAATCACAACTCTAAACTCAGTCTTAATAATAAATTGTTACACTACACTCCAAAAGTGGAGTGTCCTTTTGTGGAGTGAGCTTTTGTCCACGGATGATCTCAACTGTCGCAGTAAGTATTGCGGAACCCCGGTGTCAAAAAATGGGGAGTTTCCATATATTTGACTCACGATCATGATGCAGTACCATCCGGTATCCTGACAAAGCTGACAAATGACGCTAGGAGACTAAGTGTGGATTTTATTGTAGGCAGCGATGTCAAATGAAAGTGGTGAGTTAGTTTTTGATTTTATATTTCGTAATAACCTCTCTATATGTAATGTCTTATATATCACCATCGCTATTGCCAAATTTCTTGAGTCTGTCAAGAAATGAAAAGTACCCCCAGTTTGGATACTTTCAAAAACCTCAAAAATACAAACTGGTCAAAGTACAAGTCAGCTGTAAATAAGCTGATATCTGACAAATATTTTGTGTAATTTCTCAACGAATACTAATGATCTGGACAAACAGATCCAAGATCTTACGACAGTGCTTAATTTTCCTTGCATATCCTTCTACTCGAGTTGGTAAGAAATGTGATCCACCTTGGTGGAATAGAAATTTAGATCTGTTGCGAAAAGAGTGCAGGAGATTTTTTAAACGAGAATGACTGGCCCGATTTCAAGATCTCTCTGCAGAAATATAACAAAGAATCACGTAAGTCTAATAGGACTAGTTGGCAATAATATTGCTAAGAAGTTATTAGTGGCTCTGAAACCTTTAGAGTGCGTAAAATTCCATCTAAGAACCCATCTGTCTCTGAGTCACTCAAAAAGCCAGGTGGGACTTGGTATAATACTAGTAATGAATCGCGAAACTTACTACTAAATACTTACTTCCCGGGATAGTCTATCAATTAAACCTACAGACATTTAAATTGGCCATTTTCAGTTTCAAGCCCCACAAATTACTAGGTTCGAATGGTATACATCCAATTGGGCTCCAAAATTCCTGGGTCAAATACACAGCCGGCTCTTGACCATTTTTGAGCACTGTCTTATCTTTAACCATGTTCCAATTCAGGGAAGGAAGATTGCCATTCTTTTTATTTCTAAGGGGGATAAAAACTCTCATAATAGCCCAAATGAACTCCGTATAATTAGCCTCTCATCTTTTATGTTCAAGGCTCTAGAACCAATAAATCTTGAAATAATAAATCTAACCACGCTCCCTAGCAACACGCCTACACTAAGCAAACATCTACGGAGATAACGCTTCACGCCCTTACTCATACCATTGAAAAGTCTTTCAAAGTAAAGGAATTTTGTATGGTTGCTTTTGCAGATATTGAAGGAGCTTTTAAGAATATATCACAGTGCAATAGCAAGCGCACTCTTGCGTCAGGATGTTGATGTTACACTTTTTAACTTTATCGGTCAGTTATTAACTGACAAAATTATTGAAGCATATATGAGATTATTAGCAGCATAAAGACCCGTAAACAGAGATACTCCCAAGGGGGTATACTCTCTGCACACCCAATCTATATAATTGGTTAATATCCTCAAGAAATAAGGTTGACATTAGCGCCCTCCAGAAAATGAGATAGACGGGACAAGGATGCTTTAAATGAGAACATTGTGACATATATTACAGCTCCCATGCAACAAAGCTAAAGGTTAAGAAATTTGGTTTCATATTTACACTAATAAATTAAAGGCTTGCCAATATCCGAGTTAAGGCAAAATTTTTCTACATCACTCTAAATTGTGTGCATGCCCCGATGGATGGTAAAGATGAAGATACAAAGGAAACTTTGAATGAACAGGTTCATGACGTCAATCGTTGTAGGAGACTTCAACGCGAAGGTAGATAAATAAGGTATCTTTAGTGTTACTGTCAGAAAAATCAGCCTTCATACAAAAACTTCTGAAAATCGAAAAAGGCTGATTGATTTCGCCGCGGCTAGAAACTTGGTGGTTAGTAGTACCCGATTTTAGCATAAATTGATCACGTTGTGATAGACGAAAGGCATACCTCCAGTGTCTTAGATGAACATCTTAGGAGCCAACATCGACTCGGATAAATATCTTGTGGCAGCCAAGATTCGTTCGCGTTAACGATTGGAATTTATGTATGCTTTGTCAAATCTACAAAAAAGGTTATCCTGAAAACTGTGCCAACTATCGCGGGATCAATCTTCTAAATATTATATATAAGGTTCTGACAAACATACTATGTGAAATATTATAGCCAATCGTCAACCAATTGATTGGACCTTATCAGTGTGGCTTTGGACCTGGCAAATCCACCCTAGACCAGATATTTACAGTGCTTCAACTCCTGGAGAATATCCAAGAAAAACAAATCAACACACACCATCTATTTGTCGATTTCAAAGCTGCTTTTGACATTACGACTAGAAGCACTCTCTATGTCTCCGCTATGTCTGAATTTGGTATCCCAGGAAAACTTATACGGTTATGTAAAATGATGTTGCGTAGCACCACCAACTCCGTTAGAATCGGGAAAAACCTCTCCAAGCCATTTGATACCAAACTAGGTTTCAGACAGAGTGACTCCTTGTGGCTACTTTATTCTAAAGTTGAAAACGATAATTCGGGCAGCAGATTTCAATCGTACTGGTACAATATTCTACAAAAGTGCAGCGCTGCTTGCGTATGCCTATGTTATTGATATTATTAGCCTGAATACCCGTCAGTGTAGTATTTTCCACACAATTTATGTGGAACGATGAGCTATTTGAGCTATACCACAACATGGACATATGGTAGTTAAGCACATAAAAATTCGGCAGCTCCGCTGGCATGATCATGTCGTGCGAATGGCAGAAAGTGCTCCTGCTAGAAAGGTGTTTGATTCGATACTCGCAGACGGCTACTCGACGCGACCAAGGACAACTCACGTCTGTAATGGCTAAGTAAATAAGTAACTAACCTCATTGTCATTATACTTAACTCATGTAGCATTATTTTAACATATGTAAATTAAGTCTAAAGAAGCTGTTAAATAAAGGATATCATAGAAGGAAATTTTTTTTATTATAATCTGGTAGATAATTCATGGCATTTATGTCATGATTCAATTTATGCAAATTAATTTCCAACATATGTCCGTCACGGCTACAAATTACATGGTTTATTCGATCAGTTCAATTTTTGACTATTTTCTGCAATACATATGACCGTATGGCGTCAATGGTGGCATGAACATTGGCTGAGTTAACATAGCGCCATAAAAATTAATAAAGGGCCACTTCTGGATATAAAGTTGTTAAAAAATTCATTTCGCAATAAGTAGATTGCTAAGAGCAAAATCAATTGTTGTTGGAACCAAATGTTGTCAATGTTTAACTGATTGATTTTTGGAAACAAAAATTTAGTCAACATAGCTCAATAACGCTCGTCATTCACCCTAACGACAACTCCTTTTTCATTTCGAATGAAATAAGGATCGATAATGCCACCAACGTATATACCGCACCAAACAGTCAATTTTAATGAATATAATGGTGATTCGTTAACGGCTGAAGAATTATCTTCGCTCTATATACGGTAATTTTGCTTATTGTCGTGGCATTTACAGAACAGAAATATCAACATTCTCAGCTGTGAAACTATAGTTATCAATATCGGCAGATCTCCTTCAACTAAAAAACATCCTATACCTAATAAGATGACTGGATTCAAGTTTAGATTCTGTTAACACGGTACAAATTTACACTGACAACTCTAAAATAAAAGAAAGAGTTAGCAATATCTGGGCAGAGGGACATCTCAGGCAATTACGGGGTAGAAATGTGCTTACTTTGCTCTTTAACATTAATTTCTCGATTATTGGTATCATACTTGCTGCGGTCAAATTGGTAATTAATCAAAAATATTGGAGTATATCTAAACAAATTTGGGTAAATGAAAACTTCTGTCAAATGTCAAGATCGACCTGGTTCAAACAATTACTTCAACTAAGCTACTTACCCCTACTATATCTTGGAAAAAAATGCTATGGGACTGGGTCTACTTTATAATGACTTTTGTCGAGATTTTATCTCCGATTGGGATGTGCTAATAAGGAAGAAACTCTACTGCACTTTATGTGTCATTGTCCATCATTAGTAAGAAGAAGATTTTAAATCTTTGGAGCCCTTTTTCTTACCGACCTGAGAGCGCTGTCAAGTTGCAAATATTTTTTTTTAAGCAGATGGGATAAAGGTTCAGTTTCCAACGTTTGATTTAAAGGCGGGAAATTCAGATGTCGAAGACTGCATTCTACTTTATTCGAATGTATTCATATCCTGAACGCTGAATAAAATAATGATTCATATTATACATACACGATATGATCGCATATCCATTATATTTTAAACAAATGCACATAAAAATATGAATTGTAAAATTTAATAAAAAAGAAAAAAAGCGTATTTAATCATAATTTTAAAAATAAGTTTATAAATACAAAATATAAAATCATAAATAATTATGATGTTGATGGAGTTTATATTGTATTAAGGATCAAAAAATTTGATAGATAATACGAAAAAGCAAATAATCCGCAAAATTAGTTTCACGATTTAAAATTGTTGTTGCTAATTTTTTTGTGTAAATTACATACATGTGTAAATAATGAATAATATGAATTATACGGACGCAATAATAGGCATTTTCGATGCCTCGCAAATGTGACAGAAAACGCATGCTGGCCTATATTAGCTAAGCAAGACAATAGGCATTTACAATACACAATAGGGCAATATCCCTTTTCGGTGGCTCGCAAGTATGGCAAAAAATACATGCTGGCCTATATTGGCTACGCGAGATATTGGCATCACTGTTACAATCTGTCAAGTGTTATGTTTTGGCAAATAGCAAATCTTGTATGTGTGCACATAATGCAAGCAAATTACATTTTGTATAAAATAAAAAATTCATATAAATTGAAAAGTAAAATGAATACAGAATTAAAAGGAATGGTAAAAATATTGAAAATTTCAAAATAAAACACTGAACTTATTCTTTTTTCCCAATTTTCAAATTTAATAAATTTTTGAGTTTTATTTCCAACATTCGTTGGAATTTTCAATGAAGGTTCACAATAGTTCGCTTATTGCGTTGGTAACACTTTTTTTTTACTTGCCGATGTGCTTGACCAATATACTTCTACTGGCCGAGGTATAGAAAATACTGTTGTTGTTTTGCGTACATTTCGGCCAGTATAGGCCAGCAACTTGCTGTTTTTGGCCATACTTGCGAAATACCGAAAACGCCTAATATTATTTCTAAATAATTAAAATTTAACTCGCTTTGTTTTTATAGACATAAAAATATAACATGACGGTCTTTTAACTAAAAACATTACGCTTATCTTGCAAGCATTTTAAGTTAAAGAAATTTTCTCTGACCGCATGACGTTGTCATATAAAACAGAGTACTGCAATGAGTACTCAACACTGACGTCATACTCACGTCATTAGCTGTGTTTCACTTATATTCATTTTAACTCTCTCATATGTTACGCAGTAACACATAAGGCCTATTACACATCAACAACTGCTGTCAAACATTCGTTGTCGTCGCTTGCTATTACACATCAAACTAGTCGACAATTTTTTAAGCACGTCCCAGAAAAAAACAATAAATATACTACAAAACAAGATCACACATACATTAAAACGATTGGAAAAAATTTTAACTGCTACTGTTTTTTCTGTGCATATAATTTTCAACTAAGGCCGAGTGCGAGTTCCAGTAAATTGATGGTAAATTGAAGCAAATAGTAAATTATATCGGTATGGCAGCGAATGTTGGTATTTAACAGAATTTCGAGTGGGGTAAATTAAATAAAAATTAGGTAAATTAGATATTACCATTGTGAAAATGTTTAATAAATAAATAAATAAATTAAATAAATAAGTGCAATAAAAAAATATTTTCATAAGTGCAGTGCAAAAAAATCCCTAGGAAATTTCAATTTAATTTACCTCAATTTACTCGAACTCACACACGGCTTAAAACAACCCCTGATTTTATGTACACATAATATTCAGGAACACAAACAAAATATATGCATTTATAATGTTAACATTCAAACAAATTTTTTGGCAAAAAACTGACCGATAGGCAATCATTATTGTCACAATTTGTTGACAAATGCACCCATTGAGTTATACCACACTAGTATATGTCATCAGAATTGTACGCATTTTTGTAAAGTAGATTCATTTGCACCGGCACTCGTTAATGAAAGCACTTATGAATCATGATGAGTATGCGTCCGCATATAATACTCTACGTATTAAAATTATGACTCTTTACTACAACCTTTTCCTTCAAATATGTATCGAAACTCTGCAAGAGTGTATAATTGTATAAATTTTTCATTTATATTTGACTTTTATGAGTGTACCCTGAGATTTAATATTATGAGTCTTTGCAGTTCTGATCTGAAATGAGCTTTAGAATGTGCACGGCTTTTAAAATAAGTTTTTTTTTTAGGTAGACTTTGTTCACTGTGTACTATATACCCACCATGTACTGGTGGGTTACCAGTACGAGTTATTTCGAAAAAAATTAGAACTATTGAAGGACATTTTTTATCGGCAATAATGACTGCTTGAATGCGCTCCAGAAAACGCTTTAAATTTTTTACTACTTTAAAAAAAATGTTTAATTCGACAACTTTTATAATCAATTTTTGATAATATACAATTATTTGTTAATATTTCATAGCCACACATAAGAGATTATCCAGCATTTCTATATACTAAACTAGTTACATACATATGTTAATAAAAGGAATAGAGCATCACCAAAAAAAGTCCCTAGAATTTGGATGATTGAAGTGTGACACTGAGCGTACTATAATAAGAAAACTGATTCATATAGAGATGAATATAATTGAACATAAATCAATTTTTCGTACTTTTTTGCGGAATTATTAAAAAATAAAATTCATAACATTATTAATTTTTTTACTCAAAGCACGAAGTCATTTTTATTTTAAAAATTTGTTATAGCAAATTTTAAACACATTTTTTGTACACTTAATTTATAGATAAATATAATATGTAATTATTTTTTAATCTTAAAATTAAAATAAGTCTATACCTTTACAAATTAACAAAGTACATTTTATATTGCATTTATTCAAAATATTTGTATTTAATGCTAAATGCTTAACTTTTACACTCTACATATAGTATTAATAAACTAATTAAAACAGTTTGGTGTTTTAATTTTATTTTTAAACGAACTATTATGTTTTGTATTATAAACATGTTTTAAAAAAATATTTCTTTTACTATATTAATATTTAAATAAATATGTATACATATATCTTATAATAATTGTTAGTCTTAAAACAAATTATTTCTTAAAACATAATTTTGTATTTTTCGCTAACCACTAAAAAATAATTAAATATTCACTACTAAACATAACCCTCATCACTATAATCATCATCGTCATCGTCATCCGATGTGATTATTTTACGTTTCTTTTTTTTTGTACGAAGTGATTGCTTTCTTGTAATATTAGTTGCTTTAGTAGTCAGGCTTATTTTGTTATCCCGAATAGCTGGAATTGTTAAAACCTCCTGAAAAAATTGAAAATAATTAATTTAATTCACATTTTAAATTATTTGTATATAAACAATATAACAAAATTACAATATAAGAACAATAAAAATAAAAACGTAATTAAATATTATTTTATTTTTCTTATCTATAAGACGAATAGATTTTACTTTTTGAATATTCAAAAGTACAGTGAAAGTTCTGTTAAACGGATGATATTATTAAATGAATTTTCAATTTATATAACAAAGCTCCTTTTTTTATGGACAATTTTCTAAACCGTTGGTGTTCGCTTAAGAGAATTTTCACTGTATTATATTATAACCAATACTTTTTCAAATTGAGTGCAATACATGCACTCCATTAAATGCAATAATTACTTTCATTTCTTCTGTTATTTCGCCATTAATGTTGTGGTTATTCATATTGGTAGTGGATAAGTCCGAATTATTTAATTGATTCTGAACTGTTGAATTCAGATGCAATGTTTGAGAAGTATTCAATTTGGATTTATCACGTGCTTCCTCATCTGAGTCCACGTCATCAGGATCCAGTTTTAGCATGAGTTGTTTGAACTGAAATTATTTTGTAATTTGAAAAGTTAAATTATCTACTGCATAATTATTTTTTTTAATTGTAGTGTAATAATTTAATTCAGTTTAAAAATTCTAATTAATTTTTTTATATTTATTGTAATAAAAAGAAATAAAATTTGATATGATGATATATAGATATCAACTGGTATCAACTGATAGACACGTTTATGACATCCGCAAAGACAAACGGTCATCATGGCGTTACAGCTCATAATTTAGTGTAATATTATATATACTTAAACGTTAACGTAACGGAATCAATATTATAATATATAAAGTTGAATTTTGAACTTACATCCAAGTATTTGGTGACTAATTCTATTTTCTCTTCATCATTTAACTGTACTGAAGTTTCATCATTGTTGGTTAATGCAATTTGTTGCTGTAATATTATCACATCAATGATAGATTTTGGATTAAAATCTGCAACTGTCTTTCTAGTTATAGCTTTTTCATACAATTTTTGTTCCGATGGAGAATATCTAGATATTTTACCATCCGTCAGACCATACATATCTTTTAAATGATCTTTTAATATCAGAAGCAACATGCATGCCTGTGCTGAGGTAATGCACTTGCGAATCTCATAGATGTTTTCTGGTAGTCGCTTAAAAAGTTTTTCTGGATCCTCTTCATCATCGTCATCTTCTAAAACATTATTTGCATTTTCTGAAGGCATTAAACATTCTTTAAATGTTGTCAATAAATTAGTTCCAGCTATTGAAATTAACAAATCAATTTGATGTATTAAATATAAGGGTTCATCCTGTACGACATATGGAAAATAAGCTAAATTATCAGCAATATAAAGCATTTGCCGTAATGAAGTCTTTTGGTCATCGAATTGCTTAATTACTGTCTGAACTAAAGCACGGCGTTGAGGTTTCGTTGTACGTAAAAGTGTATAAAGAAAATCATTTAAAGCGGAAGGCACAGTATCTGATTCCCGTTTACTGTAATCATATTTTATTTTAAACATTACAATATTAATAAAATAAGATTTACTTACATATAACCGCGAATCACATTTTCGTTTTTGCTATTGCACTGTAACATTTCTTGCAATTTGAAACAAAGCTGCAAACCAAATTGTACTTTCATATTAACAAATCCAGTGTACGTTTTATCAATCTCTTTCAGCAAGGCATCAGCTCTATGCGCTGACTAAATAAAATAGATTATAAAGAAAGCGACATTATATATATTACCATAGGCAAAACAAATATAGATCTGACAAATATAACTAAATCAGTAAATAAACACAATTAAACAAAATATATATCTCCCATGTTGAGAATAAAGTGAAACTAACAAAAACATCCAAAAATTTTATTACAAACTAATGTCAGAATGACAATGTTCAAGTTACTGATATAATATTGCACAACAAATGTAAAAAAGGATATACTCAAAGTTGTGCACAAGAATGTAGTCAGTTTAATTGGTCTATATTCTTTAAAGTTCTGCTACAAAGGTTAACATAAGAGACAAAGTTAGCTGTTAATCAAACTTATAGTAACTACTTATTTGTTTTATTAACCTACGTGTAATGTGCATATAATATTGTAGGTAAGATTAAATAAAAACAAAAAACTTACTTCTAATTTAGAATCAGTACTTAAACATATTAAATATGGGACCATCCGTACAGGGTGTACCAGACCTTGTCGTAAAACAATTTGGACTACTTTAACAGCCCATAGTCTTACTGTGTCATCACTATTTAAAAAGCAATCTAATATTTCTTGCAAATATAATTGTATTATCCGACTGGCCATACCAGATGAAACATCGTTCATTTCCTTAAGATCTTCATTTTGTGCTTCTTTTTCCCCTATAAATACATGTGGATTAAAATTAAATAACTGAATACTTTATTAAAAATTACTCACATTCTTTTTCCTTATTATGCATAAACATTTCTGATTCCGTCAAATAAATCCAAATATTTCGCATACATATTACTTTTATGCTTGGTTCGTTCACATCCGAACGTAACAAATCACAATAAAATCGTCTTAACTCAGGTCTCGTTAGATAATCTTCATTCATCACACAAAATGATCCCAAAGCAATGAGTGCCTGTTTTCTTATTTCATAATTTGAACACTGCACAAAAAACATTAGGCACTCAAATGCATCGTTACATATTGTAGAAGGAAGCCCATTTAAATCACCTTAATTGATATAATTGATAATATGTACATAAACTTTTTACAAAAACTATATATGTTAAACAGTTTCATACCAATGACATCAGGAGATTTGAAATCAAAATATCGCATTAAAATACCAATGGTAAATAAACTACGTCGAAACATGGGAGTATATATCGTTTCTATAGTATGGTTATGCTGCTCAACTTGATTTCGGCTGTGGTCCATGATACGATAGAATCTATATGTACAAAATAAAAAATTCATATTTAACTTAAGAAATATGTTATATAAAGTATTCATACTTTTGGAAACAATCACGAATAAGTTTATAATTTTTTGTAATTTTGTTTACAAGAGCACCAAGACAGGACACACAACTAGTAACAACTGCCTGATTCAGCGAAACTACAAGAAGCATTAAATGTTCTTCTAAAGTCGCCAAGAATGATTCACTAGCGTTATTTACCAAAGGAACAACCTTAGAAACATAATAAAGAAGTAATATCTTATCTTAATTTAAAATCTTAAAACCATTTTCATACCTTCTCAAGTATATCAGCAACAGCACATATAAATTTCGGTGCTGTAGCTGGATGGCACTTGATGTTCAAATAGGGTTCGATAGTTATTGCATGTTGTATGAGTAACTGTGGACGCACTTTTGCTAATAAATGAAGTGTCGTAATGCAACCTAACATACGTGTATTGTCAGTATCTTCTAATTCAATTAAACGGTCAATTAATCCGTCAGCTAACTGCTGACAAGCTAAAAGAATTTCTTGTGGAGGTTCAGTATTCTTTTTAATAGGGTCTTGAGCATTTCCTTCTAGCTTAATATTTTCTTTTGGTTGAAAAATCTGAAACAAGAATAATAAAAAATTTAGTTTTGGATTTGTTATAATCATAATATTTTTCGCACAAATAATAGACTATTATAGACTATTTAATTACGAATTATTTTCGGCTGTATGTTGAAATATGGGTCTTCTGTGTAATTAAACGCAATTATATATTTAAATAAAATTATATTTGGTAGATTTTTATGTATAATTACATAACATGATTTAGCTATTTCATCTATTCACAAACTCTATTCCAAAAGAATTGCGCTGAGTTCTGAGCTTCATATTTGGCAGGACCCGAGTTCGATTCCTGGTACTTGCAGTCTCAAAAATAATTATTTATGAATAATTAAATATAAGAATTATTTCCAAGATCACTTATGAAGGGTATTTGGCAATAATTGAAACAGCTGTATGGTCAGCCAAAAATTTAATTAATTAAAATAATTTAAAATATAAATTTTTGTTGTTGTTTCACTTCTGTTCGAAAATCTCTTTATGTAAAAGAATTTTATACAAGATTGCTTCAGATCGAGGTCAATAACTAAGTGAAGTTAATTACAATAAAAAGATATACAAACAGACAGAGATCACATCTCAGTCAATAGACACGCCTAATATAACCTTATGCTTTTAAGAACTATTAAAATTCTCATTCATAAGTAAATCTAATTTAGTGATTACAATTAATTATTTGTTGCAATAGTTAACACTTAAAAGAAGATTTTAATATTTTATTCAATCATATACATACACTATTTAAAAGACCTTCTAACCACGCTGTTCCAGTATCATGTGCAGTATTTACTACATCAATAATTTGATTAATTTTTCTCTGAATTCCATGCTGAAATTAAAGATTTTTAATTAAAAAAAATAAATAAAAGTAATTTTGAGAAAAGACGTTATATTTTTAATTTAGTTTTCTGAACTATGTATTAAATTTTTGTTTTTTGCAGATCTAATCAAAAAGAGAGTAACTACCTTGTCATTTTTGCCACACGGTGTAAACCACATTTTCATGAATACTTCTGTTACAAGTTTTTGAATACCTTCTTCATCATTAACACGCCTTATCATTTTAACACAAATTTCTGGAATTTTTTTAAAATCCGGGTACTCTATACAAATGTCTCTTAATATTTTTATCACACGTTTTCGGACTGAAACACCCGTATCCTAATAATAATTATATAAATTGCATTTAGCTGGAGAAAAAATAATTCACAATACTAACCAAAATTCTTGTAGATAACATATCATAATACTGATCAATTAGTTCTTCATTACTTAAAACAAATTTTCCAACTAAATCAACTGCTGCTTCACGCACTGAAATTGCTGCATCTAAAAATTTTTGATTGACACCCATTTGCATATCTTTGCGCTTTAGAACCATAGGATCAACTTCTACAATGTTCGCTAGGCACTTCATAGCTCTTGTTCTTACAGCAATTGATTGTTCACTGAAGAAAAAATGTTTCCGTAAATGTAAATTATATGTCAATTTAGAGAATACATACTTCACAACTAATATGATTTTTTTAAGATATCCATCAAAAGATTGACTAAATGGTCTTTTAGTTGCGAGATATTGCGCAATAAGGTGAGCATTATTGTAATCAATATAAGTCTTTATATGTTGTGATGTATGACTTAAGTCATTTGATGAATATGGTTTTATTTTTTGTAGTAGATATCTTTTTCGCTCTTCAAGCACTTTAAAAATTTCTAAATTTAATTCTTGATCGATCACATCATTACGACTTGTATTTTTGGTAAGTTTAGTATCATTTTCACTATCATCACTAATTTCCGGAGATGAAGAATCAGATGAGTCAACTAAAAAAATGGAAATATTAAATGAAAATAATAAAATTAATAAATGTAGATACTTACTATTACGTTTACCTTTTTTACGCTTTTTGTGTGATGTACTTTTTTTACGAGAAGCGTAACCTTTTTCTCCTTCATTTATACGACGACGTTGGCATATTATATCACGATACCACTGTGCTAAATAAAAATGTCGAGCATAATCCCAAATTAAATTTTCTTCCTGAGCATTTACTGCTAAAAAATCCAAAAGGATTCTTTGCAAGAATTCCGTTCGTTCTTCTTCAATGCCTAATACAATGGTACTCTACAAATATATTTCATACATTTTAAAACATACTTAACAATTAAATTAGTTATACTACTAAATAGTAAGCATTACATACATTTTGGATTAATAATTCACCCTCCTTTTCTTGTTCTGCTTTAATGGATAAAATCATTGAATCAATTATATTAACTTTGCAACGTGATTCAACAGTGTCTTTCCTTAATCTAGCAGCAACGATTCCTAAATAGTCCAAAGATACCAGTCGAATACTTTGCTCTATTGTTTTATCAGATACGTAGCGTACTAACATAGTACCCAATAGAGAAAGTAAGAGCTCAGATGCTGGCCACTCAGGCTTATTTACTGTTGCCAAGAGATCGTGTATGAAATTCTCAAAAAGCGGACGGAAATCAGTTTCATTTGAACGAGTTTTACATTTATTTAAAAATGTTGTCAAAAAATTGCCACCTATACTTATTGCAACATCATATTTTTTCAATACTATAACATCTTCATTTTGTTTAGCGAGTTTTGTGGCACCTGCAGACATTTCGCCTTCAATATTAATTATATCTTGTGTAACATTTTTTCCCGCATTTGGTTCATTTTCACAGAGCGAATCGGGTAAAATTGTAGCACATTGTATTAACTGCAATACCAGTGAAGTAACCATTTGTATGTTTCCGCCATTATTTGCTAATTTAAAAGGTCGAAGATTTCTTTTAGATGACGGTAAACGATCTATAGACGCAAGGATATCACCTAAAATACAACTACGGATTTTGTCGTATTGTTCCTTGCGAAAAATCTATAAAATATGAAATTGCAAATCAAGATAATGTACTATACAGTTATTATTTTCATATTTACCGTTGTTACTAATTCCAAACACACAAATTGTAACGTTTCAATATTATCTACAAAAAACGGTTCAATAGCTAAAGTAGACAGTGGAAGTACCACAGTGTCAACGAAAATGCATTTGTCAAAAAGTGTTACAAAAACTTTCATTAACTCCACTGATTTTGAATAAAGCAACTGCAACGCTCGATTGTGGTTGTGATGAGGCTTTGATTTTTTTCGATTATCAGACCTTTTCATACTTTTTACAGTGTAAACTGAATCGTATGAAGGAAATATAGTCTCTCGAAATTGAAATTGAATAAATTTAATAATTAGAGAAATATTATCTTCTTGAAGAAACTTTAGATCTTTTGTTGTTGAGTATATATTACAAATAAGAAGACAAGCTTCGATTGCGTTTAAAATTTTATCCATTACTTCATCATCAACTATTTCATCTTCATCATCCTAATTAATAAGCAAACCATAAGAAAAATAAAGTCACTTGAATATATTACTAAATTTAATAAACATGCGCTTACCGGGCCAGCAGAATAATTTTTAGCAAGATAAACATTGCGCATTGCAAAATTTATAAGTAATGTCAATTTATTCTTCGGTATCGAATCCAGCGCATTTTTAGCTTTTAATTTTGCTACATCGTTGCTCATTGTATTTAACATTTTTGAAGATATACATTCAATATTATCATCAATATCATCTAAAATATATATAATTAATAATTTAATTATAATTATTTGTTAATTGTTAAATTTTAGTTGAAGTTAATTTAATGTAAGTTAATGTAAGCTTATACACTAATACCATAATTTGCGTCGTTAATTGGGACTGACAAAATACGAAGCACATCCAAACGACGTAAATCGAATCATATTTCTTCCTATATTTATTTTCCAAAAATACTTCGGTTTTTGACGGAGAATTACCTTTTAACTCTTTCAATATCGACAGAGCCTTATTATGAATTTGGCTAAATGACAATATTCTGATTTTGATTTTCTATCCAAAGGGATAGAAGAGACTCTATTTTTACAATTAATGGACTTTTACTTTTGGTAACTTGTTTGATCTGCAAAAAAGTGACAGCTTTTTTTTTTTAGTTTTCATTTTAATTCTGTGTATTAGGCAAGCACGTATTTTCAAGACAAATGCGAAAATCTATTAAATGCATTGGTGGAACATTTGTTTCGAATTAGGTAATAGTTTCTTTATCAATTTTTAGGTCCTCTAATAATTGTTTATTGTTTTTAATATGAGAATTTAAATTAATTTGTTGAAAGTTTTTATGTTTTAACCTAAAAATTAATAGTGTTTTTGAACTAAGCCGATAAATTTAAGAGATCCTTAAGAGAATCAAAATCAAAATTTTGCCACACTTTTTCAATAAATAGTTATGCAAAAAATTGTAAAAATATAAACAAAATTTAGATAAGGCACTAAGGAAAATTGCAAAATTATTGTACATACATAGCAAATACAACATTTTTAAGCATTACAGGGATCCTCTAAAGATAAAATTCATAAAAGAGAACTAATAAATAAAATATGTCACTATATTCAATCGCATACCGGATTCGAAGTTAGGTGTTTCCGTATCATCAATCTGTTCAGTAATTTGTTCAAGGTTTCGCATAAACTGTTGATATGTTTGTGACTTTGAAATTTCTTCCTTAGTAAATTTTGGTAGAATTGTAGCAACAATTCTTTCAACTTTTCGAACTTTTGGTTTGGAGTCTAGAATATAAAAAACAAATTTATTAAGTATAATTTTTAAAAATCGATATATGATAAGTTGCAATATAAGATTTAAGAATTTAAAAAATTGTTTTATTCAATTTAAAAACGTGTAAAAATATTAAAAATATGTTTACTTATAACACATGGTAATTTTGATATTATAAAATAGTAAAAATATTAACCATTATTGAGATGCAAAATTATACTACAAATTTAAACTTGTTATCCATAAAAAAAAAAACTAATTGAAGATAAAATTAAGTGCCATCCAAATGTTTTCATGAACCAAATTTTTCATTAAAGTTTTTTACATATAGATTCTTAGATCATCCGCAGGAAAAATGAACGACCATTCAGTTTCATATACTTTATTAGAGAGAAATATATATAGGAAATAAAACAAAATAGTAACATATAAACGTACATTCTTTACTATTTTATCTCATATGTGCGAGTTGTACTTTTTGAAATGTTTTATACCAACACAGATTTGTATCTTATTTTAATTAAATGCTATGTTGTTTAATAACGTTGCAGAGTGACGACATTTTAATATCTCATATGTCATAAGCACACAGATCAAATTTTATTTTGATCTCTCAACTCAATTTTTGTTTAAAAGCCATTTGAGTCCAGTGCACTTTTAAAAAAATGATTGTTCATTATTAAAGGCCATTGAAATAAAAAATATATTAGGAGAACCGACTTTTTATAAATAAGCTGGTTTGGTCAAAACTACTAGTAAAAACTTGAAGATCTGCATTAAAACCTCAAAATTAGAAAGAAATTTATTTTATTAACAGGAACTGATATTTGCTATTTTGTCGAATCTTCTGTAAAGTTACTACAGAAATGAGTAATTCAGAGAATCGTTAAAATACCTGTATTAAAATTGAGATTATACGAAAAAATTAATAAATAAAGCTTTTTTAATTTCCGTTAAGTGAACTTATTATTATGCATCGTGTTCAGAAGTGTGATATCCCTGCAATTTTGCAATGACTTATATTACCTTCTTTGAAGATGAGACTACTGGATCCCAATACTTGCAACTGATTGTGTCGTTTTATTGGTATCTGTAAAATTTTTTATTTTTAAGGCACCTTAGATTGCCGCTCTACAGATAGGACCAGAAGGTTTTTATATCTTTTCACACGATTTTTTTAAGTTTTTTCTTTGCTTATTTTCTTGTGTAGCGAACAAACTTGGAATGTAACCCATTTTTTGTATTAATATGGATCGAAAATACAAGTGACTCAATCACATTAAACACAGCACTGCACAAGATACTAAAATATAATTCCATATTATAGTTCACAAGGTAACGCCCACGTAACTGTTGCTTGTAGAAATGGAAGAATTAAACAAATATGTAAATATAGATACTCTATATTAATATAATTAATTCCATGAATTTCGACAAATTATCTGCCTGACAAAGAAATCTACATGTACAGTTGAATCATCGTAGCTGAGAATGTAAATGATACATATATGATACTTAAAGACTATTATGCGGTGCCAAAAAAAGGTGTTTTAACATATACAAATTGAAAACACTGAACTTACATATTTGATCAGGAGGAATATTTTCCAAAGATATCACTGGTTTGCGTTTACGAACCCGATTTTCATCAGCTTTCATTAATGTGAATGTATCTGCCAGATATGAAGATGTTGAAGAATTCATAATGGCTAACTTATCATCAGTTAAATTTTGTTCTGTAATATTTGAAGATTCCATTTCTGTAACTGGTGTATCAATTTTTTTTATGATATCTCCTTTTTGAACAAATCCTTTAATGCTATGTTGCATTTGCCGAGCATGTTCTTCCTTCAGCCGGTTAATACATACGCGAACTTGAGGCTTGTTACCTAAAATTAAAAAACAAAACTTTGCTTAAAACAGGAAAACTTTAAAACTAATTTAAATTACCAGCAGATTCTAAAATTTTCTGTTCTATATTTTTATCTATGTGTGGGTCCGCTTGTGTGTTACAAAGTAGAACTGATGATAATAATTGCTGCTCCTCAGCGATATCCAAAGAATTTTCTAACAACTGATTTTGTAATTCTTTATTGTCTGCGTTTGTAAATAACGAAAAGTTTTCATAGGCATTCTTTTCGGTAATCAATTGTATTTCTTGAAGTTGTTGATTTAAAATATTTGGGCAAACTACCGATTGTTCTTGTTCCAAAGAAACTAAGGTTTCTGTCACTAAACTTAAAGTGTTTTCAGCCTGTGTTAACGCTATGTTGTCCGTAACAGCATTATCATTTTTTAACACTTTTTCACTTTCTTCTGATACCTTTAAGAGCACTTCTTGGGGGAGAATAGATGTATTTAATGGATGAATTGTAGGTACAATTGAAATTTCTTCTACGTATGCTTGCTGATTTACAGGATATTGACTTAGACTAGAATTATTTTGAATTTCGACATGTTCTGTTTGTTGAACTATATTATTTTGCTGAATTATACTATTTTCTTGTATTATATTATTTTCTTGTATTAAATTATTTTCTTGTATTATACTATTTTGTTGAATTAACGGATTCTGCTGTATTACTTGATTTTGTAATTGTATTGTATCAAATTGTGATTGTGTAGGAATAACTACGTTTGGATTAGGATCATCTAATTGATTTGTTGTTAGTTGATTATATATATTATTTTGGTCAATATATTTATTAGGAGACTTAATAACAGAGGATGAATCAATAACATTAACATTAACTGAATGATTTCTATAAAAAAAAGAATAGAAAAAATATTAGAAACAATTTTTTATAAACAATAAAAAACTTATACTAACAATTCGCTATCTAATGGTGTTTGCTCAATTAAATGGTTGGAATTAGCGATTTGAACAATTTGAGGGTAAGTTTCCGTAGGAACATGTGAATTTGTTGTGGTTGCAAGAGCTATGATATTTTCTTCAGTGACTGGAATATTTCCTTGGCAATTATCTATTTGCTGTTTTTCCTGACAATTTTGCTGCGGATTATTCGCTTTAAAAAAATGTTACATTTTAGTGAAATGGAATTAATAAAAATTAAACGCTTACAATTATATTGAGTTGTATTAAAAACTGTAGGACGAAAATTATAAATTCCCTGTAAGAGCTCCGGATAAGTGCTTATATTAGCCCCGTGTTGATGAATGTTATATTGTGATTTTAATTCGCTGTAATTAAAATTTTAAACTTTATTTTAAAAACAAATAATAGTACATCTACTTACATTTTGTCTGAATTAGTTTGCTCAATTGCTCGAACCAACTGACGTACTAAATTATCATCACGTATAGAAAGTAAATTATTTGATTCATTTGCTACTAAATTATGAAACAAAAGGGATTTGTGTAAAGGAGTCGAATTGAAAAACGAGTCCGAGACTGGCAATTCACTGAGTACTGTAAAATAAGATTATTTGTTTAAAATTGTAATATATAAATCTATTAAAACGTGTCGACAATTCAAGAATTCAAAAATGTCAATCTGTATTGAGATATTCAAACTACTGTTCATTTATTCTTTAATATGAAGGGGCATTCTTTTACTTAATTTTGTTGCTTATAAATGAAATTATTTTCAAGAAAACAAGATTATCAAGTAAAGTATAATTTGTAATTTGCCTGTAGTGAGATTGATATTTTATATCATAGTTTTACGAACAAAATAAATTTTATATTTAATATTCTAATTGTAATATTAACTTGGCAATATAAAGTATATTAGCTTCCACGGGTGATGTCTTCTTTTGTAATCTCCTCTACTTCTTTTTAGTTAATCGTATTAAAAGCGGCACAAAAATGCTTATGAAAAAAAAAAAAACAAATTACAATGCTCGTGACATCAACTCAAAACACTTCCTGGCGTAAAAAGCAGATAGATAGGCTTTATCTCAGCCCTTAATAAGTATAAGGACAAACATTGTTATAGTCATAACTCTGTCAAGCAAATTGAAAATAATAATAGTACACAATGACATAAAAAATTTATTGTATTGTTTACGAAAAAAATAGCCTACAATATCTTTCATTTTAAGACCTCATTGGGTTTAATGAAACCAGATGATTATGCTGAAAGAGTGACAAACATTATTATTTTTTATAATCACAACTATTTTTTAAGAAAATAAATCTATTAATAATTGCAAACCATGACTTTTTGGAATCTTCTGTGCTATCTATGAGGAATATCTCCTACATTTATTTAGAAATATTAAAATTATTGATAAACTTAACACTGTCTTAATTAAAAACAGTTTAACATCACTTTTAGTAGGAAACATCACTTTTAAGCACTGCGTAAACACCTTAAAACCAGTTTAAGATTTGAATTGTCAGCTGTTAACTGTCAACAGATATTTGATATTTTTTTACAAATAACACTGTTGACAAAAAAACTAAAAATATCGAGAAAAATGGAGAATAAAAAAAAACAATTGGATGAGAGAAGAGGAAAGTATATAATTAAAGTATTTGCAGAAAATAAATATTAAAATTGTTGGACGGCAAGAAATATAGAAAGGACACTATATTTTGCCATTTTATTAAAGAGTTGTAATCACATTTCTCATAATTTTGTAAATTTTATACGGGATATTCCTAAAATCTTCATTGTTGTTTTATTATTTTCTTCTACTATTTTGGTTACAATATCTTTCCGTTTTAAAAGTGATTTTAAGACTCAAGGAAACGTAGTATGAAAACATTTTATCAATTAAAATATCAAATTTTATATCTAATTCAATATTATCAGAAATATTTAAGCAACATTTTTTATATTTCCAAATTAAAATTTGTTTAGGTGACAAAGAAATTGACTTTACACAAAGATGAAGTTCATAAATTTTTTAGTTGTGAATTATTTTAATATATTTATTTCACTACACAATTAACCAAGAAATATATTACTAGTTTTAAATCAAGTATTAGAAAAAATATATATTAATAATAAAAACTTAATATCAAAAGAGATAATCAAATATATAATGAAGAATTTGAATACATGCGATAAACATCATCTTTAAAAATGGTATAATATTATATTACCGAAAGTATCTATATTTATTTATAACTAAAATACTATTACACCCGTGGAAACATATCATATATAGCACAAGAACATAAATAAAAATTAATGAACAGTGCTCCGTGTTGTAATATATTTTTAATGCGTCTTCGAACTTGATGACATGAAGTCACAGCTAACAAAATTATATTTTAGAATGACTTTAGAAATGCTCTGGCACTAAGTTGTGTTATTTTATTTTATTAATTAGTTCTAACTTCAAATCTCTCACCATAAGGAAAACTATTTAGACATTTAAATTTTTCCTTATTCCTGTTTATTTGACATCTTAAATGCAATATCTTTCATAAAATAATTTATTTAATATATAATAAAATAATCCTTCACTCATATAATTTATTGTTGCAATTTCGACAATATTTATACTAAAATGTCATATAAACGGGACATCAGTGGTCGATTGAAATTCTTGAGATTATATCTTTAATAAAAACAAAACACAAAAACAAAAATACAAACTAAACAAAAATATAAACAAAAAATAAACAAAAAATAAACAAAAAAGGAAAAAAAAAAATAATAATAATTAAAATATATATATAATATAAATCACGTCACAGCATAAGGATAATGGATACTACTTCGTCGTCGACACGTCTTAATTTAATTTGTTTTTTTATGAACACGTACAATCCGATAAACTTGTTAATCCTGCTAAAGTGGTCACTGGTACACTTGGAATATCACGATCGCACATGTTGAATATAGTAACTTTTTTTTTTTATATTATTACTTTCACTTTTATTTAGTTTTATAGTTCTTTCGTTTAAATTTTAATTTCAATATAATGTATTTTCGATCAAGTGCAATAAAAAAGAAATAGAGACGAAAATTTTATTATACATATTAAATATCTATATACTTAAGTATATTTACTTAGAAGTTACACAAGTAAAAATGAGAGTTTTCAATGCAACTTTTTTTTTCTTTCCAAGTTTAAAAAATTTAATCTCTGAATTAAATAGTGAATTAAATTAATTAGTGAATTTCCAAAATTCTTACTCGTGTAACTTCTATGTTAATTTTTAGTATGTTATTGTTGTAATATTGCATATTGAAATAACCAAATAAGCAGTAATTGGATAAAAAAGAAATTAACATAATTATAAACCAGAATTCCTTTTATCTATATCAGCGCATAACAATAGCAGTGGAAAGCAGAGAACTGGTAAAAACATTGTTCACTTTTATTAAACAAAAAGGGGAGGAAACCCTACGAGGTTTTGTACATAATGGAAGTTTTTAAAAGAGATTATACGGTGTCACTATCGATCACTTCAATCTCACATTTGCATAAATCAGGTATAGCAGATTTTGATGCAAATAGAAATGGTTAAAAAACGTTGCTCTAACCACATTTTCGTATGGATTTTATATGGAAAATTATCGCTACACATTAATTATGATAGTGATCTTGTTTGTTTGATATATCTAATTAAAACATTGATATATTCATCTTTAATCAGTGGTATAAAACAGATGTTTTCTAAATGGTGTGTGTGCATTCTAAGCATTACAATAAATTTTGAATTTTTAAGAACGCTCGATGCTAGACTAGACTAGGCTTACCGGTACATAGAATTATAGCTCTAAGCCTATTAAAATATAAAAAAAGAAACCATTTATTGTTGCTAAAAATCAATATTGTGAAATTTATTGAATAGATTTAGTTAAAAGTGTTAATCAATGGATAGACGGAGGTCTTATTGATAAGTTTAAATAGCCCTGTAAAACACCACCAACTAATCCATAAATGCGTCCACAATTCTGGATGACTCTAGCACAAATGATTCTTTCATTCTAAGAGAAGTCGCCATCAATGAAGTTTTAAAAGCTTTAACATTATTTGTTGCACTAACGTAATTCCAGGTCTATAACGTTCTAGTAGTTCGTTGTGGTAAAATATTTGTTTAGAAACCAGTAATTTTGATTTTTTTTCTACAAAAATAGATCAGATATTAGATTTTAAAATATAAAAAACAAAATATTAAACCAAAAACATAGTTTTACTTAAAATGAATAAATATTTTAAGTATGGATGCTATTATTCATATTCGTTTATATATATATCAACTTTCCCTTGGCTGAAGACTGTAGTTTTTCATCATTTATGGATTCTTAAAAACGAAAATTTATTATGGATTTGTGATTTGATTTGTTTTAATTGAAATATGGCATACACAGGTGGAATTAATACGTAGTGCCTCTTATTAAGTGCAGCCAATCCTGAGCAATACAGTTGTGTAGCATAATCCATTCATACGTAAAGTGATGTAAAGTGATCATATTAAGGACCTAAACTGTGATACTCATTTTTGATAAGTTTTTTTGTATTTTTATTTTAAATACAAAGGAAATTATTTATTTAGTATAAATATAAAGCAATTCGTTTATGTTTTGTTTTAGAAGTATGTGCTAAAAAGTCTCAAATATATTATTTGGTTTTAGACCAGCTTTCAACGAAATCAACGATGTTATTGGGCATTAAAGGAAGCAGCATTTTAAATCAGATAGGTGATAAAATGTTAACATGAAAGTAAACTAAAATGTGTTTTCGGCGCCTCGCTATGGTAACTAAAGCTTTATATATATATATAAATCTATAGAAAGTATATAATTTCTGATTACCTTGATCACCCTTTATATATTATCCTTTTGTTGTAAAATTAACAATAACAACAAAAAAAAATAACAGCCGACCGGACAGACGGACGGTCGGTCCGAACTGGATTACTTGTGGTATTACAATTTTATTTATTTTTCTAAGATATGAAAATTGAATTCAAATTTATCCTTCTTATCATCAAGAAAACCATACAAGGAAAATTTCGATATAGAACACAAAAATATTTCACACACATCTTGAGATAATAACGATGTCATATAGCCCTCATTCCGACCGAGTATTACAGAAGTGCTTGTCAATTGATAATGTGACTGTGAAGCGCAAAAGGATTCTTGTTTACAAAACACTCGTATATTGCATTGTTAAGCATTGTTTGTGAGATGTATTTTTCATTAACATTTCATACTTTTTGAAAATTGCGACAGATTTATATTAATATTTTAATTACAAAAATTTTAATTACTTTAAAACTAATATAACTTTAATAAATAAATTGTTTGAATAACACTCTGGTGTCCAATACCATTCTATGCATCAGCTCAATTACTTATATTACAAAAATTATTGCACTTGCATATTAAAGCATTATTTATAAAACAACCAAAGCAATCACATTTTTCACTGTTATTTAAATGGGTGAACAACATGCGAGCGGATTAATTCTGAAAAATATTTTCCCAGACGTCAACTACACATTTCATTATGTAAAGTATAAAATACAAAATAGTTTAGTACTAAATTCTTTGCCGATAAATCTGTAATTTGCAATTGCATTACTAGTAATTTACTACAATTTATAATTTACATACAATAAATCGTTACACGATTTGCAACTTAATTCACGATATACCAACAATTAACATCAGTGCAATTGTTTTCGAATAGTCTTTTGCATTAAACATGTTTTTCTGTATTTATTGCACTAGGTATACTTTTTAAATTTTACATTTTATGTACTATTCTTTAAATCGATTTCAACTGTTTTATAGTTAATGCATATTTCAATCACTTTTTTTAACTTTTCATATATATAATGTCACAAATGGCGACGTTATACCGATAACACAAACACAACACCAAATGCGATTTTTTTGTTCGGTATATTGCAGTTGGTACCACTGGTAAGCAACATTTATGTCGAACTTAATTTTGTGTAATTGAACCTAATATGGAGTTCAATAAAATTGAGATACACAATTATATCATCCACTGAAATTAGTTTGATGATATAAGAATTAATGTCTCATAAAACACGATTCTTTACAATTTATTTAAATTATATATATAAAAAACAAAGAAGTTTGATCAATTTAATTGTAAGTAATAATATTCTACTTTAAATTTTCACATTATATTTTGTTTTCATTCCATAGAATCACACTACTATTAGCCTAACTACAATCTATGAAACAATTTTTTTAAATTACATATTATTTAATAAAAACAGAATTACATTATACAACAATTTCTATTCCAAATAGTTGAATATGTTAATTTTTTTTGACATAATAATGTACAGCAAAGTTTTTATTTTCTGATGCTCATGCCTACATAGCTATATAGAGTATTATTTTCACGCTCAATAAATAGTTTAACAATTATTTCCTATGTGGTCCTATAGTTCCTTCAAGCTTGCATTGATTTGTTGCAACTAAACACCTTATTGTTTAATCAAACCATTAAGATTAGTTGCAATTAATGATATATAAATTCAATACAAATTGTTTTATAAATATATATTTTTCTTAAATGAAATACATAAGAAGTAATCTAAGAAAATTACTTTTACGAATATTTTTAAGATTTGTAATTAATTTATCAAAAGATATATGGATTATATAAATTAAGTGATAAACACTTTCTTTGTTAATACATAATTTTTTTAATTTTTATATTTATATTTTAAACAAATGTTAAAGTGACAAAAATTGCTTTTATCACTGACTGTATGAAACTTTCATTAAATAAGTTTACTATTAGATTTGTACAAATTTCAAATGGAATAATTCATATTTATACAAAATATATAAAATTGCAGGGTTTTTATTGTCATTCATATTGTAATTAATACCGTTTATTGAAATAAATGCCATTAAATGCAAACAATGTTGCAGGTTGAATTTGCAATTAATTTATTTTCATATTATTTTTTTGTAAAAATCAGAAATTTGAAGACTAATAACATATAATAATATTATATTATATCAGATTAATATAAAGATATTATCCCGATCCCACAAGCCATAATCCTATGATGTCCATATATTTTCTTTAAGCAAGTCTTGTGTTGTTGTTGGGATACAAAGAAAAATAAAGTTTTGTTTTTTCATTTAAATAAAAACATAATTTTTATTTCTATTCCAATAATGCAACCATACTAGCCTAAATAATGTTTACCTAATTAATATAAGGAACTGATCAAAAAACAAAAAAAAACACAAATTAAATAAACAAATAATTTGTTTTGTGAAGTTAGGTGAAAAGTATTGAAAGCTACAGTATAAGATTTTAATCCATTTAAACCAATTCTCAACAGTGTAAAACAAAAAAAATGTTTTAAATAATAAATTTAAAGTCGAATTTTAATATAGATATGTAATTAAAATTAAAAGAATAAATACATGTACAAAAATAATAAAATTCCAGGTTATTAATGACATATCCCATATTTAACCTTAAAAGCTTCAAAAACAATTGAAATTAATTCTACTTTACAATATATTGTGAAAATTATTTGAATATTGTCACTGAACATTTCTACATATAACAGAGATTAATAACAGTGTACATTTACTTAATTCGTTATTGAAACTAAATCTTATTACTCTATGCTTTTAGAAACAACAATGCTATTGGGAACGAAACGATAGCATTTTTATTTCCAAAATAAGAACGTTGATTCTGTGTTTGTTATGGAAATTTGATTATGCTGTGAGTTGAGTTTGGTGACCCATAGTAATAAGATGATTCGAAGGCCAAGGGTGAAGCCTCCGGTTAATTTAAAAAGGAAATTACCTAATCCTAACACAAAAGAAACTAGCTCTAAAAAAGTTCTATGCGTTGATGCGCCTGTTGATGTTAAAAAATCCGTAGATACTACGGTTCTTGAAGAAAATGTAAAAATTCTTGAATGTAAGAAGTTAATAAAATTGCCTATTGAAAATGAAATAAGTGTAATTCAGAATTCTAATGAAGTTAAAATAAGTAATTATCAATCCTCAGCGCCATTATTACAAAGTTGTGAAATACTGCAAATAAATAAGTCTCCACTAAAAGCAAATATACCAGATAATGATTTTACTGAAACAGCATTTCAGTCCAACAACGATTCAACAGACGATAATGTTTCAAAATCACCTAAATCAACAACGGAATTGACTGACAATGTCGCAGATCAGTGTTTTTTAAAACCAGAAACAAGAACTCAATCTCTGGTTCACGTGGAAGATTGTTTTAAATTACCAATACCAGAAAGTACATTAAAGAATCATCCGTTTGCGGAAGATTTTTTTAAGTCTCAAAATGCAAGTAATAACATTTCGGAATGTATTGAAACTCAAATAAAAGGTCAAATAAACAAAAATTATGGTGCAATGCAAGTTAAAACGGCTGCGCGGTCACGAGTAAAACCTGTACCAAGTTTAGGTCATAGACGTAACATGATAGTACCACCTGTAATCAATTCTACAAGATCTGATGAAAGCACTTCTGGTAATATTATATTCAAGTAGAAATTTTAAAATTAAATTATTAATTTATAATAAAGATTTTGATTTTATAAAAAAGTAACTAAAAAATTTATTATTATAAATATTTAGATCTTTGTTAAGTATTCCTTTTATTAATATGTTATACATTTTCTATCAAAGGTACTGATTACGCGTCCACTACATTAAATCGACGAGAACCAAGTTGTGCTGCAAATAAAACTATTAATGCTTCCCAAAATTTAAGTAGTGTTGCTAAAACCTATGGGCGCATTCGAACAGATTCTAATAGCTCGGCTTTTTCGGATCCTCATTCATCGTTTCATAAATCACAAAAAAATGAAGAAAACCGTTCTAATGCACGCCGTGATTTTGAAACTAGATTTAGTAAAGGCGTTCCAGAAAAATCATTAATTAAGATGGCAGATCTAATATTTTACAATCCAACCACAAATCCTATGGAACAAAATGTTCATACAGCAAATCCAGATACAAATAAGATAGCCGACATACAAAATATCGAAAATCCATTGAAAAATGAAGAATCAAACAATAATTCCACTGCTCCAGTGCCACAACTCAAACTAAATGCACAAGGGGAATTGGTGCTTGATGACAAATCCTTAGAAATTGAAACTACTGCTGAGCAAGAAGCTCGAAAGATACTAGCTAACTCTTCTCTTATATATGTGGATGAGAATACCGGCACAAATGGATTTTATAAAAAACATAAGCGCACAAAAGACTGGACACCTGACGAAACTTTAAAATTTTATAGATGCCTACAAACTATTGGCACTGATTTCTCTTTGATTAGCCAAATGTTTTCAGATAGATCACGTAGAGATTTAAAACTCAAATTCAAAAAAGAAGAAAAATATAATCTTCCTTTGGTTAATAAAGCCATACTGCATCCTAAAATGTTTAACATTGAAGAATTAAGAAAACAACTTAAAGAAGAAGAAGAAGAAAATAATAAGGAAACTGAGAGTGAACAAATAATTGAAAAAAAGAAACAAAAAAAGAAGAGAGTAAGTTTTTTTTATTGTTTTGTATGCTATATTCAAACAATATATTTTGTCATATTAAACATTTTATTTAAATTATTCAAATTACTTTTTTTTATTAAATTATTTTGATTAATTTTTATTATGAAGCTTTGTAATAAAATGTTTTATTTCACACATTTAGTCAAACAAAACTCATGCGGCCCGTATTCTCGAAATGGAAAATGATATATATGACGATGAATTGGAGTTTTCACGTGCACGATTTGCAGAAAAATCAAAGTCAAAAAAAGTTTCTAAACAAAGACAAAGAAAATCGCAAGAAAATGAATTAAAAAAATGTAATGATGCAGAAAAGGTAATTAAAACGGCTGTTAAAATGTCTGAAACAAATATATTAGCCTTGAATCAAACAAGAGAACAAAACATTATAGATACAATTGACACAGAAACAGTTATTGATAGAAATCAATTAATTGACTTAGACCTGGACGGTAGAAATTGTAATAATAATGTTACTAATAATGAACATATCTTTAATGATAGTAATACGATAGATAGCGTAGATAACATGAACAGTAATATTGAGTTGTCACCAAAAAGTTCCTCTTATGAATCAGATTTAGACAATATTATAGCAGAATTGTCAGACGGCTCTTTAGTGCTTGTTTCTACTTTAGATCAACATAATCCTCAACAAGTTAAGAACGAAATTTTTTTGCTCAATAAAAATACTGGAGAGTTAAGTAAACAACCGTTGGATATATCTCCGTCAGTTGTTCAAAGTATAGTATCTTTGGTTACTTAATTAACTTAATAGTATTTAAAAAGAATTCAAACTTTAATGTGAAATCGCTGATTAAGGCATATTAAGAGAATGTTTAGCATTACATTTTGTTGCCAAGTTAGTGACAAATAATTTTGTGAAATTCAAATAATAAAACGTAAACACCTGATCTTTGTGGTATATGAAAATACAACTTTCAAGAACTTTGAAGAAAAAAAGTTGATAATATTTTTCATTATACATATATTTTAAAGTATATTTTCCACAAAACGCCAAATAGAGCGACAACTAGTTGGCCAAAGATCAGTAGGGTGTTAAATTAATAGCTAATTTCAGAGTGTCGAAAAGCTCAATCAAATATTTCCATTTTTTTGCGGTTTTCGTTTCAGTTTTGAGTGAAAAAATTCTGTGTTACAGATAAGAATTTTAATCATTATGAACAATTTTTATAATTTAACCAAATTTAAAATGCAGAAAGTTATTTCGGCTATTTGTATGAATTGACATGATTTTATCGGTTGCAAATTAAGAATAGCATTAGTCAAAGCTAATGTAACGGTTATGTCTCTACAGCATTTTTGTTTATTTGTTTACAAAATTTATTTAGTCTTCCGAGTTTCAATTTATAATTTATTTTTATGAGAGCGTGATGGTACGCCCTCAAAAAAATCAAATTACGGTAGTTAGGTTAGGTCATACCGGCGACCCCTGGTGGATCCACTTAAGCCTATTGTGTTACCGTATATGTAGGAAAAACTCAGAGTTTAAAACCACGTATAAAATACGGTAGTTAATTGGTTGCAAAATTGAAACGTTAAAAAAAAAACTAAAGATAAAAAAATTTTGGTTCGATTATATAACATAAGATCTATAAATTGATTTTAAAATACTTTATTTCTATAAAAGATCCATAAAATTTGCAAGGATTATATAGGATAGAGTGAATTTTTGCTGCAACTGTTTAACTTCCTTTTATCATTCACACTACTTTAAAGAAGAAAATATTAAGAACGTTAACATTACAAATACTTACTACTAAAAATTCGTTAAGTCCTTATGGGGGAATTTCTCGTATGATTTGTTCAACAAACTACTAAATACACTTATATTGTATTAAATATGTATTCAGCGTAATGCCAAATCTATTCTTAAAAAATTTAAGAAGTAAAAAGTAAATATTTGATTTGTACATTACAATTATCTGTATAAATAGTATTTAACTTTTGATGTTTCTTAGATATAACATTGTATTACATATTATATTGTATATTATATTATATATTATATTGTATATTATATTACATATTATATTGTATATTATATTATATATTATGTTATATTATATATTATATTATATATTTTATATTATATTGTATTATATATGATATTATATTATATATTATATTACATATTATATATTATATTACATATTATATTATATTTTTTATTAGAATATTTATAAAATATTAAATTGTTATATATATAATATATACAATTTTAAATTTATTGGAATAGAATTTTATTGGATATTCTTAAAATAATATATGATTATTCTTAATATTTAAGCTGAATATTATAAACTTTGGAATATTTGTGTCAGCAACGCAATTTAACTGATTGTTAAAAACGAACAGAAATCTTTTAAATGATTTAATTAAAAGAATTGAATGCATACAATTTTTGTCTTAAAATTTGTTAACAAAATAAAACTTATAGTTGGTAATTTTTATGTATATTATCGGAGGAGTTCGATAGGTTTTAAGGTCTATATTTGCGTTAAAAATTTCAGTGAAATTAATAATTAGATGAACCCATAATATGTTTAAAGTAGTCTCATTGCGGGTATTCTGATTGTGTTATTTTGAATATTTTAAAAATAGAGTTTATATTAGTTCTGATAAATTAATAATTTTAAGTTAAAGTATAAGTTTAAAATAACATACGTTTTTTCAAGTTGAGAAAATGTGTAAAATACAAAATAATGCAATCAAGTTTTGCTCCATTTTAAATGTCTATTTAGCATATATGTAAATGCCAGAATTTAATATAAGAAATAATAATAAAATTTTTAAATATATATGTTCTATATGATTTGAACGAAATTGTTATCTTATGTTTTTCTTTTAATATTTTAAAATTTTTTCGGGTTTATATATTTTAATGTGAAAAATATTAATATGCATCGGATTGTTCAATTTCTATTTGAATTAGATCGATTTGTTAAAATAGAAGATTTTACATTTGGAAATTATATACATTTAAGAACACACTATCATGAACGTAGTTAGAAACCTGGATAGGGTAAAGACGATAACAAACAATTATTTTAATTAAAACGTTATTATTATTAAAGAAAAAATGTTTAATGTGTAAATTTCATGATATTATAATTTTTAAGGAGATATGATATTAAGAAGTAAATTTCAAACTGTAACAAAATCGGATGCAATACATTTTAACGGTAGGTTAGTCCGTTAAAATAAAAAAAAATTTTTTTCACGACTACAACTTCACAACTTCAGAAATATTTGCATATTAAAATTCTTCTAATTTATTTCAATTCGTTTTTCTAAAAACTCGTGTTAAAACTTACCCCTTCTTGCGTTACGATTGTTCTATCTGTTACCGAAGGCTATTGCACACACCTGCAAATGAATCAGAGGAAACTCGATATTTGGAGAGAGATTGACACTGCTCCATGGGCCCTTATGTATTTAAGTATAATTTACTTCTTAATATTTTTTTGATTGACAGTGACGTTAAAGTATGCTTGCTTTTAGTACACTTAAAATTAAGATATAATATATTTATATATAAGTAAATATCATTTCTATTATATTAATTATTCCGATACAGTTATGAGTTTTCATACTTACAAGATATGAAGTACTCATGGTATACCAATTTTATGATATGATAAAAACAGTAATGATAAATATTTTTAATATTACATAAATACAAAATAAAACAATATAAAATAAAAAATATAAAATATGGAAATATTTGTTGGTATTTTTTTGTTAAAACTAAGTATGAAAGGTTCGTGTTGACAATAGGTATGAAAAATTTTAAATGAATTTCTCAATTTCTATAAGGCACATCTTAGTGACTAATTACTTTAGCATGTCAGTCGAAATCTTAGGAATGACAAGGATGGCATCGAAACATTTTCCTTTCATTATCACTTTTAGGTTAAAAAACAGCCAGCAATCGCGCGAAACTAAATCAATATGGTGGATGTAGATAAATATGCTTTTTTTTCAATATTTCACGTATTATGCTAGCTTTATGTGATGGTGCATTATCGTGCAACCAACTGTCTAGTTCTTAAATCGTTTAACATCAGACTAAAACCTTCCCTTTCAAACAAAGACAATTACAAAAGGTGCGGTTTTTTCGACATTTGTCGACTATATATCTTTCTAGAATTTAATCTGTCCCCAATCTAAGAATTGTAAACCCTCTACCTAGCATTGTTTTATGTGTTCGATATGTTAAACAGCAGAAACTAAGCGTGTGTTAAGTTTAATGATTGTTATAACTGATAGCAATGCTGTTGTTGCTTAGGTTTGTTTAGATTGGAATGCTTAATTTGACGTGCTTCTTTCTGTTTACCATTGGAAGTATTTCCAATCGAAACATTGTTCGTTTACCTTCGTCATTATATATTCCACCCACAACTAGAATTTAGAGCATGCTATTGTAATCCTATTGGAGCAACACACTCCAGTATGGAGGCTATAGATTTGTACGATGTTGAGAAACTCAGCATTACACATTTTAACCAAAAACTAAAATATTTTTTTTTATTTTTGTAAAAGAACATAATCAAACAACTTCTTGCGTGTCACACTAATAGACATCCCAATAGTCCAACCATTAGTAAAATCCTCTTTTAATGTTGCTTACGGATAATGACTTCATCGGCAACATCATTGCGGTCCGCCCTCTACATCAAAGCAACAAAATGATCAACAAGTCTCTGGGTTGAACGCCTCCCCCGTGCACCATGACCAATTAAGGTAAGCCACGTACTAAACAGAAAATTGTAAACGTATAAATGTGTCGATTCCCGACTTTTGCCCTAACTGATTCCTTACTTTTTTCATAACGTGAAGAATTGTTTTCATAACTTCTGTAGTGTTTTTCTAGAGAATATTTTTAGGTCAAATACCCTTCAAATATTCGTCATTTTAAGTTTAATACGGATAGATTAAATTACACAATGAAAAGAAAATCCTTTAAAACTATTTGGAAGATACCTAGGTATTAGGTTGAAGTGAATTAAAGGTCATTGATTTATGTAGAACAGCGAATGGAGCTACGTCAACTCATTGTGTTATTTGTATGACATCTGTGGAAAACACAAAGCTATGGAGGATATTCTTGAAATCTTAGTTGAAATATATATTTGTACCATGACCTCCGAAATTCGTTTGTCCGACAATGTTACAACTGTGGTTCTGAAATTGCTAATTGTAAGTTCTTTCTTCATTCTAAATGTCACATCGATATTTAAAGGTAATTGGATCCTTTTGATTATAATTCAGTCAAAACGGTCTTTGAAAAGTTTGAGTGTTTTGTCACTCCCGAAATCTGTCGAATCTTTTATTTTTGCAATTAAAATCAGTCAGGCCATAATCGAGGATTGTAGTCTAAAAATTGGTTGGATCTAAGTATTGAAATAAATTAAGAAACGTGAGCATAATTTACATAAAAATAAGACCCGAATTAGATATCATCCGCTCCGTACAGTATAATAAGCTGAATAAATAATTGTCTTACATAAGCAGTCTTAACAAATTTTTTTTTCTAGTGATGCCATAATGTGTACATGCTGGCATCTACATCATTTCCAGGTAGCTTCAGTGAACATGCATTAAATTAGCTAGTGGCGATTTCTTCCACCAGACGTGTAACCAATGGAAGGCTTCCGATCTAATTATAGTACTTTTTTTTGATTGACTTAAAAAGTCGATGCAAACATTGACTTCCAAACGTTTTTATTATATGTTACTCAAGATGAATTACAGGAGGTCCAATCGATGTTGTATTTTGGCTTTTGACGCGTCATTATTACACTAAGTTTTTGATCCACAAATGAATAAGTCATTAAAATAGAATATTATGGTAAATTTTGAACTTGAAAATCTAATTTTGTGGATATGGTAGTGGACTGTCGATATTGAAATTTTTTTCTTTTCTTGTCATTTTAGGATGCTTTTATAAGTGTAAGTAGTCTTCGTAAGCAAATTTAAAGTGTGTTTTCTAAAATTTTGGTTAAACTACGGAAAAAACCGAGGTGAGGCGAAATATAATATTTTGAGTGAAATGTAGGGGTAGATTTTATCCAACGAAGTCTCCTAAATTTACAGTGTAACAACTAAAGGTATGAATTCGTTCGACGAGGTACAATCTCACGCAACGTTTTATGTAAGAATAAAAAATGTGTAAAAATATATCGAATTGTATACTATTCAGCGACGATTGCTGTAAGGTGCGGAAGTTTGCGGCGCACACTTTAATTTGCAAAATGTCAAATAAAATATATAAATTTATAAAAATAATTTTACATCGAGAATTAATATTATTTATCACATAGACATATATAATTTAAATAATGTAATATTAAAGAATAAAGTTTTAGCAAAATAAATAAACATGCAATTCTGAATACCTCTAGGGAACAAGTCTCTCTATTCCCATGCTATTCTCAAGAACACAACTCCCTTATTCTGAATTGCTTAGGAGACGTCAGTTTTGGGAACAACACAGTTTCAAATTTGTTTTGTTAAATTTTGGCAACCATGGCACTTTTTAATGACGAAAAGTGCAAAACAAAGAAAAAAAATGACGTATCACATGTTGATTCAGAATAGGGCTGAAAATTGTCTATAAATACTCAATTAATTTTCTTCTCTTAGCTGATGTAGTTGGTAGGTGTGCTCATATGTTTGCAGCTCAAATCGCAGAATATTTCTATTATATTTTAGCAGGCCACTGCGAGTTATTCATTATTTTTAAATTTATAACGCAAAAATAACAGTTATTTGTGCGTTTTAAAATAAAAAGCAGAATTTTAAGAGTTATTTCTGCGCAAAAAAATAAAAGGCACATGAAATAATTATTTTTGATGAATATAATATAAAGCAAATTTAATTATTATTTTTTGAGTATTATTTTAAAATACTCATATTTAAAAAGCATGCATAATATTAAGGATTAAAGTTGTTAGAATGGTAACTATATACTTAAATATGAGTTTAGACAACTTTTTGTTGCTGCTTTTTTTTATAAAAATTTTTGAAATAATTGTTATTTTTGGTCCCTGGCTCATCCTTACAAATAGGGCACGAAAACCTGGAATTGTCACATTTTACAGTTGATGATACCATGGATGCGCTAATGCACATACGGAATAGGCTCCTGGGAATGCATATTCTTACGGAAGAGGCAATAAAACTATGTAAAGTAGATTCTATACTACTTTTTATTAACGCAACAGGACTTAGAGATCTACTCAAAACCCAGAAGGGGCACATCCTCTAACAATAATAATACAACAACATATACTGCACATTATGCAAATCTGAGTTTTGTGATGTAGACATTTTCCAAATCTGATTTCCAATTGTGTTAGTAAATGATGTCAATGATTTTTTTATTTTATTTAATAGACTTATTTAAGCGATAAATGTATAAAAAATTGTTTTTTGTTTTTTAAGGTCAACGTAAATATAGAAGCTTCGAAAAGTCACCAAAACAAACAAAAAAAACATAATGATGATACAATGAAATTATCGAGTGATTTCAGTAATTTACTACAGGAAAACATAATAAAGAAAACTGATGCCAAAAAGGGAGTTGGTATACAAAAGATGAATTTAGGATTGGCAAAATTAGAAACCTCAAAGAGTGACCAAAACGAAATAAAAGAAAATAAGAGTGACACAATGAATTCTGCTAGTCAAATATATAATTTACTCCAAAAAATTAATGCTCAAAAGGTAATTGGTACACAAAAGATGAATTTAGGATTGGCAAAATTAGAAACCTCAAAGAGTGATCAAAACGGAATAAAAGAAAATAAGAGTGACACAATGAATTCTGCTACTGAAATATATGACTTACTCCAAAAAATTAATGCTCAAAAGGTAATTGGTATGCAAAAGATGAATTTAGGATTGGCAAAATTAGAAACCTCAAAGAGTGATAAAAACGGAATAAAAGAAAATAAGAGTGACACAATGAATTCTGCTACTGAAATATATGACTTACTCCAAAAAATTAATGCTCAAAAGGTAATTGGTATGCAAAAGATGAATTTAGGATTGGCAAAATTAGAAACCTCAAAGAGTGATCAAAACGGAATAAAAGAAAATAAGAGTGACACAATGAATTCTGCTACTGAAATATATGACTTACTACAGGAAAACAAACCAAAGAAAATTAATGCTCAAAAGGTAATTATTACATAAAAGAATTTATTATTGGTAGTGTAGCTAAATTTGTTGATTTAGAATTTAATCATATTAATTTACGCCACCCCATGTTCACCACCATATCGGATATATCGTTTTTAAACTTTAATCAATTTTACAATATTTTTCTTTATTAGTAAAGTTGTAGTAAGTCCTTAAAGAACTGAAACATGTCCAAATTACCTTTGAAAATAAAGCTGATAAGTGGGTGTGGATCAGTGATGACGCGTTCCCTATCTGGAAGGGTGTGCGGCCGTTCTAAAATTTTTTTGTACATATATGTTTAAATTAAAAATGATAAATAGAAATATATGAGATGTTTTATTAATAATAACTATATTACATTAGGCAACAATATATTCAAAATATAACATTTAATAATTCATCAACAAAATACCATATTAAACAAATTAAATTAATAATATATTTAATATATCAATATGTGGAATAAACACAACTTTTCACATATATCTTATAACATCAAACCAACTTTTGTCAAAGAAAAGAGTTTGTACTTAGAACCATACATGTTTATGCAGATCAAACACAATCGAACACACTTGCAACGTATAAATGTGCGGCCAGCTACTCCGCACACAAAGCAGTTATTATACGCTGGAGCCACAGCTAAAAAAGGAGAGACGAAATTTGAAAGAAATGTATGGTGATGTAAGCTGCAAACTTTAGCCTCTTACCGCTTCGGTAAGTCAACATGTTGATTTGTTATACATGTAGTTGATATTCGAATAGAACAGAAAATACTCTCATACAATTCCCAATTTCTATTTCTCATATTTTAAGCTAAAGCACACGCACATTATTTTGTTCATTCTACTTTTGTGCATACTTATGACAAAAATTTATGAATGCAATTGCTTAAAGTGGAAAGACGAAATACGATACAAGTGTTTTGCGATGTGAGCTGCAAACTTATGAGCACAACTAACGACTATAATAGCTAAGAGAAGCAAATTAATTGAGTTTTCATAGGCAATTATATTTAATTGTTTTTGGTAAAACTTTAATCTTTGAAAATATTTATGTGAAAATGTAATAAACAATATTAATTTTTGATGTAAAGATGTTTAATAAATTTAAATATATTATATTTGACAATTTGCATATTATGTTAGGGTGGACACCGCACACCTCCGCACCTTAGAGCAGTCGTCACTGGTGTGGATAGTTTGAAGATATAAATGTTAAACATATATCTGAAATAATATTAAAATCGACAGAGGATGTTCTGTTTACGATATATACAAATTTTTGATCGAGGCCCAAGCCAGATAGTTTACTACAACACTACAATATATTTATTCCTTTAACTCATAGAAGAAGCATAGGGCTGCAGCAAATATTTTCCACTTGGTACGATTGGTGGCCAATAGCTTCAACTCTCCCCAGCTTTTTTGCATGTGCAACATTTCTATGTCGATTTGCCTTCTCCAGATGTGAGCAGGTTTACCATCGGGTTCCACTCAATCGCCATTTTTGTGGTGTCAACAGTCGATCTACGCAATGCGTGACCGACACATTCCCATGAGCGTTTTTTGATTTCGGTTCATATATGTGTTTGTTGATTTAAAGACCATAGACGTTCATTTGAAATTGTGTTTGACCAGAATACTTTAACAATTTTACGTACTGACTGATTCACAAAAACTTGTAGTGCATTAATGCCGATTTCCGTATTCCAGAATTGACATCCATATAGCATGCCAATCCTGGAATACGGAATTCGTATTTTAGTCACGACTTTATTTAAGCGACCAAACCCTTGTTTTACCTTCTTGATACGGTTCTCAATGTCAGCACTGGATCCACCATTTCTTGATATGATGCTTCCAAGATAGCAGAAAAACTCTACATCCTCAAGACAACAAGAACATCCTCAAGACGTCCAAGAATCTTTTATAATAAATTTTAAACACTTAATTATTTTGGTCCATATTATCTATTGGTGTTTTTGTTTTATTAAACACATTTTTTAACACATGTGTTATTTTATTGTAGCATTTTCATTTTTGAAAGTTGTCGGAGAGGTCAGGTATATAAGTCATAGATACAAAAGTTTTGGGTTCAATGTCCGATTTACTACGATCTAAAGCCTGAAACCTGGCAGAATTCAAATACATATAAGTACTGAGGTCGACACCAATATAAACATACAATATTTTTATGTAATTATATTACTATCTTTATTTAAAATTAATTTATTTCATATCAGATTTTAACCACTTAATAAATATTATTTTTATTTTTAGATGAGGGAAACATTAATTTCTAAAATACAAAATAATGAAAAAAAAATCTTGGAATTAGATAAAAGTTCAGTAGAAACACCATTAACAAATAATTTGTTACAAAAGAAAGAAAGAAAGGTTCTTTGTGAAATAAAAGTAGAATCTAACTTAAATGCTATTACAAATACATCAAATTTACGTGACAAGAATTTTGAAAATATATGTAACTTGTTTACAAAAAGTTCTCTATCAGACAACGATCTTGAAATTATTGTAACAGAACTGCTTAATAATTCTTCAGAATTGCCTTCTACACAGCATATTGATAAAATGAAAAAAATAGATAATAAAAATAACTGTTTGACACCAATTCAAACAAACAGTCTGATTGCTTTCTATAATGATCACTGTTACATATCGAAAAAACCTGAATTTATCACCTCTAAATTATCGAGTAATGATCTGGACCAGGATAAAACCGATATAGGTATCTTCAACACAAGTCAAACATAATATAAAAGATTAATTCTAGATTCCATTTCAGAAACTTACAAAAATTATGAGAGCGTCAATTTATGTCCACAACCAACTGATGTAATTGAACAAAATTTGCTTAACAAAACTAGTACAAATTCCTTGGAAGAACATGATATTCCCTTGTCTAAATTATTAAAAAAGAATCCTTCACTGAACCAGCCGCTACAACATAACGTGACGGATGTGAACATTGTAGAAGGAAGTCAAATAGAGCCTGATAATAATAACCAATTATTCTCTTCTGAGTGTAGTATCAATAATACAGATGAAAAAACAAATATTGATCGAATAGAACACGTTAATTCATCGCAAGCTGAATCTGAAAATCTTTATATGCAAAGGATTTTAGAAAAAAATAATCTTGTGCTAGTAACTACTACAGATATCAAAAATAATATAATTGAACTACGATTGCATTTATCTGACAAGGCTACCGGTGAGTTATACGGTAAACTTGATCTTCCTCGATCAATACTTTTAGATATAATGAATAGAACTGATTAGCTTGGCTAAATAAAAGCCAAAGTAAAAATTTATATGTACCTGACATGCATTTTAATTAAATCAACTTGAAGTTCTATGCATAAATATTGTTTCTAAATATGTATAACATATGCTGTTACCTGTATTTTTATGCAATAAAAACATAACAACTGATACTGGTGAAATTTTTTTTAATAAGGAGTTCGTTGGCGCAATATCTTGATAGTGTATTGGGAACACCGTGGTATTAATACAGCATATAACATATTAAAATAACTATAGACTCTCCTTTTATCGTGGCTATTCTTACACATAACGCATGTTGGGACAACCACGAAGAAACAAGCCACCTTTCTACTTAAGTATGTATACAAACTGCAGGTGTCTGCTACAAAACTGTCAACTATCAACAACCTCAAAAGAAGTGTCAGTTTTCTTGTATCTAATTTCGACCATATGTTCCTAACGATCTCACAGTCAATACAATTAGTATCTAAGTGATTTTTTCGCGTTATAGTAAATTTATCTATGCGTCTAATCAGTTTATACATTGCAGTTTTTTTAAGGTGTTGGTCTCAGTTATGTTCATTTTGGAGCTTCTTAGGTTACCTTATTTAATAGTTTGGGTCCTTCAAGAACATAGTGAAGGGAATCTAGAACCTTCGGAATCTAGTAGTGAAGAGCCTTGTGATGCTCAAAGTCATTAAATATTGATTCTCAGCTTGCTCTGATTGGATAAAGAGTAGGAAGTTTGTTGTCTATAACTGATCCTAAAATAATCTTAATTAGACTACTACTTTTTTTGATTTTATCCAAAATTTTACTATGTCTATAGTACAATTTATAGTACAATATATATACTATCTCTATATATTGAAACCACTTTTAGTGGCACAATTCTGAATGCAAATTCATTGCGATAAGATATCAAATATCATATTTAACTTAAAATAAGGTTATAAGATATAATGTCTACTTAAGCTAATGTCTACTTTTTTGATACGAGAATGATTGCATTCCAATGGCTGTCACCAGACGTGTGATCCTTAGGTTACAATAGGCCTAGGGGTCATGCCAATATAACATACTATTGCTTTTGCGTCCAAATAATCTAACTAGTATTCGGTGAAGAACAGTCAAATAGAAAAGGAAGGTCTCGCTATCGTTTGGCAACTCAACGCTTCCATCAACATATTTATAGTCTAAAGTTTTCTTTAGTTAAAGATTTGACTACAAATCTTTGGTAAGTTTTTTCTGTCGAAAAAGGCAATTCCCAGTTATGGGTGCTAATCAATTACGGCTGCTTTTAGCGATATGATATTATTTTAAAATGATACCAATATGAGACTAAATATCTCGACTGCTACTGGGACCAGATGCGGGCTGCTTTTCTTGAATTTATGTTAATTATTACTTCTTTTAATTCCAAAAACGCTATAGTTGGAGGATTTATAATGTAAGCTGAGATATATATGTTAGTCTGGAATTTGATCTAAGAATATTGCTGTAAAACTTTCTTCGGAGTAAAACTAATGCCGGAGTAGTTCCTTTTTCTTTATAGCTACGATCAAAGGAGCCATCTTGCTTGCATATAGGAGATTTCCTTTGAATGAGGGCTTTACATTTGTAATGAACCTCTTCACGGTCGTTGATAGCTGGGATAGCTCACGGTCTTCCAGGGGTGTTACAAGAATATTTTTTATTTGTAACCCTGAATTTTCACGTAATATGATTTTAAACATAGTTATTTTTGGTTTAATTTCTTTATTATTTTTTAATTTTTCTTTTTTTTTACAATATATATTTAATACCTATTAACTACAAACACAAATTACAATAAAATTACAAATATTAAAAATTCCTGAAAGTAGAAGAACGAACCAACGTTACCGACTGGGCTACGTTGGTATATTAGGCAACTCAACGTTGCCGACTGGGTCATGTTGCTAGGTATGCTTATGGTTAGGTTAGGTCTGTCGCCAATGCTGCTACTAAGTGTTTTGCTGTGCCGATGTGAACTGCTGTAAGGGCTGAGACCAAGTGCCTTGATGCAAATGCTCCGATATATACTGTACTAAGTGTTGCGGCTAAGTGACTTCTATTTTTTTTTGTTTTGGTAGTAGGTGGAGTATTGTACGCATGGTTGAAGAGCATGATGCACTTTTTAAAGAAGAGAGCTGAAAAACGCCTAATAGCGTAGAAAAACATGCAGTCAGTGCCAAATGCGTTTTTGGGCGCTTTGAGCCGAAACATGTCACAGAAGTTTGAAGAGGTGAGAAATCATTAGGTGTCTTCAACATTGATGCTGTGGGGAGAAGGTGACAATACAATCACTGAAAGCATCGAAAAGGACTACGGAGTTCGTAGTGGAAATAAAGTGGTGCTCGCCTAGGCCAGCCGTAAGACGGTAATTAGTCACAAAGTCTTTACCAAAGACGTTGGCCTTATCGAGGTCATCATACGCTATGGTGTTACCATAACGATGGTCAGACATGGACCTATTGGATCCACAGATTTGTCTGATCGTACTGACGACGTCAGACCCTGGGTGGTCAACCAGCCCCTCCCTGGTTGAAAAATCGCAGCAAGTTAAAAAAATAATATTTTCTCTTTTAAAAATAGGAAAATCCATAGGAGGTTGAATCGAATATGCCGGAATCCCTATTTCTCCATTAACCAAAGTTCCACAAAATAGTACTTTTTAATTTTTAAATGTCATAACTTTTAGACCAAACAAAAGAAGTCAACGCTGTAACGTTCGTACATGAATACACAATTTTCGCCACGGATGGGTAACCTTCTGTACAAATTCTCCGTGTGGATAAATGTTTTAGACTTCACTTATTTCCAATTAAATTTTCAGCGACCTATTTTTACTGTCCGGCCTAAAGTGATCGCTGCTCGTTTTAATTAGAGAATTAATGATACCCACCATAAACCAAAAATATTAACTGTTGCAATTGACAGTATGCTTACTTTCTGGAAACGACTGGTGTATGCACGTGTGGTATACGAACATGACAACAACTAATATACAGCAAATAATACACGATGATGATTATAAAGGGCAATATTTTAAAGAAAAATATCTAAAAGCAGAAGAATACTTAACAGGATTATTATCTAAACAATGTTTTACAATGTCAAGCTTCTGTTAAAGGACAATTTGTTAATTTTTAGTCGAATGGTTTATTCTGGGAAATGATGAACCACATAAACAAAGTTGGTAAAAAATGCTACTAGAAGGGAAAATAATCTATTTTTTATTTCCTTGTGCATGCCTTGTACATATTACTTTTATTATTAAAAAAGACAATCAGATGTATTGTTCCATATATGAAACTTAAATCCATTCCACTAATCTGTCATATTAGAAATTAATTATTTAATAATGGTAATTCTGAATAACTGTGTTTAGCAGGAGGGAAATTTTGGAATCATTCAATAAAAAAAATTTAATTAAATTGAATAAATTATTTGGCTAAACCGTTCTTTAAAAGTCTCTAAGAATTAACGGAAAGAGCTAAGGAATTTCAGAGATTTTGAATGCTCTAGACAGCATGAACTGCATCAAGACGTTTATTCAAGTAACAACTTAGAGACGAGGATGTGACAATAAAACAGTGCGAAAGCACTCTATGGACTCATAGATGAGAGTCAGCTTTTTTATGAATTTTTTATAACACTATGCATCAAAAATTGTCTACTATGCATATGGTCAGTCTATGCATATTAAAACTTATAAATAAATAAAAATACTAGCTTAATTTAGCGTCCAAAATATTTTTTATTGTTTATTTATTTACAGTGATGTAATTAATTGCAACAATTATCATAGGCGTAGTAAGCACATGTCAACATGGATTATTTTTATTTGAAAGAAATCAAGTAACATAAGAACAATAATTGTTAAAAACACATTTTCAATTAAAGTTAAACAATTTTTTTCAAAGAAAGACACGAATGTTTTGCTAAAAATTTATAAATAATTTTTTGAAACATTTTAATGTGAAATTTAAATGCTAGTGAAATAACAAAACTATTTTTATCAGCAATTATGTTTTATTAAGATATTTAAAATAAATGAATCAATTATTTTATACGTATAGCAATAGTTGCAAAGGGCACTAAGTAGCGAATTGAAATAATTGATTGCCGTTTATATCTGCATTATACGGAGTTAATTTTTATAAAAGGTTTATTTTAAAAATACATACTTTTATTTAAATATAAAAAATTAAATGTGCACACAAAATACTGAATCGATAAATTCATACTAAACTTTTACAAAATTTATGCCAAATTTATACCTGTATTAATAATAATTATGTATATTTGGTAAAAAAAAATAATAATTATATTTTTAATTAAAATATTTTGAATAAATTTTTTTAAATATTTTTTATTGTAGTAACACAAACTATATTTGTAATATATTATAAGTATGTATATATATAAATATAATAGAGCTTTTAATTTCAAAATATCCATACAAACTGAAAACCCGCGGCGTTCTTTGTTAAAAAAGAAACTCTGATAGCTTTTCTCATTTGGTGAAATATTAACAAATGTTACAGTTTAAACAGATTTCAAAAATTGAGCTGCTTGATCTATAATTTTGACTTTATCAATTAGTTATTAAGAGACCACCATTTTTGATGTCACTAATTTTTAATAATGTTTTTCTTAGTTACTTAATTCGTTTTGCTAAAATCAATTAAACACTTTTCTTTATAATTGCTTAAAACAGCTCTTATCTTTTTAATAAGGTATGCTAAATTTTATATTTGATAATTTATCTTCTAATAAATTATTCAAGCACTTAGTGAGATTTCGCCTGAAACTCAGACTAACAGTGGCATATAGAAGGGAAGGCTGGCTTTGAGGTTTTCCATATTTTAAACCATTTTACACTATATTAAGGATTAGCTGTCTTCTGAAAATATTCTTTTGGGCTTGAAACTCGTTCCATAAGTCGTAGTTTTAGATTCGGAAGTAGAAGTATAAAGTCTATCAAGCGTTATATTTTTTATCATCAAATCTTAAAAAAGTGATATTATGCAGATGTGTTTTTTAAATAAAAATTTGTGAATAATTTAAACATAGAATCGTATTACTATTTTTCTTGCTTATATTTTTACTAAAGAAAAATCTCAATTGCTTTTTAAAAACGTTGCATTTCTTGGGTGTTTATATAATAATAAATTCCACATATTCCATATCTATCTACATTGAATGTACAAGTAATTTTGTATTTTAATAAATTATTAAGTTTGAAATTGTATAAATCACTTTAAGAAACATGGAGAAGGAAGATGCCCGCTTTGGATGATATAAACAACAATTTCAATCACTACAAACATAATGTAACAATATGCATCTTTTTACATAAATAATGCTTTAGTTTTCCAGTTTAACATTTGTATTTACTTTTCAATTATCTTCATTGAACAAGCTTTATAGGGCAAACTTTTACTTATGTCTACTTCGTGTAATACCACCAAATAGTAATCCAGAAGAATCTTGTAAACAATGCAATCGCTGGGTGTATTATTATCAATTGGGATAAGTATAAAAATTCATGTAGCGCTCTAAAATATTTTATATATACGAGCGCATTCAGGTACTTATTTTATTTCTTTTTAACTTAAGCCAAAAATTACTACTATTGATTGTAAGTTGTACATAAAAAAAAAAAACAAAAAATAGCATTATTAATAAATATAAATAAAAATATAATAAAATCTTTTTGATTAATAGTAAAATTAAGAAGTTTAATCTCAAAACTCTGTTCAACCACAGTTTCTACCTAGGTGGAAGTATTATTCGTTTACAAGTATTTTATAGTATAATTTATATAAAAGTGAATTATTATAGTTTAATGATGTATCAACAAAAAAAATAAATAAATACATTTGTGTTTAACACTGTGAGCTGTCAATATTTAAAATTAAATCATACATTTTTTTAAGTTGTCAATAAAATTAAATCGTTATTTTTTTTTTTTAAACATTTTTAAATATTAAAATATAAAAAAAATACTTAATGTAAAACAATATTTCCATTATCAATTAAATATATATACATATATATGTATATACACATACATGTATAAGTATATATACATATGTATACATTTATATATACACACATACATACATACATGTGCATATATGTATCATATTCATATATATACGAATATATACATACCTACATATACATATATATTTGTATATATATATATTTGCTTTTAAAAAAATGCAATAATTTTGGACATATTAGAGTTAAGTTTTATAAATATTTACATTTTGATCTTAACACGTAATTATCAGTAAGTACAAATATTTTGAGATGAACTTATGGTTATATGGACTCGTGTTAACAAAATTATTACTGATTATAGATAATTTTTCTTTTTAAACTGTTAAACAGAAGTTAAAAGTTTAATTTTGCGTAGTGCTTTGTTTAAATTAAAATTAAAAATAAGAACAAATAAAACTTAATTTATAACATAACATTCTGCAAATGACCTCATCTAAATTTGAAACAGTTTATATAGAACCAAGTACTTTAAAATGTTATATCAACTGTAATTTTAATTTAATAAAATACTCTCATAAGGTGTGTGAGATTTAAGATTAAACTATCAAATTAAAATTGCAAGAAAATACGATTCCGATAAAGATAAAACAGAGTGCGTCATCATTAGTTCAGTGAAAAGCTTTCATAATTTTTTTTTTTTTTTGTATTATTTAACTGCTATATATTACTTTAATCTCATTAAATTTTTGTAATTGTTATATTTTCAAAAAGACATAATAATAAGATTTAAATATAATGTATAATAATTTAACTTTAGAAAACTATAAACAATAGTCGAAAGTATTTTGAAACTCATTAATTTTTTATTATATTTTTATCATTTGCACAGGCTTATGAGAATAGAATAAAAACAATTAAAACATAAGTTATAATTTTTTAAAATTTGTATTTTATATTCATAATAATTTTTAAATTAATATCGAAATATTAAACAAATAAAATGCTCAACACTATTTTCTAAAAAGGGATCAGACATTGTAATGTCGTCACTGAACAGATCGATCCATGTTCATTTCAATTGAAGTTTTTCTTTCGTTTTTTCTTTTTGGTTTCATGGTTTTTTAATTTAATTTTTTAATTTTTTATTTTCATATTTTTATTCTGTTCACATACATCTGTGTAAGGCTCTACAAATTAGAAAATTATTATAAAAAAAATGTCATTTTATTGTTAAAAAGAAATTAATTAAATTAACGTAAAGTACAATTTAAATATTTTAAAATAAGGCAAACTTTTTTACAATTTAATCCGACCGAATTGATTGAACTATATATAATTAGTAAAGTAAAAACATGCCAGTAATGCAATAAGGAAAAATAAAAATTACAAGATGTATATTTTATTTTTAAATAAATTTAAAATTTTTTATACTTATTTATGGCAGTGGAGCAAAACAATACTTTTTGGGAGCCAGGAAAAAATAATTTTAGTTATTTAATTTTTTTTAAATATATTAAAAAATATACTGTTTTTGATCTCAGTTTGAATTGTTGGAACACAAATTTTTATATTTTCTTAATCTGATGTTTTGTTAGTTTTTATCAACAACTACTATTAGGTGTCTAAAATTTACTTTATTAAATAAATAATAAAAAAAATTCTAATTAATCGTTTTTTGTTTCTTTTTTTTTTTTGATTTTATATTTAAAACAAAATTAAAAATTTTTCACTATTACAATTGTACTTAGATGTGAACAAAAACTAACAAAACATCAGATTATATTTATATCCTAACAAAAAAGACCAAGATTTTAATTAATGAAATTTCGATACTTTCCACTAGATAAGTTCGTCGGCATTAACAATAATTTCATGTGTTCTGCCTAAACATTGTTAATAGGTTTTTTGTATTTATGAGTTTTAAAAAACATAAGAGTACTAAATATGAATAAACCATTAATTAAAAAAATGAAAATTCCTCACTTAATATTTTCTTAAAATATTTTATGCTATACAATTTATTAGGATTTGTTTTGTTAATTAGGCATTTTTAGAAAATTAGAATAACACACAACTCTGTTTTTGAGAGCACAGCTTTACTGACTCCCGATAAAATCTCAAAAAGTTGTATTATTTTATAATACTTGTGATATGCAGAAAAAAATACGACACAAAATGTTTGAAAATAAAACTAAATGAGTGTGAAAATTATGCAGATTTTAGGTTTTAAGTTTGAATAACTGGAATATATATAAATAAACAAAAATTGAATTAAATTAAAATACGATAGTTTTTTTTAAAAAAAAAAAATTAATTGAAGGGCGGGTTTTAAAAAATAAAACTAAAAACATTTAAATTTAGTTTAGAAAAATAAAAACAAAAATAATAAAAAATTCTCAACGGAGTATCTAGCAAATTTTTAATTAATTAGTTATATATATTCAAAAACACAGTGTAATTTACTTTAAAAGCATAATAGTAATGTGTAAAATCTTATTAAAATCATATTTAATTAGTTTTACAAACTGATGTTGATTTTATAAATAAATTATTGTACGTGAAGTAAATTTAAATGGCTAAATTCACTATTTCTGTTTCAAAATAGTTCTATAGAAAGTTTATAGATAAAAGGATCAAAAATTCTATTGTCACCTACTGAATGTAAATACCATTTAAAACCTAAATAAAAAAAAAAACAAAATAAAGCAACAAAAAAAAAAACAAAGAAACAAAAAACAAAGTAACAAAAAATAAAAAAAAAACCAAAGTAACAAAAAATAAAAAAAAAAACTAAAGTAACAACAAAATGAAAAAAAAACAAAGTAACAAAAAAAATAAAAAACAAAGTAATAAAAAAACAAAACAAACAACAAAAAAAAATACAAAGTACCAAAAAAAAAAAAACGATAAAAAAAAAGACAAAACAAAACAAAAAATAAAAAAAAGCAAAACAAAAAACAAATAAACAGCTTTATAAAAACTTATATCAAAAAAATTATGCATAAAAACAATTTTAATAATCCCTTGTAACATGGCCCTTTAAAACACCTATATGAGGCGTCGTACAAGTATAATTCTTAAATTTTATATTTTAAGTTGAAATTGAATTCAGATTCAGTTTTATCACATGATTTGCAGAAACAGGCAAGAGATATTGAAGAGGTTCTTAATATTTAAGAATATATTCTCTGTTATTACATATTAGAAAAATATTTACAATTATATTTGATTTTTTATATTATATATACTATATTTATATATATATATATGCAAATACATATATAGATATACATATAGATATGCATATACGTATACAAATATATATATAGATATACATATATATACACAAATATAAATACAGATATACATATATATACGCAGATATATATGTAGATATATATAAAATACATGCATTAGTTTCATACTTAACATTGTCATTGTTAAAATACTGAAGTTTTTAGAATTTGATATTATTACATTAGTTTAAGTAAACTTAACTTAAGAATAAAAATATTGCTCTCCTTCCTCAAGTTCTAGTAACTTGTATAAAAAAACAATTTTTAAAATATGCTTTCTTATAGTTTCGTTTTGGTATTAGAATTTTAAAAAAAAGATATATATATACGCATGCATATATATATATATTTATATATATTTATCTATATGCATATATATATATATATACATTTATCTATATACATGTACATATATATATTTAACTTTATGCATATACATATATACATTTATCTATATACATGTACATATATATATATTTAACTTTATGCATATACATATATATATTTATCTATATGCATATATATATATATATATATATATAAATTAGAGATAAATTTTCATTATATATATACACACATGTATGTGTAAATATATGTATATTCGGGATTGTGTAATATAAACAGTCCAACAAATTATTTCAGAAACCCATTCTTTCTCTAGATTATTTAAAAATATATGTTTCACATTATGAGCAATTTAACGCGCTGTAGTTTTACACTCAACAACATTATTTTTATATATTTTTTGGCGTATGTGTTAACTTTGTATTACTTTCACTGGAAACAAGATTAAGAGGTATTAAGAAATCATTGCCTTCATCTACTTTTTTTTCTTTATTTATATGACATTCAGTTTTGGCTTTTTTATTTTTAGAAAATACTTGTCTTATCATTCCGCATCGTTCTTCATCGGCAAATCCTTTGGTTTTCTGAAAGCATATACAAAAAAAGTATAACATGTTTTTTTTTTTTTAATTAAAATGAAATTTAAATATGTATTCATAACAAATTATATTGAAATATTACAAACAAAATTCGATATAATTTACAATAAACGAAAAAACGACAAATGCGTTAGAAATATTTATGGCAAAATGTTGTATAAGTTTACACATTAACATTAGAACTAACTTTTATAGGAGTAAACTCTTTTCTTCTGTAAATTGCATTATATATAGGTTATAATTGCATAAATGTATAAGTTATTAGTTTTAATATATTAGTATATTTTATACATAATAAAAGTGTCAATATAATTTTATAAATCTAATAAAAGTGAGTCGCTTATAGAATGTTTAACTCTTTAATGCTTAACCCCGCCTCAAGTCGGGCTTTACTTAAACGACTATCAAAAGTTAATTTGGTTATGTTTTTAATATTTTTAGATGTCAGGATCTAGATGAAGGGTTATATTTCTTTACAACATTCAAAATATTGCAATACTCTGGTCCTATTCATATTTATAACTGTGTGCATTTGGAGCAAAACAAATACTTTTGCAAATAAAAAATCTGGCAGTACATAATATAGGAATGAAATATGTTATTGGTAAAACGATTTTTGGTAACGATAAGTCGATTCGTTAACATGTAAAACACAGCACTGCAACAAAGTTGTCAATAGGTCCCCCGCCTAAAAGATCCCAAAAAGAACAAAGCCTTCCCATACAATAAAAACTATCCTAGCTGATTGAGATCAGGATTTAGCTATGCGTTTAACTGTTACCTGCAACGCATAAATATGTCAATTTTCAATATGAGCCTCAACTGCAACTCTACTCCCTGATAACGCCCATCTCTTTTCTGCCTCCAATGCAATGGATCTAAATTTTTAAATTACATTTCACCCATTCTCCAATCCGTTCTCATTTCTTAATAAATACCTTCCCTCACCTTCCAACACAATCAATACCTATTCACATCCCAGCCCATATATTCATCTTATAATACCCTTTATGCTATCTGCTTTATAGATAACTTGCGAGGAGCAACAAGAACATGATAAACTATCATGCGGAATTCGTACCGTTTCAGCAAAACCAAAATTATTACTTCTGAAACACAGTTATTATAAGCTTCTTACATTAATTTAAATAGTAATGTTTTGTCTTTTTTACATCACAAATTTGAAATTTTTTATAAATATATATAAACTTTGTGTTTAATATCTATTTCTATCAGCTGCAAAATAGAATAAAGCTTTTCATTATACATAAATACAGAAAACGTAATATATTCTAAATACATTGACATATTACACATGTGCATATGTTTATTTAGTAGCATGTATATAATATATATATTATAAATAATTAATTTATTATTTAACTTATAGAAGTTGTAGAACAAAAAAATTTATATATATTTTAGACTTACGGAAAAAGCGAATGGAGTGTTGTTTGAATTACTAGCTGCCAAAATAATTTCCTGATATTTAATATCACTAGTCACATGTTTTTCTTCCGATTGTGGATCATTGACTAATAATGATGTAAGTGAATGTTTGTTTTCTAAAATTTAAATAAAAAATATTTTTAAAACACTAATTATAATATGTTATCCAAAAATATTGCTTTTTAATCTTTTTTACATAAAGCCCCTAAACGAACAGAAGAAGATTCCGCCTTTCGAATGAAAACCCGAATGTCAGCCATTGAGGATCTTCTAATGTCAGAAGGGGAGAGTAGTTTTCGAACCAGTAACCTCCTCCTGGCCCAGATCAAGGCTGGGCAGTCACAGAGAATGTGACTGGTACGCAATACAGTAGGATAAGTAACAAATTTAGAAAGTAAATCTAATAAATGTTGCGTTTGCTTGAAACAGTAGCTAACAATGATGAGGACTAGAAAAACTCAATAATAGAGAGTGACGTAGTGCAACAGAAAGTAAACCAATTCCCGCAAGCAAGTCAATATCAACAAACATGTGACGTCCAATCACGTCATAACTAAATCAAATTCTTCGCGATGTTCAATATTCGCAAACAAGTCAGTTTCGCCAAGGAAATCAACACCAGATAAGTTAACATGCTTAAATATGTCAAGCTTCCAAAATACACGAAAAACACTTCATTAAACGATTCTTAAACGATTCATTTATAGTATCTTATCGTATATAGAAACTACTTAAACATATATCCACAAACTATAGGGTAGACACGTTACAATGTAGATAAAGTCATGCAAATGCTTAAATTCTAATTTGGTCGACGAGAGATTCTTATCAAAAGCCAGATAGGTAAAATTGAGAAATTTTCAGCAATGAATGAAGCGAAAATAGCAGAAATGTTAAACTATAATACGGTAATTACAAATATCGTCATTCTTATCGAATATTTAAATACAGGTCCACATTCATACAAATTAAGTTTGTTGGACAAATTAGATAAAGAGTTATTGAAATGTTAAAGGAATAAAATAGATGAATATGTGTTTAAATCACTTGTACGATCACGGACTAAAGAGAAGTATACTCATAATATTCAATAACAAAAACAATTAATCACAACTATTTTTTGATGTTGTTATCACACTTTAACTTAATTCGATGCTAAGGAAAGACCCCGTGAAATATCAGCCCAAATTATTTGTGACTGTATTATTCAAATTTCGGCCGGCGAGAGTAGAATTCTAAAATTTATCTATGTACCTACTAGGCAATCGCTTTGTCCTGGATGTCTTATCCAGTACAAAAATGTAAAGACAGTTTGCATAGAATTACGGATATTGGAGATACAATGACAGTAGACCAGGAAAATTTGCACCACGACATCGTCAGTACAAAGTAGATTTTTTTCTGTTGATATTTTCGACATAATTAAGTATAAGAATTTCACCAGAAATTGTACTAATAGAAATTGTATCAAATTTTGAAATACGAAATAATATATTATTACATTTTATTTTATAATTGCACGAATTTAAAGAAAAAAATAATAGATATTGAACAGAAAAATTAATACATACTACTCCTTTTGTTAAACCTTTTATTTTGTGAAGAGTTATGATACTATGTTATATAAATACTTATACATACTTTTCTTTGCTGCCTTTTCGTATTCTTTCGGACGCCTGCGTCGTGTATGAATTGTATCCCGTCTCATAGAATGTGGCCTATTGACACCATGTAGTTTAAAGTACAAGCCACAGGCATTACAAACCATTTCTCCTCGCACACTTCTTCGCCATATAGTTGTGGTAAGTGTTCCACAGTTTGAACAGCACATGTCTTTTTGAGTATTGCTCGATAAGTTATTCGGATGCTTAACGTTCTTAAATAAAAAAAAAACATTAAATAAGATTTAAAATATGATTTATATAATTTTAAAAGTGAAAACTATCACAGCTACTATATCGTTTTTTGGTATTGGTTCCGGGAGCGGTTACGATCACATCCCAGAGCAACTTGTATACGTCAACCAAGGCCGCTCAAGATTTACATAGATCTCCTTTTTAGACTAAAAAGTGTTTAAAACCGTTGAGTACTAAAGAAATGAAATTACAGTTCCATACAATTGGCAACGTTAGAAATCAGATTTTTTCAGTGCTACAATGTTTTTTATCTTAGTTGACAAAACACTTTGCTTAAACATTTCTAAAAATTTATTTCTGAAATTGTAGCTATATGTGTGTGTGTGTAGCAGGTATATTTATATCTAAATAATTGAATAAATACAAAACTTAATATAGTTGCAACTGTTTAAATATATCAGTAAAATGCTATCTTAGCAACATCAAATAATGTTAATTATTTGATATGTAAATTTGATCCGTAAACCAAACCTGGCAAACAGAATACGAATACATACTAAAATTTTCAAAATAATCATTATTTCTTCCCTAAAGGCTGATTTTTGGGTAAATGTTAGATGTAAGGAAGTAGAAAAGTTTAGGTGTGGGGACGGAGGGTATTTAACAGCTAAGGTTTACGAACAGGAATTATCTCATCTAAATGCTGCAGTGCAAAGGCACCAATCAATTGGGTTTAGATAGGTGTGTGTAGTCACGGAAATTACTATAGATGAGAAACGGTCCGATCTACGTTTCGGAGTCGCTCATGTTGCTAAACGACCAAGCTAACAGACTCCTATAACAACAATAATATATCCTGACATAAGTTAAGCCGCTGCAAATATTGTTGCACGGGAAAATAGATTTTTTTTTGACTTTTTTTGATCAGCCTGCAAGTGTTTCAACAGATGCAGTGACATAAAAGAAGCGTGTTGGTATCCTTTCTAATAAAACACACAAAAATTTTGAGAATTTGTCTGACATATAGGATAACTAAGCCATTAAAGTTTTATGATTTTACAAACATTAGTAAACAGATTATATATAAATTTGATATTGATAATATAATGGAATACAATTGTATCATAAGTTAATTAAATATTGCACACGGATAATCGAACACAAAAATTACATCAAAGCAGGCAGAGATATAACAATACCTAAACTTAGAATTAACGTTGTATATTATTAGTATTATATTTTTACAATTCTGTTATTTATTTATATGTATTTACAATATCTTGTTTATACAATTTTTAAATAAGTTGAATCATACGAAGAGTATTTAACTAGAAGATCAAGATAGTTCATTTGGAGAAAAAGAACTGTCAGTTATGTGGCAATCATATCCCAATTCAATTAATTGGAATATTTTTCATATATTTTTATTTGATATATAATTTATATGCGTGCAAAAAAATATTTTTATTAACAAAGAAAAAATCAGTTTTCTGTAGATACAGTTTATACTCTACAGGGCCTCATCAAATGGTCATTTAGAGCCATCAATGATATTTATGTATAAAATATTACACTAATAAATTTTTGAATATTGTACCTTAATATCGTGCATCGGATCCATAGGATCAGTTAGTGAGTTAACATTCTCAACAACATTAATACTGGTCAAAGAACTTGCAGGTGTAATTTTGCAAGAATCGGTTTTTAAAGGACATATCTGTTTCCTGCGGCATGATTTAAAATTTGATGAAATGCTGGTGTTATGATTCTGAAAATAAAAGTAAAATATTTAATTTAAGTTAAGACAAATTAAGTATCTAGCTATTCATTAAATTTGAGTAACTGAAATAAAAGACACAACAATTTATAAAAAATACATTGTGAAATGAGATAGTGGTAATGCTTGTAATGGTCGATAAACTGAGAATTTATGTATAAAATATATTTAGAAATATGAACGAAAATAGAATTACGTTATAACACTTGTACACAATTTATGTTATAAGTTAAAATATAGAAAAAATGATTTAAATACACACACAATGTTGGAATGCATTAATAGTTAACAGACATTTAATGTACGCTTGTAAAATCGAGAATATTGCACTACTAAAATCTAGACCACGTTCCCATTATAGTTGTATGAGCTATCGAATTTATTTATGCTAATATTTCTAGGATTATTCGATTTATTAGAGATAAATTACATAAACTAATCCTATCTCAGAAATTTTTAGACAATTGAGACATAATGGTATTTCAATATAATTTGCATTATTACTAAAGATTTTTTATCTAATTTCACGTTAAATAAAAATACAAAAAATAATACTATTTACTAGCGCTTTTTATTTGGTTGTTTTTTGTTTTGTTTTTAATTTTGGATGATTCGCAAAAACCAACTATTATTCATAAAATAATAGTTTCGGGTTTTATTAAATTTTTTTAATTAGCAATCGTAATAATCAATTTTTACTACTTGTTATGATTATATTATAACATATATATCTTTAGTTAAATAAAGATAGAAAAATAATAAATATAAATAAATGTTTTTAGCAATTCATTAAAACAATAACCACGAAGTCATTGGAGATTTTTATGTTATCTTTAAATTTTAAAAATATATAATTCCGCATCAGCATTCAAGGTGGTACCGAACAATTCTACGAATGACTTCATGTTTCGAACAACGCTGCAGAAAGACGAGTACGTATGATTTGAACAGGCAAAGAGCGACTTTTAAAGACAACAACATGCAACATCAATAAACATATTAGGGTCAAATATTAAGGATTACCTCTATATGACATCAACCTGGTATATCTTCTCTCATAATTGTATAAGTTGTCCTCAGGAAACTTCTGGGCAAAGATATTTTTTTTATTATTACTTCGGTAAACTTTGCTGATCAGCATATAAATTTTATTAATATCTAACTTGGCATGTTCTTAAAATTCATTTAGATTTTTAATAAAATCTGTTTTTTAGTAGATTGGTATAATCATTTAATAAATTTCCCATAGATAAGGTAGGTCCTGGTAAGATGCAAGTATTTATACTCCTTCCTTAAAGGGCCTGAGTAATTATAGTGGTTATAAAAAATAATTAAGTCTTATTGAAAATTGAACTTAGTTTACAACATTTACAATGTATATATGATAAACTGCTTAAAAACACGTTAATAGTATTGAGAAAAGAAGCGAACCAAATAATTTGATAAATAAAAAATGTCAAATATAAGAAGGAAAATTATATGGCCTTTTCGACTCTAAAAATTATAACCAGTATTAACAACATAACAACATATAAACATGATATTTCTACAACATATATAAGAAAATTTTGTAATTCCTTTGTAGTGAATACAATATGCTTGACTGTACTTTATACGTGCAATATGCTATGTTATTAAATAGCTATTATTTTATTTTATATTTAAATTATAAAAAAAAAATAAGTTAATTGATTTAATAAAAAGTAATAATAATTACGAAGAGATTCCAGTTTCCCGTGCGTCGTGATTCGACAATAGAGTTCGGTAAACATTTAATGTTCTGAGTAACATATTCCACTACATATTCCACTTTCTCATATTTAATCGACTTAGCTTTTAGTTTTAAATTGGGAGTAAGATATTTGATATTGTTATTGATATTCCTAACTTTTTTGCTTATTATCATACAAAAGTGATTTCCATTATTTTAACACAAGATTCGTGTGTTCACCAATCAGTTTATTTGTTACGTATAATATAGCAGTTATGGTACATACCTTCTCATCAAAAAAGAACAAGAGACCTATTTTTGAATTCCAGCGCTTATCCAATCGGCAAATTTTTTTATTTTCACGCTGGCAACACTATTATACACATTCTGTCAAAGTTTAATGCATATCGTACGATTAGTTTTTGTTTGGCGTCTATATAAAAAGTCAAAAATTTTCGTGTGGTGATTTTTATAATGGTTCAAAAATTAGAACAACGTGCGTGCATCAAATTTTGTATACGAATATACGAATGGTTTAAACGGTTCAAAGACGGTCGTACAAGCTTGGACCATGATGAGTTCCCTGGCCGCCCAACAACTTCTGTTACTGAAGAAAACATTGAATCGACGAAGCAGATCGTGTTAGAAAATCGTTGTGAACCGATTAGAGAGATTGCAGTGTTGTTGGGCATCTCATATAAAAAAAATTTGCCGATTGGATAAGCACGGGAATCACAGTTCCCGTGAATAAGTTCGTTTTTGATCACAAGGTATATTGTAAAAGCTTTTATAATATCTATTCCAATCTATACTATCTATTCTATTTGAGTTTATTCCTGCTGTACGTTTGTCGAGTACATTGTAAAAATATAATCGTACTCCCATAGTGTGAATTCACGACTTATTGATGGTCAATTGATGTCTTTATTATGTGAATCTAAGTTCCTTATGATTTTTAAAAATCTAGTTTTGATGAAATATTATTCTTGATAATAAATTTATTGATGTCAAGTACTGACAAAAAAGACGTATCATAGGAAAATTTCAAGTTAAGTTTTTTTAATTAACCAAATTTTTATTATAATATATATTATAGTAGTACATCAACACCATTAGATATCTGTGCATAACTGTACACATTCGGTAGGATAGATGTTTTACTTATGCACTGCTATGACACTAGGATGCATACAATTGTAGTTATTGCATTTGATATAATAATTATTTATGATGCTTTTTAATTTGCTTTTATGTCCATTTAATGTAAAACGTTTTTCTTTATCGGTACTAAACTTAAAAGTTTAAGTGCTAACAGTGCTAAATCAAGTCAATACAGGGTTTAGCAGACCAAAAATGCGAGATTTACATTTATTACAAGACTCGATCGAAGAAAGGAATTCTTTGTCGTCAATCAGCTTGAGCGGAATAAAATCCACCATTTTTAGATAGTGAGTACTAAAAGCTGAACTTAATGCACTGATACCTTAACATCTTACTAAACTTGTATTATTATAACTTGGAGTCTTTATCAATTTGTTATTATTGTTTCACCATCTTAATGACTTGCTGTATTGTATCAAAACAAGATTTCATAAAATATTGATAATACATTAGTGAAGAATTCACTTTATCAACGCATATTATTTCCCAAAAAAAATGGAATTACTACAAATGTCTGTTGCTTGCAGATCATTGAATAACGTGAGCATTGATTGCAAAATCATTTTGACACCTCATTATACTGCTAACAAGTCTTACAGTCTTGTACCAAACTAGCAGATCAGTCCATTAAAACTTCTTTCCAACTAAAAAGTTAAGATCTATCCTAAAATCACTCCGAACTGACTCATGCAATAGCTAAAAACAAGAAAGCAGAATAATGTACATTTTTCCAGAAATATAATCTGTAAAAGGTAACGTAAAACGATCCAATAATTACAAAGCAATGCATATATTCACTGTGATGACCAATTATTATTTTAACCATTTATAAAGATCATGTTGTCATAAATTTACTTATTTTTTACTTATAAACTTATTGATATAATTCTAGTGAAATATAAAGGGCTACACTAACAATTAAAATAATCTTCTCTCACTTATCAAAGAATATAATTCTAAAAGCATACACCCTGCAAGTAACCTTTCTTGTGTCCACTTGGAATATACCAGTTTCTATTCATTGTACCATCTATATTTTACTATATCCGATTTGTACTTACACTTGTACAATGTTATGTTACTGATATATCATAAATCAGTAGAACACTATCAAATTCATCCCCACGACAATTTCGACACCGTTGTGCGCCAAATTTGGTCGACAATTAAAATATTCCCAGCCTATATAGCAATAGACATTGATTGAAGAAATGAAGCGCCATGGAAAGTCAATGAATTTGTTTCGTGCATTGGATTTTCATTTTTTATTATGGAAATAAGTTTGAAAGTGTTATTTTTCTTTAACGTTTTTTTAAAATTAGGTATCAATAGAATAAATTTATCACTAAATATTACATCACGCATTCGTATTTTATCATATACAATGGCAAACATAATTATTGGCAAAGCAAGCATGTTAAACTTTAACATTGTTTTTCCTCCATTAAGGCAGCGATCTTTAATTAATAAAAAATTTTTTTAAATAAAATGCAATTAAATTCATTTTGTTTTATTATATTATCTTTTATATATAATTTTTTAAAATTAAAAACCAAAAAAAGTACTTAATTAGCCTAAACAAAATAGTTGGCGCACTTAGGTTCTAATGAATTATTTTAACATAATTTCATCGATCTGACAATCTTTTCCTGGAAAACACCTGTTCTCTCTACATTGTAAATCACGTGGTGGTTTAGTTTCTAATCCAGTTTAAACAAAATGAGTAGTAAACATAAAGAAACTAATAAATCTTAGCGAAAAATAAGTCTATATTTCCACAATCAATGCAAATCTTTTACCGAGATTGGGAAAATGATGGATAGAAGTTCCAAAAGAGCGACATCATTGCAAAATGCAAAGCACACACGCCGACCTAAAGCTTTAAGCGACCGTGAACGCAACAAAATAAGAAGAAAGGTAAAAGGTAAGAAAGTCAACTCAAAAATATCTTTAACACAGACCGCAGCTGAAAATAAATCAGAATTTGACAAGGACATTTATTGCATAACCGGAGTATACTACATGAAACCAATTACAGTTAGCGTGTTGCTAGATGAAAACAGTTTATTTTGCAGATCAACCACCAATAGAATTAAGTCTATGCAAAGGAGTACCTAAGCAAGCCGATCGACTTATGGAACGATGTATTCTTCTCGGATGAAAGAAAATGTAATATATTTTCATTTAATACGGCTTGAAGAAAACCAGAGACCGAATTGCAAAAAAAAATAATCCTACTATGTCTGTAATACATGGTGCCTGTATGAAGGGGATACAGGATTTCAGCGAATTAGAATTCATTGACGACATTATGGACAAACAATATTATATAGACATCCTCAAGAAAAATGTCAAAAAAAAGGGGGCGAAAACTTGAGCTTCCAACATGACAGTGGTCCAAAACATATAGCTTATGATCTCCGTATATGGCTTTCGTATCATGTAACACACACATTGTAGCATCCACCCTTATCTCCATAATTCAACCCCATATGTGAACATTTGTGTGAACAATTGGATAGACATCTAAAGAATCGCAATATAACAACAAAGGCAGAATTGAGGGTGGCCAGAAACCACACAAAACTTTGTGTCTTCGATGCCGATGCGACCAGAAGCTGTTATCAAACAAAAAGACTTAACCACGATATATTAATTGTTACCTTAAATAATTTTTTTTAATGTTTTTTAATTTTTGCATAAAGAGTGCCAATATTTTTGTTCAACCTACTTTTTTTGGTTTATTAATTTTAATGCATTAAATATAAAAGGTAATATAATGAAATAAAATAAATTCAATTGCACATTATGCATTTTATTTAAAAAAATTTTTTGTTAATTAAAAATCACTGCATTAACGGAGTAAAAATAGTGTTAATTAAGTTCGTCAAGTTCGTATGTATATGATAAATATTTTGGTATGTAATACTAAAATGATTGTCTCTATTCTTTGTTAAATATTGATTCATTTGCTATTTGTGATTGGGATAAAATCACAATATTTATGTTATTATTATAAATTCAGTGGTAATTCTGTATAAAGAAACACAAAAATGTTAGTAACGAACTAATCACTATGTCTACGCTCAAGCTATTTACACTATGCACAAATATTTAAAGGTTTATATATTGAGTATATTGCAACGTCATTGTTTATTTTCGATTGTAATCTTCAAAATTTGACTAAACAAAACCAAAATAAATGTGCTACAATAAATTTGTATTAACATGAACACGAACATAAACTATTCATAAGCACTTCTCATATAAAGCAATATTTAATGGATATATTTTTATGTCAGTGCGTATAATTTTAAAGTATCTGCTACATGGGAAAGGCGAACATTTTATCTTAACTCCATAATTGCTTAAACAATATGATATCAAAACATCATATCAAACATCATATTATTGGTGTCGTTATATGTGCACTAAATAAAACAACAGCTATCAGACTTTCGCAACTACTCGCAGATAATTTGCGCAGGGCATTACAGTTAATAAGTAAAAAAAAAAGATATAACGGAAATAAACTGTTTGGAAGAAAAACGAATTACATTCAAGTATATAGCATACCACAAATAAATAAATATCGACTCTATAAATATTTATTTTGTTTAATTTTCCAGTAATGATATATACACAAAGTGTTTATTAAGTTTTTATTCTTATTTAAAATCATTAATATAAAATTACCTTTACTAATGGTATTGGTTCCTCAGGTTCACTGTCCTTTGAAATAATTGCTGTTGACGAAACTGGAAACGTCAGCGACTGATTTATCATATGATGTAAAAATTTTGTAGTAGGGTTATCATCGGTGTTTTTAGCTTAAAAAATTACAAAATATTTTAAAAATCGATATTATATGTGTATTTTTAAAAATTTTTATATAAAAACCAAAAATAAATAAAAAATATAATGTGGACTAAATATGAAAGCATTATCTAAACTCTTATTGTTAATTAATTCTTATTTCTTTTTTGCATATGGGTATGTCCATAGCTGCGGCAATGACTGAATGGCGGACGCTTGTATGAATCCTTTGAGGAATGTTGAACGGCACTTGGTAGTCTTCGACAAACGGTTCCGGGACGTAGACCAGGCCGTTTTTGGTCCTTGAGTATTTCAATTATATCCTCTCTCCCCCCTTCCAATTATCCCCTTAACTCTAATCTGTGTAGATCCAATCCCCTACCCATGTATTCGTTTTGTAAATCTTACATGTTATTTGCTCTTCGAGTACAGACGATCAACAACAACAACCATAGGCGGACGCCCATAATATGATAGAAAGCATAGTAGTGTATTTTTTTTAAGATGCTTTTCGAGTACATTACTTTAACGCAAAAATCTACAAAATATGCAAATAAATGTTCATGAAATAAAGTCATAAATGATCCTCAGTAGTACCATGTCGTAATACGTTATGTGAAATGTGTAGAAGATAACAAGATATTTATGCATGTATGAAAAACTAACAAAAAATCCTGCACAAAAGTTTTGTAACAAATATAAGTTATATTAACAAAATCATAATTTTTTATTTAGTCTGCAGTATTCCTTCTTCAACAACTGTGTAATTAAAAATAATAATAATAAATAACATTTTCCATCACATAATAAATTTGAGGGCGAATAATAAAGCAAAAACTATCTGCAGATTATTAACTTCATACAGCAACATGGGGGTAGGACTGATAATTTATTTTAACGTTTCTCTAGTATTTTGATGTCTTTTTATAGAACAATTTATCTTTGGCCACAAAATAGGCTTCAGTTTCGACAATTGCTTCTTTATGTGTGCTAAATCCATTACTGCTAACATTGTTCCAGTTATAGGCCCCGAATTTTGCGAACCGCGTTAATACAAATAACTTCTTTTAGAGTGGTATATGAATAAATATTTAAGTGACGCATTAATCACAGCGCCAGATGCAGTAATCCATATTTTCATATCACGAATATATTGATAACTGCTGCAAATGCCTTTCAACATACAGTAATATGACACAGGCTATAGCAACAACTACTACATATTGATGTAGTACTTACTACACCTAAGTATTCTATATCTAACATATACACATTTTATGTTTTTACTAATCTTTATACTGAGAATGTATAGGATTAAAATATTGAAAAAATATTTAAGACCCTTAAACTTATAAATGGAATTCGGTAATAATCAAAGTACATTTTGCACAAGTTATATGATACTGTAGAAATTTTATTTACTTGGTGAATTTTGTTTAAACACTAAATAAATGTACTATATTAAGTAATAAAAAAATAAACTTACCAGCGGAGCGTGCAAGGACCTGCCAGAGTTGAGTGGTTGCAGCATCCGTTCCTTGCTCTTCAGATGTAAAGCTTTCAGAACTTCGACGTTCATTCGATACCGATATATCCATTTCTAAACGATGGGAATCTGAACTTTCTTCTGAGTCGAAAAAAACAGTATTCTTTTCTTCCATATCCGTAGTTTGGGATTTGTAGGGTATTGTGTTAATACTGCATTTTTTTTGTTCTAAATCTATATTTAAGGAGTTTGATTTTGTTTCGAGTATTGTGGATGGATAAAAAGTACAAGCACGTATTGTTTCATTTTGTTTTTGTGGAGTAGCCATTCTTGGTTTTTTTAAAGATAAGTCTATTTCTGCAATATCTATAAGTTTTCTTTCGTCTGACGGACGTTTATATTTTATCACAGAACTTTTAATACTTTCGTCCCTAAGAAAGGAGATACTTGGAGATTGAGGATTCGAACATGGTGGCGATATAACAGCTTTTTTACTTATATCCATTAGCACCGCAGCTGTTTCTAACTGTTGTTGTAGATTTTGAAGTTGTTCAATATTTGTAAGGTTTTCAGATGGTTGACTCCCAATCATTGGAGGAGACTCTTCTTGATTTTTGCATATATCACGTTCAAAACATTCTTGCTGTTCTATTTGTTCATTAAATTGTAATGATTTGTGTTCTTCATTTAAATCAACATCAGAATTCATTTCTATTTCGTCTTTAATAGTTCGAATTTCATGAATGGCAGTATTTTCGATTTTTATTTGCTTAGATTTACTTAATTCTGTTAACGCTTTTGCAGCAATTCTTTCGGATGATGACTTTTTACATTCATTTGGAGCCAATATATTATTATATATCTCTGTAGATGTTTCAGAATGCTGTAAATGATACATTTATTTAATTACTGAATTTAAATTTTTAACTTGAATTTATGTTATGAACAGTTAGATGCTAAACATATTTTTTTTGTTGCATAGACTACTTGTTTTATTTTTACTAAAACTACAAATATAAATATATAAATAAATATATTTATAGTTGATAAGTACAAGTATTTTAGTCTTTTATAAAAGGTTGCATAAATGGAATTCATCACTTTTTGAATATCCGAAGTTCTAAAAGGTATTCCAGCAATGAGTAAGCAAGTAAATCGTATAACTAACGAAATACGACACATATTTAAGGTCAGAGAATATTCCGTGGTATTTCTCGATGTAAAACAAGCATTTCATTAAGTATGGTATAATGGACTCATATACAAGATACGCTGTCTATTATTTGCAAATACCCACTCAGTTAAAGATTTGTATCTACAGAACTGATGTTTTAAAGTTAAATGTAAATCATTTACTTCTATTAATTTCCCAATATAAGCTGGGGTTCCACAAGAAAGTGTTCTTGGCCCTATCTTATATGTACTTTATACATCCCAATATCTCAATAAGTTATTCAGTTGTCACCACAACGTTTGCCAATAATACGGCAATTTTATGCCGAAACAAAAACGTTGTGTTAGCTTTGAACCAACTTCAATCGAACTTATTTTGGGCGGAGAAATGGTTGAAAAAATGGGGAATTAAAAATAATTAACTAAAATGTAGACATGTCATTTTTATCTTAAATCGCACCACTTATAAACTATTTTACTAAATTGAATTCATATTAATTACGAAATAACTTCTTTATTCTATCAACGTAAGCATTCAATGTAAAAGTGAGTTCATATATAAAAGACATCACTCAATCAGTGTCTAATCGGTCTAGCTAAACAAAATTTTTTTTTAATAATTCCTAAATATATTTTTTTGAAACTGATACATTAATTCCAACGCTTCTCAAACTTTTCAACGCATTTTTACGCAAAGATTTGTCTGTGCTTTCAAAATAAGTGTCAGTTTCAGCAACCACCTTTTTATTTGGTCCAAATCTTTTTTCCTAGAGCTGAAGCATCTTTTTGAAGTTTGCAAAAAGTCAGTAGTAACTGGTGACCAGATTCGGAAAATAATGTGGAATATCTTTAAGGTGTGAGTTACTTTATGTAACTTCGCTTTATAACCGTTTAAAGTGATATTTTTATAAACTTTTTTTTTCCGGAACAATTGCCGATTTTGGACGAAATTTGAGTGACTCTGGTTAAGTTTAATATTCTAGTCAATAATAGTTGATTGCCTTGGTGCTAAGTCATCATAACGCTTATGAAACCACTTTATGACTTCAAAAGTATTTTTCACATCAAAAACAATGTTTAAATAACACAATAAACACTTCTTATAAACACACAATTACAAAGTACGTTAATTTGTTATTTACATTGTAATCTGTTAAGGATTGTAGTTATTAGAATATCAAAAATTTGGCATGTATCGTTTGAAAGATGATACTCTCCACAAATCATTAAATTTTTACAATCTATATAGTCTTACCATATTGTGACAGACAGACCAAAAACTTATTTAGTGATATGCAATATAACTAAATAACAATATAAGCAATAGTCGAAGTCCTAGTTTCAACAGCACTAAAAATAAACAGTAACATGAGGACAAAAGTGTTGAAAGAGATATATGACTTAGGCTATTTAACTAAACCAATTATAAAATAATACAGTTTTTTGGCTGTAGTCAAAACACAGTTGACTTTTATTGTAGACCTGAACAGGATCTAGATTTTGTGTTATATAAGATAATGACATAGTTACAACTTTGTAAACTGTACTAAGCATATGAACAGGTCCAAGTTTACTAAGAACGTACTCCCGCAATTTAAAGCTACTGCGAGAGTAAGTACGCAGTCAAAAATCTAATATGTAATAAAATAAAATAAAACAATATGTAATAAAATATAATAACACAGGTCTTCGAACTTGTATTTTTAACTCCGGAAACTTCTCTGAATACGAACAGCACTACTATATATAACGAGATCGGTTCTGACCGATGTACTAAGTGCGCTGACCAAAAAAAATCTGTAAATATCTGGTCAAACTAAAAATATTATTAGAACCCGGTAAATAGTAGTGGAAAAAACAACAAATGTTTAATTTAATAAATTGAATATTAGAATACAAAGCCAAACTAAATCAATTTAAGTTTTATGAGTTTTTGTTTTCTTGATTTTGTTTGGTTAGAAAAAGAATTTTAAATATATAATTCGTACAGCTTTGAAGTTGTTGCGATCAATTTGTAACTTGGTCTATTATCTTGATGATGGAACACATTTTTCATCCTTATTTGAGATAGGCTTTTGGGAACTGCACAACACAAAAGAATTTTTACTTAAAAACATTTGATATATGTACTTATTAGTATGTTAAATTTTTAACCATATTAATTTTTTTAATCTTACCTCTTGTGAACTATCAATATGCTTTAAGAATTCCTTTAATTTATTATTAGTTCTTTGTGCCATTGACCGAAATTTCCAAAAGGCCTTAAGTTGAGCTCGACAGTCACAACAAACAATTGTTGGTAATCCATCATTTTGTTGTACCTAAATAATAATAAAAATAATAATAATAATAATAATAAAAATAATAATAATAATAATAATAATAAAAATAATAATATTAATAATAATAATAACAATAATCATAAAAATATATTTGTTATTATTAGCAGCAGTAAAAATAGCAGTAGTGGTTGTTGAAAAAGTAATAAATTTTAAATAGTTTTAATAATTTAAGACTATAATTTAACTAAACTTAATATACTTTTAAATGTAAATAGCAACAGCAGATATTTCGTTTTGGCATCAGCTGTTTATATTTCAAAGCGTTTTATTTTATTTTTTATAATTTTTTATATGTTTTCTAATATTATTGAAAGAAAACACCCAATCTGATGTTACAAGGTTTCATTTTTTACAATCGTAGAGGTTGCAAGCTGTTCCATTTTTGAATTGAATCTTTCACAATTACGTGAATGACCGTAATTGAATTTCAGAACTGGGCATATGAATTTCAGATGATCCTATAGATAAAAACTATCTCCAACCCTGTAACGACTAATGGGCTACCTACAGACATTTTAAAAATAAGAGCTGTTGAACTAAAAGGGATAAACCGGTTGCAAGTACTCCAAGAGTCGATGTTATCAATAAATTATAATGCTATTTGATGATATCTCACTAAATCGTTTTTCCAACTTTTACTGAACAAAATAACGACCTTTATATGGATAATTCTAATTTTTCTTTTAAAGAAAACAAAAATTTTAGAATATGAGATATTTCTATTTGAAAAAGGTATAATATTCCATCAAAATAATCCACGAGCACTCATACAAGTCAGTAACTCGTTAAGAAAATTTTACAAATTAGATGTGATATGTTACGACTACTACAATATTTTCTCAATCTCAATCAATTAACAGATCTCTAAACCAAACAGAACGGTTGGTCTTATTATTATCCAGTTATAAAAAGAAGTTCCACTCTATAATTTTCATAGAGAAAAATAAATAAATGTCTAAACTTTTTATGAACAATAATACATATAAGCATAAAGATTTGACACAGAATAATTATTGTCAGTAACTTTTACAATTGCGATATAGAATTCTCTTTCGACCGACAAAACTTACACTCTATATCAATCCCTGTACCAGGGAGTTGTTTATGGCACAGAAATATGGAAGATAGCACAGAGTGCTGAAGTTGAACTCGAAGTGTTTAGAGAAAAGTTCTTTGAATGATTTTTAGGCCTCTACATGTTAGAGACGGTTACCGCATTGACATTATTCAGGAAATTAACATCCATCCAACAACTTCTCTTACTTGGTCATGTTACAATTATGAAAGACTATGCTTTAATACAAAAAAAAAAATGTGTATGAGGCGGATGTAGGAGGAGTAATAGGTAAAGGAATACATGTCTCTGGTGAAGTTACCAAATTGAGATCAGTTCACCAGAGAGCAAAATATGACGGAGTTTCGTTCTTTCAATACATTGATCTAAATTGATCTAAAACGTGACTAAAAGAAACATAAACTAATTAAAAACGTAACTTAAGTTCCGCTGATTTATTCAAAAGATTGTCTAAAAAAAAATATTATTTAGAAAATCGTTTTTTGAAAGTCTAGAACCTAATCATTACAATTTTAGATCTATATTCGAAAGATTGATTATATTTACTAATTATCCATTCTTATTGAGTTCAATTATTTGGGTTATGCTTACCTTATAAATTTAAAACAATGGTTAACTTTGTGAAAAGCAGTCAAACTAATAAATAACATTAGCTTATACCTGCCTACTAGTCGTTTTTATATAATAACATTTTTTTCTGTTAATAAAACACCCATGGAAGTAAACAGATGCACGTGGATATATGGTTTCCCCTCTTCAAATATGTGATGAAGGTAAAAACTATATACTTGCAGTTAATCAAAATATTAGATTGACATATTTACGTCTATCTAATGACCTCTATTTAAACATCATCTACCAGAATGATAGCAAACCAATGGCACGCCTATATACTGTATCAAATTCAGGTCTGCCATTTGGTTTGGTTATTTTAGGCACTCATTACTAAAATGTGTTATGTATAATTATGTTCAATCTTAATTCAACTTCCTAATATCAAGTTTGCAAGAGACAGAAATGTGTGCCCAATGGGGGAGTGATGCGAATACACAGCCTAGCTTCCTTAGCAGTCAACCTAACGTGGTGCATCCTGTTCTCACATACGACGCTCTGGCGACCGAACATACCTAGCAGAGGGGAACTTCTCTAGCTACCAAACACCAATCTTATTCCCAGGTTTGCAAATAAGTGGATTTGGTCCTCAAGGTTGGAGGTTGATCGCAAAGTTAGTAGCCTCACATCGAAAAAAAAACGACCACAACGCAATCTTTAAGAGGCCAAGGTTCTTACTGGACTGTAGTGCCAAATAAGAGGAATATCAAGTTTTATTAAATAAGTTTATTTAAACAATTTTAATTAAAAAAAAATAGTCTCACTAACTTGCCCTCTTCTTCTCCTATACAGAATTATGGTGTTCTAATGCGTTATTTGAATACTACTAATATTTACGTATGCCATATCTACAGCTCTTTTCCCTATGACGTCGCCCATCATCGCTTGTATTTTTGCACAGTCTAACCTTCGTCCAATTAACCTTTGGACGCATCCAGTATAATATTCAATATAAACCTCCCACCCAATTCCTTCACGTTCTCCTTCTTCCCCGTTCATCCGCCCTATTCTCTACCCACCAGTGGTGGTGGTGGTGGTGGTGGATGGTTCCTACTCATGTAATCATCTTGTGTATCCTTTCATGTTATCTGCTTACAGGTCCCAGTGGGTTACAACAACAACACTATTTACGTACTATATATTTAAATGGTAGGTATCAATTAGAAAGTAGCTAGAACTTATTAGATTACACATTTATTCTATACTAGTGACTATTTCTGAAATACACACACACACACACATATATATATATATATATATATATATATATATATATATATATATATATAGATTAAATATATAATGAATTGCAAGTGATATTTATAAAAAAATTTGTTTATATATTTTATTATATCCAAAATTAAATATTCATTCAAATATTTGATTCAGATATATATAATAAAATATTTCATTTTTAATATTTTAATATTTAATATTTTAAAATAGACCACACACTGTTCAAAAACTTAAAATTTTCTATATATAACGATTTTAAATACCGTCGTACAACTGTTAATAAATAATGTTATTTATTTATTGTATATAACTTTAAGTTATTTATTATTTATATAATGTTATTTATTTATTTGTGAATTAACACTATAATTAATTTTAACTTAGTTAACTAAGCATAAGAAACTGGACTACTAGGTTCTTCGCTCTGAACTTAAAATCTGTAAAAAACTGTACCCATATCATAAAAAGCCCGACCAAAAAGACCTTCAACGTGACAAAATATTTATAAACAAATGTATATGAGAAGCAATTTTAAAATTTATTTTAGTAGATGTACAAATTCTAAAATGTTTACATATCCCTTATAATACATTTTAAGTCTGTATTATTAATAACAATAGTAAACTTTATTTAATTGATAAGACAATTAGTGGAAGTGTTTATATTCTACACATTGTTTAAAACGTTCTTTTTTCGCTATTTGTAATATCCATATTAATATATATTTATATTACAAGCGAATCAAATTTCATAATATTTATACACTATAGCAATATAAAAATAATGATTTTTCTATTTACCTTTATTGAGAGGCATCTGAGAATTTGAATTGTGATATGTGGAGATGATTCATTACAAACCTCACCATTACATCTTTGATCACTGCTTTTATTGGGACTGCATGCGTTATCAATCATTCGAAATAACGTGCTGGTTTGTTTGTCTGCCGAAGTTGCAGGATATTTAGCCAAATTATTTTGTATAATACTACAACCCGCAGAATGTTGCTGCAAGTGGATTGTAGCAAGTGAAGGCACATTTGGCAATTCTGAGTTCTGATTATGTAGTCCTTGTTCCGTTTCTGTTGTTTTTGGTAAAACATTATTACATTTGTATGAACTACATTTGCACTCATTCTGATTTGATTGTAGTTCGCTATCATAATTTAAATATGTTTCTTTAGTGGTATTTTTAGCTTGACTCGACACTGTCGATATATCAAATATTTGGAGTTCTTCAACTTCATAATCATTTACCAAAGTTAGACACAAACGACAAACTCGATTAAATTTAGGCGGTACATTACACATAATTATTATATATATAAAATTATATATATAAACTTTTTTCCCAACAGTCTTTAAGCACCCACACTGGTTGAATAATTTAAATACAGTTTAGCTAATAATTAAAAACAATGTTTTAATAACACTAACACAAACAATTCTACAACAAATAACATAAAAAAATAATGCAGAAAGCAATGACTACTATGCTCAATAGCAATTACACATTCCTAGATGCTTTTCTCACGGAATAATTAAGTGATGCCAGAAAAACTAAAATTGAAATAAAACCCATTAAAAATACCAATTCACATGTATAGATGTAACGCAAGCAACATATAAATACAATTGAGTTACTTACTATAGGTTTACACTATCGCAATTAACAAATGTGCAACACAATGGCTATTAGGATTAATAACAAACTGAATATAATTGTTTTTTAAATATTAATCTAAATAATTTGTTCCAAACAGATTTTTTATATAAACAATTTATATAACAATTTATGTAACAATTACATAAAAAACACACATATTTTAAAGCAGTTTATTTGATTTGAGTCGTTAATCAAGCTGATTTACAAAGAGTTTTCATGCAAATCGACTTAGTTAAAAATAAATTAAGTAAAATTATGCCAAAAAAGTTGACACAGCATTGTAAAATATATTCCCCATAAGGGAAATGATCGAAATTTGGAATACTTGACATATGAAATAAATTGTAAATAAACAAAAAACAAACGAGTCAGGGCTAAGAAATTTTTAAAATGTTTGTTTATTATAAGTAAAATATATAATTGATTGGAGCCATTTTTTTGAAATATTTTTTTCAAAATTTCTTCGTTATTTTGTAAAATAACAATTCATTTAAATTTTACACCTTATTTAATAATATTCGGTATCCATTCAAATAATAATCTAGCAATGTCTTAGTTTTATCAAAATTGCTGACGAGAGTAATGGTTAATACTTTTTTTTTATAATCTTCAAACTTTTTTTATGCATTGCACGGCAGTTTCTGTATGTACCTATTGCTTTCTTAATGTTGTGAACAATTACACATATATTATACATACAATTTTTTGCATTTTCTGCGTTGTCCGCGATCAATTAATTAATTTCTGCTAACAATACAAAACTAAATATTATATAAGTTGACTTATACCCATGGGAACAACCAAATTTTAAGTTGATTAATATAAATTGATTGAGCTGCAGTTGAAACATGGCATTAAATGCAAAATTTATTGTAATATGTATACATACGTATGATACGTTTATATTTAGTTTGATTAATTCTTATATTAACTTAAAGATAACTTCCATGTACAAATTTAGTACTGAATTATATGTATATTTATAACATATGTATAAATTCTGTATCTGCATGTACTTATAATAAAATTCAATTAATATGTGTTTGAGTTTTACCAAATTTTAGTAAATTGCTATTTTATACTTTCCTATACTTAGTGGAATTTTATTGATAGATATGTTTATCAAAAATACATACATATAATGTTCTATTAATACAGCATAAATAATCATATTTTTATGGTAATTATAATGCTGTAGAAGAATGATTTGTTTGGTTTGAAGAACCGATGGATTCCATACAAATATCGGACAGCCAAAAATACGATTGAACAATAACTTATAATATATCACAATATAACTAAATTCGTAATTGCGAATAATTCTTTTACATATACGTCAAATGAAACAAAATATGAGTGCAATGTTTAGCATTTTCATTTAGTACAGTACACTTTAGTTTTGATGTATAAATAGGTTTTTGCCGAAGTAAGCCGACGGAACAAAAATACTAATAAAAAAAACAACTACTAATCTGTGAATACAATAAGAATTAAAATATCTTATTATTTAGATTTTTACCTATAAATATTTCTGTGCTATGTGTGTGAGCTGCTATAAACTGAAAAAATATATATTTTATTCGCATTATAACTTTTGCTTGATTTTAATTTCAAAAGTACTGCAACATACCGATATACAATATGGGTATTGTGTATAATATGGGTATGTTCCGTTATTCGATGTACATACTTCTCAACGCATACATAATTCCTTATCTAAAAAATCGTATTGATAAAGGGGAGATAATAACAAAGGTGTTCGAGAGAGGTATTATATCAATTTATATGATGAACTAACCCCATAAACATCCTGGCACCACCGCAAAATATTTCGTCAAGATACCGTTTAAGCATTGCTGCTTACATCGTCAGTTAGTTGTCACTGTTCGTTTCAGTCCGCCTTATCTCGTTTACTCTGCTTAAATTCGCATTTACTGCTGATCTCATGCGTTTATTATGTTGTAGTACCGTCATTATGCTCGTAGTCGCCGGTTTCACTAATTCCTATTTTTGAGATAAGCTGCACATTTGTCTGATGAGGTTTCACACTGTTAACTTTCTTCTAAGACAGTCTGTATGCTTTGTCGTTCGTAGTTAAAACGCGGACATTTTAAAAGAACGTATTCAGCATCTTTTATTTTGGTTAGACATATTGAGCAATTGGCATCATATTCATGTTTGAAGCGCTGAAGGTAATACTTAAAGTAAACTATGTGCTGCCATTATTCAATAGAACGCAGCTTTTCGACATCTCTTGTTGTTCCTGCTACTGGTATGTACATGTTCCCTAGGTTAGGTACCTATAGACCAAAAAAGAAGCAGTCGTGTGATACTTATCAGCTTGTTAAAATGTGTGAGAAGTACTCGTTGATTAGGCTGATGTCACAAACTTCCCTTCTGTTTGATATTGCCTTAAATTTGGGTATCGGTGCGAACCCACATCTTATAATGCGCGTTGTATCCGATAATGACCAGAATTATTGTGGTGTTAGCACCTCTTATCAGAAGTATTAAGAAGTCCTGTGATGTTAAGGTGCCGTAATTGTACGCCGTGTATGTGAAAACAATCTAGACCAGCATGATCTCCTCCTCTTTTTCTGTTAGGCTGAGAATTAATGCTGCTAGAGCAGTTATAGATCATTAAGAGGTTTATTTTCCTAATTCTGAACATAATCAATAGTATCCTTGACGGTGCTAATCGCGCGTCCTCACACCATTGTGAGATTTAAACAAATAACTGATTGTTCATTTTATACGACGAGAGCCTGACGTAAATCGCTTTTGGAATTGCTGACCTTGACGATCTTTCAATGGTGAGTTGGCAGGTCAGTGTTGCTCACTTTAAGAACGGTTAAAATTTGAGATACATATGAGTGCTCCAAAAGTAGCCAGTCTCTAGAGCGAGAATGTTGTGGGTTTTTGTCCACAGAAACAGCTTTAAACTGCGCGACAGACCCAATTGCCTCGAGCTTTTCGTTTGCATTCTGTTAAAAATCCGCTTAGAGTTGATATAAGCATTCACTTTTTATTACCATATATTCAGTTGGAAAGATGGTTCCGTAACTATTGCCAGTCTCAATAATGACCCCAGTCGCTAAAAGGCTTGGAGGTGTAAAATTCGGATGTAATAGGCTTGGGAAGGCACGGTTTGTCCAGTCTGTTGAGTCGACCTTTGTCATGTATGTGTAGAGAAAAAAGTGGTCGAATGTCAGTGGATCGCAGGTTGATGTTCTCTTTGGCCGACTTAAGTGCAACCTTGTCTCCTTCGTATAACTGTAAGGGTCAACGGCATTAAGGATGGTTTGGATTCAGTTGCACGCGTTCTGTACATTTTTGGTGGGTTGGGGAGTTTTCATGTAGGTATGCAGGCTTTATGTTTGGTTATATTTGCTGGTCGAGCGCTCACTATATTTACATTAACCGGAACATTAGTAAAAGGGCAAGAGGAAACTTTATCGCCTTAAACAATTGCTGAAATGCTGAGCGACAGAGCGGTCCTATTGACGTTCTTTCGTAGTGAGGGCGAACTCTGCTTTATGCCAGAGCCTTACAGGTGGACATTTGCTTAATCAGATTTAACCGTTCCAATGACGTGTTAAGTGATAGCTTTATGAAGTTGGATGTATGGTTTTTATTTTGTTTACGTTATGTACGGGAACAAGTGCCAAGAGCTAGACCAGTGCTAATGGGAATCAAACTTCATCCGAATCCCGATGGAACCGTGCCATAAGGCAGCTTGGTTTAGAAGTCTGTAGATGTCTGTGTTTGTCGATTAGAGTCGGAAGACAAAGCCGGTTATTGCAAATAGATGTTGAAGCTCATGAAAAAGGGGTATGGGAGTAGATCATTTGGAATTTTCCGAATATATTAGAAGTTATATATGTAAGTTATATATGAGAGTCCAGCAGTGGTAAAGGAGTCAAGTATAAGTCGGTTAAGCAGTAATGGCAGTAGTAGTGAGGTCAGCAGTCAGCAGTGAGCAGTCAGTGGTCGACAGTTGAGAAGTACGGTCGTGTGCGTTTGTAGTTGGCGATTATCTTTTACATTTCATAGTTTTATTATTTTTATTGTTGGCGTGTGTGTGAATTATATTATATTGACTATTTAAACTTACCTTTTACATATATAATAAACTTATCTTTTACATATATAATAAACTTACCTTTTACATTTGGGGGCTCAACCGTCGAGCTAAAAATAAAAAAGTTGATACAAAATTGTTAAAAGTTGATCGAAAATTCTGTGTCTGCAACTATAGACACAAAGAAAAAAAAAAAAAAACCAAGCCACAAGCTGGACACAAAAGGAGAACACGAAATAAATAAAAAGAGCGCTGCAAAAATAGGCGCGCAAAACGTTGCTGAAAAAGAAAAGCAAGAACAACAATATTACACACGTTCGCAGGCGTTCAGAAGGAGATCGTTCAGTGCGTCGCAAAGAGGAGAAACAGCAGTTGAAGCAGAAAAAGAAGGAATATCAAAAAATAAAGCGATCACAATGGAAGCAAAAGTGGATGAAAATAATAAAAATTTGCAGCAACTTATTCAACTGTTAACACTGAAAATTCAAGCAGATGAAATCAAACAACCCGAACCTAAAATAGCAGTTGAAAATTTTGCAAAAATTATTTCAGACTTTGATGGGGAAACAGTGCCGGTGTGTCATTGGTTTGATATTTTCGAGCGCAATGCCGATGCATATGGATTAAGTGAGAAACAGAAATATGTGCAAGCGCGCGGAAAAATGGTAAAGACAGCG